TCATAGAATTGTAGAGTTGGAAGGGACCCTGAGGGTTATCTAGTCCAACCTCCTGCAATGCAGGAATCTCAACTATTGCATCCATGACAGGTGGCCATCCAACCTCTGCTTTAAAAACCTCCAATGAAGGAGAGTCTACCACCTTTCCAGGGAGTCCATTCCACAGTCAAACAGCTCTTATCGTCAGAAAGTTCTTCGTGATGTTTAGTCAGAATCTCCTTTCTTGTAACTTGAATCCATTGGTTCGGGTCCTACTCTCCAGTGTGGTGTAGTGGTTAAGAGCGATAGACTCATAATCTGGTGAACCGGGTTTGCGTCTCCGCTCCTCCACATGCAGCTGCTGGGTGACCTTGGGCTAGTCACACTTCTCTGAAGTCTCTCAGCCCCACTCACCTCACAGAGTGTTTGTTGTGGGGGAGGAAGGGAAAGGAGAATGTTAGCAGCTTTGAGACTCCTTCCAGTAGTGATAAAGCGGGATATCAAATTCAGACTCTTCTTCTTCCAGATCAGGAGAAAACAAGCTTGCTCCATCTTTCCATGTGGCAGACCTTTAGATATTTGAATATTATTCATTGTGTTTCTAGTACAGGGTTTTAAATCTGTGCTCTCACGATGTTATCCAAAATGTATGCGTACCCTGTACTCTGTTATAGGATGCTACTGTTTGAAGTGTTGTTTCTCAAACCAGCTTCACAATGGTGGGAGTCCCTTAAGCCATTCCTAATTAGGCTCTAGCCAAGGTATGAACACCTTTGCACTGCAAATATTTCCCCATTGCCTTCAACGCAACCTGATATATACACAAACACAAAATAATTGAAGCTGTGTTTATGTGAACAGATAGGGGGGAAAGAGCTGTGTCATGCAATGTAAACACACTCTTTGATTCTGGACCAAATGATTTTACCAGCAAAAAGGGGAGGTAATATCTACTACTTAATTTATTTCAAAATATGGCAAGTCTGCCCTGTTGTAGTTGGAGGGCCTCAGTGGGGCCCTGAACTTCTGACCCAAAGTCTTGCCCTGACACCACCCTATCAACCCAGTTAAACAACCAGCTTATCCAAATCACAATCCCAAGAAAACATGCAAGTAAGTAAACGACCTTTCAAAAGGAATATTTCAGCTTACAATGTGAGGAAATAACAGTCATGTATTTTGAAGCAGCAGAAATAGTGAAAACGAACTAGCACTGAATCACACGTGTATATATATCTGCAGTGCTTATCCAGTCAAGCCATCACAAATTTACCTTTTTGCATGATGGGGAAAAAATAGTGGTTTCATTTATCACCAAAGAGGCTCTCAGAGAGGCTGGTTTTAGCTATTTCAGCCTCATCCCTTATCTCAAGACTGCTACAAAAATGCATTCTGCCCTGGAGGCTTCTACCGAAAGACAATGACACCCTTGTCAATATTTGGGTACAAAGGGGGAGGCTGAGTTACTTGGTTAAAGACTAGGCGGGTTCTTGAATGCCACGAAGTATTCCCACTCCTCAAATTCTGCAGGAATTAAACAGGCTTTTGAGGAGTTTGTTGGGGTATGTTAGTAAGAGGAGGGCTTTGTGCAGGGCTCCTTTTCAGCCGGAACTCACTGGAACCAAATTCCGGCACCTCTCAGGTGAACACCATTGCAGTGCCAGATTTAAGTATAAGCTAAACAAGCTATAGCTTAGGGCCTCACTCTCTTGGGGGGGCCCAAAAAATGAAAGAAAAAACCTACATACAGTAACAGTGTTTGGTGTTGTGTAAGCTCCTGTGATGTAAGTAATGGGCCCCACCTGCTAGCCTCTTCCCTAAAATATCACTGGTTTGCTCATTTCTATATACAGTGAACGCTCTGGTTGTGAACGTGATCCATGTGGGAGGCATGTTCACAACCTGAAGTGTTTGCAACCCGCAGTGCCGTGTCTGTGCACGCATGGGTCGCGATTCGGCACTTCTGTGCATGTGCAAAGCATGGTTTAGTGGTTTTACACATGCGCAAGCGCCGAAACCCAGAAGTAACCCGTTCCGGTACTTCCGGGTTCAGCGTGGTGCACAACCCGAAAACGCACAACCTGAAGCATCTGTAACCCAAGGTATGACTGTATAGGGTGCCTATGTTCTTCATGGACTGGTTGCATAGCAACATGTGCAAATGGCTTTAGATACCTATTAGATCCATAAATTACCATATAGCATATATTCAACACAAAAACAGCGACAATTCGTTGTTGATAAAGGACATCTGGACATATAAAAGGCCCCATTACCTTCAGTTGCTTAGGGCCCCATCAAACCTAAATCCGTCCCTGTACCATTGCCAAAGGCTCCGTTGTTGTCAGTGGAGTTAACTGTTCAAGGAATTGGCATACAACTCAGCGACACTTTCCAGCAGGTCTTGCCCCTATGGAGCCATTGCCAGGACTGAAGGCCTTCCACCCTTTCTAGGGCTCCTCCTCTCTCAGATGTTTCCCAAGAAGTCTCAAACTGCATGTGTGCACTGCTGATCTCTCTTCTGCTCTCATTATTTTGCATGTTCTTAGAGACCAGGCGGGAGGAGAGCTTGTCCCAGCAGGAGAGGGAGACTCCCTGGATTCTTCAGCACCCTCTTGGCTCCTGTCCTCTGCTTCAGCAGGGAGCTGAAGCTAACTAAAGTCTTATGTAGGCAGACAAGAACTATAGCGTGTTTGGTTCCACTCATGTATGTATGTATGTATGCATGTATGTATGTATGTATGTTTTGCATCCCTCAAAGCCAGAAAGACTTCCGGAGTGGCTTACATGCATATCATCAATTAAAAAAAGACAGTCCCTGCTCACAGGCTTACAATCTAAACAAACAAACAAACAAACAAACACAACACAACACACAAAGGAAAAGAGACAAAGAGGGAAGATGAAAAATCAAACTCAGGCACCATTTCTTAAACAGTTTTCCTTATATATACAACTGGCACAATTTAGGGGTTGGAGATGCTTGATGCAGCCAGTCTTTCCAATGAGATCATATAAATTCAGTTTTGCAGAGCTTTCTTTTTCATCCCCTCACCCCCACCGTCCAGCACTCCCACACGCCGAAGCTGGGATTCCCTCAACTGAAGCTCAGGTTCATATGCATTGGGTCAGACTGCAACTAATGTTAGATGACAGACTACCTAAAAATTGCCTGATGGAGCAGAGCTGCAAATTACTAGCTAGCATAAACAGTTTGAATCTCTTAATGGCTAATTAGAGATATTGCACATATATGGTGTTGAAGCTACCAAGAAGTCATGTTATATGTAAAATAAATGTTCAAGCAAGGCATATATAACACCCAATTTTCACGGTGGGTAAACATCTATAGCAATTTATTCCCCCCCCCATAATACACATAGAAAGCATGATTGCACTCTGCAAACTTATTTTTAGAACTGGCGTTATACCATCTGGGAATCCATCATGGCACTTCACTTTCAAACAATGACCTCGGCCTATCATGATGACAGATATACTAGAATGTCTGTCAATTTACATAAGTGTGTCTACGCTATGAGGCAGTGAAGGATATCATCCGTTTATGCATTGTACTGTCCATTATATGCCACTTCTAAGAAGAGGTTTATAATAGGCATATTGTAATGTCTGACATTGAAAAAGATTTGCTACCTCCTTTTCACCAAGACAAAAGTGTCTTTTATTTATAAGCATTCGTCACAATAGCGGCCAAGAACGTGTTCAAACCATTGAAGCATCTTTCCAAGGTGATATCAAAATGGCAGCACGATAGTGAGATAATTTGGATGGCTAAAATACATTAATGCCGACTGGAGAGTTAACACTTTTATGTATTAAAAATAAGCCTAAACTCTTGGTAATGATCATCTTTGTATTGTACAGTGCATGTGATCTGGTGAATCCCTTGTGACCTGTATATTATGATCCTACAAGTGGGACCTACAACGCAATATTTATAAACTGCTTAAAATACACTTCACACACCATACATTCAAAGTACATTTAAAGCGTACGCAAACCCAAGAATCCTGGGAACTGTAATTTGTTAAGTGTGCTGGGAGTTACAACTCTGCAAGGGCTAAAATATAGTTCCTAGGATTGGGGGAGGGGGGCAGGTTTCTTTAAGTGTATGTTGTATGTAGCCATTCCATTGCTTTTGTTTGTTATTATGGTGTGTATTTTTGTGTTTATATATTGTAAACCACCCTGTGATCCTCGGATAAAGTGCGGTATAGACATTTAATTTAATAATAAGTAGTAGTAGTATAAACATTTTATTGAGTGCTCCTGTTCAGGGCTCCATCCAACCTGGAACAAGAGCCTTTAGTACTGTTCAGGCCTGTTGGGGGCTCAAGAATGGAGAAAGGGAAGGTCTTCTCCATGAATTCATGTGTGACCTGACCCCTGTACTCAAATACCTGTGAGGAAGCTTGGAGTCAGAAGAATAGCTTACAAGGTAGTTGCCCAGGTCCAGCTCTAGGCTTTGAGGATCCCTTCAGCCATGAACAGCATCAATGGCTGGCCTCCCTTCATGAGTCCATCCCCTCCCAGCCATTGGTGCCTGCTGCTGCTCTGCCTCATCATCGCTGCCCCCCTGGTTGCTTGCTAGACAGAGAAAATGAGCAAGGTGGCTCGGGGCAGCTGCTGCTGCTCTCCACGTCAATTGTTTACTTCTGCATTTCCTCTGAGCCAGAATGAGAGACAGGTGAAAATAGGATGGTCTGAGGCAGACCATCTAGCTCAGTATTGTCCACACTGGCCACATTCATACCATACATTTAAAGCACTATGATACTATAAACATTCATGGCTTCCTCCAAAGAATACTAGGGCCTGTAGTTTGTTCAGGGTACCCAGAGTTTTTAGGAATCCCCTCACAGAGTTAACCTTGGTTTACCAACCAACTCATCTTAACAGGGAGCTTGGTGAAGTGTAGCTGCATGAGAGGAATAGGGGTCTCCTAACAACGCTCAGCACCCAGAATTCACTGACTGGCAACAGTTATCTGGGATCTCAAAAAGAGACACCAAAGATTGAGCCTGGGACCTTCTGCATGCAAAGCAGATGTTCTACCACTGAGCTATAGGTGTTTCCCAAGCAGATTGAAGCCCATGACCCTTCAACAGGCACACTGAAAAGGTGAGGAGAAAGTGCAGGTCCTGGGGACTCTTGTCAACGGGTCCTCTGCTGAGGTGTGACCCACAGCAGGTGCCTGACCACTGGTGGAGGAAGAGGAGTGCAGGGGGAGCGCACCGCCCCCGGGATGTGCGCCAGCCCCACTCCCGCCTGCTCTCCGCCCCCCGGTGATGGAGCATGAAGCTCCGCCTCTGTGCTTGACCAAGTCTTGAAGACTTGCCCCGTGAGGGATTTTAGGATATTGGGAAATAAGGACAAAGAGCTTTGAAAATGTTTGCTACCTTGTTCTTTCAAAAGCTGGTAGTGAAATGCAGGAACTTTCAGTGTGCATTTGGAGTATACATATGGAATCTTCTCATGGAGTATTTCTTCCAGATAAATCTCTCAAAGCAGAAAAGTTATGTGCAGGGAATTAAAATACGATCATATGGAAAATCAGGAACTGTTGAAACTATGAAGTAGTGTTGAGAACATGTGTCATGATCTCACTGAGGATGGTATTCTTTTGTAGATGTATACTTGTGGAGTGAAGATTTTGTGGATTATAACCATGATGAAGAAATGGGAAAGAAAACTCACAATGAGCCCCCAATGATTTGCTTTCAATGCGTTATTCTAAGACTATCAGTCTGCCTACAATGTGGGATACGTGCATGGGGCTATAACACACATTATTTAACAATGCATACTCCCATTATTTGAACTAGCGACAACAGTTAAGCAAAACCAACTCTTTTTATGAATTGGCTAGCTTGACCCTTCTTGTAAGATGAGTACCATTCCTTGCTTCTTGATGTAAAGCAAGACAATGTGCTATGTTCAAAGAGCAACCACATTCAAATAAAATGAGGCACAATTCACAGCCACACCCATAGAGCCCTCAACAAAGGCTCCATTTCTCACTAATCAACAGTAATCTTGCAACAGCCTTTTCATGGGGTGGCAGCAGAGTGAGAATGGAGAAGCAGGCCACACTCAGCAGGTTCCTCCCTCCATCAACTATCACCTAGCAGCAGCTGTTCCATCAGGCTGAAGAAGAGATTGGAAGATGGGACCATCCATTGGGTCAGCTAAGAGACCAGCACCTTTTGTCTCATCCTCTCCTTGAACTCTTTCTATTCCAGCAGGTCATTAAAATAACTTTGTAACTAAGATCCAGTGCCTATGCTTGCTTTTTTCCACTTCCCCATGTCTTCTGCTTTTGTGTAGTGCAATTTAGATTGTAAGTCTGAGGGCAGGGTCTGCCTTATTTCTGATCACTGGAAACCTTTTCTGCTGAAGAGAGGGATAAAAATGCTTCAGATAGAACAAACATATGTTGCACACAGACAATTCCCCTAGCATTTGTGTGTAGAAAGTGCCAAAAAGCAGGCAATGTTACTTTGGTGGGGTTGGTGGTATATTAAAGTAAAGGTAAAGGGACCCCAGACCATTAGGTCCAGTCATGACCGACTCTGGGGTTGCGGTGCTCATCTCGCTTTACTGGCCGAGGGAGCTGGCATACAGCTTCCGGGTCATGTGGCCAGCATGACTAAGCCGCTTCTGGCGAACCAGAGCAGCGCACGGAAACGCCGTTTACTTTCCCGCTGGAGCGGTACCTATTTATCTACTTGCACTTTGACACGCTTTCGAACTGCTAGGTTGGCAGGAGTAGCGACGGAGCAACAGGAGCTCACGGGAGCAAGTCCTAGGCTCTGTGGTTTAACCCACAGCGCCACCTGTGTCCCAGCAGTATATTAACCTGTGTCAAAATACCAGAGAGAATTGTAGATGCATGGTAATAATCATCTTCCCCTATCTAACTGTCTTAAAGACTAGAAATTCAGAGAGTGCAAAATCAAAAGTGATATAATAGCTCATCTCTTGCCACAGACAGACAGAGAGAGAGAGAGAGAGAGAGAGATTCAAGTTTCCTACAGCTCTACCATTTCTCCATGGCCCACATTTTCAGTTTAAATCACAACCGTCTATGAAGACAAACAGGGCAGAAACATCCATTTAACACTGAAAAGGGTGACCTCAACAGAAAGCAAGAGGTGTGGGTTCAAATCTGTCTCCCAAGCCAATGCAGCCTCAGTGGATGAGCCCAATATAAGCTTTGTTCCACACTTCCAGCTTCTCCAGGAGGTAAGAAAGTTTTAATCTGAAGACAAGAGTTGTAGGTTGGACTAAAGAGCACTGGAGATTTATGATGTTATTGTAAGAGTTGTTTGATTTTCAAAAATACAAGCAGAGCATACTGGAAGCAAATGGGCACTCCTAGAGCAGGCAGAAGGGATGCGAGTGGCGCTGTGGTTTAAACCACAGAGCCTAGGGCTTACTGATCAGAAGGTTGGCGGTTCGAATCCCCGCGACGGGGTGAGCTCCCGTTGCTCGGTCCCTGCTCCTGCCAACCTAGCAGTTCGAAAGCATGTCAAAGTGCAAGTAGATAAATAGGTACCGTTCCAGCGGGAAGGTAAATGACGTTTCTGTGCGCTGCTCTGGTTTGCCAGAAAGCAGCTTAGTCATGCTGGCCACATGACCTGGAAGCTGTATGCCAGCTCCCTCGGCCAGTAAATAGAGATGAGCACTGCAACCCCAGAGTTGGCCACAACTGGACCCAAAGAGCAATTTGGGAATGCATATTGTGCTGCCTCCATTGCACCCTCATTGTGCTGTCCAGCAGAGCTTTTCTGGGTAGTGTGGGGCTGTTGACAGTCTGGCCTGAATGAGATGACAGAATCAATTCCATGTCACTGTGACTTGTTTGAAAAGCATTTTGAGGATAAAACTGCTTGTATCCGCCAGGACCTTGACTCCACTGTTACAGCACATGAATATTGATAGGTGTCCAAATAACTGCATAATCCTGTTATGCTGGATGAGTTTCAGTTAGCAAGGCTTCAGGATGTAGACAAGGTGCTTGGCTTGGTCAGGGTGACCACTTGCACTTTGGAACCTTGCCCCTCTTGGCTGATAAAAACTAGCAGGGAGAGGACAGCTGGCTGGGCCATGGAGAGGATTAATGCCTCCTTTCCAGAGGGGGTGGAAGGAAGCAGTGGTAAAACTACAGTACTCCTCAAGAAACTCACTGCTGTAATTTAAGGCTCAGGTAGCCTCAGTGGCACAGAGTGCCTTCCATAAGCTTCAGCTGGTGGCCAGCTGTGCCCCCATCTGGACATGAATAGCCTAAATATTTAGGTCTGACTTACATAAACCCACTTACAGTGGTACCTCGGGTTACAGAAGCTTCAGGTTACAGACTCCGTTGGACCAGAAATAGTGCCTCGTGTTAAGAACTTTGCTTCAGGATGAGAACAGAAATCGTGCTCCGGCGGTGCGGCAGCAGCAGGAGGCCCCATTAGCTAAAGTGGTGCTTCAGGATAAGTACAGTTTCAGGTTAAGAACAGACCTCAGAACAAATTAAGTTCTTAACCCGAGGTACCACTGTATTTTGTAGCCCTTGCAGAGATGTCTCTGAAAGGTTTTCATGCCTCAAGAAACGCCGCAATACATGAATTGAATTGACTGAAATACTTTATTGTCACTTGTACAACTTGTATACAGTGAGATTACACGAGCACCCCCCACTCAGCTCTCTTAGTCTTAATTCCCCTCGTTTACTGATGCACAGAGGGGTAATTAAGAGGGGTACCTGTCTGCCTATACTTAAAAATTATTGTAACTAAAAAACAAAAACAAAAAAACCCCATTACAACCAACCTTCTTGCAAAGTAGAGCTCGCAAAAGGCTGGAGCATGCCTGTAATGCAAGCAAGAGATGTTCAGTGGGGTGTATTCTCAGGCGTATGAGATGGCAGCCCTGCAGCCAATCCTAATCCTGGCTACTCAGAAGTAAATCCTATTAAATTCACTGGGTCTTACTTCTGCCTGCATGGCTGCCAGCCATACCGTTTCCCAGGATACTCCATTCCATCTATTATTATTATTATTATTATTATTATTATTAATTAAATTGCTTCAAAAAGAGAAGCCTCCACGCTCTCCCCCTCCCCTCGCCTCAAAGCTCTGACGGGGCAGGTCGAGGGCGGCACCGGCGGCTCCTCCCCCTCCCCGCCCCTCCCTCGGCGAGGAAATCACTGCCACGTCGAGATTACTTGCTTACAAGTCCCTCTCACTGCCCAATCCCGCGCCAGGAGTGACGCCCACTTTAGGAACCGCCCACTTGCGCCGACTACGTAACAACAGTAAGGGATGGGCAGATGGGAGAAAGAAGGACCCGTCGCCAGTCGAGTGGGCGGGGCGCCGAGCGCACGTAGACGCTGAGTCGCGAGCGCGCAGGCGCAAGCGGCGCTTCCCAGCCAACGGCTCCTTGAGCTCCACGTGACCCCTTTCCGTCACCGCCGCCCCGTGCGCGCTCGCCCGCCCGAACGCTGCGGCCGCCGACGTTCGGCGGCGGAGGGGTGACGTTGCGCTCTTGGGCCGAATCAAGTCAGTCAGCGGCGCAACCGCCGCCTCTCTCGCTCCTCCGGCTCGGCGACGGGAGACCCGAAGGGCTTTCGGCTTCTCCTCGGAGGGTGAGCGATGCGCTCGGCGTGAGGCGAGTTTCTGCTCTTGTCGCGGTCCCCGCTGCTCCAGCCATGGCTTCGCCGAGCTGGCAAGAGGCTGTGGCCCAGCAGGCCGAGGAGGTGTCGGCCCGGCTTCGGGATGCGCTGTCGGCCGGCGTGGGCCTGCTCCGCACCGAGCTGGGCCTGGAGCTGCCGCCGGGCCTGGAGCCGCAGCGCCTGCCCACCTGGCTGGTGCTGCTCTCCACGTCCGTCCTGGCGCTGCTGCTCCTGCTGGCGCTCCTGTGGGCCGCGGCCTGCGCCCGGGCGGGGGATGCTCGCAGGAAGAACCGCCTCAGGAGAACCGCCGAGGACGACGACGAAGAGGACGAGGAAGAAGTGGCGGCGACGCGGGGCCTGACAGCAGCAGCAGCAGCAGGAGGAGGCCCTCCTCACAAGGGGGTCCCTGGGACGATGCTCCTGCTGAAGGGAGACGAGCAGAAGAAGAGGAATAAAAAGAGGCCGCTGGAGAAAACGGGCAGGGTGAGTGGAAACACGGTGGGAAAAGAGAACATTTGCATGAGTGGCTATTGGTGGAATAGAGGGAGTTTCAATGTCTTGACCCAACACCATAAAAAAACTGTAGCACTTCTGGTTCTGCTTCACACATTCAGCATATCACAACGGTGTTCGTGTATGTGTTTAATTGAAAGCGCTAGTGGCCAATGCTGCACCTGATGTTGCATTTCTAAATATGTTCTTTTTTCTCCTCATTTCCCCTCCCCCCATTTCTTTTTTCCTGTTTTTCCAAGTACTGTCTGAAGCAGAGAACTGCAGCTGCAGTTTTACATGAATTTTGCGCCTTGAGGTTTTTCTTATCAAGGATGTAACGTCTACAAGCACCTGTGAGCACGAACAGTCAATTTACAGGTTCTAGCTGACGCCAAGACAGTTTGCACCAGCTCTCTTCTTACCAGTGAACATATACGTACTGCAGTATGGGTGATTTTCTCATTTGAGGATCCACGTGACTTCCCCTACACACAGTGTGTTGAATAGTTGACCTTTAGGACTTCAGCATAAAACTTTCTAACTTTATCTCATTTGGTGTAGATAAGTCTGTTAATAATAATGTGTTCTAATCCTAGGTATACATTGGACTCAGCCTTGATCAACCTGGTAGAATGGGTTGTATAGTCACTCTTTTATTCACACAGCTCTCATGGTCAAAGTAGTTAAAAAGTGGCTATTCTCCCTCTTTCTGAGTGGTCTGGGAGTAGACGGACAAGGAAGATTATTCTAGATTTGGAGACTGAATATTAAAAAGCAAATTAACGTGGAAGTGAACTGGCCTGGAAATTTCCTGCCCTTGGTGCTTTCTAGAAAGAAGTGACATCTAAGCATTTAAGGTTGTTTTCAGACATGTGCAAAATGCTTGTCTAAAAGTTTGATACTAGCTCCTATAAATCTGAGGGTTTCTGTTCAACAGCATCCTATATCCTAGATTGTGTCACATCTCATTTTTTGTTGTTGAGAGTGGTACAATTTTAGGCAAAATAAATAGTAATACTGTGTAAACTTGAAATCAACTGAAGCCTCTGTTTGTGATACATTGGCAATGTTTTAAGATGATATTGACAGTTTTCAATGAGCTAAAATAGTGTTCATGTTAAACTTGTTGCTGTTGACAGATCTAATAAACAGGGCAAGATAAGCAGATTGTTCAAATATGGCACCCAAATTTCTCCCCGCTTTTAAAGTGTGGTAGTGATGGATTTTTTAAAGCAATGCATTGAATTGCTAATGAGGGGGGAAGCCAGTCCAGCAAAATTTGTGAGGCTGATGGTTTGAGGAGCAATTAGCGTAAAGACAGGTGAATTCCGTGTTCTTGAGAACTGTTTGTTGGAACCGCACTTTAGCATCTTTAGGGTGTTCCTGATTCCATCTTCATCTTGGTGCTCAGGTGAAATCTGACAGGGTCCATCCTTTTCAGCTTTTTCCCCTTCTGGAGACCTAGCTTGTGACTGGTAACTCCACACACTGCAATATACCTTATGCAGTGCTGTCTTTAAACTGTTTTGTGCCTTCAGAGCCATAAACTGTCCAGAATATATTGGACCATCTTATTATCTTTCCCGTGGGTTTGATCGTAACTAGACCTCTGTGAACAGAAAAGCTCCTTCCACTCATGGAGCAGAAGGAACTGGATTCCAGTTTTTGCCAATCACTCCTTCGCCACTTATACTGCCCCACCCTCGAGCAGGTTTTCAAGGGACTGCAATCTCACGAAGGCTAAAATGTAGTAGGGCCAGTTTTGAAATGATAATTTGTGGCAAATAGTATTTTATTTTTATCAAGTTCTGCCCATAATTCCTATGCAGGTAGATTGGGATAGTTTTTAAACTTTGTCAGATGGGTGTGCTCACCCTCAAGAAACCCAGAACCCGCTCTCGGTTCTGCCCACACATATAATTATCAGTCACTATGACAATGTGATCACTCAGTTCTCTGGAATCCATCGTCAGCCTCTGATACTGCTGGTCAGTCTGCATGCACATGTACACAGTCTAATGTTAATTCAGACAAGTCCTTTGCTCATTTAGGATTTCCCATTGAAAATAATGTGGTGGGGCATCCAGACTAAACAATCTTCCATTCAGACAGCTTTGATTGTAATTTGCAATACTTTACCAATTAGGACTCTTCTGGGCACAGTCATTTGCATGTAAGAGAGCATTCCTCACTGAAGCCCACCACCAGTCATATCTTTGCTGTGAAGTTTCAATTTCCCTCAATGCCTGTGTGGTGCTGGCTCCTGACTGTCACTTATTTCAAGCTAGAGTGTTGTGTGCTGTTGAAAGAGAGCTACTCGAGAATTCAGCAGACCCCAGACTGGAAGGAATGAAGCAGCAGCAGGTATCCAAGCAAGGGAAAAATTCTTTCTTCATTCTTGCTTTTACAGTCCTCCTCGAGGAAAAAGTTATAGGAGAAATGGCTTCTCCTCCGCTGTAGCTGTCCCTGCCTTTTATTCTTTTTCAAACTCTAGGAAGGGAAAGTCTTTTTCCTAGTTTTATAAAAACACCCTTTTTCAATGAAGAATTAAAGAATGGCTGGTTTGCTGCTGTAGCTGTGTACTTTTTACTGAGAGAAGAAAAAAAGCTTTTGCAACTATTTTAGAGGTGTGCTTTCCCTGCTCTCCCTCAGTTATTTCCTTGGACATATTGACAGCAGAAACCTCTAGTTGCTCAATGCATAGCACATGAGGTTGAGAAGCATGAGATGGGAATTGAATCCCACCAGCGGGTAAATAATAATAATAATAATAATAATAATAATAATAATAAATTTTATTTATATCCCGCCCTCCCCAGCTGAAGCCGGGCTCAGGGCGGCTAACAACATTACCTTTTGCTCTCATTTACCTTTTGAATATCTGGCCAAAAAAACACCAGTGCATCTGTTTTGGTAATTTCATTTATTAGTTAACCCGTAACCAAGGTTCACAACAAACAAACAAATTAATATTAATAATCCAATAAAACAACCATATAATATCAGAGAGCCACATCATTCTCATGACATGGCCAAAAGAAGGAGCTCCTAGGACTTGCACACACACTGCAAAACGCCACAGCAGCAAAAAGGAATCAGACATACCTTGGAGTATTTGTCTCTCTCTTGCACCAGCCTCAACACCCAGTTATAGATGCCAATAACATAAGAGCTGCTGAAGGAATCCTAGCTGCATGGAACAACAGGAGGCAGGATTCCAGGTTTAGAATCCAGGTTGTTATCCCACACTAAAGCAAGGGGAGGAGCTTTAGACATCCAAGCACACCTCAGTCAATCAACACGTGTAATGCAAGAACCAATACTTAGGCTTCTGCATGGGCCAGCACCCCTGCTATTTTGCTTGACAGGCTGACCCTGCTTAGTAGCATCCCAACATGCCTTTTTGTCCCTGTCCTGTCCTAACCATAAAGTGTACTTGATTAGTAGACTGTGGAGGAGCCATTGCCTCAAAGCCTGTCAAGTTCCCTGAGGCCAGCTGAAGCCAGATTATTTTAGGGTTGAGGAGAAGATCCATATCTCCTATTCCCCAACAACTAAAAAGCAATGTGTGTGGCAAAGTCATAGGCTTTTGTTGATTAGCATCCATGGTGGAGAAGATTTTGAAAGGGAAAGTTTGAAGTATTTCTTATAAACCACTCAGGGATATAACAATAAAACATAAAACACCATTAAAATGATACAAGAATCATTAAAGTGACAGGCTAAACAGCTGTCATTTAAACTAGTTTCCAGCTACCAGAGATTCCCCTTGTGCTAAATCCTGTAGCTCTTTAGCCATCAGATCTCAAGTAAGGGATGACTTTGTAACTCCAGTCAGGCCCTCTCCTGCATTCGAGCTCCCCTAACTTCTTTCCCATTCCATGGCCACTTTTTTATCAGCAGCACAGCCTTGGTTCTCCCTAAGTCTTTTGTGAAATTTTGCCCCCCCCCCCCCCGTGCATTGCAGGGGGTTGGACTAGATTACCCTTGGGACCCTTTCCAAGTTCTAACTACAATTCTATGATTATGCCTCAGATTTTAGCATCGTTTGCTGCAGGACAGGCATGTGACTATGACAGGAGATGTAATCCCATAGTGTATAATGTGATTGCTTTATGCTGTGCTGTTGGCAAGAATTGGGCTGCCATAGTCAGATCGCTTGATGTTTCTCCTCTCCCTACTGCTGTAGTACTACAGTGGTGCCCCGCAAGACGAATGCCTCGCAAGATGAAAAACTCGCTAGACGAAAGAGTTTTCCGTTTTTTGAGTCGTTCCGCAAGACGGATTTCCCTATGGGCTTGCTTCGCAAGACGAAACGTCTTGCGAGTTTGTTTCCTTTTTCTTAAAGCCGCTAAGCCGTTAATAGCCGCTAAGCTGCTAATAGCCGTGCTTCGCAAGACGAAAAAACCACAAGACGAAGAGACTCGCGGAACGGATTAATTTTGTCTTGCGAGGCACCACTGTATGTGCAAGAGAGAAGATCAAGTTTTTAAAGCCTGGTTGTTGAGCCACGTTCTTTTTTGGTATTTTTGACTATCCCAGTTGAGGGATTTCATCACTTTCCATAGGGTTATTTGTTTCAGTTGCTATTACCAGGTTCTGGACAGAGAAGCAGAAAATCTGCTAAACTTGAACTAAACTATGTGTTTTGCCTGAGAAATCGTGTCAAGGCTGTTGGGAGTATATCATAATATGTATAAAGGTTAGATTCTTTACCCCATTTCAATCAAGGATTGGATGTAATTGTAGAAGGGAGTATTCTGCAACTGCAGCCTTTTCCAGCCGCTCATGTTGTAAAATGAGAATTTGACACGAACTCAAACTACTGTAGTTATATTTAGAAATTGGTTTCATGACACTACTAACTTCGGGTTCCTATGTTTGAAAATAAAGCATTTATAATAAAGTTTTAGGCATGTCTCAAATATTTTCAAGGTTTTTTGTAGGAAACACTAGAACTTTTTTCCTGTAAAAATGAAAGTCACTTTAGTGCTCTGGATTTTAAATATAACCTTATCCAACTTTTACTCTTAAAGTCGTAATATTTGATGAATAAAAACTATGCCATCCAAGTGGCTCCAGGGCATGTCAAATAATGCACATTAGCTATTAAAGTGTTTATTTGAAAGTTGTTCTTTTTTTTGTAAATTTGTAAAATGTTGCTCCAAAATACTCTAACTGGAGATATCTTACTAGTGAGTTTCATCTTTGTTTTGTTGTGAATTGTGACTCTGTGTGTGTCAGATACAGAAAGTAGGCATTAATTTGAGGGGATGTGTCTCAAAATATCGGAAGTTTTGCAGTAATCCTGTAGTGATGTCTGCCTGGAAAATACACTAATTCTTCACACAGGGAATTGAAGCGAAACACATAGGCCTGATTCAAATGTCACATTCTGAACCTCCAAACCATGGTTTGGATAATAGGAAATGAACTTGAGTGCACTCTACCTTTTTGATAACTATTTTCCTTCATCTGAACTAAGCCATTATAATGTCTTCCCTTTCTCTTAATCCTAGGGCTCTCTGCTCTGAGGCAGAAGAGTAGGTGCTATTTCAAATTCTTTCAACTTTCAATTTTTTGAGCAGTTTATTTGGGGTTCTAAAGCAGGATGGGGAACTACTGGTCTGTGGGTCAGAATTGGCCCATGGTACACATACAGTCCCATTTGGCCCACAGCCTCTTTTCTTTGGCCTCCATTTAAGCCAGCTTAATTATGATCCATAAAAGTGGAGTTGCCAAAGAAGCAGGGCACATGAAGCATTTTGGGGGTTGTCAGTGTGAAGGGAGTGCAGAGGTCAAGTTTCTCAAAAGGCTTCAGTGAAAGGCTTAAGCACCACCTGGATCTTTTTCCATTGAAATCAGTGAGATTCACTGGATCATACCCATTGTTATTGCAGAGACTAATTTTAGTTGTAGATGAGATGATGCCTCAGATTCTTAACTCAACCTTATTTCGCTTCTATTCTGCCTTTGGTTCATGTAATTGAAGGCAGTATACCTCTAGGTTTCCAGTGAGTCTTCCCTCCCAACTCCTTGACCAGACAGACCTCCTTAGCTTTGGTACTGTAATATCACTGTTCTTTAACTGCATAATATTTAGGATAGGATTTGCTTTTGTGGCCTTGGACTACATGCAATTGAAAGAAACATCAATATTATTTGAGGCTTGGAAATTAAGCAGTGCCACTCATTTAACTTTTTCCGCTTTTGTGGGTAAGAGACTTATTACTAATACTCATTTTATTTTAAAATCAGATATCTGTATCCTTAATGAATAAATCATCTTAAATAGTAATATATACATTTATATGCCCCATTGGTAAGAATACTGAGAAGACAATTTAGCTCTTAATTATAATAAGATTAAGGGGGAAAGGTAGAAATAAGCAAGATTCAAATTAGAGTAGAATTAAAAAAAAAACCCTTCTTTGTTAAATTTGACATCTATCTCAAATTTCATAAAATTGAGAAAGGGTTATAACTAACCCAATAGCTGCTTACTATTCCAAAATTCTATGAATTGTACCTAATCCTATTCATATCTGATTACCATTTCCCTTGGTGAACCCAAATAGACAAGTAATTTTACTTGAACAGCTATTCCCCATAATTTGATATACCATTCCTTCAAACTAGGAATTTCTCCTTCCACCATACTCAGCATATAGAATCTGTGCTGCCACTAATGTATGACATGACAAATTTCCCCCCCTCTATGCGTACTTTCCAAATATGTAATCAAAATTATTTGGGGGTCCTTCGAAAGCATATATTTCAAAGTAGAACTTACATCGGGTATTATTTCTTGCCAATATTCTTAGCTTCCAGGTTCTTCCACCAACAGTGCATAAAATTGACTCTAGTTGAACCACAATTCCAACAACTATAATTACTGGTATTAAGTGGGTTAAATACCATAATATCCAGAGTTTTTCTGCATTATATATTAAAGTTAACAAAGCAGTATGATTGTATTCCCCCCCCCCCCGATATACTTCCAGTTTTCACTTGGAATAAAGATCCCTATAATTATTCCTATCACCTGTATCCATTTTGAAACATAGTCCACCAGGCAGTTTTACCCCATATGTTTAATAATTCAGTAAATTGTTCAGATGTCTCTCATTGTCATAGCCAATTTATTAGAAAATTTCTAATTTGGAAATATTCAATTAGAGCAAGTTCTGTATTTTTTATGCATTCTTGCATCTCATCCTGAGATTTTACTTGATTATGAACAATCCAATCTTTGAATTTCTCAAAGCCTTTTCTCTGCCAATTTGTAAATTGGCTTATGCTTTCATTTTTATTAAGCTGTGGGTGGAATAGCACTGAAGTGTTTGGAGATACCAATGAACACAGTTTGTTTGTAAATTGAGCCCATATTTTCAGTAATACTGGGGAAATACTACTAGCTCCCTTTTCTGTCTTTGCTTTCCATTCATAACAGTGCATTTGGTGGAATTTTAACAAAACCTTGGGCAGTATTCAACAAAGTCATCTCATCAGGACAAGGATTTACACTTGCACAATGGATTTTCCCTCTCTTCTCCTCCATTCATGCCCAGTGCCCTCCCCAGATCTGTGCTGGGGAGCCCCTAGAACAGATTGCAGGGGCAGGAGAGGGGGATTCCGGTTTCAAAAGCAGAAATCCTTGCATTAACCAGTTGCGTTACTCAGCACTACTTCAGATACAACCCTTTGTTGTGACTCTATTATGTAACCGTGACCCAGTCAGCAATTCCTATTAAACCACTTTCTTGGTCATATTAAATTGTAGTGAATAGTTGTTAAGTGAAAGTTTTAAGATTCTGTTCTAAACTAGAAGTGAGCAAACAAGTAGTGGGTAGGTAAGTATGTCACATTGGCAGACTTCGGTAGAATTAAACATTTAGACTGAAAAACAGTGAAATACAATGTGTAGGTATGTGAACTCTGTCTAAAATTAATGTGACAATTTTCTGATTTCTAGCTTAATGGTCAACCTGCTCATGAAGTGTCTGAAGAGGAAGTAATACAGACAGTTCGAAGAGACAACCTTAAACAGCAGTCAGAGGCAGAAAAGAAAGCTGAAAAGGTTGGTTATTTGTAAGTGATGGAAAACTGTAGATAATATATATAAGTTGATAGTGTCTAAAGCAAATTTCAGGCAAAGGCTCTACTATTTTGACTAGTCTTGGTAACCAGCCAAAAATCTGTATTTGCCACCAGCAAATAGTCTTGTTGCACCATCCAATCTTTACAATCACTTCGAGCTTTGTGCCTCTGAGATCTAGTCTGACTAGAAGCAAGTCCTGACTTCCATGCTTGGAGAAGGGTGCATACTTCCTTGACCTCATACCAATTTCAGGAAAGCTTATAAAGCAACTCAGTGTAGCATCAGAAGAAGTACCTGCCCTCCCAACTCTACCAAAGTATAGGAATTATTACTAGATTAAAAAGAGAAGCAGCCCATTTCTCAACCTCTGGTTCATATCTTAATTTCTTGTGTTTGACATAAAGTCTACATTGTGGCTACATTGTTTTTATACGGGCATGCATTTTTTAAAAAATAGCTCCCATGTGCAACCTCAGTATTTGACAATACTGTCAACCATAATCATTGGCATGCTTATTGTTAACAATAGACTCTTTCAGCACAACCATAAATTTGTCTAATTAGAATAGAGATGCACCAAGTTCAATGGGGCTACTAGAAAAGGGGGACAACCCAGGTAAATGGGTTTATGATAGTAGCCATAATTTGTACGATGTTTTATAAAATACATCTCTGTTTAAGTAATACATTTTAATAAATATTGGCTTTTGTGAAGCTCAAGTTTTTAAAACCTATACTTTTGCTTTGGGGCATTTTTAGATTCCTTATGAAACGCCTGTACTGCAGTGTGAAGCAGTGCGTTTTAAAAAGATTACTACTAAATGTAACATGACTGTGCACTGCAGGAATTTTGATAGCTTAAATTAATATTGATAGAAAATACTTACTTTTTATTTTAGTCAAAGAAGAATAAGAAGAAACCAAAGGGAGATGCTAAAACAGTTCAGGACCAGTCACGTGTTGATGGAAAGGAAGTTGATGAAGGTACTGAAAAGCATGTATGTTTTTTTTAAAAAAAAGTGTGTGTGCTCCTTTGGGAGGAAGGGCAAGTTAAAAATTTAATAATGGTGCTATTAATAAAAACATTTTAAGAAATTTGTGGTTCATTCTATTATGGTCTTTAAAATGAAACCTGTTTTTAATCTGTTAATAGGTTTGCCTTTGTGGTTCAATTTATCCATATGGAGCAGCAAGCTGCCAGTTCATGTGATTGTAGAATATAATTGTGTTATGATTGCTGCCTAAATTACAGGTTTTATCAAATAATCTGAGGTATCAGACTTGAACTGGCATTGTATTTTCAGTGTTGGGAAGGACCAAACATTTCAGAATGTGTTTTGGGGTTTGGGTGTGATCACTGCACTTGAGTTGGAGGAAATTCAATAAAAGCGACTTGGGTGTAACTATTAGAATGATTTTCCTCCATAGCTATTAAAAAAAAATGCCCACAAGATTTCAGGACAGCTAGAGTTTGCACCTGCAATGATGACTTTTGAAAGTGGGAAAAGAACAGTTTGAGAGAGCATCAAGCTATATAACTGTATATGGAAGTGAAGCTAGATATTGAGGGAATCTCTCAATATGTATTTAGCAAACAGGGACCTGTGGTAGGCAATAGAAATTATGGTTAAGTGGTCTTTCAGATCAGTTTGTCCACCATTTGGTGTCTCCCTCACTGAGCAACATCTGACAAGCTTTTGAGGAACACCCAACATTCACTGAAATACAGTTTGAAAACCACTGAGTTTGAAAACCACTGAGATAGGTTACTTCCTCTGTTTTAACTAATGGCTTTTTATACCTCTTTCAGGCGCTTGGGAAACAAAAATCAGTAACAGAGAAAAACGGCAGCAGCGTAAACGTGACAAGGTACTGACCGATTCTGGGCCAGAATCAAATCTACCAGCTATGGAAAATTCAGTTACAATCTCCACTGAACAGCTAACATCTGCAACATCCCTTTCAGTTGGTACCAGAAAAAGCAAAGGTAGATATGTGACTCTTGCTCTAGTTTTGTTTTTCATTTCTCGTCTTAGGGGGCAGGGCAGCAACACTTAAAGAACAAGAGAAGAATACAGATTACACACTAATAATTGAAACTCTGCTCTGTTGATTTAATTAACGCTTTAAAAAGGTGTTAACTAAAAAACATGGAGCCTAGGATTGCCTATCCATCGGCATAAATAAAAGGATTATAGTAGGATATTTAGTCACTAAAGTAGCTTTTCTTAATCAGGTGATCCTGTTCTGAATGCTCAAGTTAGTAATCCTAAATCTGGAAAAGGAGAAATTACACTCCAGCAAGGTAAGGACTGTTTACTGCATATAATAACCTAATTGGAGTTGTGGTACTGCCTAGAATTTTGTGCACTGGTTCACATGGAGCTTTTGCATAGTTATGTGGGGTGTAATGTATTGCATAATTACTAATTTTTTTCCTAACTTAAATTGCATAGTTTCAGCTTCTTCCTTTTTTATAATTCTGCTGTCAGTTACTTTTTACTAACCTGCATTATTAGTAAAAGCCATTAATTTCTCTTAACATAGATGAGGAGAATTCACATCTGGTAATAATAGGAATATGTTGGTGTTGTTGTGATTGTGTTAATTGTGAGGCTTTCAGCCTGATCTTACATCCATTTGCTCAGAATTAAATACAACTGAGTTTTGTGAGACACATTGTCAAGTGTTCACAATTAGTACAGATAGGGAGAAGTGGTTTTTTTGTAGATCTAGTGAAGGCTAAATTTCACCCATTTTTATATAGTTACTGCCCTCTGGATAGTTATGGCAAAAAACTGATAGTGACTGCAACTATGAACAGAGAAACACATGAGTGGTATTCAGTTAAATTAGCCAGCTTTTCCTGAGCAAGAAGTGAAGAAAAAGAAAAGGGCTGGACTAGAAATAAGAGCAGAGTAACAACAGCAAAAAGTTCAACGGAAATGTTAATGTAATCTTGGTATTTTTATGAGCTTCCCTTGGCAGAATATGACTTTTACTTTTTTTTAATCAGGTACATTCATGGTATCAACTAAAACACATGTTACAATTAAGTATATGTTTGTGTTAAAAAGCTCCTTCAGGACTGAGTGAAGGCCCCACAGTAAATGGAGGCAACTGGAACGAAAAGCCTGTAAAGCTTTCTCCTCAGATTGGTGCAAGTGAGGAAAAGTGGAGTTCAGTATCATCTTCTGGTAGCAAAAGGAAGAATGAGACATCAGCGTGGGGAAAAGATGCTGGAGATCATGGAAATGGGAAGGACTGGGGAGTTTCCCTGGTGGGCAGAACCTGGGGTGAGCGCACTTTGTTCCCTGGTATTGGTAAGTGCTTGTTTCTCTAAGAACAAAAACTGTCTTTAAGAAATGGCATTATGTATCTTTAACGTCCTGCCCAACATTCTTCTTTCAGCTCTCATTGTAGCAAAATTCTTTGAGTAATTGATTAGGAAGCTTTAGCCTTTCCTTTTATATGCTGTGGTTAAGGTACAGAGAACTACTTGTGGTCCATGTGGAGATTAGCGCCACATGGATAGCATTTTAACTTCTTAACAGCAGATATCCATGCAGGGTATCATTGGAACCCTACTCATCCATCTCTCAGTCAGCTTGGACTTTAAGAAACAATCTGTATAAATAATCAGTTGTATAAATAATCAGCTTCATTCAGCTTCTGGGGAAAGGGCAGAAGTGTAAAAATATGTAGACAGGGTTGAAAATACTTTTTAATTTAAAGTTTGAAGGATTTCTGTTTCCAGTTCCAGAGTGTATTTCTCTATTCCCAAACTTTAATCTGAAAACTCAAAAACAAGAGTTAAAATTCAATCCAAATTGTTACTAATAAAATTAAGAGCATATCTGAAAGAATCATCATGTTTTGCTATTACCTGTTGAAGATAAAATTTTAAGATGTAATTATCCACAGCTTACAGTAATACTTGTTTGAAGTACAGCACCAGGTAGCTGATTGATCTAGTAGATCCCTAATTCATTGTTTTGGGGGTTATAAAGGCATAAGGCTTAGAAGAAGAATGATCCTTGCAGTCTTAACTATGACACTTGTGAAATTCCAGGCCATTAGCTTATTTTACTTGTTACAATGAAATGAAACATAGTGGAGTCATGTAACATTGGCTACAATGTTACAAGCTGTTGTATTTGTACAATGAATCTGGAATATTTTGTTCCCTAAAATCATTGGAAAAAGCTAGCCTTGTAAGAGGCTTGTCTTAAGAATGTGTGCCTAATTTTCAGTAGCAAAAATAGGTTATTTTGTATTTTTTCAACAGCCTGGTCTGGAGTGGATGGAAGGATTAATCCTCCTGAACAGAGTTCTACTTCATTCACTTCATTGGGGCTAAATCCTCCAGTTTCTGGTAATATTTTAAAATTGCTCTATAGATGAACTACGTGCTTAAGTTATACTCTTCTGAAAACCTATGGTCATCTATGTTAATTGAAAGAGTTGTTGCATATAAGTTTGGAAAAACATATGTATAAAATGTATATGGTAGTTAATAGGCTGGTTTTCAGAAATGTCAACAATCATTATTGGCTTAGCAGACGCTACTAAAATACTTCATTCTCTGTATTTTCAGAATAGGGTAGGATGTTTGATCGTATGTAAATCAGCTTTTCTCTTTGGGTTTAATCGGTAATATCAGGGACAGCAAAGAAGCAAGCTATTCCATTGCATGTAGAATTCTCAAAATACTAGGCCCTTTTCCATTTGAAATATCTTAATATGTAGTAACATGCCTGTCAGTTCATAAAGCTTATTCTATGTTTGTGTGTTGTCTTCTTTTCAGGAGCCAGCAGTGAATCTGTTCCTCAACCTCCTACTACAGACTTCCAATGGGATTTAAATCGTAATCAGGCGCATATTGATGATGAATGGTCTGGGTTAAGTAAGTTCTTCTTTAAAAACCTTGTACGACTTACACTAGAAAGATTTACATTCATATTCCTAATCATCCATTTGTCTTCTACAAATGGGACCAGGTGTTTATCCACATGCTTTTAACAATGAAGTGTGATTTTGCTATACCAAAACCTAAGAAATCTATTGTGACATGTATTTTGGGGAGCAGAGTCCGATTTTATTCAATGCATGGAGGTGCCTACTTAGTGGGTAAGTTGAAGTACACCCAAGAGGGGGGGAAATGCTTTTTAAAAATAAAACAAGGGCCAAAAGGCTAAACTGCAAGAGGCTCACTCATGAAAGCTTCCACTACAATAAATTAGTCCTGCAAACTATTCATTATCTCTGCTAACATCTGCATGGCTCCCTCCATGGGGTTCGTTTAACTATGTTATCTCAGTGGTAGAGATCTTTTGAGACATTTGTGCAAGCAAACTGACTTCTACTTTAAATAGAGCATCTTTCAGATCAGATTGCAATTTTGCTTCTAAATAGTGTAGATTTTTGTGCCCTGACAAAGCATGATTGATAGACAAAGCTAGTTGCCATTGGTGTTCCCTCGCTTAGAAATGGCCATCTTCCTCCATGTGTCTTCATTTTATTCGTAGAGGTGTATATAGAAAGAAGTACTTTGGCCTATTGGACGAGACAACTGATTCTTCAGACAATTGTCTGGCGTCCATTCCAGCGAACGTCCGCAGCAAAACCAGAAGTACCAGAACGGGTTACTTCCGGGTTTGCCGCATGCGCAGAAGCACAAACCGCTCTGTGTGCGTGCTCAGACACGGCGCTTTGCCCTGCATCCTTTTCGGCTAGCTGCCAGGGCTCTGGAATTGATCCCGGTTGCAAAACAAGGTATGACTGTATCTGGAGGGAGGGCTGATAGTCCCTAGCTCTATAGGGGTCAGAGGCTATCTTAGTGGAGCAAAACTCCTACTGGCTACTTGCTGTACAGTGGTACCTTGGGTTACAGACGCTTCGGGTTACAGACGCTTCAGGTTACATACTCCAATAACCCAGAAATAGTACCTTGGGTTAAGAACTTTGCTTCAGGATGAGAACAGAAATCATGCGGTGGCAGCAGGAGGAGGCTCCATTAGCTAAAGTGGTACCTCAGGTTAAGAACAGTTTCAGGTTAAGAACGGACCTCCAGAACGAATTAAGTTCTTAACCCGAGGTACCACTGTAACTGCAAATGTCTCCCACTGGGAACAGAAACACAGTCAGTTGACCAGTGACAAGGTCACTGTCTGGAATTACCCATCTTGCATTCTACAGGAACCAGGCAGATGATGCTATTGGTGCTGGAAGAATAGTCCTGGTTAGCAAAACTGCCTTTAAAAAACTGGCTTTTGCTTTTTAATAATTGCTGCTACTTTGATTTATGTGTGTTTAAAAATGGTAATTGTAGTAATTTTAAAGGTAACTTCATTGTTTCACAGCAACTAACTGATATTTTTCAAAGTATCAAATTTAATAGTTATGCTAAAGTATGTTTTCTATAAAAGGGACGCGGGTGGCGCTGTGGGTAAAACCTCAGTGCCTAGGACTTGCTGATCGTAAGGTTGGCGGTTCGAATCCCCGCGGCGGGGTGAGCTCCCGTCGTTCGGTCCCAGCTCCTGCCCTCCTAGCAGTTCGAAAGCACCCCTAAGTGCAAGTAGATAAATAGGTACCGCTTTATAGTGGGAAGGTAAACGGCGTTTCCGTGTGCGGCACTGGTGCTGGCTCACCAGTTGCAGCTTTATCATGCTGGCCACGTGACCCGGAAGTGTCTTCAGACAGCGCCGGCTCTCGGCCTCTTGAGCGAGATGAGCACGCAACCCTAGAGTCGGTCACGACTGGCCCGTACGGGCAGGGGTACCTTTATGTTTTCTGTAGTAATATAGCAAATATTTTTTAAGAAAATACTTGACTGATATTTGACCAAAAATACTTGATGAATAAAGCAAAGTTATGCACTCTAAAAATTGACATACCATATTTTTTGTTCTATAAGACTCACTTTTTCCCTCCTAAAAAGTAAGGGGAAATGTGTGTGCAGCTTATGGAGCGAATGCAGGCTGTGCCGCTATCCCAGAAGCCAGAACAGCAAGAGGGTTTGCTGCTTTCGCTGGACAGTGATCCCTCTTGCTGTTCTGGCTTCTGGGATTCAGAATATTTTTTTTTATTCTTTTCCTCCTCCACAAACTAGGTGCATCTTATGGTCTGCGTCTTATAGAGCGAAAAATACGGTAATTAGTGTGTGATTTGAGTCACATGACTTTTACTATACTACTTGAAACTTGTTCCTTCATTATTCACAGATGGCCTATCTTCTGCTGATCCCAGTTCTGACTGGAATGCCCCTGCAGAGGAATGGGGAAACTGGGTAGAAGAAGAAAAGACTCATTGCATTCCACAGCTTGAGGAAGCGCTATCTGAGGCACAAAAGGTATTGGTATGAGATCTGTTGGAAAGCACATGGAATTAGTCTGATCCTAAAAATGCTTCTTAATTTTTAGAATTTTTTTAGAAAAGGTGGACTAATACCATAGACAACTGCTGCTTTCTTGCCATTTTTCTGTGCATTTAATATGCATCCTGATTCTCTGTGTTAAAAACATAACTGAAATGGATTGGAAAACAGACATAGTTTAATTTCATTTATTGTAAAGAGGCAGCTTATTCTAATGAAACATTTTCTGTTCTTTTTTGTTTTTATATTAGGCTTCAGATGATGAGAAAGAAAAGGCAGAACCAACTCTGCAAAGTACTGCAAGTGGTAAATCAAAGAAGAAGAAAAAGAAAAAGAAGAAGCAGGGAGAAGAGGCTAGCTCTCCTGTACAAGTGAGGCAGAATATTATTATTGCTATTATTATAGATATATTTATACTCTGTCTTTTTACCTGATGGTGGTTCTGACCAATAGAAAAGAACTGCTAGAATGTAATGAAATTGAAATATTTTCCTATTCTATCATGAAACGCTTTATCAATCTTTTAAGCAGAGAGGAGAAAGTTTAATTGCAACTGATTTTAGATTACAAAATTAGGTATTTAAATTCTTGTTCATTACACTGATTTGATCTTGCAGCAGAATTGATTTTACACAATTAGAAAGAGTGGTTCAGGTTCCTCAGTATGCTTTGTGTTTCTTTTTTCTGGGTAGGATGCTGATGACCTGGAAAGACATGCTGGAGAAGAATTTCCAGAAGATACCTCAAAAGTTCAACAAGAGGAGATAGCTTTCTCTTTAAAGACCATCAGCACTAGTGAACAAGCTGAGGTATAGATAAATAGATCTAGGTGCTCATCAGGCATACTTTCAATACTTACAATCAACAAAAAAGCACCCATATTTTTGAGGGTCTAAAGGCTGAGGTATAATTTAACTTTATAAACAAAAAAGTATTGTTCCATTTCTCAGGGCCCTTCTACACATGAGCTCCTTATAGATCAGTCTAGACCACAGCATGCCATGAACACAGATCATACCCCTTCCAATCTGCACCCCATCCCGAGAGACGAGGGTAGGGTGAGCAAGGATTACTCACCTCCGTCACTGGTGTTGTGCAATGCCAGGTCTATAGGCAACAAAACCGCCACCCTGTGAGATTTCACCTCGAAGGGGGGCGACCTGGCTTGTGTGACGGAGACCTGGGTGCACGAAGGGGAAACTGTTACCTTACGAGAGATGGCGCCCCCGGGTTTCTCCGTCCTCCACCAGTCGCAGACTGTGGGCCGGGGGGGGAGGGGTGGCATTATTAATCCGGGAAGATTGTTCTTTCCGGGCTCTACCATCGCCATCGATCCCCGGCATTGAATGTGTTGGCCTAGTGTGGGGCTCCGAGGTGAGCTTGGCTGTCTGGCTGTTGTACCGGCCACCTAGCACACCAGCAGCCACCCTGTCAGGCCTGCTGGAGGCGGTGGCCGGCTGGGCCTTGGAGTTCCCTAACCTATTGGTATTGGGGGACTTCAACATCCATGCTGATGCCACTCCCTCCTCACAGGCTCTGGACCTGGTGTCTTCCATGGCGACACTAGGGCTCTCCCAGTTTGTTTCGGGCCCCACACATCAAGCAGGCCACACGCTGGATTTGATCTTTGGCGTCGGTATAGATGTGATCATGTTTCCTTCGATGAAGGTTCCATGGTCTGATCACTACGCTCTGAAAGCCAGGATTGACATTCCACCCCCACCCTGCTTAGGTGGCGAGCCGATTTGGGCTCGCCCGCAGAGGCTAATGGACCCTGATAGATTCCGTCAAGCCTTGCAGGACCTTTCTCCCCCTGGCGACTCATTGACTGAGCTTGTTGAGGGCTGGAATGCCCAGCTCCTGGCAGCCATCAATGAGATCGCACCTAAGCGCCCTCTGCGACCCCGCAGAAACCGGGCTCCCTGGTTTACCGAGGAGCTCCGGAAAATGAAGCGGGACCTCAGACGGCTAGAGCGAGTATGGCGGGGTGCCCGTGACGGAGCTTCAAGAACATCTTATAGGGTTTTTATGAAAACCTACGAGATGGCAGTGAAGGCCGCTAAGAAGTCCTACTTCTCAGCCTCCATTGCATCCGCTAGCTCTCGCCCGGCGCAATTATTTAGTATAATTCGGTCTTTAATGTCCCTCGAAGGACAGCCAAATTTAAATAACAATTTGACACACAGCTGTGAGGCATTTGCAAGCTTTTTTGCAGAGAAGGTCCTGTTGCTCCGCCATGACCTCCCTGCCAATTTGGATACAATAAAGGAACTGGAGACCCCTCGACTGTCCTCGGGTCCAGTATTGGACCACTTTGACCGGATATCCCCAGCCGATGTGGACAGACTCCTCCGAGCTGGAAAGCCCACCACTTGTCCTCTCAACCCATGCCCGTCTTGGCTGATTAGAGCGTGTTCAGACGAGGTGTGGGCCCCCCTGGGGGATATCATCATTTGTCCCTTGGCACCGGGACATTCCCAGGGGAACTGAAGGAGGCAGTGGTGCGCCCGCTCTTAAAGAAAACATCATTAGATCCCTTAGATCTATCCAATTACCGCCCGGTTTTGAATCTTCCATTCCTGGGTAAGGTGATTGAGAGAGCGGTTGCTGAACAGCTTGGTAGGTTTCTGGATGAAACATCAGCTCTGGATCCATTCCAGTCCGGCTTCCGCGCTGGTCATGGGACCGAGACGGCTCTGGTCGCCCTAACAGATGATCTCCGCAGGCAGCTGGATCGAGGCGGGTCGGGGCTGCTGATTCTTTTAGACCTGTCAGCAGCCTTCGACATGGTCGATCGCGAACTCCTGGACCACCGCCTTGCCGACGTGGGGATCCAGGGCACAGTCCTTCAATGGCTGCGCTCGTTTCTCTCTGGTCGGGGACAGAGGGTGGCGCTTGGGGGGGGAATTGTCATCGCGCCACTCCTTGGTGTGTGGAGTGCCCCAGGGTGTGATACTCTCCCCGATGCTTTTTAACATCTTTATGCGCCCCCTCGCCCAGCTTGTCCGGAGTTTTGGTCTGGGCTGCCATCAGTATGCTGATGACACCCAACTCTATCTGTTGATGGATGGCCATCCTGACTCGGCCCCAGACACACTGATCAGATGCTTGGAAGCTGTGGCTGGATGGTTACGTGGGAGCCGGTTGAAGTTAAATCCTTCAAAGACAGAGGTCCTCTGGCTGGGACGGGACGATATGGGATTGAGGGGGCAACTCCCATCTCTTGCGGGGGTGCAATTAGTGCCAGCACCGTCCGTTAAGAGTTTGGGTGTAATCTTCGATACCTCCCTCTCCATGGAGGCGCAGATTGCAGCTGTAACAAAGGCGGCATTTTTTCATCTCCGCCAAGCTAAGCAGTTGGTTCCTTACCTCTCTCGCCCTGACCTAGCCACTGTGATCCACGCGACGGTCACCTCCAGACTGGATTATTGTAACTCGCTCTACGTGGGGCTGCCCTTGAGACTGACCCAGAAACTCCAGTGGGTGCAGAATACCGCGGCGAGACTCCTTACGGGGTCTTCGCTGCGAGATCACATTCATCCGGTGCTATACCAGCTGCACTGGCTCCCGGTGGAGTACAGGATCAGGTTTAAGGTGCTGGTTTTAACCTTCAAAGCCCTATACGGCCTAGGACCCTCGTACCTACGGGACCGCCTCTCCTGGTATGCCCCACAGAGGAACTTACGGTCTTCAAATAAAAACATCTTGAAGGTCCCAGGCCACAGAGAGGTTAGGCTGGCCTCAACTAGAGCCAGGGCTTTTTCGGCTGCGGCTCCAATCTGGTGGAACGCTCTGTCACAAGAGACAAGGGCCCTGCAGGACTTGACATCTTTCTGCAGGGCCTGCAAGACAGAGCTGTTCCACCAGGCCTTTGGTCAGGGCGCAGCCTGACCCCCTCCTCTGGCAATCTTTACAGAGCTTTAGTTTATGGTTGCCATCAATTTTGATTTTAATTAATTTTTATAATGTTTTTATAATGTTGCACTATTTTAGTGTTGTTAGCCGCCCTGAGCCCGGCTTCGGCTGGGGAGGGCGGGATATAAATAAATTTTATTATTATTATTTTTTATTATCATGTATACAGCAGGAAGAAGTATACATATGCAGAGACATCTGTTTGGCCTCTGTGGGAAAGGGGTTTGGGATTCACCTAACAAGCCCTGTCAGTGGAAACCCTGAACAAGGACTTTTGCTTGTGCAGTGGGGCTTTCCTTCCTCCCCCCCCCCCCAGCCACCAAAATAGACTCCCAAGAGGGTAAGGAGAATCCCCAAAAGACTTTGTGGGGAAAGGAGACGGGGAATCAGACCATCTGGCAAGTTGCAATGTTTGCGCAGATGGATTGTACGTCACAGTGCAGCATAAAATTCCGCCCGTAATCTTTGGACTAGATGGGCCTTTGGTCCAACCCAGAGGGCTGGTCTTATGTTCTTACATTTCTTACTTTGCCATTCTTCCCGAAAGAATATCCTTGCTTATGTTACTAGTTCTGCAGAAATCCCCGAGCTGAATCTCAGTGTCAGGCATCTTCAGTGACAATTTTTTTATTATTTAACAAGACCCAGCTATTTAAATAGTTTTCTAGCCATTATCCAAGGAAATTTACACTAGTTATAGGTCAGTTGTAATTTGTTAGCTTTACACTATTGTGTCTGGAAATGATAGCTTCTCATTCTCCTGTTTTGTCACTTAGCCCAAATGAAACGTTAAAAATGCACTCAAATGTCTCGACATCCTCTGTTATAAACAGTCATAATTAAATGTTGCCAAAAAGTCTGTATTCTAATCTGCAGTTTTTATTTTAGCCTGAGGAGATGCCCTCATTTGCTGTTTCTACTGAGCCATCTGTAACTGTATCAGAGAGTGAATCTGACAAGATAACTTCCCAAGTGCCACAGATGCTACCGGAGACAGAAGTTCCTATTTCTAATGTTAAGCAAAACAGTGTGCCTCCGCCGCAGAGTAAGTAATTTCTTCCTCCAGGTGCCTGCTAGACTCAGTGGGAAGTACTCTATTTTCATTCAACCAAATGGTGGTTGTATCAAAACAACCAAGCAGATCTTTTTGCAGGTTATGCTTATCCCTCATAGGCATGATTCTGAACATTCAGCATCCATCAGTCCCGTTTTTGAAACCAATGGGATTTGTATGCACTATGAAAACGTGTTATTTACAGATTTATGTGTTTGAGCTGTCAGGAGGCTGGGAAATTGAGGGTCTTCGTTTCTTGATTATTTTCCTGCACCAGTATGTCACAAAATGAAATTGGCATGTGACACTTTGCCTATAACGAACCACATTTGTGAATGGAAATTGACTTCCCATCTGAAACCCTACAGTCAGCGTAGACAGAACTGGGCTAAATGAACCAATGGCTTGACCCAGCGTAAGATAATTTCCTGTGTTTATGTAGGAAAATCATACCATACTGAATGTCACCACATCAAAAGCCATACCAAGACAGTTCTCAAGCCGTGACATTACCTAGATCAGGCATAGGCAAACTCGGCCCTCCAGATGTTTTAGGACTACAACTCCCATCATCCTTAGCTAACAGGACCAGTGGTCAGGCGTGATGGGAGTCATAGTTCCAAAACATCCGGAGGGCCGAGTTTGCCTATGCCTGACCTAGATGTAGAGATAGAGATGTTGCCTTAGTGGAATTTCTAATTTTTGCATTTCCTTACCTGAGTAACTCAGTAGAATGAAATGTATGATGTAGAATGAAATGTATGATGAAGAGGTTAAAACAGTTATGATTAAAGCAAGATTTTTGTTATAATATACAATTAGAGGCATGGGAACGTAATAAATATTATTCAAAAAAATGTATGAATGAACTGTACATAAATATAATTGACAGTAAATATTCTTTATTCTTAAACTTGTAGCCAAGTCTGAAGAGAGCTGGGAGTCTCCCAAACAAATTAAAAAGAAGAAAAAGGCCAGAAGGGAAACGTGAATTTTCTGAGATGGACGTGTGTTGCAGAAACACTTGTCGTGAAGATTATGCTGTTTATGCAATAATTTGTGAACCTGTACAGAATTTTATATAAATTTCAACAGATTTTTTTAAAAACAAACTGCTTTGAACACAACCATCTTTAAGAACAGGAACAGAAGGAAAATAAGTTGGTGGCATAATTTAACAGGAAATATGACAATACTGGAAGACACATTGAAGAGTCTATTTCAACATATGGGGAAAGTAATTATAAAAAACAACTTGTCTTTACAACAGTGCCCTGTTTACAACAGATTATCTCTATTTTACGTCCATTGGAGAAAAAGGATTGGTCTTAAAATTTCCTAAATCATCTGTAAAACAGTGTCACTCTGAGTAGTGTCCATTCTGAATTTCTTAATGCCTAAATCAAAGAACTGGTTAAATCTGCCATATCTTTCTAATACTTAATGGAATGTGCTAATTATAAAGTTAATTATAAGTACAGAGAGCCTGGAGTCATAAATGCTTGCTCTTGAATAGTCCCCCTGACTTAAAGGAAATATTTCAAAATAAGTGGGAAAATTATGACTAGAACCGTTCAGTAAAGTCATTTCTGTAGCATAAGAAATGTGGTTAAGAATGCAAAACTTGCAGAAACTGTTATGAATTAAGAAACTGAGAAAATTGGTCAAAACTTGAGCATGGTTCATGAAGTTGCTTCTGATTAGTCTTCTACTTGAATTACTCAAATAATATATTTTTAAGAAGGGGCTGTATGCTCCAAATCAGTCGTGTTTTATTCCTTTTTAAGGTAATAGGTTAGTTGTTGCCCTTAAAATTTTATTCACATTAATTTTGAAGTTGTATTTCATGTCTCTTCCATGTCCCATTTTTATTTTTATTAAATGTAATTTTAAAGAAAACTTCCATAAACTCTTCAGAGATGTGGTTGAGAATGAAAGAGGGAAATAATGACTTCAGACAGCTTTAATTGATCTTGAGACCACCTGTATCAGGAAGTGCTTTTTTACTGCCTTAACCTATGTAGAATCTGCATCTAGAGTTCTTAAATGGGATTAGTGTGTTTTGTATTTTTTAAAAAATCATGCAAATATAGCAATTGTAAAACCAACTTTCCTCTTGGAATTATTGATTAAAACGGGAGTTGAGCTGCATCATTTCAGGCACTGTGTAATTACATCACATCCAGCAGGCAGGTATCTATCTATGAATAGTGCATGCTCAGCCATGTACACTGTATATAGCCTTTACAAAATGTTTGTGTGTGTTTTAAAGGACCATAATTAACATAACTTGGTGAGCATCTATTAAAGAAAAGCAATGATTATTTGATGTGATTGGCTTAGGTTTTTCATGTGGCAGAGAAATTGTAACAGCTATAACCGATGGTACTTACTGACTCTCCCATAATGTTTCATTGTCTAAATCAGAAAATTTGGTAAAAATTTAACTTGCAATGCAAGAACAATTAAAGCAACAAACTGGATTTAGTTGTATTGAAGACAAGCCTTATTAATTGATAGTGTTCCTAATAAACGAATACTAATGTCCACAGGTATTAACTCCTGTTACAGGAACATGGCAGATGTTTACATGTTCAGATGTTTTGTTTAATTCAGTGACATTTCTAAATCAATTTTGTTAAAATAAATTGAGCAAATTGATAAGATTGTGTTATTTAGTAGTATATAGTACGTAGACTGTCTTATTGAGAAGACACAAGTGTCCATGAAATTACCGAATGTTGAAATTTGATTTTCAACAATGATTTTTAAAAGAATGTTGAACATGTGAAATCATGTATGTTGTAAATTCCATTCTTCATCAACACCTACAGAGTTCAACCAATTTCATCCACTGACAGTATTAAAAAAAAGTTACAGCCCCTCTCCACACATGATCAAATGTCAGTTTATGTGAAAGGTAGAGAAATGGTAACCGCTATTCATGAAATGTGGTGGGCAATGCCTTTGCTTATGTGATTGGCCTAAGTAAGTGTTCATATATTATGTAGAGTCATTAAATCATGTTTGCTAATTCACAAGAGTTCACCACCATCCCTCCTATTTAAGGAGAATTGTTGAATGGGAAGGATTTATATACATATCTGCTTGCAGGTCAAATGCAAAGTCAGAGGCATTTTAATGTGTTTTGACAGTAAAGCTGCTTGTGTGAGGAGCTCACAAATCAGTGTGACCCAGCTACTAAATGATAGTGTAACAGTACTCTCTAGCATCACAACTTCGGTCACAACCAGTCACTTGCAATTCTAAACCTGCTGTTGAGCAATTTCACGGCATCCTTGCAAAGAACCCTTGTGCTCAGTCAGCTGTGGACAGTTTCCCTACGAACTGGAGATTCTTAAGAATTAATTGGGTTGTCTCTTTGGTGTTACTTTGAACACCAACTGCTGCTTTCAGACTCTGCCCCAAAGTACAGTATTTGTTTTTGGAAATCGGATTGAAACTTGTAAAAATTGAAAGTTCTCAATACCTGTTTTTCTCAGTTGTCAGTACTGGAACACTTACCTCTGCAGAGGACTGTAACCTAAAATGTCCTGTTTACATCCACTCCAGTCCTAAAATTGTTTTTCAACTGACATGGGTTTCTAACAGCAGCCTTCAGCTTTACTGAAGGGTGATGTCTCTGTGGATTTCCTCCTATCCTCCACCTTTGGAATCTTAAACTATGGAACTATAGGCTTTCCCTCAAATTTTGGTATTGTGCTCCAACTACGGCTGAAATCAGTTAACTATGGAGATTGTAAATATTTCCCAGTCTCTGCAGCTTCTGGAGCAATGCATTTTTGAAGTTCTAGAAAAGCACAACGTTTGAGTCCATAAAACCTAAATGTTCCTGCCTAAGTAGAGGAATGTCAGCAAGGCACCAAAATTTAGCAACCAGAAAATGTAAAGACGGGAATTTTCTACTTTGCGCAATTGGAAATGACCTTTTTTCCCTCAAAACAAAGTTGTATTAATATGGAATGTACACTTTACTTATATTGACTAACTGTAGCCTTCATGGCCAACTGCGTCCAGATAACCTTTTATGGGGCAAACACAAGCAAAGCAGCTAACATATTCTCATTAGTAAATGCATGGAATGTTTTTCAAAGATTAATGTGGGTTTTGTAACTTTTGAAATTGTTTGTATGCACAACTTTACAAAAGAAAATGTGATATGTGATTGGGTAGTCATTGCATGCTTTACTCTTGACTTTTCGTTTGGTTGTCTTGGGGAAAGTGTATAGAATTCATGTTTGTTACAAAGTTGGCTCAAGGTGGATGAAAACTTTGTTTTTTAAAAAAACAAAAAAATTACAGTAGACAGACATTATTTAACTATTTGCTAAAGAATATTATACATTAAAATTAATTTTCAAAACTGTTCACAGAAATACCTTTTTAGTGTTGCTGTTTGCCGTTTTGGTAACACTATATTCCTCTGCTTTTTCTATTGAATTTAATGGGGCTTACTCCCAGGTAAGTGGGGTTAGGATTGCAGCCTTAATTTTGAAGTCTTCATATCTTTCAGACCCAGAGTTTAACACCAACCTGCATTATAGGACCTGTGTTTTAATTCATCATCATTATTTGTTTTCCTTTGTTTAAAATAAAACCTTAAACAAGAATTGGGGGTTGGTGGCCATTGTGACTATTGATCCAGCCCATTTGACGTAGGGACTCAATCCACTTCTGTGGAATAATTTGAAAATATATTTTAAAGCACTTTGAGTGTGGAATCAGAAGACTGCTGTCAGTGTGACTCCCTACTTTAATTGCTATAGATATGTATATCCTATAATGTGGCAAAAAAAACCCACAAGAAATTGCAGGCAGGAACAGGAAATAGGTGCCAATCACAAACTTTTAGAAGTCAGTATCACATCTTCAGTGATACTTTGCAAGGCTGTGAAGAAGGCATTTCAAGTCCCTAGATAGCAGCACAGAGTTCGTCTAGGACCTTGGTTGGAAAGATGTTATTTGCATGTTGCAGAAATCTCTGAATATGGAGCCAGTTATGTAAATAAGTATAGCTGTGGTTGCATGTTGGAAACACGTCATTTAAAAAGCTGTGTGTTTTCTTTAACTTGGAACAAACACAGCTGACATGACTGCAGTGCATTTGTTTGATTCTCCATCAGGGGAGGGACTTCATCCTCTGGTAACAAATCTGTTACAGTAAGAGAGAAGACTTTAAGCTGGTTGCACACAGCTGCCCAAGGTTGCAGAGAGGTAACTGAGTGGAAGAAGACTGGTAAAACGCTGGAAGATATGGAGGAGCAGATCTCCCCTCCCAGTTCAAACTCACTAAAACCATATTGTTGCTAAATAGCTTGAATGCTTGTGAAGTCATTGAAATATGTTATGTCTACTATTAAGTACACAACAATATTTAAGCATCTAAATGAGAGTGCAATACCCTCAAAACCAAAGCACAACATTAAAGAAAGTGACTTGTGGATACAGCTAGCTTTCCTTGGCTGCATATGCAAACTGCAAAAACAAAACAATCTCTAAATACAAGCCCAATAATATTGTCAATGTTAAGAGAGTTCCTAGGGGGTATGTGAATCCCACATATTTGACCTAGAACTAGGCTGTTTACTTACGTATCAATCTACATCCTTCCACCCATCAGTCCCGGGTACAATTATCCTTAGAGTAGCCTTTGCCCACCTGATGCCCTCTGAATGCTGGATGACTCCCATTGCAGTCTGACAACATCCTGAGCACACTGGGTTGGGGAAGTCTGCTTTAATGTTAAGATGTACCATTAAAGTCCAGCATTTGCGATAAGAATGGTAGCCTACAAGTGAGAAGGGAATTTGTTTCTGTTTCAGCTGTGTTGGTTTTTTCCACTGGTGGCTCTGCAAACTCCCATCTTCTGATACTATATAGTTTTCTCTTGTTCCCTGAATTCCACATGTTCTTTATCTGCACTTAGCTTTGTGCCACCATTGGAAAACTGATTAACAGCCCATATGCAGGAGCTTATTGGAAGTCAGTGAAATTTTTAGCAACCTTTGTGCAGGATTGCAGACCTCGGCTGCATCCCAGCATATAAATTAGTGGGTAATGATTTGCAATCCCTTTTCAGGTTTGATGCTTCCATGAGCCCTTATTATGACTCTGATCTTGGTTTGTGGTGGCTTGGATGCTTCATTCCTATTCATGTATACACTCAGCAGTCAGCTAGGACTTGCTTAACCTCCATGGGACTTAAGCAGGAGTTAAACAAGTATAAGATGTGGTCATTACTGCTGTCAAAAAAAAATGCATCTTTTCTTTTGCCCTCACATCACGACTCCAATCCCTGAAGCACTAAATAATCAGTATTCCAGGGACAGATTTATGATTTTTGACAAGCTGTGATGCCTGCTTATGAGTAATCTAAGGCTGCAACCCTACAGTATACACTTAATTGGGAGAAAGTGCCATTTAACTTAATGGGCCTTCCATTTGAGAAGTGTGCAGATCTCTGCTGTAATCCTCTTTAGAAAGAGCACATTAAAGCAATGCCCACGTTTCAAATGGACTTTGAAAAGTGGCCAAATTGTATTCTATTTCAGTGGAATTAAAACAGGATTTATAGAGTGGCGTGCAATAGATCTTAAAATGTCTAATTTTTCATCTCTCTTTATTTCTGCTATCAATCTTCCACCATTGAAAGGGTCCTTGAATAGCTCCTAGGAGGTGAATTGGCAAACAGTGGAGAGAAGCCAAGAACTCCCTCTGTTTCTATAATCAGCTGAACCAATCCAATCAATCTCTTAAGGAGGGGGGGGGGAGAATCTATGAAGCTCCAAAATAATTAAAAGACTTCAATCTTCTCCTGCTTTAGAACAGGAAGCCCTGCTGTCTGTGTTTGACCTTGTGCGCTTGTCTGAACTTCCTGGTGGAGCAGATAAGATATGAAAGGTTAAAAATCTTTCAGCACTGCTTAGAAATTTTAATATAAAGGCAGCTTTGGAACTGAATGCCTTTTTATGCTTCGAAAAGCGAAATGAGATAAGGGAATAAAATATCCGATTACCTGGGATTCAAAAGCTCAGTCAGTAGAGCACGAGACTCTTAATCTCATGTTTGTGAGCTCAAACCCCACATTGGGCAAAAGATTCCTGTATTGCAAGGGGTTGGACTAGATTACCCTCCTGGTCCCTTCCATGCCTTCCAGGTGACCTTCACTGTTATTCTTTGCTGTAATTCTTTGCTTCCTTACTTTGGCAGTAAGTCCCATGAGCAGCAATAAGTCCCACGATCAGTATACATGCATAGGAGTGAGCTGGGTTTCCAAGCAATGGTGGTATAGAGTGGGAATCATAGGAATCTTTGAGCCGAAGACAATGCTAGTCATAGGCGGATTTAGGGGAGGCGCAGAGCCTCAGGGGTGCTGCAGGAGGCGCCACAGCTACGATGTAGCTGGCAGGGGCCTGCCCCTCTGAGATTTGAGGCCCCAAAGTCTGTGCAGGTGCACACTTTCACTGGGGTGCATAATTTGGGTCTAGAACTTTGGGGTGCAAAACAACAGCTCTCTGTTCATGCAGGTATTTTGTATGGGAAAGGAAAGACTGCAGCAGGTCTAGGGAGCAGCACCCTTGAGAGAGAAAGAGAAGATCACAACATCAAAAGGTGATTTCTTTGATGACTTATATTCCAAATCTCTCCCCCTCAGTAAGCCTTCAACCAACAACCCCCCCCCCACGCACAGAGCGCAGCCTTTATTCCTAGTCCCTTCACCCCGCATTTAATTTTTAACAGTTAAAAGGACAAAGCTGCTTCCACAGGGACCCCCTTGCAGTGACTCTATGCTCTCGATGCTTTTAAATTTTGACCAATTTCACAGCCAGTCGCCCGGCCATCCCAGCGGAAGCGCCTCCGGCCTAGAGGCGTCCCTGCTGTTTTCCGTTCTTTCCGATGGCGACGCAAAGACGCCGCAGTTTCCTAGGGGAGCCCCTTTAATTTTAGGGGCGGCGTGGAATGGACTTCCCTCTGCAGCGCAAACGTGCGCGCCCGCCTCTCTTTTTGTCAATGGGCCGCGGTTCGAATCTTCCCACTCCGGCATTCTCATTCATTCCTCCGCCCGGCCTCCCTCGGGCGCGCGCTCGGAGGCTCCGCCCCTCCCCGCTGGCGTGCGGGAGGCCCGATGACGTCATGGAACGGAGGTTTCCTCCTCCCTCCTCCTGGCGGTATCCAGGCGCTGCTGCAGCGCTGGGGGAATTCGCCGCTGAGCTGCCGCCGGGACCGGAGCTGCCCGTCTCCTCTCTCTTTCTGTTGCGCTCCGCACCATGAAGATGATGAGCTCCCCCTGGGCCCGCTTCTACTCCAACAGCTGCTGCATGTGCTGCCATGTCCGCACCGGGACCATCATCCTCGGCATCTGGTACCTGGTAAGGAAGGGAGAGGCGAGCGGGGCGCAGGCACCCAAGGGCTCCGCGGTTAGGCTCCGGGTTTAGGGCCGCAGCGGCGTCCAGGCTGCGGGAGGGGCCCGACCCTGCGCAACTCGCACACCCGGGTAGCAGGTGGGTGGAGAAGCGCTTGCTTCCCGCTGAGAACCGGGCCCTGCGGAGTTTGCTGGCTTACCCGCCCTCAGGTTCTCCCAGCAGCAGCGAGGAAGACTGGGCTGTCCGCTTCTGGTACCCAACTTGCTCGCCCACCTGCGCCTTCTGCCTCTGGGCACCGCGCGGGGGGAGGTGGGGTCGAGGCAGCCCGGTCCTCCCTGCTGCACATCTTCCCGACGGGGGGGGGGGAGGCTGTGTGCTTTACATGCACACACACACACACACACACACACAGGCAGAGTAGCCCAGAACCCAAATCTCTCTGCTCCAGCGCCGGGAGAAAGGGGGAAGCAACTGGAATCTGGAAAGAGCCTTGCAGGATTAGGCCCGTCTTGTCCGCCATCCTATTCTCACCACGGTCATCAACCCAGATGCGCACAAGCAGATGGCAACGTCTCTCTCCCCGATCGAGAATACCGTACTGCCTCCGACCCTGTGTAGCCAGCGTGGCTTCTCCAGGAGTATACGAAACCCTCCATTTTAATATAGAAAACCTCGCTTGCTGGCAGTGCCCACTATACCTGCCACCCTGCCAGAGAAAGGACAGGGAGTAGGCAGAAGGATCTGCCTGCCTTCTTCACCTCTGCCCTTGGGGGGGGGGGGCACGGCAAAGATGGAGAACCTGTGGCCCTCTAAATGTTGTTGGAGTCAGATTCCCATCAGCCCCAGATGGCTAGTGCTCAGGCACGATGGGAGCTGGAGTCCAGGTTCCCTGTCCCTGCCCTGCCAAGAGTGGACAGGTGAGCCAGTGGAGGGAGAAGTGACTTTTTCTGGCAGCAATCGCTTTCCTGTTTGCTATGTGCCGTCCACAGGGAGAGGGGGAGGTGGGAGTGCAAAAAGGCAGTGACTGCTCCTCCCACACCTTTGCACGCCCGGTCACAGCCACTACCTTATGTGCCAGACTGACACCTCCTTCTCTACCTGCTTGCCCTCAGTCTCTTTGTAAGCCCAGCCTGAACTTCTGCTTTACTGGGAGAGCAGGCTGGTGGAACCTTCCAGAGAGAACATGCATACAAGAAGCAGCCAACCTCTTTACTTTTTTCTTGCACACAATCCTTGAGCAACCTAGCTGGGCTCTGTCCTCCTCACTGTGCCACTGAAGAAGGAAGAGGAGGCAGGCAGGCAGCAGCTGTTGCCGCCACTTGCTCACCTGTGCTCTCCCAGTGGCCAGCATGGCAGGCTCAGTCATACCACTGTACCTCCCAGATGGAGCATGCGGTTGAGAGGTAGTAGCGGCCATTTTCCGGGAGTCGACACACATTTGCCTGCTTGCCCCAGAGAATTATGGGAGCTATTGTACTCCTTATAGAGCTACAATTCCCAGGACCCTTAAGAAACTACTGTTCCCAGAATTCTTTGGGGGAAGTCATATGCCTTAAATGTGTGGTGTGGATGTAACCAAAGTTAAAGGAATCCTCTTCCTTTTTTCCCCATCTGTGGTAGCTTTTCATGGGGTGGGTGGAATTGGATGGCCTTGTTACTGAAGTCCGGCTTACTGGTGTCAGAGTGTTTCATCTCTAAATAAATTTACAGAAAAATTGTATCTTTAAAAAATATCCCAACATGGTGGAACGTTTTGCTGTCCAATAGGGGCCCAACACATGCCAGCCAGCCCAGCACTCGTAATCTCAACAGGAGCATTAAGTTGACGAGAGAGAACAAATTTTGCACTTCGGAAATAGTAATACTGAACATAATTTATTAACCTTTGAGGTACTGCATTTAGTTTAACAGCAAGGACTGCGGTGGAGAAGTTGAACCTACCTTTTGTAGCACCTAGCTCCAAGTTTAAGCTGTGACGTAGTTGGTCAAGTCTCTTCCTATCCCCATTTTCTATCGGCCAAAAGGCAATTTTAATGACACACGTTCCTTGTTTGCTTTGAAAATTGTTGGGATAAAGATTGTAAAACACTTTGTACAGTGAAGTGCTACGTAAATAATAAATTGTAGTAATTGACACTTGCAACTGATGGGCGGTGTAGTCCAGCAGTATTTGGAGGTGATACAGGTTTCCCACACCTGCTATATTCATGATGTTATTTCTGTGACTGCAGATTGTTTTAACATTGTGTTTTAATGTTGTAACCCACACTGGGACCTTAGGGTGAAGCATGGGTACACAATAATAAAAATAATAATAATATACATGTCCGTTTGGAAGCATGTATATTGACGTCAATGGGCCTGGCTGCTGGCTGTTGATGTCAATGGGCCTCACTCCTTGGTAAACGTGTATTGGATTTAGACTGCTTTTTGGTTTTGTTGCCTGGTGCTTTCTTTTAAAGCTCCTGCAAACCACTTTGGATATTTTAATGGAAAAGTGGCGCTTAAATATTTTCAGTGCATAAAAGAATAACACAGTTACCCTTTGAATGAGCGTCTGGGTGTACATCAAAACCCTAAAATGTATTTTATATAATTAACTTTTTATTTCTATTCTTTGTATATCGTATTGTTGTTTTATTGCTATGGCCGATGGCTGACACAAATAAAGATTCATTCATTCATTCATTCTGAGTGTACATTTGAGAACTTAGTTGTAGTTGTGTGCCTGGGTCAGGAGTGGGGATCCTGTGGTCCCACAGATGATGTTGGACCACAACTTACCTCAACCCCAGCCAATGTGGCCAATGGGAAGGAGTGATAGGAGCTGTATGCCAGCAGCATCTTGGAGTCACAGGTTCCCCACCTCTGGTCATCATGGTACTATATGCTGTATAAAAGTCCAAGGGGAAATGAGTGGAATTTTTTCAGTTTTTCAGCTCTTATCTTTCCATCATTTTTTAAATAGTATTCCTATATACCAGGCATGTCAAACTGCTCAACAACTTTGGTGAAGGCTCCCCCCCAAAAGCTCAAGCCAATGAGTAGATCACTGCCAGTTCTTTGTAGTGGAAGTAGTTCACAGTCTCTTAGGAGTTGGACATGCCTGCTGTATACCAAGATGTTCTTGACTGGGGAGGGGCGGGGAATTGGTGCATAATAAGCAGTTACACTTGCTTTCCATTTCTCAGCTCTTAGCGCACAAAAATGGTGGCATGTACTTCATTATAATTCCCTCCCCCAACCAAACTTCCTTCCCTACACCACTATATTATTATTATTATTATTATTATTACCACCACATTTATATCTTACCTTTCCTCCAAAGATCTCAAGTAGTATTCATGCTTTTCCTTCTCCCCATATAAGCCTCACAACAACCCTATGAGGTTGGGCTAAGCTGAGAGACATTGACTGGCCCAAAGTCACCCAGTGAGCTTCATGGCTGGGCGGGGATTCGAACCCTGCTTTCCCAGGTCCTAATCTGACACTCTAAATACTACAGCATGCTGGCCGTGTGGTTTGGAAAGTGCCAAACAACAAGCCATATGGGTGGCAGATTCCATCACCCTGCCTTTGGTAACTGCACAGTAGCTTCTACTGCAAAATACTCAGAAGTTAGCCCCATTGGCTTCAGGATCCTGAGGCTGCAATGCTATGCACACTTACTAGGAGCAAAGAAGCAGAGGTCTGCCCTGTCTGTTGCCATCTTCTCTCTGTCTCTCCACACTCATGCTCCCTTCCATTATCCTGGCTCTTTGCCTCCTGTGTTGGCTCTCTGCCCTTTCTCCCTGTAGTTCATGCTACTTTTGTGGAGGGATGCTGACTTCAGCAGCTAATGCTGCTTTTCAGAAGAGGAGTTTATTTCTGGAGAGCTAACACCCTAAAGCGATGTATTATTAGCAACGTAATTCTTTATAAGATACAGTAATTCCCTGCGGCTGCCACTGTTTGTAAAGCCCACAGGCAGTTTCCTTGACAGACGGGCCACAAAGTATTTCGAAGTGCAGTACAAAATGGAGTATATGAACTGTAAAGAAAATGCAGAATTGAATCCGAGGTGCTTTAAAAAAATAAAAAAATAAAGGAACTTCTTGGTTTTTTTTAATGTTTGAAATTTTGTGTTTTGAACACCACAGCATGTTTGCATTTGTCTTTAGCAGGCTGCTGTGAAGATGGATTAACTGCACGGCAATATAAATTAAGATGAAGGTTGTTTCCCCAAAACTATTTGAAAGGGAAGGATCTAGCCTGGATAGCTCAGTTGGTTAGAGCATGGTGTTGATAACGCCAAGGTTGCAGGTTTGATCCCATATGGGACAGCTGCATATTCCTGCCTTGCAGGGGGTTGGACTAGACTTCAGGGGTCAGTAAACTTTTTCAGCAGGGGGCCGGTCCACTGTCCCTCATACCTTGCAGGGGGCAGGACTATATTTTGGGGAAAAATAATAATGAATGAATTCCCATGCCCCACAACCCAGAGATGCATTTTAAATAAAAGCACACATTCTGCTCATGTAAAAACACACTGATTCCCGGGCTGGATTTAGAAGGCAATTGGGCTGGATCCGGCCCCCGGGCCTTAGTTTGCCTACCCATGGACTAGAGGATCTTCAAGGTCCCTTCCAACTCTACGATTGTCCACCCCTAATCCGTCCCAGACCAGTTGAGAAGCAGTCGTGCTCATTAGCAGAGCAAATGCTTTGCATACAGACTGTCCCAGGTACAAAGCCTGGTATTCTCATTTTTTAAAAAGGAATAGTAAAAAGCAGTAGAAATACTGCCTCTCTAATCCTGCCTTTTGTTTGAGTAGCACCCCAAAGCCAACTTTCCAAAATGCTGGGGAGGGAGAAGGAGGAGGAGTAAGGGACGTTTGCCTGTTAATAATATAACGAGCATAGCTTAGTGCCACTTGTTCTGCATCTTAATGACATTTCCTCAGATGATCATTGCAAGGCAGATGCCTAATCTTCTTTCAAAGCCATCTAAGCCAGCAGCCATGCAATTAACGGAGGAGGGAAGGTCTGTGTGTGGGTATGACTTAGCTATGACCACGCAATGGAACCTCCCATGTTCGGAGCCAGTACATCTGAAAATACCAGGCGGTGGGGGCACACAAAAGCAACACTGGTTGATTTGTGTTGGGTTAGGCATTTGGCAATGGGCGAGAGCAGCCTGGGAGGGACCCTTCACATTGTGTTGCTGGGTAGGGAGGGAATAATCCCCATTGGATTCAATGGGACATTATGGGCAGTAGAAATATATAGGATTGGAGATGATGATGATGATGATGATGATATATTATTATTATTTATACCCTGCCCATCTGGCTGGGTTTCCCCAGCCACTCTGGGAAGCTTCCAACAGAATATTAAAATACAATAATCTATGAAACATTAAAAGCTTCCCTAAACAGGGCTGCCTTCAGGTGTCTTCTAAAAGTCTGGTAGTTGTTGTTCTCTTTGACATCTGGTGGGAGGGTGTTCCACAGGGCAGGCACCACTACCGAGAAGGCCCTTTGCCTGGTTCCCTGTGACTTGGCTTCTCGCAGTGAGGGAACCGCCAGAAGGCCCTCGGTGCTGGACCTCAGATTCCAGGCAGAACGATGAGGATGGAGACGCTCCTTCAGGTATACTGGACCAAGGCCATTTAGGGCTTTAAAGGTTAGCACCAACAGTTTGAATTGTGCTCGGAAATGTACTGGGAGATATGCAGGGCAGAAGGGAAATCACTTTGGATATGCTCAGCAGCACTCCTCTTAACTTCGCATAATGAAAGGACCAAGTCAATATCTTGGGGTGCAATATGAAATATACATAGCACCTCATTAGGTCTAGAGAAGTCTGCTACATCCTGCTACGCTCCATTTGTTTATAAAATGTCTTACCCACTTTTCATTATAAATAGCAGGGAGCAATACCAGTAAAATCATTCAGTAAATAGCCAGTAAACCAGGCAAAAGCGCGTACACAGTGAAATAGCTTTTTTTAAAAAAGTACAGCAGGGACACATCCTGGGTTAATAAAAGCCTGTGTGAATTGCACCAAAAGCTTATTCAGAGTGGATTCTTCAGTACAGTAGTGGCATCTGTATCCACCATAAGACTTTGGATGAATACAGACTTACTGCATTAACATTAAACCAGGTTTAATTTCTCTCTCCTGTAGTTTTAGCTTCTGCTTAAATCCTGAAAATGTCTACCAAAAAATACACTTTTTAAAAAAGAAAAAAAGCCTGAGGTTCATTTGAGAGCAATATGCCACATGGGAATTGGAAATTCAGCAACAACTTACTTGGTTCTGGAAGTCAACGGGGAGCAAAAAATAGTTGGAACAGACCCAGTTTCTGTTAGGGTTTGGCATACCTTGTTGGCATTTAGAATAATCTACTTCCCAGAAGCCAGTGACGACATTTTTCTGGGATTCACAGTTAAAACCGACTATTGTCTTTGCTGCCTTGTGTAGAAGAAGATCAAGCAGGCGTTGGAGCCAGGACTGCTCAGGACTTTGCATTTCAGCAGTGACATCATTGAAGATTGCAGTTGGATTTACTCATTGAACTTTTTCCTTTTTCTTTTTTTTTTAAGCCTTAGGAAGCAACTGTAGATTTTGAAGATGAAATTGACTTTAAGACATTCCAACTAAATAATAGGAAATTATATATACGCAAGACTAAATTAACAATAACATTTTCGAAATCCTATAGAACCGTTGGAGTCCCATTCACTTTAAAGTGAATGGGAAATTGATTTAGCATTTTCAATTAATATACGAAAGCTAAACAAAATCGTTGGCAGGCACATGTGATAGTGTATAGAATATTTATAGGGTTGGGAGAGAGCCCTCCTTCCTCCTCCTGTCTGTCTCATTTTGTTAATGCATCTCTGTTGTAGTTGTAAAGACTTAACTTTATGTTGTAAAAGGTTTTCTGAAGCTTTTTCTAGAATGGCACAAGTTTACAACCTTACAAATGTAGATGGAATGTCTGGCTTGAGAGCAACTGGCCTCAAGACCCCTTTCTAAAAAGCTTTTACAAATATTTATGAATGAACATTAGAGATGTAAAATAGGGAGGTGATGGTCACATTTGTATGAAATAGGGAGATTAGGGTTAGAGTTATACTGCACTTTTAGCATGATTCATGTCAAGAATATCTTTTAGTCTGGAATGAATCTCTTGTGAATAGAACTATTTTGAAAGCAAACGTGTCATAGTAAAAAAATAGTTTGACTTACAAGTGTGTTATATGTAAAAGCATAGACAAACACACAGAACTTCCATGTATAAACATCCTAAAACTAATTCAAGGAGACTAGTCTTTACTCTTGGAAGGGTTATAAAAAAAATTACATGAAAATGGCCTTTCAATTAATCATTTTTATGAGAGCAGCCTAACTAAAGCCGATCAGGGTTGTTCAAGATATAGGTAACAGAATAGAGATATCGGAATCCCATTTATTAGACTGGTGTTTCGATTGTGTATGTGCAGTGGGAATATGTTTGCAGAATCTCAGATGGCAGCACAGAAAATTTTGAGCACTGTTTCTGTAGCAGTACACAGCAGTTGTTGAGAAATGTTTGTTTTAGCAGTTAGAATCTGCAAAAGTGGGAGTGGTGGCAGGGAAGGAATAAATTGGAGGGCTAAGGATGGATCACCATGGGTACTGAATACCAAGCCACATTGTTCAAGTATTTCAGAGTTGTCTGATGAGACTCTTGTCGCTAAAGAAAGACACCCCAGTAGATCTTTTAACATATCTATTTAGTTCTAAGCCAAATTAGGCCAGGAGGCTGCCTTATATCAAATCAGACCATTGGTTCATTCAGGTCAGTGTTGTCCATTGTTTGATGGACGTCTTCCAAGTCCAGCCTGCAGGTGCCAGGATTGAACCTTGATCCTTCTATACCTAAGGCATGTGTTTATCACTGAGTAATGGCCCATCCCTTCTGCTACAAAGTTACGCTCAAAATATGGATAGCTGTGAAATTGAGAATGGTGTCCTATATAGATTCTCCTGGATAGGAGAAGACTGCTAATGCAATGAATTTAAAAGAATGCTGTGGAGTAAGCAGATGGGATAGTCAGTCTGTCTGGCTATGACCACTCAACTAGAAAAGCTTGTGCCTTCTCTTTATTTTATGAATCACATTTAGGTCCCACCATTGTTCTGCAGAGTTCATAGTGGTGTAAGTTTCCTAGGCAGTCTCCCATCCAGACGCTGTACAGCCCTAGGCCTGCTTAGCTTAAATGAGGTTGCTGCATCACGTGCCTTTAGGCTAGGTTTGCCAGTATCCTCCCTGGGCTTCAAGTGGATGCCATAGTTCACCCTCACTCTGGAATTCTTGTGCCCTTCTCGGTCCTGCCTTTCTGTCTTTGTCACCAACGAGCATTGATTACTATCGCTGCCTGGCCAGTAACAGTACCCGCAGTTTGTGTCCTGGCAATTATATAGCAACAAATGCTATTGTCTTTCCGAGAGAAATCGGATAGTGTCTGCTTTGTCTTCTGTCTGCATGTACAGCATGCAGAACAACTGTCTCAGGCAAATTTTTCCATTAAGTGAATTTTTAGAGGTGGTTTTATTCCACAAAAGAACCTAGCCCCGCCCACCTTTTAAAGATCGTGGGTACAGGGTTCAGTGCTTCTCTGACTGGGGTGAATGTTGCGCCATGAAGGCACATTCTGAAATGTTAGTGCACAGGCATTTTTTTTAATGGATTGCTTCCTCTGAGCCTCACGGTTCTCCAGCTTTGGCCAACATCCAAATGTTGTATTGCTGCTCCCAGACCATTTGGAAACATCGCAAACTGTGTCAGACCGTTGGTCCAGCTAATTCTCCAGTAGTCTCTACAGTGGCTCCTCAGGGTTTCAGATGGGGGTGGGCCTCTCTCAGCCCCACCTGGAGATGCCAAAGATTGAAGCAGATGCTTTGGCACTGGGCTATAGCCCTTCCCTATACTGGCTGGGGCTGGTGAGGGGTGTAGTCCGAAACTTCTGCAGGACACTAGGGCAAAGGCTGTCCTGGAGCCAAATGGGCAGCCAGCAGCCCACCAGCCACATGGAGCCCTTGGCTCAATCTCACAAGAGTGGGAGTCTCTGTTAAGGAGAGCCAGTGTGGTGTAGTGGTTGGACTGGGACCTGGGAGACGTTCCCATTCAGCCACGAAACTCACCGGGTGACCTTGGGCCAGTCCCTGCCTCTCTCAGCCTAACTAACTTTGTTGTGGGGATGAAAAGTGGAAGGAGACAGCCGTGCATGCTGTCTTGAGCTCCTTGAAATCAAAGGTGGGATAAAAATACGAAAAATAGATAAAACAATAGAAGGATGCTTGGGCTTATGGATGAGGGAAGATGGAGCCATGGGAGGGGAAAGGAGGCTTTCTACATACAACCAGACTTCTAGTAAAAAGCAGTCTGCCCTTTTCCTTGCCATCCACTGGGTTTCCCCAGTAGTGCGTTGGCAGGAAATTTCGTTTAGGTCCTTGCCTCTATCCCAGCTGTGCCTTTCCCCCTTTTCTCCACATCCCTTTCCCCCATGTGACTACACTGGTACCTCGGGTTAAGTACTTAATTCGTTCCAGAGGTCCATTCTTAACCTGAAGCACCACTTTAGCTAATGGGGCTTCCTGCTGCCGCCACGCCGCCAGAGCACGATTTCTGGTCTCATCCTGAAGCAAAGTTCTTAACCCGAGGTAATATTTCTGGGTTAGCGGAGTCTGTAACCTGAAGCGTATGTAACCTGAAGCGTATGTAACCCAAGGTACCACTGTACTGTGTTCCAACAGAGCACTGAAGATTGTACTTTTAAATCTGTCGTGCCTGTAAGCACACATGATTCTCATATCCCTTTTTCTGTTCACTGTCTTGGACTTTCTGACAGCTGAGGGTCCCGTGCTCCCTTCCCACTGCTTGCTTCTTAAACTTCCTTTTTTTAAAGTTTCATGGATGGCATAAGCTTATCTATATCTAACTGGTCACAATTCCTGGAATGCCCGTGGGAAAGACACTGCACATTCCAGTGTGACTCTGGTTGGGATGCTGCAGAATAGCTGCTGCAAGTTGTTGCTTTCTTTTGTTTTTTGTTCTTTCCAAAGCAAGGAACAAAATACTCCATGGCCACCTTTTAAAATTAAGCAAGCTGCTACCTCCCAACAACGTTGGGGAATTTTCCCCTGCTCCTGATCTTCAAGGGCATCTTCGTCCTCCCATGAATGCTCCAAAAAAGCTGGTCTGCAAGGTTTTGCTCCACTCTCCTGGAGATGCTTCAGCAGCTCTTTGAGGGCCCCACACCTAGCGCAGAAGCAACCTGTGCCAAAAGGAGCTGTCCAGCAATTCAGCTTGAGCTCGCTCTTCTCTTGCAACCATGGAGGGTGCTCCTGCTCATGTTTAATTTGAAAGGGAACACAATAAGGTCCATGTGACTGGGGTGGTTGAAGAAATCAATCACTTAGTCAGATGTCTTATGGGTATAAGAACAAAAGCAGAACAAGTTGCAAAGTTTTGCATTTCACTTCCCCTTGACTCCTTTTGTTTTGGTGCATGGGGACGGGGGCAGTTCATAGCGATTCAAGGTTGAAAGCGAGACTAAACATGAAGTTCTTGATAGTGTGTGTTTCTACTTGTTTGAGACTTAGCTTGTGCCAGATCAGACTGGTATCCTTCCCCTGTCTGCTTTTAAAAACAACTCTGTGCTACTGATTTTTCCCTCCCGATCAGGCCACTCTTCCAAGGTTTTGTGAAGCACCCCTTCTCTCCTCCCTGCTTTTCTTAAACAAATTGGCGCCAAGTCCTCTACCAAAGGCTTCATTTCCAATAGGAAGTTGCAGCTAGTATTATAAATTGCTCCTCCTATCCTCTTTCTATATTGAACACTGTTAAATTTGGGAGATTCTACTCTTTGTATTTCAGGCATGATGTGAAGGCAGGAAGGAACAAGTCGTTCCAGTGCCTGGTGCTTCCTGTTCTTTTGCATTCTTCTTGTGTCCAAGATACGGTTTTCTCACCTTCCTCTCCCAAAATGATGCACAAGCTATCTCTAAATTGGGGCAGCTGAACCTACTGGGCCAGGAGATAGAATACTGGTTTATTTCAGATGTGAAGAAAAAAAGGAATAGGCAAATGTTTGTTATTCCTCTGCATCTGAAATAGAAAATTACATTTCCAGATCCCTCTCTAGGTTTGTATAATGCCTGAGGTTGCATTTGGAAAGGCTTAACGTTGATGCACTGATCAATGATGCATTGATGAATTGAAATGGCAAAATACACTTATAGCAATGTGAGTTGTGAATGGTGCACATACCTGACATATGGAGATGGTGGTCCAATGCTTTCCCCATCATCATATATTGATAGATATTGCAGGGACTCCTGACAGTTTCTAAACATGTGTACACCATTTTCAAATGATAGCACCACAGTTGTATTTTGTTTTACAATTTGGGTAATTTTGTGCCTGAATTCGCAAATTAATGTGTCAACCATCCTTTCTCAATCCTGGAATGTAGTGCTGTTTAAAACCGGTTGTTTTTGTTTTGCATATCAGGGGACTCTTTGTGATTATGTTAAAAATAATTAAATATTTACTTTGGCAATTGTGTTGAATAACAGCCCACCCTGCCAAGAAAGGTTTGCAGTCCAAAAGGATAAGATGCGAAATGTTTGCATTGGCTCCATAATGAACCTGAAGGTACAACCATAGCTGGGGTTTTTATTTTAACCTGGAAGTAAGTTCCATGGGAAGCAACAAGGCTGGTATCCATGTAAATGTGTGTAGGTGGGGATGCTTGCAAAAGCACAACAATGTGATTTATCCAACAGCAGTCCTGTCCTGCCACTCATGTCAATCAATGTGGAGGTACTTGGAATACAATATACATTTCAGAACGAAGGAAAAGCCATATCCTCCAGAAATTGTCTAACTGTCTTTTAAAGTGAGCCAAGTGTCATGGTTCATCTACGTAATGCATGAAGCAATAAAAAGAAAATAATGTTATTTGATCATGTGCAGTCTTTCCTGCACCACTGAACACAACTAGCTGCAACATTCACAGAAGGACAGAGGGCATTACAGCCAGACACCTTCTACTTTGGAAACTGACAGCTGGGAATTTCATCATCAGTTAAAACGGTTGTAGTGAACTGAAGGACAATTAATAATTATTATATAGTGGTACCTTGGGTTAAGAACTTAATTCGTTCTGGAGGTCTGTTCTTAACCTGAAGGTACCACTTTAGCTAATGGGGCCTCCCGCTGCCGCCACGCTGCCACTGCACAATTTCTGTTCTCATCCTGGAGCAAAGTTCTTAACCCGAGGTACCACTGTATAAAGATGTCTGGGCTTTGTTATAGGAGCTGGAATGCAAGTTTTGTCAGGGTTGGGATCACAGTTGGCAGAGGAATGTGGTGTGCATGATATTTTTATGAGCTTAGTAGGAATATATATTTGACTAAAAATGATACGTGTAGTGGATTTCTTCCATAACCGCATTGTTGTGATGTTCAGGGCCACTTTACTTGCTCATAGCAGCAGCTGCTGGGGAACCCATAAAAGTAATGTCCACAGGCCCATAAATTACACAGGCATTCCCTCGCCTTAGCTTTACACATGCGTAGAAAGTAAGTCACGTTCCCATAGGAAACATTATCGGAGCTGGGTGCCTGATTCGCAACAAGAACAAGTCGCCTACTTTCAGGCTAGCTCAAGTCCGGGTTTTTCCTGTACAAACGTTCTTGACACATTCTTAATACAGTCTGAGGTAAGCATCTACATCTTCACATGTAGGCTATCAATCAAAGCACATACTGTAATTTCTACTTTACCTGTCCCTTCTCAGATTTAAGGTATTTGTGGACAAATGGGTATATAGCTACAGCATGCAATTCCAGTGCATTATTACGGCAATCCCTTTTTAAAACTAGAATCATAAAGTGCATCTCTGAGAGACATGAAGTTTCAAATACAGTCTTAGACTAACAGCATTGAAGAGAATGCTGGAATTTTGTCTTTGCCTTGGGGTGGTAGAGCTCTTGCTAATGATCAGCTGGAATTTAAATCTTTCTTTTTAAGGATTAAATGGCTCAAACCGCAGCTGTTTCTCACATAATTCTTTCCCAGTGTTATAGAAGACAGAATTTCTGCTGAGTGACGAAGTAAGCTGAACAATTTTTTACAACTGTAGCATCTTTTTTCTTCCTGTCTTTAACCAGTTAGTAAAGCAGAACTCTGTTGTCTTTGTCCATGGAGTTTTCTTGGCAGGGATACTGGAGTGGCTTGCTGGTTCCTGCTCCAGGTGGATCACGTTTGGTCAAAACTCTCCACTATAACCTGTCCATCTTGCGTGGTCCTGCACGGCATAGCTCATAACTTCTCTGAGTTATTCAAGCCCCTTCGCCACGGCAAGACAGTGATCCATGGGAGGCAGTGGAAGACAGGAGTGCCTGGCGTGCTCTGGTCCATGGGGTCACGAAGAGTCGGACACGACTAAACGACTAAACAACAACAACAAAAGCAGAACTCTGGCTCGGGCTTATTTCCTGCCCGCAGTAGAATCTGGCTTGGCATGGGTCTCTCCATTTTAAAAATATGGTACAAATTCACCTTTAAAAAAAGAAAAGGGGATTTTAAAAGAAGGATACACAGGGTAAAGACTAGGAGGTGGATCAGTGGGTGTCGCTTGTCCAGAAAAAATTCAGAATTTACAACAAAAAACCTTAGGAAGCAAAGTACAAGCAGTGCTTGGTAAAGGATGTAGGTTTCATTGTCACCTCTGTGCACAATTATCAGTAATGGATTGTGAGAAAAAGCTGCTGATATGATGCAGCCTTCACCCATTTTGCATCAAGTCAAGATTGCTGCTGCCATTTCTCCTGATGAAGAATTAATATGTCTGCTTGACTCTAGTGATTTGTGGCTAGAGGTCCTGGCTAAAGGTCACTGCTGATCTTCTTTTGATAGCCAGCCTGGGATTAGCATGTTAAAGCTTTGTAAACTTGTTGAAGAGATAGACGTCAGAGGAAAAGCAGTTAACTGTCTTTGGGAATACTGGGCATGCAGCGTTGATGGGAAATGGTGACCAAGGAGTATAACTACCTTAGCAGCTGTCTCTCATCTTCAAACTTTGATTCACCTTTTTATGTATAAACACATGGGACATTTAAACCAGAGTCTCTTCTTATCTTTATAAAAGTCCAAGTAATTTATTCCAGGTCCCAACTTATTGTAGGGCAACAGTCTGGCCTTCAACTTTCTACTCTTACATTTTTACTCTTGGTTAGCCATTTAAACGTTAGAACTGAATGTTTATTGCTTGTCAGCTAAAGGACCATTTAAAGGCTCCATGATGGTGATGGTGATGATGATAATGACAAAGGCTGGGATGTTTGGAAGGCTTCAGCCCCTCCTCCTCCGAAGAAGAAGAAGAAGAGTTTGGATTTGATATCCCGCTTTATCACTATCCTAAGGCGTTTCAAAGTGGCTAACAATCTCATTTTCCCTTCCTCCCCCACAACAAACACTCTGTGAGGTGAGTGAGGCTGAGAGACTTCAGGGAAGTGTGACTAGCCCAAGGTCACCCAGCAGCTGCATGTGGAGGAGCAGGGAAGCGAACCCGGTTCACCAGATTACGAGTCCACCACTCTTAACCACCACACCACACTGGCTCCTAATGCTACATTGCCTCCAGGGGAACAGCCTCCCCCACTTTGTGTCCCATGAATAGGAAGGTGGTGGCAGGGGCAGAGCAAGGTGGGGGTGGACCGCCTTGGGTGTCATCTCTGAGGGGGGGTGACATTTGGCACGCCGCCCACCCACGACTCCCGCCTACCCCGAGCCATCGGGGGAAGGGGGAGCTGCACCGCTTTGGCGGTGGCGTTCCTCCCTTCCCCCTCGTTTTGATAGCCCTGTGGTCCCAGGCTGCTGGAGGAGGCATGTAGGCAGGCAGGGAGAGGATGGGAAGGAGGCAGGCAAGCAAACGGAGGAGAGAAGCAGAAGCTCCCTCAACTCAGGACCCAAACCCTGTAACCCCTCAAAAAGCTCAACAACTATGGCCAACCCTCCCCCCCCCAAAAAAAGCTCAATAGCTTCTGCCATAGACAATGGATAGTTCACAGCCAGTGTTTTTATACCATGAGTAGATCACAGTCTCTTGGGAGTCCAACTAGATTTCAGTGTAGGCAGGAGTGACAAGAAATTTTCTGCCCCGGGTACCACCTGACCTTGCTATGCCACTGGGTGGTGGTACTGGATTCTGCTATGAATTTCATCAGGTCTGTTGCAAAGGACGACTTGTTGAGTGAATGCAAATTTTTATCTCACAACTGATCCTGCCTTGTGTGTTAAAAGCAGCTTAATTCACGTGCCTGCGCTCCGTCCTGTGCCCTTCATGCTTCCCTACAGATATTATGGGCAGTTTCTGTTTACAACTGAAACATTCATAAACCACCATTTGCAGTGCCTGGCACAGGGCACAGCCTTTGAGATGTGCGTCTATTTTTATTTCTGGCTCCTATTGAATGGGTTTCTTAAGCGTCTTTAAAGCACCCGGGATAAGGACTTTTCATTGTAATTACAAAGGACGCTGTGGTTTTGAAAAGTCACATGCACCAGCTCTGCAGACTGTTTTGAAGCCAGATGAGAACCTGTCAGTTTTCGCTTTAGGGATTAGCAACCTTGGGGCAACTGTGTGCCGTCTGCCATATATGCTGGCTGCTTCCTTTTGTATAATTAATGGATGCGAAGATAGGCTTCACTGTTAACTGAGAAGTATCTCATCAATGTACTGCTGGCAGAATTTTTTTTCCAGGGGATTACATAAGCACTGAATATCATTAACTAAATCCTACTTTGTTTAATTAAGCTCCCAGCCAGGATGGTGAACTTAAATTTTAGCAGTGTAAATCTCAGATTCCTGCTGCTGCTCATCTCAAACTAGCTTCCATGTTCACAACCTATTCAATGTGACACGGAGGCATTCTAACAAAAAGTTTACCAAATCCATAGTTATTGAACATTAAGCCACATTGTTCTGGCCTTTCAGAGCTCTCTGATGAGACTCCTGTCACTCGAGTGAGAGATGCCAATAGGAACTGTATTTTTGGCACGCATATGTGGTTCTAATCTGCGGTCACGTCTAGAAAATCTCCCTAGCTCTTTGTGTTCCACATAGGAAGCTGCCTTATACCAGGTCAGGCCATTGGTGCAGTCTCTCTCTCTCTCTCTCTCTCTCTCTCTCTCATTTTAAGGATTTTTTGCTTACATTTTTACACTCGTATCAACACAACAAAACATTTATCTTTTGGGGGTTCCAAACCCCTAGAGTTCCCCTTACCTCCTCCCCGGTTTCCCATCATTGCTTACTATCTTTTCTGCCTCTTTATATCATTATCTAATTTTTTCATCTCCCTTGTTTCAAAATTTACCCTAATTATATCACTGGTGCTATTCTAAGCCTGCTAATGTTTTTAAGTGTTTACAGTGCTCCTTGAGGTATTCTACAAAATTAATCCATTATTTTTGAAATCTTTTGTCTTCTTGGTGTCTGATCTTCCCTGTCATTTTTGCCATTTCGGCATAGTCCATCAATTTCACTATCCATTCTTCTTTTGATGGGGTTCTTTCTTCCTTCTATCCCTGGGCACATAACATTCTCACTACTGTCGCCGCATACACGAATAGGACCTTTTTCTCTTTTGGGATTTCTTCTCCTATTATACCTAATAGAAAAGCCTCTGGGTTTTTTTGTTTTTTTACTAAAAGTCACTTTAAACATTTTCTTTAATTCATTATATATCATTTCCCAATATGCTTTTGCTGATTTACAGGTCCACCTCCTGATAGCAGTCTCTTCCAGCTGTACCTAGAGATGCCAGCAATTGAACCTGGGACCTTTTGCAATGCAAGGCAAATGCTCTACCATTGCACTACGGCCTTTTTCCATTCCAAAATAATGCTTACCTGTGGGATCCTAGTGAGTTCATGTGCCTGGCTGGTATATCCATCTCCTAATCCCTTCTATAGGAAGCTACATTTCACTTCTTCCCCCCCCCCCCATTATTATAAATTTTATTAGTATTTTCCACACAACAACAACAACAACAACACAAAAAATATAGAAAAATAACAATACACAAAACACAAAAACCAACATTCAAAAAAACCCCCAAAAAACCCAAATCCATATCTTACAAGTTAATAATATAAACACTAAAAAGAAAAACAAACATTGACTTCCACCAATCCCACAGCACCTCCTTTACCTCTCATTGTGTCTTCCTGTTTTCCTGTTTTTCTTATCATCTCTATCCTAGCATCTAGATATAAATCCCTCTTTCTTATCCTTTCACTTCACAAGGTTATTCCAGACTCAGCTCATTTCACTTGTTCTTTAGGCTGTAAGAATTGGGAATTGTGTGTCCAAATAAGCAATGTTTTCATCTCTCTGACTATGTATAAAGAGTCGTTTTTCTGAACTGGGACAGCATACTATCACATCTTCAGTGCTTCCCCCCACCCCCAAGAGATGAGGTTTTTTAAAGCACTTACTGATTTATTTATTTTAATGCATTAAAAACCCCAGATCCTGTAGACTTTAGAATTCTGTACTGAGCAGGTTGCTTAGCAGAGATATTTGTTGTGGCTGGTGTGTGCAGCTACAAAATCCCTGTCTTGTCTTGTCGTGCTCATAATGGAATCTTGTTCTGTAGCAAAATACACTTCCAGCCTTTGGGGCACAGTCTTGAAACCAAAGCTACCCTCAAGAACAGAGAAACTGGCCATCCTCTTTACAGAAATACTCCTGTTCATAATGCCAGCCAGTCAGCCCCACCCTCTTCCTTGATACTTCATTACATCCCCACCCCCCAAGTTTTCTGATTCAGTTTTCTGATATTCAGAACATTCGGTGGCTTCTGAGCATGCTCATTCTGCATTGGGCAGGTTTCAGTGTTGATTTTTGCTCTGCAGTTTTTTTAAGCAAACTTTCTCAAGCCTCAGGGTTTGTCTCTCAGTGGTCCTGTTGATACTCGCCACCCGAGTTCCCTGTTAGAAGCGATGTGTGTGACTTTGCATACATGTCCGTAGCTGGATGCAGTTGGAGGGACATAGTTTGGAGTTGACAGAGCAGGTCAAGACACCTGACCAAGCTGGGTTCTGCTTGTTACCATTTATGTATTTGTAAAAATGTATATATCCAGCCCCTCATATGCAAGGGTGGGTCAAGCAGTGCTGCTTTTGCTCTGTGATTGATCACCCGAACTAGACACAGCACATCTGAAATAACAGATCTTGTATATCTCATGCTTTGGTGAGTCTTCTGAGACGGTTATTAGTTACAGATTTGTAACTTAAGCATTTTGCAGCAGGCAAATGGAATTGCTAAACTACATGCTCAGTGATTTGCTCAAGCTTTATCCTTTATGTAACCACAGTATAAGTCACCTTATTTTGCCTAGCAGGCAGGCAGAACACTCAGCCTCCTTTGGGTCAGTCAGCCTCCTTTAATCCATTATGTGCTAATACCGTCTGCCTGCTTGTTTGCCTGTGTGCTTGTCTCGGCTATTTCTGCCCTTCTGTGATTTATCTTTTCTTTACTGATTTCTTAAATCCTTTGGGACTGTGAATATTGCTTTTCCTGTTGGCACTTCCTGTTTATAATCACTAGTGCTGATTTAGGCTATGCTGTTCCACTATGGATGTTGGCCAGAGACTGCCATTTTGAGTCTTAGCACCATCCAGAAACCTACATATTCTTCTAGATGAATTGCTGAAAGAATCCCATGCAGCATTTAGCCTGAGTACCAATACTCCATTGCATATTTTCTTTTCGCAACATGAAGAGGTAAAGTAGCCTTCCTTGTTCCAGGGTTGTTGTTTTTTCATGTGTAGGAGTCAGATGTCCAAAGAACCACACTGCAAACTATTTTCAAGAAAGCTGCATCATGTGATAGAAAAAGGAACTTGCTTGCATTTCCATTTGCTTTCAAGTAAGCATTCCTGCTTCCCTTTCCAACTGCTTTCCTGTTAGCAGAACTACTTGTAAGTACCAGCCGGCCATTTCAAAGATAAGCTTGAGTACAATGCTCTCTATTTGTAGGGAAGTTAAATACTTACCACTGTAATAAGTAGTCTACCTGTACTTGACAGCATTCTTCAGGATGTGGTACAGATGATGCTAGTAATCTGTATGGTCCATGTATGGCTACCATTGCTTTGGGTTCCAGTGACACTAGCCAGTTGTAGAGGGGGTGTCTTTTTGTCCCCCCTATCCATGAGTTCACTGGAGTATGTGCACACAAATTCCTCAACATGCCACATGCCACAAAACTCAACATAGCACCTATTTAACCTGTTCTGTTGGATTTGTTAGTTCTAGCTCAGTTGGTAAAGCATGAAACTCTTAATCTCAGGGTCATGGGTTTGAGCCCTACGTTGAGGAAAAGATTCCTGAATTGCAGGGCGGTTGGACTAGATGACCCTCGTGGTACGATTCTATGGGGATGTATCTATAAAGAATAGGTGGTATCCGATGAAATTGTCATGCTGGCGCAATGAAAATTCCCCACCCTCTCCTCTCCCTCTCTGCCTGCCAGATCTACTCAGGAAGCTTTGATTTGAACAGATTTGAAGGATACATGATGGGGAAGGGGCAGTTCTGATACATAAGGAGAAGCCCTCATGCAAATATATGGCGACCTTTTAGGATATGCCCCAACGCTTTGTTCTGTGCAGTAGCTTAATGATGATCCCTTTTTGTGTGTGAAACAGTTTGAATGGTGTGACTTCTTTATAATAAGGGCTGAGCATTCTGCCACCCCCCTGGTCATGACACCAGTCTTTTCCACAGAGCAGTTAGTAATGGGACCTGAACTCAAATCACAGTATGGTGCACCAGGGTTTACACCTGGTGATTCAGACTCTGGTTAACCTCTTTCTTCATTGTTCCTGTGAGGTGCTTCTTGACACAAAACACCTCAAGGTGAGCCCTTTCAGAATAAGAATCATTCATGTGGATCTCTTCCATTGTTTTCCTACAAAAATCAGTTTATTATCTAGGCTTGTGATGCATAGGATGCCACTCAGAGGCCGGTGGATAAATCAGCAGTAAGTATGGTAATCACAAATCCAAGCTTATCTCTTGCAAATAGCAGAAACATGGCATTGAATAGTCTGTCATGTGGAGGGAAATGATAATAGCGTCTGCTTCTTGTTCTCCACATTTCTCTGTAGTGTCTGAAACAGAACTTTTTTTATTGTTCCTTTTCCTCCATTGTTGCATGTCATGTAAAGGTGTGTGAAACAGTGTGGGAACTGCTTGTCCATCCCCGTCTTTCCTAAATTATGTGATGTCCTGAAGTCGCTTTTAGGTTCAAATGGCATGTTAATGTCAGTAAAGGCTGAATCCACTGAATGGGGCATGAGAAGCTGAAACTCATAAATATTTCTGCCCAGTGAGGTACTTTGTGGTTCTTCGTGCTTAAAGCAGAACTGAGGTAGCTCGAACTTTCAAACTAGGTGTAACAATAGGCCCATTTGCTTAAATGTCTATCTGCCACAAAACTATATTACATGGAGATGGCATAGATAGATCTTTGGCCTAGTGGAGGGTGTACAGGTGAGAGGGGTAATGAACTCTTCCCTGCCTGCAAAACTTACCTCCCTTCCCCATCCCTGCATTTTTCTGCAAAGTAGAGTACCAGTACTAGAAATTAACGCAGCTGAGCAAGAAAAGCAGTTATGAGAAGGGTCTAGGTCACCTCACTGTAAACAGATTAAGGTCCGATGCTGGGGTGACATTGAGCCAATAAACACAGCAGAGCGGAGGAAAGTATATTTTATTCAGACTGCAGTAAGATGGTACAGGATTCAAAAGCCTGTACACCTCCTGGGTGCCCATGAAATGGTTTTATACACGTTGCTCACATCGAGCCATCAGGAGGGTAAATTGTGTTACATGCTGATTGGTTACGAAGCGTTGACGTATGCATTGGCATAGATTCACAATATTTGCACATGATTCGGCTTTTTGCGCATCTTCTTCAGTTCTGTAGTGTGTTACTTCTTTATTTGCACTATTGTTACAGGGAAATGTTCTCCTCGCTGTTCCTCAACAGTACATTCCAAAGGGAGAGGTAGCGACTGCAAAAGCACAGCAAGCAATGTGTGGCTCTATTGCCACAGGGACAGTGGCTGCTGGCTTAAAATGGCGTTTGTCTGGTTCCGATCCTCTTCACGCCCCGTGGCCTGTTTTACTCTAAAACTCAGATATTGCCTCCTCGCTGTACAGCATTTGGGTCAGGCTCAGGCAAACGGCTCTGCCGGTGTCATGTGTAGATTTGAGTTTGTCATATGCCACAGTGACCAGTCCTTGGCTAGCAGCCATGAATTTAGGAGCTTGGGTGACTTGGCTGCGATTGGTCTCGCTAGGCCTCGTCCCACAGGCAGCCACGTATGGTATCCTAGCAACAGCTTAGGGCAAGCTCTCATTGACTCCAGCTCATCAACATTATTCAGATTAGGAATCTGTGAATTGGAACATTCACAAGAATCCCAGTTAGGATTATTATTTCCTCCCGGCCATTTAGATTCCTAGAACCAAATAAAACTATAAATAGGGATTTTATAATCCACATGGACAGGATTACCGAGGCAGCATGAATAACCCATTGTTAGAGGTGACTTTTATTTCTGACTAGCAATATGCCAAGAGTAATGGCTGGCCAGGGTATGTATTTGGGGGGGACAGGGGACATAATAAGAATTTTGCCATGCAGGGTGATGGCAGAAAACAGTCCTTAAGATGTGTCTCCTTCTGCTTGTGCACCTTGTGTTAAGCTGTGGTTTAGTGCAGGGGGTGGGGAACTTTTTTCAGTCTGAGGGCCATTTGGCTAACCTACTGCAGTGCAGGAATCCTGCCCAGGGTGGGCTTGATCCAGGAGCAACCTGGTTAACAGACAGACGCACTGATCCATTGCACCACAACAAATGTCCATTTACTTTTCACATTCCTCTTTGACCAGGAAAGCAAGAAGCATCATGATAAGAGTTAGAGGGTACATTCTCACCAGGCGAAAACACACAATGCAGGTGTGAAAGCGAACTTGGTGAGGGGCGTGGCCTTGGGAAGGGGTGTGTCCTACAGAGAGTCCCAACGACCCCAAATAGGCTTGGCGTGCCCTGAGATTCCCATCGCTGGTTTAGCAAGACAGTCAGATGCAGCCCTTGTTGGGAGCAGGCTGTTTTTAAAATACATATACAGGTCAGAGAGAGAGCACACATTAGGAAAAGAAGCCGACGGATGCTTTTGTATGGCTGTGCTGAAATGTTCCCCAGTGTTCAGTATCAAAAAAACAAACTATCACACCAAGAGAGGTTGTTGATAGGATGTCCCTAGATTTGCCAAATGAAAATTTCTATTGAAATGCTTCCCATCTTTACATCCCTGACTAACATATTGCTGATTCTGCACCTCTATTGTTGTTTTTAATATGTGATATTTATTGATTTTAATATGGAATATTTATACCTCACCCGCCTTCATAAAATCAAAGCGGCTTCCAAGCATTAAAGCAGTGTCTGCCCCTGGCTAGCACGTCTTCCCTCATGGTGTGCAGGTCACCTGTGTGTGGCCCTCTAGCCTTCTTTATCTGGTCCTTGAGACACACAGGTCACCTAAACACAGAGTGTCAAGCCAGGAGTTTATATGCAGATACTGCTTTTAATTATTGGTAGCTGTTTAGATTTTATGAAGACTTGTGAGATATAAATATTCTATATTAAAATCAATAAATATTCTATATTAAGAACCAGAAGTTTTCCATACCTAGTGTATAGGAAGAAGACTGAGGGAGAAGTGTCATCCTATCAACATCATTCTCATGGTATAACAATAGAAAATACAGTGGTACCTCGGGTTAAGTACTTAATTCATTCCGGAGGTCTGTACGTAACCTGAAACTGTTCTTAACCTGAAGCACCACTTTAGCTAATGGGGCCTCCTGCTGCTGCCGCGCCGCCAGAGCACGATTTCTGTTCTCATTCTGAAGCAAAGTTCTTAACCTGAAGCAATATTTCTGGGTTAGCAGAGTCTGTAACCTGAAGTGTATGTAACCTGAGGTACCACTGTATTGTTTGAGTCCTGCTTGTGTGCTTCACATAAGCAGCACTTTGTTGGCCACTGTGAGAATAGGATGCTGTTGGGCCATCGGCCTGATCCTGCAGGCTTTTCTCATGAGATATTGTTTCTTCTATTCACTTCCATGAAATGCTGACGACGCTTAACATCAGAATTTGTTCATTTTTGACCTTCTACTTTCCCAACTTCCTTTCCCTACCCAGATCATCAACTCAGTGGTTCTGCTGATTATACTGAGCGCCTTGACAGACCCCGGCCAGTACCACTTAACAACTGCTGAATTGGGGGGTGACTTTGAATTTATGGACGATGCCAGTAAGTATACGTCATTTCATTAGTAATTTACAAGCAGATCCCCATTAAATTGAACTGGTATTGTGCCAAGACAGCACTTTGAGAACCAGGTTTAGAATTTGCACAAAAAAGAAAGCCTTCCTCTTTTAAAAAAATAAAAAATCTTTTGACAAATAAGCAGACATTAAAGATGAGTTTTGCGGAGAGGACTGCAACTGAAGCTGATTTATTGAAACCGGCTACCTTGTCTTTATTCTTGGAGATAACCTTGACAATGAAAGTCAGTGTAGGTTAATATAGCAGTTGAGGGAGGAGTTCTCCAGGTGCACACATTTTTTAAATGCTCTATTAGGCTCGACACATTTTGGAACAAATCCTTTTTTGGAGATGGTCTTCAGATAACAATTTTCAATCTGTTTTGTGAACTACGGTTGCTGCTTGCAAGTGGTCACATGGAAAAAGCCATTCTAGCAGGCTGCCGTTGAGGGAAAGGAAGGAAGCAGGGTCATTCCATGGGCCTTGTCCTGCCCTCCCTCCTTAGTCCTTTTTCCTTTTGCATCCTCTCTTTTAGCTTGTAAGCCCAGGGACCAATTTGCATCTTCCATTTATTTATTTTATAAAGTGTATACATTACTTGATTGTAAAAAAACACCACAACAACAACCTTCAAAGCAGTTTGCAAAAAGAATAAAACAATAAAAAATTGGTTAAAAGGAGAGTTAAAAACTACTATATAAAACATTCAGAAGAATTACCGGTAATCAGTGATAAACAGATGAAAACCTACTTTCTGAAACCTACCCATTTTTTAACTCAAATTTAATTTTAACCCCACTCCCCCCCCCCCCATCACACTTTATGTCAGCACAACTTAATAGGTTTGAGGTATGGTTTCCCTTGATCACATACATAGTCCAACAAGACAACAACAAGAATCCACCAACAGCATACAAATCAATCTGGCTAACCTGATTAGAAACTACACACACACACACCCTCTCAAACACAGAATAAATTCTCACTACAGCCAACCAAAGACAACTAGCCACCCCCTCAGCCACCCCCAACCTTTCTCACCACCAAGGAAATACAACAAGCAAATAGTAAGAGAACTAATACAAGTAACGCTGACACAAAACCCCACACATACACTAAGTAGAAGAGCAGAAGTATAACCACCAGCCCCCATCCCACTTACCATTCCCCCCTCACCCTCTTTCCCCCTCTTTTCTTCCTAATCGTTTAAACCAATTCATGAACCAAGAACTCATACATTGGCCGCTAATAATGAACCATATGTTTTAGATATTACTCCACATTTATTATGCTCTTTTTGTGATATACAAATGACATCAAAAAACTTGGTATACTTATTTGTATAACATTATTCCTGTTTATAAAACCCAATTACAAAAAGAAGACGAAACAGATGAAAACACATATCAACATTCTACATATTTGGGTAGACTTCTCTAAATAAAACTGTTTTAAGCACCCACCAAATAGAGCACAGTGAAGGAGCCTTCCTGATGTCAGTAGGCCAATAAGGAGATAGTTTCTTATAGTGCAATCCCATATGTGTCTACTTGGAAGTAGATATCAATCGGACTTACTCCTAGGTAAGTTGTTATAAGATTCCAACATTAGTGTTATCACAATAGATGGTGCTTTTCCTGTTGAGTTAATCAGAGCTTTTATTACTCAAGTATATTTTATTAATTGAATAGTTTCATTTATCAACTTTCCCTCATTCCCCTGAGTGCCCATGTTTTGGAAAGATTGATCAGCAATACATAATATTAATGACTTAAAACTGTTTTTTTGTTTACACTAGTAGGGAGGTGAAAATGGAGACATCCTAAAACTGGCTTATAAAATGTCCCGTCAAAAAGAAAACTTTGAAGTACTCCTATCGAAACAGTAAAAAATAAATTAATTAAATGGTCAGGGCTCTAGTACTTACTGTACTTTTGTTTTGCCATTGTTAGTAGCCAAGAACATTATTCATATTTGTGTTCCCTTGGAAAGTATTGTGGTGATATCATTTTTGCTTCTGGGTGCTTGGTACTCAGTACTAGCCCAGTGTCAATTTATTTAATGCAGTTTGAGACATAAGGTCCCCCCCCCATCATCTGTCTGCGTGTACATACAGAGCTCAGAAAATAATACTGCTAAAATGCTGCTTTGGGGCTGGGGTGCCTTGCTTCATTCAAGTCTTAGGCCAAACTAGAGGCCATCATCACAGCTGCCTCCGATCATAAACTTTAAAAGAAAAGAGTAGCATTCATGTTCCCCTGCAGCTCATTCCAGAGCTCACTTGCAGCTAAGTATGTGGCAAAAGACACGGCTTGAGACAAAACAAATGAGGAATGCCAAATGTTTAGGGCAAATCATATAAGCTTACATTAAGAACATCACTATTGAAAGAAAAGGCAAGGACATCAGCATTCATGGCACATTATCAAAAAAAGAAAATACACCACTACCCCCCCCCAAAGCAAACAAGGACACAGATATCTGGAAATAGCTGCACACACCATCACAAAGCTAGACACATCCTAGACTTTTAAGTCCTCCAGCAGAGGACGCTCATGTATCAGAGGAATGCTGACACTATCAGAACTGAGGGAGAAGTGATTAGGCATGATACAACTTACTCTGAGACCAAAGGCAATCCAGTTTTGTCTTGTGCCACTTCTTTCATACTTTTTGAACGGCGGTGAGTCTTCCTTAAAAGAGGAGGAAAGGAATCTGATTCCTGCACCCTCTGATAGTGCACACATTCTTCAGATGTGTATCTTTTGCTTCCTTCTGCTAATTACAAATCAAGTGTTGCATATTTTGTCAGCGTTTCCTTGCCACCTCTCGAAAGACCTTGGGATTAGAATTAGCTGAACCATTTCACCATGTACCAAAGATTGACTGGTTGTTTCTTTCAGATATGTGCATCGCTACTGCAATTTCTCTTCTTATGATCCTCATCTGTGCAATGGCCACATACGGCGCATATAAGGTAACACATGGCTTATGGCCCCTTATTCATTCAGTCGTAACCATCCCTGCATAAAAATTGAATACATAAAGCTGGTAGACAAAACAGCTGATAAGTTTGTGGGGAAATAACAAGCTGTCATATTTACAGTGCCTTAACTGGGCATGTGGCCAACATCATGTGAAAAAACACCTATCCCTCCAAACTCCCATGGCAGGGCCAGAAGGGTCTTCATGTTTGCAGCCATCTGCCTGTTAAGGCATTCCAGATGCTAGAAAATATGTGGAAATGTCAACACAGGGGTGCCATTTGGGGAGAAGGGGTCATGATATGACTGACTTTTAATCTAAGTCTAATGAAATATTTATCTTTGTGATATCTCTTTTTCCTTATAGTTTGGTTCTTTTGTGAACTGCTTTGAACTCTCTGGGAAAGTAAAATTAAAGTGTGTTAGAATTTTCTAGATAACCATTAAGTTTCCTCTTTCTCTCTCTCTCTTTAACATACAGCAACATGCAGCCTGGATCATCCCTTTCTTCTGTTACCAAATATTTGATTTTGCACTCAACACCTTGGTCGCTATTAGCATACTTGTGTACCCAAGCACAATTCAGGATTACCTCCAGCAGCTGGTAAGTCCCTTTCCCCCATTATTCATTGCTGTCCTTGAGAAACTAAGGGCAAAGCTTTGCAGCACAGTTTGTTCCTTTGTTCTAAACAAAACCCAAGGGAGGTTTGGATGAGTCATGGTTCTTATCTGCCATAGTTTTGGCTTTTGCAAAAACTCTAATATTCACATGTGAAAATGCCCCAAAGCTTTTATGTCTGTATCTAACTAACCCAGTAGCCGATTAAGTGCTTCTGCTAGTGCAAGGACTTCTTCTTGTGTGGAGAACTCCCAGAACAAATCTAGGGCATGCAGAAGTACCTGGTGACAGAAGAGGGAGGAAAAGTTCTGTTGCACAGCCAAAATCCTTGGGCTAGCAGAAGCGCTTCATTGAATACCACCCCAAATCTTAAAGAACCTTACGAGGTATCATTAGAAAAGTCAGTCTGACTTTGTTACATTTTACCTGCTTGAGCATAGCCCTGGGTTTTAGAGCATGTGCAGAGTTCCTTGCAGAAGAGAAGTCCTGGGAGAGAACATCTTTGCCTCCCTGGAAACATCTGATCAGGAGTCCAAAATGGAGGCTAAAGCCTCAAATATTTGTGGGACTCTTGAGATCAGTAAAAACTGGTATCTGTTCTTATTGTTATTTTGCCATTGACCCAAGCAAGTGCCATTTTTGGTGTCAGTGGACCTTTGGCTGACCATGAGGTTGTTCTGTCTCCTTAAAGACTCTAAACTTGGCATTACAAAAAAATATCACAGGTTCAGACCTATCAAGCCATCGTTAAAAAAGAACTTGATGATGCCTAGATGTTTGCTCAAAGACACTTTTCATACTTCACAGTGGGGGTCTGAAATCCCCAAATGCTCTAGGTGGAGCTATATAAGAATACAAGAAAATGTCAAAGCAGACCAGATTAGACCACTGCTGTCTACAGTGACTAGCAATGGCTTTCCAGGGACTCAGCAAATGTCTTTTCCATCTTTGGCTCCTGCGTTAAGCAGGGGCTTGAACTCGATAGCCTGCAAAGCCATCTTCCAGCTCTAAGATGGGAGATGCCAGGGACAGAAACTGAAATCTTATTGATTGCAAAGCACCTGCTCTACCTTTATGGTTCTTCTCCATTTGACAGCAGGGAGAAATGTATTATCACATTGTTATATTACACATTTTTAAAAATCGCATCATGGTATTATACATTCAAATGTATTATGCCTATAGATATGTCCATGGATCTTTACAAAATACTAATTTTATAGCAACGTTGCTTTAAAATATTTATTTATTTCGTAAAATCTATATGCCACTTTATTGAATACAAAAATCTTCAAAGCCATTTAAAAAATACATTTTAATGCATTTGGATACATTTTGTGAGAACTGCATTAAAAAAACCTGGAAGTGCAAAAGTCCTAATAAAAGAATGTGAAATGTAAGGCTATTGTGCTATGGACTGCTTCTCCCCCTCTTTAAATCATTGAGCGCTGGAAGTAGACTGACACACAGTGCAATCATGCTTCATGATGCATTATAAGGCCAATGTAATTATGAAGAGGAAGAAGGATTAAAAGAGACAGAACGCACACTGCTCCTTGTCCCTTATATTTAGTTTTGCTCTGATCCTTAATTGCCAACCTGGTTACCATATGTGGACTTGTTTGTTTTAAACCCACAAGAATGCTGAATTAGCTCATAGCAGTCCAGAGAACAATGGAATAGACGGAAGAAGGAAAATAATGCAGCGCAGAATTTCTGTTTCTGTCCCCTCCAGAGAAATGTCTCTTGCTTCTTAATTCCCACCCCGTTCTCCATTGGCATGGGGTGCTAAATTCTAAATTATTTTATTTATTTTCTTCTGTTTATGAATTTCTTTCCATAAAATATCTAGAATGGATTTCACAGTAAAAAAATACCAACTTTAAAAATAATTTCATATGTAAAAACAATTTCAAATCAAATAGAGATATGGACTGTGATAAAGATTAATGGCTGCATGAACTGCAATAGCTTCATCAAGCATCAAATTTGAGAAACCAGAGGTCTTATTTACAGGATCTACTGGGATTCATCGTATTAAGCACCCCATTCATAGTAGCAGTGAGCTTAATGATGTGATGCTGGAATGCAAGCACTTACAAAACACTTCACTCAAGATTTTATTTTTCCCTGTGGCAAGCGTTCTTAAAAAGCGGAAATGGCTCCGACTCCCTCAGGGATTGGAAGAGATTTGGGTTTTTGCTGAGCTTGGATCCTGGCCATTCTCCTCTTTTGTTCATTTGTTTTTGTTTATAGTAAGTGCATGAGCTGGGTTACTTCAAAGAGAACTTTTACTAATGACAGGGTGACAATGGCAAGTCAAAGTCCTGCTTGTGCCAAGTTCTTCCTTCTTATTCTTTCCCTACAAGGCTGATGTTGATACATGTTCATTACCTAGAACATACAGGAGGTATTCTGCCATGCCCTAAGACAGGGGTCAGCAACCTTTTTCAGCCGTGGGCCGGTCCACCGTCTCTCAGACCATGTGGTGGACTGGACTATATTTTTGGGGGGGGGATGAATGAATTCCTATGCCCCACAAATAACCCAGAGATGCATTTTAAATAAAAGGGCACATCCCTGACTTTTTTCTGGCCCACGTAGGACCAGTCTGGATAGTTGGCCTTGGTGAAGATTTGACGTTTTCATCCCCCAAAAGTTTTTGATTTGGGTTTCTCCTGAAATGAGGCTGCATTTTAATGTTGTATTTTAATCTTGTTTTTTAAGTTGTAGTTTAATCAGTTGTTTTTATACCTGGTGTTAGCCGCCCTGAGCCCAGTCTTGGCTGGGGAGGGTGGGGTATATTAAAAAAAATAAATTGGTTTTATTTTTATTTTTATTATTACTCATGTAAAAGCACACTGATTCCTGAACTGTCCGTGCGCCAGATTGAGAAGACAATTGGGCCACATCCAGCTCACGGGCCTTAGGTTGCCTACCCCTGCCCTAAGATTATTGGGACAGGAATCTTGTTGTTGTAATTTTACACTCTGAAGTACCACATACATTAGAGGAAGGGAGGTCAGGAGATGTCGTGATGGCACGTGGGCTGCCTGGCAAGCAAGCAAGCAAGTGGAAGCCAGGAGGAGGGCGTGGAGCTGCAAGCTGGCGAGGAGCAAAACTCTCTGCAGGAAGAGAGCTATGGGGGGCAACTTGCTCAAAGTCCTCACTGGCCAACCCTGGCACCTGTCCATAAAAAAGCAGAACTTATCTCCCTCAGCTATCACCTGGCAGCAGCCATTCCATCGGGATACCTCAGTTGGATCATTAGTGATTGGATGGCCACCTGTCGTGGATGCTTAGTTGATATCCCTGCATTTCAGGGGTTTGGACTAGATGACCCTCAGATCCCTTCCACCTCTATGATTCTATGGTTCTGTAAGTTTTGCCAAAAGGACAGCTCCCTCAAATGCTTCCTGCCTCTGAACTGTTTCTGTGCCAGGGGCTCAATATGCACCACACTACTTAAGAACTGGTGCCTGAGTTTGTTTTCTTCCTCTTCCTTCCCTGGCCCTTTCACGTATGTGTTGTGTTTTTTAGATTATAAACCTGTGGGCAGGGAATGTCTTGTTTTAATTGGCTCTGATAGCTTTTTTTGGTGGAAAAGCGGGACACAAATACTCTAATTGTGGGGTCCTTACAGTTCTGTCAGTGGTGGTAAAGAGCCGTGGACTCGTAATCTGGTGAACCGGGTTCACTTCCCCGCTCCTCCACACGCAGCTGCTGGGTGACCTTGGGCTGGTCACACTTCTCTGAAGTCTCTCAGCCCCACTCACCTCACAGAGTGTTTGTTGTGGGGGAGGAAAGGAAAGGAGATTGTTAGCTACTTTGAGACTCCTTAGGGTAGTGATAAAGCGGGATATCAGATCCAAACTCCTCCTCTTCTTCTTCCTCTTCTTCTTCTTCTTCTTCCCTCTGGGTACCACCATGGGGTCTTGGACATGAGTCCCATCTGCACAGTGGTTTTCCAAGTGGATCTCCCTGTTCATCACTACAACTATGGTAGTGATCACTCATCAGTTTGCCCAATGGCTGTCATCTGAAGCCACGTACTTCTCCCTGCAGCCGGGTGTAAACAAAACTCCACACATGGTCCAACTTTCAGTTGGGTTTGTTTTCCCAGCTTCAAAACAAGGCGGTGCTTTTATGTAACCTAGCTGAAGAAATTCCACATTTAGTTATACAGCACTGCCAGTAAATGGTTGCATCAGTAAATATTTCTTCATGTGTTTAACATGTGGACCTGCCACACATCTGGACTGCCCAAATATTCAGCAGCAAATCATTTGTCCGTTCATCTGCAGTATAGATTAAGACTTTACTGCTTTTCTTGTCCCAGTCATATATTTTAGCACGATCTTGGTGTTCAATTGTTTCATCTTTTTGAATTCTGACTTTGGGGCAAGTGCCACTTTGTATATGGACAGCATAAACACACACAAATTCCTACATAAATGTTGCCAAATCTTGGCAGTAACTTCCTAGTGAACTACGTGGATAATAGAAGCCCTGCTGACCCACTAAGGATACCCCAAAAAAAAGATTTACCATTGACGCAACTACATTTTGTAAGAATCATTCTGCGTTCCTTTGTGCTGTGCAGTCAAAGGTTAATCCACTTTTTACCAGTATCACTCCACATGGTTTTACTATTTTCGCGATTCAAATAACACTCTTCAACATTTGTGTGTGAAATACAGTATCCTTTACCTGCTTCTAAGCTGGCAAAGTGATGGTGCCAGTTAAACAGGAACTTAGTTGCAACTTGTTTTGCTTTCCCCAATGGCCTTAGGTGGTCCTTGTCCACTTACTCCCTTCTTTTTAACCCACATTCTGGAAACAAGGTGTAGATGTGAGTAAGCTGGGAGGGGAATAATCTTTTTCCATAGGTCTGGATGTTTATGGGGAGCCCTTGGACTCAGCTACATTGGCAAAGAAAAAGTGTTTTATATGCGTTCTTTATGCATTCTGACACTGTGACACCAGATGACGCTGTGGAGTTCCATTTTTTGCCAACCCGATTTCTCATACAATGTTTGCAACACGTTAAACTGAAACGCTTCTTTGATATGTGTAGATCCAGCCCTTGCTAACAGACCTGTGCGGCACCTTTGAAGATCAACCAATTCAGGCTGCAATCTTGAACACACTTATTAGGGAGCAGTCCCCGTGGAATTCAGTGGTCTTATTTCTGACTAATGTATGGTTATTGTGGCTTTAGCCCTCATTAGAAATTGGGATGGTGGGGAGCCCTTCTGATACTGTGCTTGTGCATCTTTCAACCTTAGCATGGGAGGTTGCAGACTTCATCTTTGCACATCCTTAACTCAGGCTGCCCCAGTATAGTCACATCCATTGTCTTAGTAAAAATAGAGTATGTTAAACAGATGAAAAGGTTGCTTAGGGTGTGACAGGCAAGTGACTTTATATTTTGGTGTGTAAGGCTTTCGGATAATTTTCCTTCTGCAGAGGCAAAGCCAGAAGCAATCAAAATACTAGATCAGAACAAGAATAAGATGTATTTGTTTTTTTAAAGAAAGAAGCCGAGAGCAGAGTTGTGTAACATTTATCTCCAGTCTGTTACACGCCATCTGGTGAGATGAAACCATTGGAACACTTCAATGAAATTCAAGAAAAAGAAAACTTCTCGCCAGCAGCTGACAAAAAAAGAAAGAAATTAAGGCAAACAGGAGTATATATTTCTCTTGATTCAGTCTGAATATATTTGGCAATAATACCAAAGAATTAACAATAGCTTCAGAAACTCTGGGGAGAAGTTCTTCCATGTCCCCAACCCCTAGCCCCAGACATTAAGGCACAGGGAAAACATTAGGCCTCACAGGTAGGCCCCACTGGTGCCCTGGCAGCTGCCCAAGAATGCCATGTGTTGACCAACAGGCTACCATTAATAAATAAATAACGGCCTTATATTGTCATGTAAAGTATTCTATAACGAGAGAGGTGCACGATCATTATTACTAATTTTTCTTCTTCTTTTTTTGCAGCCTGGTAATTTTCCCTACAAGGAAGATATTATGTCTGTCAATCCCACATGTCTCATTGTGATTATTCTGCTTTTTATAAGTATCACCTTGGCTTTTAAGGTAAGCATGTATCTACAGAAACAAAGTTGTTGGAATGCATGATCATTCATCCCCCTGTGCACCAGTAGTTGCGAACCCAGGAAGACTGAAAAAAGCAGGGGTCACAGAGACAGTGACTTAGAAAACACCATGGTTACCAGAATGGCTGGCTCAAGAAGGAGAGAACCTCACATTTCCTGAGAACTGAAGTTGGCAGTGGGTCTTCCTTTTGCGTCTTTTCTCCCTGCACTTTCATGGAAAAATCTTTTGAAGCATCCCTGAGCTTCAGGGGTAGCTATGCAGATGATTACACAGTTGATATGTTCTATAGCAGTGGCAGGGGAGCTTTTAGACTCCCAACTCTCATCAGCCCCAGGCTGGTCAGGGATGATGGGAGTCCAGTAACATCTGGAGGACCACAGTTTCCCTATCCCTGTTCTAAAATTCCATACCCATGCAGAAGTTCCCATGCTGCTTTTTGGATTGGATCCATGAAATAGCCGTTCCAAGCAAAGCATTGTAGAGGAATCTTCAGGAAGCAGAAGAGCATGTTCTCATTTTGAAATATGACCCATGACTACCTGCAGTGAGCATGCGACAGAGGCAAATGATTGCCTTTTGTCTGAATCTTGCTTGACTGCTCTAGCAAGAGTCTGATAAGCAGCAATCAAGAGTGTGAGAAGCTGCTGTTCCTTAGCCCCACATTCCCAATGGTTGTTGTAGAAATATAATGGTTAAATGTGTAGTTGCCCTGTGGATTTGCTAGAATGAGCCACCAGCTGTGATGCACAAGTTAGCTAAGCTTGTACTGTATGGTTGGATTTTCGGTCCCATTTACTTCAAGAACATTAACTGGCTTAAATAAAAGTTTTCTGTCATAACAGGTTTTGCTGTTCAGGCTGAAAGTAGGTCAAGATTATCTCATTTATTGGACTACCCTTTTGTTATTTGGAAATGGAAAACCCTTCAACGGGCAAAAATGGAGAAAGCAAGGCCAAGGCTGTTATTTTTTTAATTGGGAAGGTGGACATTAGCCTATATGTCCATTATAATGGCTGTGTCATTTTTTTCTTCCTTTGACTTGCTAAGTAAGAGGTACAAACTTGATGCATAAATTCAATCAGCTTCTGGTATTCTCATTTGCATTCCTTGTGTTTTGCATAAACCATGAATGTGCTCTGCAGATTTATGGATTCTGTATAATGAAATGAAATCCATAATCAAGTGCAGCATGTCCTCCACCATTGATAGATATAGCAGATAGCAGCATTTCCAGGAAATGAAATGAAACGGTACTGCATTTCAATATTTCTGAGTTCATTCCCTTTTCCTAATAACAGCACCTGTCAAGTAGCAGAGGCAGTCTGACATAATCATTGGGGATAGAAGCAAAGGACAGGTATCTTGAAAATAGACAGAATGGCAGAAGTATAGGCCCCCAATTTATTTCTGCTGGAAAGTTATTCAGCTTTTTAATTTCAAAGAGAGTTGAAGGCGATTTGAAAGCAGCTTCCCTTCTCATTGTGAAAACCGCATCGTTTCCCCAACAGGTTTTGCAGGGTTGGATTTTTAAAAATACCTTCCAACTATGTTAACCAGAGGCAAAAGTGGTATGATTGTTTACACCACAAGCAATGACCCGCTCTTTCAAATCACCCAGCGTTCTGCAAAATATTATCTGTAGCTAGACATAATTGGAGCAGCTAAATGTTGCCTGTAGTTCTTCAAACACATCTTCTACCACAATCCCCAAAAGCATCCTAAAATAAAACCTTTTAGGTTTTTTTCCTAGAACATATGTTCTTAATCTTTTTTTATACCTTTTTCTTGTACTGTCAGACTGGAATGGATCATCTGGAACCAGAACACTCAACTTTATAAATGGAGCAAGATAATATTTTCAAACAAAATGGAATGGAATTTTACTTCTATCCTGAAACCCTGCAAAGACAATGCAGAGTAAAGAATTTTGCCATGGCCTTGATCAGCCCCGTTCTGCTTTGCATCTAGACCATTCTCTTGCCTTCCATTTTGTTTGAATTTTTGGTGGTTATCTCCCATTTCTTATTATGACTTTGCATTCCGTGTATATCTGAATTATCACTGAGTTTGCCTTTCGCTTACATCAGCTGTCACCAATGGTATGTAGGCCTGTGGGCAGATTTGAATGCTTTAGCAAATGCCATGGCTTTAATCTTTCCCGCACCCAATAGATCAGCACGCTTCCCTGAGACACAGAAAGAGAGAAAACATGCACGCACACACTTCACTTTTACAAGCAATCTGGATAAAAGTCTGTTCAAATAAGAATTAGTCTGAGCCTTGAAAAGCACGTAGAGCTGAAAGAGGAAGTCACTCTTCCAACTTCCTCCTTCATCTCTATGTACTTTTCCAGTGCTGTTTTTCCAGAAAGAGAGGTGCTGGAACTCACCAAGAACATCTCCCTTGTTTCTCTTATAATGGCAATGGTGCCCACCCAAGAGGTGCCGGAACTGAGTTCCAGTGAGTTCCAGCTGGGGGAAAAAGCCCTGTACTTTTCAAAGGAGAAAAACGTAACCTCCCACACAATCTCATTAGGTCACAGGTTGAGACCTCAAGGGTACCACCAGGTGATGGTGATTCCTGACCTAAGTCCGGGGGTGACATTTTAGTTTCCAATAACAGAACGACTGAATCTTCCCTTTATTTTAAATCCTGGTGCAGCTCTCATTACCGCACGGTGAAAATGCTACATTTTCAAGGCATTAATGATGAGATAGTATATGGATGCATTTAATGTCTTTTTGATATGGTAGTGTTGGAAAGTGTTGATCAGTAGCTAGAGGACTGTGTTCAGCTTGGTCAGTCAAAAATTAAACAAGCTTTGGAAACCCTTGCCAGAATGCATGACTCCTCAGACCTAGAAGATTATAAGTGCTCTGGCTAGCTTCTTTTTAATACTCTCTGCCAACAAATATTTCCAACTTTGGTAGACCAACAAGTTCCATGACTGAGATGTTCTTTGTAGGAAGTTCTAAGTATTTTTTATTCAGTATATTTTTTTCCCCTTGCCCCATCCTTTTCTTTTAGGGTCGACAACAAGCATTTTCCTTTCTGTTTATACACAATATTTCAGATCTTGGAAGACTTGTTAGCTTTTTCCTCCGTCCTGCCACTGTTATCTTCTCTCCAGCATAAACGATTGATTTTATTTACTTACACAATTTAAATCCCAAACTCAAAAGTTATGATTGCTCTTCTACAATATACTTTTGTACCCGAAAATTTGTCCAGCTAGAGGAAAATAATATTATTTCCGAGTTTTGGCTATGCTTCTGCTAAATGCACTCTGGAATAGGATTATGTTTCTTTGTAACCATATTGCATTGCTGACCCAGTACCATTTGCAGGGAAAGTATAAGCCTCAACTCATTTTCTCAGCAATGCTATTTTTAAGCCACTTACCCCATCCCCTCTTATACTTGCTTGTATGAATTTTCGTTCCTCCCAATCCCACCCAATATTTCTCCGCTGTCAGCAAATTTCACAAGGCCTGCATATTGAAAATTTGTTTTGAATTAGTAAAAGTTCTGCCAGGCAGGGGGAAGATTCACACATGCCCTTCGGGGGGGGGGGGGGAAGGCAAGGAGCAGCTATTCTGTTTGAAGTATATGTCTGTCTTACTTTTATTAAAGATTCATTTTAAATTTGCCATTGTTTATGAGCCAACAAATGAAGCCCACTCTGTGTTAGTAGCCCTTTAAAGCCTTGTAAAAACCAAACCACTGGATCCTATTAATCTTTGGCAGGCAGCAGAGCACTGCTTTGTGGTTTCCTGTACATAGAGAGTGTTTTATGTTTGGCCATCTCTACTTTCTTCTGCTGTATTCTTTTTTTGGAAAGGGAAAAAAAAAGACTTTTACCACATTGCATTTGCTTAAACCAAGATGAAATTGCCCCCCGCCCCCGCCCACTCTGCATTTACTCTCAAAAACACAGAAGCATTTGGAACAAAGAATGACCAATTAATTTTTTTATACTCATCATGGTATATAAGGTTACGGTCATTTTACAACTGGGAAAAGGAGGGTGCTACTAAAATTGAACTAAATAATAGGGAGTTAAATTATGCAGCTCTTTAACTGTATTCCAGGGTTTTTGCCTTACTTTCTTAGAAGAGAGTGTACAAGTTTTGTTTAAAATGCAATGTATAGACAGTGAAGGCATGCTCTATTTATTTATTTAAAATATTAAAAGGGCCCAAGGACCTGATGATGTTGAAATTTCATGGTCTTAATTTATGTAGCACTAATAGGCTCATTTGCGCTTCGAGATCCCCAAGCACCCCCAAGAAATGAGACACAGTGACACAGGATTTTAGTTTAAGTTATTGGGCAAAATTTAGGCCACAACTTTATTGAATACAGAATGTGAGTGGTATTGGCTTAGGCATTGGAATCACCAGACTATATTGGATTCCCAACCGCTTTCATGGTGAATCCGATAACAAGGGTGAAACACGGCCAGCAGGAGAGAGCACCACCCTTGTGGATGGGCTTGAGCTCCCCTCGGTGCCCCCGTGGGGTCCTGGTATGGCCCTAGGCCCAGCGCTAGGACAAGACCCAGGCCAACCCCGATTCCTTTAATGCAGCAGTTCTCAACCTGTGGGTCCCCAGATGTTGTTGGACTACAACTCCCATCTTCCCTGGCCACTGGTTATGCTGGCTAGGAATGATGGGAGTTTTAGTCCAACAACATCTGGGGACCCACAGGTTGAGAAACACTGCGTTTAATGGAATACCCTTGAGCTTGGAGGGGTAGGTGATGGCCGCCACTTCCTCTCCCCACCATTGCTTATCCAATGCCTAACCGCCAAACCTTACAAAGTTGTGACAATTGCTACGGTGGTAGGCGAAAACCAAATGGTCCTGCCAATTCGCTAGATGGAAAAATTCCTACCAGGCCCCCATTACAAAACAGGCGACCAATGAAGACCATAGCAAGGCCAGACAAACCTAAATACAGTGGTACCTCGGGTTAAGTACTTAATTCGTTCTGGAGGTCCATACTTAACCTGAAACTGTTCTTAACCTGAAGCACCACTTTAGCTAATGGGGCCTCCCACTGCCGCCACGCCACCAGAGCACGATTTCTGTTCTCATCCTGAAGCAAAGTTCTTAACCTGAAGCACTATATCTGGGTTAGCAGAGTCTGTAACCTGAAGCGTATGTAACCTGAAGCATATGTAACCCAAAGTACCACTGTAAAGGGAGGGCGGGCGGGGGATCTGCTGCGTGAAGGCAGAGAGGACCGGCAAATGACGCACAGGGTTATATATTGTTCCCCGGCCGCCCCCCAAGCCAAGAAATGGGCTTTAGGACCCAAGCAACCAGGGAACAACCAACCGGAGTGGAGCAGGGCATGGCCCTCCCACCCCAGCAGGTGGGGGGTGCTCTAAGGGCCCGAGTGCAACGCGATCCCTCTTTGTTGAGGAATTGATTTCACACATTATACAGATGGCCGGTTCAGAGGTAGCACTAAATGATATCTTCGTATTCCATGAATAAACTGCAGTAAGCCTCATATTTGTACACCTCCCACTCCTTCTCAGGCTCGCAGAAGAGAAAGCGATCGAAATCTGTTGCTTTCTGTTTTAAACTAACCAGAGTTCCCCATTATAGCCAATCATTACATCCACAGAGAACTTTGGTAAATTTAAACCAAGGCTATTTCATTTAAACCAAGCCAGAATCAAACCATGATTTATAAACCTGGCTTGATCACTAACCATGGTTCGTAAACTAACTGGAGTTTCCCAACTTCCCACATAATCTAGCTGGCTTGAAATCAGAAGCAGATGTTTTTCCTATTTTTGACTGCTTCATGCCAGAGGTAACTGGAAACCCAAGGGTTGCCATGGTTTGTGCCCATAATGCTAAACCATAGTTTAGCATCACATCTGAACTGGCTCCGTATATATTATCTGAGTTTGCCACAAGGAGTACATTCAACTGGGAGATGTAAGATACACATGCTTTCAAACAGATTCATACTTTAGATATACGCTTCAGTGGGTATATATGCATGGCTGCTTCTCGTTTCCCATGAATAAATGAAAGTAATTCCAAAAGATAGCAGGTTCTGACTCCAAATAATAGTACCGGTATTTCAGGCTGTTAAGAGGACAATGGTTCCTCCTCACGCTTTGCACCTTCTTATGTTGAAAATGCTTCTATGTAGGAAAAGAGAAAAGACCCTGTGTCTAGATCTACATCTTTTTACTTTACGTTTCCGGGCACAATTCAAAGTGTTGGTGCTGACCTTTAAAGCCCTAAACACCCTTGGCCCATTTCCGAGGGCCTTCTGGTGGTTCCCTCCCTGCAAGAAGCAAAGTCACAGGGAACCAGACAGAGGGCCTTCTCGGTAGTGGCGCCTGCCCTGTGGAACACCCTCCCACCAGATGTCAAAGAATCCTGTTTAGGGAAGTTTTTAATGTTTGATCTTTTACTGTGTTTTTAATATCTTGTTGGAAGCCACCCAGAGTGGCTGGGGAAACCCAGCCAGATGGGCGGCGTATAAATAAGAAGTTAGTAGTAGTAGTAGGATTTTATTATATTCCATGCTGTTTGGTCTGTGGCTGTTTGTTTCTTTATACTGATTTTATTGTTTATGGCTTTTAACTTTGCAAGTTGCTCTAAGTACCGTCATAGGGATTGAAGTGCAGAGTATTAAATATTAAAATAAAATGAATGAAAATATAAAGTACATAATTGCTGCATGCTTGTATGCATTGCTGCATGTGGAATAAGCATACATAGCAATTAATCGCAATTGAGTTCTTCTAAGGCTTCCTTCCCTTAAGCAACATCTGTCGTTCTGAGCATGAGTGGCAAACATTTGGCATCAACCTCTGTGGTTTTTATCCCTGCTCATCCATGAATAAACTCACTTTGTGACCCTCAGGCAAATTGCTGACTCTCAGCTTTAATTCGTGGCGTGCAAAAATAATTGGCTGCTTTTATATTTCACAGTGTTCTAAGGAGGCTGAGTGATCTAGATTGTAGAACACTTTGTACTTTAGAAGGCTGATATTCAGTCTTTAATAATGCTTTTCTATAGTGCTTTCATAAGAACATAACCCCACAATGTTGTAAACGATCCATATGGGGGCGTTTGACGCTTTACTCCATCTCATCGATCATTCTGGTTGCCCTTCTCTGAACCTTTTTCTGCTCTACAGTATCCTTTTTTTGAAGTGAGTTAACCAGAACTGTACACAGGATTCTAACTGTGTTCTTACCATAGATCTGTATAACTGCAAGTGAAAATTCACTCCCTTATTTTTGGATAGGAAAGGTATGCACTGCAAAATAGGTCAGTGACTCAGCCTAATGGTTTTTCAGTAGAATAAAAGGCTTTTCAGGACAAATCAGCAGGAAATTTGCTGGGGCAAAATGAGTTTCCATTGCAAGGGCTCGGCATCTGCCTGTGTGTGTCCAATACATTTGGCTAGCTTGCTGGTTTTAGCTGCTCATCTTCCCAAGCACGCGTAGGTGGTGTCTCTGGCTTCCATTTGCCTGTTGTGGGCGAGCTGGTGACCTCCTTGGTTAGGAAAACTTTGTTTGCTTGGTTTATACGGAACTACTACGAAGTAACAACATGCTTTGGGGGCTTAGCTGCAAGCACTGGTAGGTGGAACAATAGTGACTCCAGCAGCAAAGGTTTAAAAATGTTTGCAGAACAGTGAGAAGCCTAGGTTGCTGTGATTTTAATATAACAGTTGTAATTTTCTTCTAATACATTGGCTCAGGAGCAACTTAAGCTTCGCATTCCTGCATTTTTTGATTATGGCCTACATCTGGACTTCCTTGGGGAAAAGGTAAAGGGATATGCATTTGGACTCTGAACTCTGCATTTTCTGGTTTTGTAACATTTATAAGATCCATCCATCTTTAGCCTTTGCCTTTGAGAGCTTGGCTTAAACAGAGCAATCCTATGTGTGTCTTTGTCTACTCAAAAGTAAGCCTCACTTAGTTCAACGGGACTCTCTTAGTTCAAGTGTGTATAGGATTAGAGCCAAAATCTAGGGTTGTGCAAGATTGGTTTGGACTCTGATTGGGTGCTTCAGAAAACAGATTGCCTCAGTCGGACTCCGTTCAAGCCTGCTTCATGTTGAACCCTCAACCTCATTCACTGCAGGGAAATTTTTAAAAACCACAGCTCTAACTTTTTCTTTTCATGGAAGTGGGTAAAATTTGCAGGCAAATTTTCTAGGGTGGTTGAAGCCTGCCAAAGTGTAGGCAAAATAAGTCCAGAGGATTTTGCGCTGGGCACCTTGTTTGGGGAGGAATAGCTAAAAGGGATTTGCTTTCCAGGTAAAATCTTCCGCCCTGTTATAATGGAGCTCTGTCCGGTCTTGTGCTTGTTGTTCTTCCCCCATCACCCACTCCCTAGTATGTTTAGAGACGTGGCTTTTGCTTTAATGAAATACTTGTCTGCAGCATTTTTTGACATCAGGATAGCTGAGGTGCAGCAAAGTATTTCAGGAGTCCCTGCTTTGAGTTGCATTGCTTCATAGAGATTCCCCTTCATCTCTCAGAGGCCAAAAATCCCTCTGAGGCATCATACTTCACTTGGGAGTTCTCCAGATATCACATCCATACCAACATCTGTTAAGTCTTTTAAAGCAGCCGTGCAAATAAGTCTATACAGGTGGAATAAATCCACATAAATTTTTAGAAGCCTCCCCGTTGACATCTTCAAAAAAGGACTTACTACAGCATTTTTCTCCTGTTGAGGAAGCCTTGCCTTCACAATGCATTTGCCAAACATGCCTGTCAAGGATTTGAACACCAGTGCATTGTACCTCTAGGGAAGGGGCACATCGAAAGAGTCATGCTCCATGACATCCATGGAAAAAAAATAATCCACTAATAGAAACTCGAGGACTCTTCCAGCCTGCAGTCAATTCGGACTCTCCATAGGTGACTCAGCTTTATGGTATCAAAATGCTCACCTGTTTTGGTTTTTTGCTACAACCAGTTAGTGTAATTGTTGTTGCTGTTGTTGTTGTTGTTGTTGTTGTTGTTGTTGTTTATACCCTGCCCATCTGGCTGGGTTTCTCCAGTCACTCTGGGTGGCTCCCAACAAAAGATTAAAAATACATTAAAACATCAATCATTAAAAACTTCCCTAAACAGGGCTGCCTTCAGATTTCTTCTAAACGTCAGATAGTTATTTATTTCTTTGACATCTGATGGGAGGGCGTTCCACAGGGCGGGCGCCACTACCGAGAAGGCCCTCTGCCTGTTTCTCTGTAACTTCGCTTCTCGCAGTGAGGGAACTGCCAGAAGGAGACACTTCTTCAGGTATACTGGGCCGAGACCATTTAGGGCTTTAAAGGCAACACTGAATTGTGCTCGGAAACGTTTGGACAGACTACCAAAAAACCCAACTTCTTAATCATCATGTAGCATGTTGCAATAAAGAATGTGTGGTAAAGAAAATCTGTTACAAATTCAACACATCTTCTTTCTCTGCCTCTTCTTCCTCACGCAGGCTTACCTGATCAGCTGCGTATGGAACTGTTATCGATACATTAACAACAGAAACAACTCGGATGTCCTGGTCTACATTACTACTAATGACACAGCGGTAAGGAAGTCAAAATTAAATGGGGCTCTGACGGCCTTTGGGTGTAGAATGTAGCCATGAAACCACTTTCTTGTCTAGCCTGTTGTTGTTGCTGTTGACTTCTGTTTCCAGTTACTTTGGGGGAGCTCCCATTTCTGATGCACTCAAGATGATGGTAGCACCTAGTACAGGTACTGTAATATCCTCTGGACCAAACGCCCCATCAGTGCATTGGTGTGGAGAAAGCAATGTCTTGCTTAGCTACATTGTAAACTGCTGCTTTCTAGAGCTGATTCACACAAACAGGATAGGCAAGCGTGGTTCCCTCTCATGCAAATTGCAGCTGAGTAATGAAGGGCTGTCAGCCAAATCAGTCTTTTTGCAAAAGAGATTAGAGTAATTCATCAGCTGTGGTTAAATGGAGCCTCCTCTCATGGCTCAGAGGCAATATGCTTGCTTGGGAACACCATTTGCTGGGGCGTGTGAGGGTTCAGCAGGTTCAGACACAATAGGAAGCAATGGTTAAATTAACCCTGGAGGTGTTGGATTGCAGTGTGATAAAAAGGGAGAGGGCAGCATGAGAACCAAGTGCGCAGGCACAAAACTGATGCATAACTCCACTTAGTAAAGCCATAGTACACCCAAGGGATGTTCACTTTGCAGTCTTTTACAACCACCAGGCACAGACCTGTGTCTGTGCTATCCATGTTGTTTTGTGGAAAACAAGACAACTTTCAAACAGTTCTTGACTCTCCGCCTGCTCCTCCTGCTCCATGTCCTCTTCCTTCCTTAAACATTCTGTGGTCCCTGGAATCTAGGAAGCCCTGGGGGAAGAGAATGTGTCACAGTGACAAGTCCCTACCCCAAACATTGATGCATCCTATTCCGGAACATTTTAATGTCATTTCAGCAATAGAGCTGCTTTGTTATGACTAGGACCTCTGATGGTCCACACCAATGTGTTGGAAGAATCTAAGGTTCTTCCCCACAATCTCTGCTGCAGATGAGGAGCTACCAGCCATTTTCTTGGATATATTATCTTAATGAGTCCCAGATGATCTCACTGCAGCACAGTATATATTTTATGCAACTGTATCTGCTAAACGTATGCTGCTTGCCTAAAGAGGGAGCCCTTTTATTTTCCTAAAAATAATAGAGGACTTCTGTAATTGGGCAGCCATATACCCGTGCACATGGAAAATGTACAAATGTGCGCTTAAGAATGTTTTGGCAGTGCAGCGAATTTGAGGTTATAAATTATCTCAGGGCGGTCCAGCTTCCATCTGTAATCACTCCAGGGTGGTTTCTAATGGAAATGCTCATAGATAAACATTTAGGTTGCTTCCTGCCCAGGCGAAGAGGGAGGCACTCTGGAGTCTACTTCTTGACAGATGATAATGCATTAAGGAAAGCTTAAACAAGCGGCACATGGCCTGTGTGCTTCAGACAGAATCTCCAAGCCATGTTCTGGTTTGTAAAAACCAGAGCAGCATGCTTGTACAGTATTCTAAGAACAACAATGTTAATGCAAGACATGGTTCTCCCCAAGTGGTAGAGTGAAGAATACAAGGTATGGAGTCCTTCTCAGAGTCTCAGAGCATGTTTACAGGTCCACTGTGGGGGCTAGTGCCTGCCATTGCCAATGATCACAAGCAGTTCTGGGGGCAGAACTTGACATGGGACCCTGCTCTTGCTTCTGAAGTTTTTGTTATTTTTCTACTGGGATGATTTTATTCGCACTTATTAATCACTTTTATTTGCAAGACGTAACCCAAAGTATTATGTACAAAATAGTACAAAGTTTGAAGCTGGTAAAAAACCGAAATAGAATAAAAACCTAAAAACACATTTGTACATCTAAACGACAGGTCTTACACATTCTACCCACTGAAAGAGGCCACAGATATATAGAACCCTCCAAAGCAGCCTTTCTCAACCTGTGGGTCCCCAGATGTTGTTGAACTACAACTCCCATCACCCCTAGCTAGCAAGGCCAGAGCTCAGGGATGATGGGAGTTGTAGTCCAACAACATCTGGGGACCCACAGGTTGAGAACCGCTGCTCCAAAGTAAGGGCCAGAGCCCTAGGTAAAGAAAGAAAGAAATCTTTGCCTGGTGCCTAAAAGTAGACAGCGATGTTGCCAGCCATACCTCCCTGAGGAGAGCATTCCTTAAGCATGGCGCCACCACTGAAAAGACCGGTTCTCATGTCGCCATTCACCACACCTCCCTTGGAAGGGGCACATGAAGAAGGGCTTTGGATACTGGATGCAGGATCTAGATTGGTTCACATGGAGAGAGGTGGTCTCATTGGGGTCCTGAGCCACACAAGGCTTTATAGGTCAAAACCAGCACTTTAAAATGGGTTCGTGGTTAATGGAATGGTTTCATTGAAATGTATTTTTAGTGTTTTGCCTTTTTGGCTTTTAACCTTTTTTTTGTAAGCTGTTTTGTAATAACTCACTAATATGTCAAATAATAAAAAGGACAAATGGAATGGGCATGCTTGCCTTTTCCCATACTTGTCCCCCCCCCATTCCACTTGCATTTAATTTGACTGCACAGGCAGAGCATCATAGCTCCCTATGCATGATGCAGCAGCCCCATCAATCTGCACTAATCTGTTGGTGTCCCTGGGTGGTCTTTTAATATGTTTGTGTAGCCGCAGATACATCACCACAATAGGGCTTGGGGGGGAGGGAACCTAAAGTGAAGCAGGTGGTCAGTTTAATGACCTGGCCTCTCATGTTTCTCCTAAGCTCTTGACTATTTGCTCCATTACAATGCTTGGCTGAAGGAAACAAAGGTTTGATGCTGCTGCTAGCTCTTCACAGCTGTGCTGGTGTGGAAGGAATGTCTCCTGAGACAAAACAACAAGAGGACTGAGAAGCAAATGTCTGGTTTATTTTTATTTTTTAAGTGCAGTTTTGTTTAAACCCAATATGTCTGCAACATGTTGCGTGTGTGCTGCTCTCTCCTTGTGGAATTTAAAGTTTGGAGTTGCTAATCTTTAGAGGTGTTGAGCACAAGTCCAGCCTTAGTAGTACTGATTCTGGAATTACTCCATCAGCCACCTTGAACGAAGGTGTGGCAGAAGGAAAAACACTTAACACTTGGGGATGTTCCAGCCTGATGCTGTAGATCAGCTTTTGGTTCTGTGTCAGAAATGTTTACAGTGCATCGGCTCAAATCCACAACTGCACTTGGCCTCTGACGCCTCTTCCTTATACTTCTGTTTTCATTATCTTGCTCTTTTCCTTGCCTCCTCGCCTCCCTAGCTATGCAGAGCAAGGATTCAGCAGCAGACTCTGGTCCATACTGGGTGCCATTTCCAGATCATTTGTGTACTGCCTGGGTTCTAGCCAACAACAGATGGCAGCTTACACAACCAATATTTCCATTTCCCTGCCCCCTGCAGCCCTCAGAAAGCTTGGAGCAATCTACTGAACGTAGTTGGATATGTTTTACAGGACTGCTGAGTGGGAGGGTTAGAAACTGCCTGACGTTGACAACCTTGTGTGAGTAGTGTAAGATTGGTTACCCGACTCACTGTCAAGCCAAATTATAGGAATTGCTAGGAAGAAAAACTGGGGCAGTACCATGTACCAGTCCCTCAGCCCCTTGAAGAAACAAAAATGGGATACAAATGTATTTATTTATATTACTTTTATATACCACCTTTTTTCTTCTGAGGAGCTCAAGGTGGTATACATGGTTCTCCTCCTCCCCATTTCAAACTCACAACAACCCCGTGATGTAGGTGATATAAGAACTTCAAACATTAAAAACTTCCCTAAACAGGGCTGCCTTCAGATGTCTTCTAAACGTTAGATATTTGTTTATTTCTTTGACATCTGATGGGAGGGCGTTCCACAGGACGGGCGCCACTGCCGAGAAGGCCCTCTGCCTGGTTCCCTGTAAGCTCACTTCTCACAGTGAGGGAACCGCCAGAAGGCCCTCGGCGCTGGACCTCAGTGTCCGGGCTGAATGATGGGGGTGGAGATGCTCCTTCAGGTGTACAGGACAGAGACCGTTGAGGGATTTAAAGATCAGCACCAGCACTTTGAATTGTGCTCGGAAACCTACTGAGGCTGAGAGGCAGAAAACTTGGTAATAGATTCGCATGAGTCTTTGTGGATTTTTACATTTTCAAAACTGATTCTTTCCTTTTTGCTTCTCCCCAGGTGTTGCTGCCACCCTATGATGATCCTGCAAATGGCGCTGCCAAAGACCCCCCACCACCTTATGTGTCTGCATGAGGAGCCGTGTGTGCGAGCGAGTGTGTGTGCGTGAAATGTACCTAAAGAACAAATAGCTTTACTTTTCACGACACCTGAGCAATAGATTCTTTCATTTTTCAGGACAGGTGTATTATCTCCCAGGTTGTCTTTATTGCTATTTTGCTGTAGATTATTCAAAAGAAAAACCTATTTGCCTAAAGCAGCATTGAACTGGCTTGAGAACCATTTTGATTAGCTAAAGTGATAATCGTTGCAATGTAGGTTTGGGTTTTTTTTGGGGGGGGGTTCACATCTTCTCCTGCAAATCTAGAAAATATCTAGGGGTGTAAACTGTAGTGTGGAGTTTTGTTTCTGTTGTCTTCTTAATTTCTGGATCATGCCTCAGGCTGTGACATTGTCCTTTAATCCACAATCATAAAACAAAACAGAAGGTACCCTGAACAGTTGAGCTTATATTTATTTCATCAGGAATATTTGGGACCTTTTTAAACACATTTCTCAGCTGTGGTAGCAAAAGCTTGTGTCCTCAAAGCTCAAAATTTAACAAAGTGGATAGCTACCCTGAGGTTTGAAGAAACAAATTTTCATCGTTCTACAGCAGAGCTGTGGTTGAGAACACAATTTTTTTTATAAAGGTCTAGCTCAGCTATTAGTAAAAAGAAAAAGATTGCTTTGAATTGTGCTCTGAGCGCAAAGGTGCTTTCTGACTGGCTAATCACTCAGAAATGCAGAGGGGAAGTATGTGTATTGGAGGAGCTCTGGGCATCAAGATTAGATTGAACTTTTTGCTACAGAAATTTTGGCTCTTGCAAGCACTTTGACCTACTACCCTCCTGCCCTAGAATTGGCCAGTTCAGCTGTAAGTGAGGCCACTGGCCCCTTTTTTTGCCCTTTCTCTTGCCAGCAGTCTTAATGTGGTTCTCCAGACCAAAGCTCCCTTTTTTCAAGTCAACTCCAAATCTGGATCCCTAAGTGGCCTGGTCTGGGGACCTTGAAGTTGCACAGATGTGGCTTTTGAAGGCATTGCAAATACTGCCCGCATCCCTGTTGATGCTGCAACTATTTTCTGTAGTGGGAAGTCTAATGTTAACATCAGTTCCCTACCCACTCTAGGCCTGTTCACTCAGGATGCTTGTAAGAAGTACCTCTCTCTCTCTCTCTATAGATACACATTAAAATAGGGGTCTGTATGTATGTGTAAAAGAGAGAGGTGAAAAACACACGTTTCTGACACTTGACATGGATTGGCAAATACATTTCCTACTGCTTTAATCTGTGACCCTAAGATTAATCATAGGAAGCAGAGCTGGAAAACATGATAGAGTTGCAGGGTACCACATCATGCATTGTATCAAGATGGTGAACCCAGTCACATCTATGGCAAATCAATGTGCGAGTGAAAAAAAGGGGGCATAGTCTCTAATCCAGATTAGATTTATTATGGAAATTCTGTGTTTCAGCCTTTGGCCAAGTGATTCCTTCTCTTCTTATGATAGTTCTGATAATTTATTTTGCCTGTTGATGTCATCCCATCCGACAATTGCAAACAATGGGAAGAAACCACTTTGAAATTTCTTTCATTTCTGTGGAAGACAAGCAAGTGCATAAACCTCCCATTGAAAGCAGTGGTGATTTTGAAATGCTAAACTTTGTATGGATTGTGTGCAGTTTGATTTAAGGTTATGCCATACGTTCTTTGGAGTCATTGGGTCTGGTAAACAATTAATACCTCTTTGAGTATCCAAAATGTGAATCTTTTTCCCATGGGAGTCCGCTTGTAAATATAGCACTTTGGGGACCATATGCTAAGGAACACACCAGTTGGGATAAATTATTTCTCCCAGTTGTATCTTTGGGGACAACACTCTGTGCCCATCAAATATATGTATATCTAGCTATCTGCTTAAGTGTGAGAATATTTGGTCCTCTTGTTTGCATTTATAAACATTCTAGTGAGATTCATTTGTTAGTGCCCTGTTAAGTATTACTGTGAATTATTAGCATTTCTATAAGTGCTTTAGGTTCAAAGCACTGCGCACTCGTTATCTTCTAACCTTACAACAGCCCTGTAAGGTAGATCAGTATTATTACCTTCATGCTGCAGATGTGGGGCTGAGGCTAAGAGTGGCTTGCCTAATGGCCAGCTTGTTTGTTCATAGCAGAGTCAAAGCTCACATCAGGGACTTCCTGGTTTGTATCCTAAGTCACTGGGAACCAAACTACAAAATAATGCTAGCTGCATTTTTTAAACAAGCATGCTTATCCTGGCCAATCTTACCTTTAAGAGAAGCCTCAAAGAGTGCAACTTAGCATGCTCCCAGCCCAGTCCAGAACTGTGCCACTGTTTCTCTCCTGGTGACTTTTTGCCCTCCAAAGTTCTGTAGTGCTTATCCCAGACAGCACCTTTGGAAAGCAAATAATGGATGTGTGTGACCTGGGTGGGGAGCAGTTTCCAACAGGAATCCTGCACTGGGTCCCTATTGAGGAAAGCATTCCAGGTCAGGGCCTTCAGCTGCTTTTTGTCCAAAAAGAAAGCAGTCGTGTTGAGCAAGCATCACTAGTGTCATGTGTAGTTCAATCGGAACCACCCACTGCACTGTTGGGTTGTGTGCAGAGTGCAGTCAGCTCAACAGCAGATTGTGTCATCGAACCCAGTGGTTGTAGAAGGAAATAGGCCAGGAAGTTCAGTAAGGTCAGCAACAGTATGTTTTACTAGCAGGTAGTAGAAGAACAGTTCTTTAGCATTCTTTTCTAGGGTGTGTGTGTGTGCGTGCTAGATTCTACATAGCTTGTTGCTGAACAGGTGTTCCAACCCACATTAGAGGTGCCTGGCTCGTGTGTGTGACGTCATGTACGTCACACACATGACATCGCACAGCACGACACAGTGAACACATGACATCACATGGTGCAATGGGGCCCGTCACAGCCTCTGAAAGGCCCTGCAAATTGGCAGTGATCAAATGGAGAATAAAGTAAAGGCACTGAAAGTTACGTGACATCTCTCTTCCGCCCCAGATGGCTGAAAGGAAATCCTGTGGCCAGGGCACCACTGTGAGTGCCTAAACACCCTGTGCAAACCATTGATGACTTTATGCTCACCTACCAACTGGGCAATAATATGTTCCAATTTAGTTTATAAACTTATCAGTGCATTGATATGTAACCCTCCTCATTGAGTTAAGTAGGTAGGCATTGAGTTTTTGTTTGCTTTGCAAGGCAACATGGAATCTTTGTAGACAGGTTAAATTGTAGGATTTTATTTAGCTTTGGCTTACCTGGACCAGATACCATACTAGGCATTTGTTTGGTTTAGCTATTTATTATTATTTTTTTGGAATATTAAGGAACATATGAAAATAAGTGCTTGTGCATATTTCTCATTCAAATCTTCTGTGTAAACAAATCAGTCTCTAATAAAAAGGGATGTTTCCTCATGTCTGTGTATGCCCTTTCTTTGTACAACTAACAAGAGACACCCCCCCAAAAAAAGCTCTGATTCTAATTTTATATTTATTATTTGCATGCAAATCGTAGCCTCGTCTGCTGTTTTGAACTCTGGGTGCTTCCCATCTGTTGCAAAAGAGAAGACGAAAACCAACTCAGTTCATACATCAGCATGGAAGTTAGAGTTGAGGGTACTTCCAAGTTGTCTTTTATCATCACCTGCCTTGCTCTAACAGTGAAGAGAGAGAAGAGCCTTGGCTGATGATATGAGTTTCTTAACACAAGTTCAGGGATTGTGACAGATTAATTTGCAGGACACAATAGTCTGCATTGTTGTAGGAGTTAAAAAGGACACTCGCCATGGATCAGCCTACTGACCTCAAAGTTCTGATGCGCAGATTTCTGCATATTCTTTGCTACACACAGCAATAAAAGCTAAGACCTTGCTGCTGTGATTGTTTTTAAAAGCACCAACAAAGGTAAGGCATGCAAATTCTTCACTCCTATAATTAACCTGCTGTGCTGTGTGTGGTTTGTGGCTATTTATTACATTTGTATATTGCCCTTCATCTGAAGATCACAAAGTGCTTCACAACATAAAAATAGAAAATGAGAATACAAAATAAAACACAAAACCAATAATCCTCTATCCCACATAGCAAATGTTTTACTTTGCACTCAGATTTAAGCATTCCAAAGTGAACAGACATTTCCCATCTGCTTTATTGTAACCCTTGATTCTTCTGTTGCTTATATGACCCAGAATTGCACTGTACTTTTCCACTCTTGTGTTATACAAGTGTCCATACCTACTTCAGTGCAGGTTGTTTTTGGCACTGCTTTTCCCCCAAGCATTTCATTTCAGCATTGCTTCACTTGGGTGGGTGTGTTTTTTATCAGAATATCAGCAGTTGTAGAGCTCTTGTATTATCTCACTGGATCACACTTCCTTTGAGAAGGTGAAGGCGAAATACGTGGAGCCACTGTCCAATATATATGTGTGATACATTGGCCTGAGGGGACAGTAGCTAAATGTTGACCAATGTCTGCATGGTTCGGCACAGTTTTAATTCCACATCTCAATTTAAGATTGCCACACTGTTCACGACACCACATGGGCAGATTTAACATAGAAACCTTAAAAAAAATACATAGTTGAGTGTTAGGTGTGCAGATGTACAAAGCAGCCAAGAACCATGCCTGTAAAAGTAGCCCTATACACCGACTCACATTTGATGGGTGTTTTAAAACAATTTTGCTCTATTGCACTTCTGACTTGAATGGCAAATCTGCTCCTCCTATTGTTTCATAGGAAATGCAGGCAATATGAATGCTATTGCTTGACACCAGCAGAAAATATTTTATGGTGGCCCAATTAATCAGCAAGACTTTCTTGCACCCTGGTACAGAATAAAGCTGGGTTTGAGACTTCCGGGGTGGCGCCATCGGCAATGGTGGACTCCCTCTGAACTGGAGGGACCAGCTCCGCATGAAACGGGTCTTTTCCGCTACGGCGAAGCGGGGACCCTTCTGGAAATCACAGGCAGATGAAGCCTGTGACCGTGGGACTCGGCGGGCACCCTTAGCGCCCTCCCCAACCCGCAAAGGAACCCACTAACGGGCTCCGAAGCGAAGAGGGGGAAGTGGCGCGGTGCTGTGAGTCAATTGCTTTTTCTGCGGAGCGAAGCCGCATAGCCGTTGCCGGAGAGCGCTGCCTTTTCCTGGGACAATTTGGCATCTAAAATAACCACCCGTGAGTACTGGAACATTGAACATTTGGACTTTAAATAAGAACTGGCGAAATAGAAAGGAATTTGGACTTAAAAATTTGCCTTAATTTGGTACTGAAACGGGAAGGTCTAAACAGGAAGTCAGCCTTCCGTTTCCTTGTAGCCAGAATAAAGCAAAGACAACGTAAACTAGAGCTTTAAAAATCACTTTCAAAGGATTGGCTTTCATCATTTAAAATAGCTGAACCCCCCTTCGGCAGCAGGAGAAGAAGGGGGATCTTTTTTGGGCTGTTTAAACCTGCAGAAGTGAGTTTAAAGCAAAGTAATTTTCCACCGTCGTGATCCTGGAGCGGGGTGTCAGAATTGACGTTTGAAGCTCATTGACCAGAAACAAATGTCTTTGACAGATAGTTAAAAGAAGAGAAACATAGTGATTCCATTGTTTCCTTTCGCATTTTAAAAAGAACAGATATGGACAAAATACCTTAAAAAAGAAACTTTGTTGCTATTGTTTTTAAAAGAAAGAACAACCAGAAGATTTCCCCCTAGAGGGGGACTGTGAAATTGTAAGTAATTCCTGGGAGCTTGCAGCTGTCACAGATTACAACCGTGGGAAAGGATTTGTGACCTTGCAGGACAATGTCTTCAGAAGCACTGTTGGGTGCTCTCTGTAAAATAAATGCCCTATTGGATCAGTTAAGCCAGAAGACGGATTTGATGACTAATGCGGCCAGAACCTTTGAACAGGTAGTGGGAAATTATATGGAGCCCACCCAGGAGCTAAAACAGGAGTGTGCCATGACAGAACAGTTGAGAGAAGAGGATGCTGCTGAATCTTGGGCGCCAGAGATGGAGGGAGCTGCGGCCCAGCAGGAACATAATTTTTTGGATTTGATAAATGAACTTGGAAAAAACCAGACTTGGAAAGATAAAGTTTGGTTTGGTTTGGAAATGGGGGGTTGGACAGACCCCCCTACACAGGGAGATTTGGACTTTTCGAGTCCGGCAATGGGCCGTCAGATGTTTGGAGCTGTGGGGGCTCTCAATTTTGGAGGGAATCTGAAACATGTTTTTAAATACCACATGGAGTCTAGTCTGGACTATGGAAAAGGGGCTGATTTGTTGAAAAGGGTCAAAAACATTACCAAGCTGGAGTTCCCACGAATGAAAGGAAAATATGAAGAAGAGCTGCGGAAGGGACATGGAAGAGACTTGAGGGCTTGGATATAAGATTACCAGGTTAATGTGCTAGATTAATAAGATAAAAAGGACTGACAAAACCCGGGACCAGTAGGAAGGGACGCTGGATGAAGATTGGATTGTTTATTTCTTTTTTTTTATCATTAGGATTGTTCTATAAAATTGATGAATGCTAGAAAAATGTTGAAATGAAATTACTTGGCTCTTGTAAAAATGTCTAAAGAATTTGGTAAGAATGTTATGGCTAGGAGAAGTTGGTAAAAATAAGATTTAAGTTTTAAACTTTAAGGTTTTCTATAAGATAAGATGAAAATAGATTAAGGTAATGTAATGACAGAATACTATGAATTATGGAAAGGATTTGCTGCGATTATTATTAATCAGGATACAAGAAAAGGGAGGAGGAGGAGGTCAAAGAAAGAAGGTATTGAAAGTGGAGAATTTGAGAATGATGGTTTTATTTTTATTTTTTATTTTTCTGTCTTGTCTTTTTTTTGTGTGTAATTTTAAAAAAATTTTTCCAATAAATATCATTTAAAAAAAAAACAGAATAAAGCTGGTTTTATATTTTATGTTTCTCGTATTAGGTTTCAGTTTTTGTTAACTTGCAAACTGCCTAGACAACTTCGGTTCTTGGATGGTAGATAGATATTGAAAATAAATAACATTAATACCTTAAAATTATTATGGAAGTGTAAAGCTACAAAAGCCAAGCTGCATACATGCACGTACACATCAAGAATCCTGGGCACCATAGTTTATTCCTTACAGAACTACACTTCCCAGCACCTTTAAACTACAGTTCCCAGGCTTCTCGTGGGGGTGGAGGAGAATGTGCTTTGAATATATGGTGCGTAATCAGCCTAGGTAGCTATAGACATGGATTCAAAAGTGCATTTTATGGGTTTGTATACTGTGTTCCTCCAGTTTCCACCAATTTGCCTCCTTTCAGTTGCCCAAGCCACATCCATGCTGTTTCAAAGGAGTTTTTTTTCAGGAGCAGAGCGAGGGTGAAGAAAGCACCATTGCCTGAGAGGAGTTATGCTCATGCCATAAGTAGGAACATAGTGCTTTAGGAAGACTCCTGCTGGACCCAAATGCACAGACAGTGGCTCTACTTTGACAAAAATATAATCTTTCTTGGATGAACTTTCTAGGAAAAGGTCCAGCTACTTTGAGAAAGGAATGCAACAACTGTTGAAATAGTGGCGTGACAACTGGAAAGATCTGGTGCCGATCAAAATATCAGTTGCTCAGAATTTCATATTTGATGAGGCTGTTAATTGGTCGTGTGTTACCAAGATTTAGCAAGATGGGCATCTTGGCTGCGACCTCTGAGATGGTTCTAGCAAAGTAACCAGTTTAGCAACAGGTGTCAGGAAAGAGTTGGGAATTGTGTTCTAACAATGCCTTGCCCTGAATGAAGTGTCCAGTGACTGGTTTGTATGTTCCTAGATCATGCAAATAGACCGCACAATTGCTTCTAGTAAATTCAATCTCCTGTCTCGTTTTTAAAGTGAGTTTCTCAGCTAGGAGCAATCAAAATTAAAACACTAACAGCATCTTAACTCATAATCTTAAAAGCTGTAAAATAGCGTCTGACACCATTCAAAGGGCATTTTGGCTCCAATACATCTGTCTGGACATCCTTGGATTTCAACCAAAATGCTTCTGCAAAACCGGCCAGCTTTTCGTTTTATTAATTCAGCTGGATTTGGAGATGCCAGATCTGTGACCTTTTGCATCCATGTACTGTCATATGGATAAGATCCTGGATCACTGGGATGACAGCACCGTTGCTCAGCCAAAAAATATAAAGCTACTTGGAAGTACAAGCAAACACTATAAACACACATTTTATCTTGACACTTACCTGAAACAGCTGTTTGTTTTGTATAAGTTATTAAGGCACAATTAAATGCAACGGGTTCTATGTATATGAATTTGTGTGTGCATTACAGTAGCATTTTAACAAAAGTAACACTTTCATATAATTCCTATATGGCCATTGAAGGCAGAAATTTAAGCCAATGGCCCTGATATTTACATGAGGGAGTAGATGTAGCTACTGGAAAAGGTGTTATTTAGCCTGATCCAGCAGGTTCGTCTTATATTCTTAAGGTTGAGCGTTTGCCAGGACCTCAGGTTCAGCAGAGGGCCAGCCATCTTCCATTCTATCATTCCTACTTTGCAGAGTATCCAAAAGGATCACATGCAGATTAATAACATTTTTGTTCTGAATCTTTCAGGTTCAAGGAACTCACCAAGAGTGCCACGGCTAAGGGCCTCCAAAATCCTGGAGCCAGTATTTGGAGGCCAAACAGGGCTTTCTTTACATGCCACTAACAAGGAGTGGGGGAATTTGAGATTTTCCGAGAGCCATATCCCAATGGTCACTCATCTGCTTTTGCATGTCTTGGGGTCAGTCCCCAGCATCTATGAAGTGTAGGTGGGTTCCCATGAGGCAAGACACAGTGATAACAGCAAGAACCTTTATTGAACTACATAACTGGGAAACAGAGGCAAAGCAACTCCTTATATACATTTCTGAAAGCCTGAGCCACACCCACTCCCAACGTGATTGGCTGTCTACACTACCAAACAGCGAATCACGACTCAGAGTTCAAGGGCCAATGGCAGAGGCCCAAATCTTGAAATGTTCTGTGACTGGACAACATGTATCAAATCAGAACACAGAAGCTCAGAATCCTTAGTCCGGACTCAAGCTCAGGCAAACTTAGAACACTGAATATATAACAATCTACAAATAGAGCTGGAAAAACTGTCTGAAATAATGGAAAGACACTGCCAGTCAGTGTAGACTGAGCTAGATAAACAAAGTTAAACTCAGAAGGCAGCTTCTTAGGTTTCAGTTTGGTTGGTGCTCCCACTTTTCTGCATACCTCACAACCTGAATTCAGGCAACTAGTCCCTTGTCTTTCGCCTTCTATTAATGCTGGGCAATCTGGTTCATGAGCGATAGCTCAGTTGGTAGAGCATGAGACTCTTAATCTTAGGGTTGTGAGTTTGAGCCCCATGTTGGGCAAAAGATTCCTGCATTGCAGGGGGTTGAACTAAATGACCCTTGTGGTCCCTTCCAACTCTACAATTCTATGACTCTATGGTGTATTTCCTGGCTTTTTCTTCCCCATCCTCCTTTTTTCCCTCAACTGCTCCTGAGCATCAGAAATATAGGCTCTCAAAGGTTGCTGCAAAGGGGACTTTCCTACTGTCTGCAGCTGCAGCAAAAATGTTTTCTTTCTTCACTTCCCAATGTGTGCACCATCCTGCCATAAAAAGCAGTGCCCTTACAAACAGAAATAAGAAATAAGAGACCTACAAATATGTTTTCTTCAGTATTTGTGCTACTGACATTCTGATCCTGCCCCCTTGAAGTGAGATTTATTGCAGCCAGTTCGAAAAAACTAAACAATTAATATTGGTAAGGTGTTCTCCATCTGCCTCTTTATTCGTCCTAAGAGACAGCAAGCAGTTTATGATTGGAATCAGATTGGCAAAGGGAGTGACATCTTTATGATAGTTACTGGAGAACCAAGCTGAAGAGATTACATCAATTGGTGTAGGATGCCAAGAGAGTTAATTATTTCAATAACTTGAATATCTGGAATCCTGGAGATTCTACATTGTTTTTCTTTGAAGAGTTGCATTTGTTTTGGTGAAATAGAACCATGTCAAATTCAGATTGCCCATGCTATGCTTTAAATGTCTGAGTAATGTTTGGATGGTCCAGTGATTATTCTTCTGTTTAATTTAAGATTGCTATTTTAAATTTTATTCAATAAGAAAAAGACCAAAGACTCAGGTGTTTGCTTAGAACTATGAGAATCAATTTCTTCTTGGTGCTGATATATGATTGATATAAACGTTTTTATATATTTTACTTTACCTTTATGTTTACAGAATCAATGTTATACCAACTTATTCCTACTACAATATTTTTCACATTTTCTCATTTCTAGGCTGCTTTTGTAGTGGTTGTAAGCTAGTAATAGTAATGATAATAATTTAAATATTTATATGCCCGCCATCTGACTGCTTCCAACAAAAGTATTCCAACAAAAGTCCACCTTACTCAAAATAAGTTTATGCATCTCCATCCACTGCAATAAGCTTTGATTACAATTGCAGCTGGCCACACAATGTAAGAGAAAAAGTGATACCATTTATTGTATTGACTTTTATTGGAATGGAACATGTTGTATTTTGGAAAAATTCAGTTTCAGATAAAATGAAAAGCAGATTATATATATATATATAACCTTACATACAAACCAAGTTGGCTTTTTCTGTCACTTAAGATAAAAACTAGGCAGCTGTTTTCTCCCCCACAAGCGACCCTCAGGATGATTCATCACTCTTCTTTCCCGATGCTCTTCTGCAACATATATCCGAAGATATATGCACACAATACAATAGCAGAGTCCAAGCAGAAGCTAGGCATTTGAGGTGTGGAATCTAAGCTACTTTATTATATAAAAGTGTTACAGAACAAAGGAACATACAGTGGTACCTTGCAAGACGAATGCTTCGCAAGACAAAAAACTCGCTAGACGAAAGGGTTTTTTGTTTTTTGAGCTGCTTCGCAAGACGATTTTCCCTATGGGCTTGCTTCAGAAACGTCTTGCAAGTTTGTTTCCTTTTTCTTAACACTGTTAATACAGTTGCGACTTGACTTCGAGGAGCAACTCATAGAACGCAGTGTAGTGGCCTTTTTTGAGGTTTTTAAAGACTTCGGTGATTTTTGAAGCTTTTCCAAAACTTTCCCGACACCGTGCTTCGCAAGACGAAAAAAACTGCAAGATGACAAAACTCGCGGAACGAATTAATTTCGTCTTGCGAGGCACCACTGTAGCTCCTCTCTCCTCCTTCTTCTCTGAGAGAGAGCAGACTAAAAGCAATAGGACAACATAACGGAACAGTGTAACTGAACTTCCATTCTCATGACTCCAACAGTATGGAATGTCAACACAGACATGTGATGAAAACAACCACACATCCTGCAATGAAGGAATGAAATCCCAACAATATCTAGGAGCAGCCTGGTGTTAAATCTCCAACCTCATCTCAGCCCAAGATACCCCAGTGTAACTTGTTCTTTCATCTAGGGCTCAGTTGAAGCTGGCTGAGCTGAGACTGGTGTAAAGTCTCCAAAAAGGGGCATTCAGGGATGGAGCAGTGGCGGGACCACATTGGATCCTAAACCCATTCAGCTTGGTTACTTGACCTGGCAGTACAGCATAGGACACCATTTTAAACACTTATTTTCCCTCTGCCAAGCTTAGGCAGAGCAGCAGTGCTGCTGAACAGGATTTGGATCTGGTGTAAATTTACTCTGGCTTAACTTCAGCTTTTATGCCAGTTTCATGTGCATATGAGTGCTCCCTAAACCGTTTAGTGAGAGATCTTTCACACATGCAGATTGTCTGAATATCCCCAAACCCAATGATCCATTATTTGTGGAAACCAACTTTTCACTCCCTGATGGTATGCTCCTGAGGGTTGAGGACCCTTGGAAATGATGTGGGGTTTGGTGAAGGGGACTACTGGGGGCATTTATGGAAATGGTGCCCCTCCTTAGGTAAACAGAGCAGCAACTTATCATCCAAGCCGTTTTAGATTTGTCATCTGAATTAATGACGCACGAAAAGCAAACACTGATTTGTGGAAACAACGTTCAGTGTCTCTTGGGAAAAGGTCCTAAGACTTAGGGCTGATGAAGATATCAGGTGAACTGAAAAGCTTGCATGCTATTTGGCGATATTTTGATTTGCCTAATAAAGGTACCAAGCCCAATTCAAGGTGTTGGTACTGGTGTACAAAGCCCTACATGCCTTCCAATGTGTATTCCAAGGTGAGAAGGGGATGCCCAGCTCTTCATCCCATCAACAGGCAACTCAAGACGGGGCCTTCTCGGTGGTGGCCCCTCAATTGTGGCACACGCACACACCCCGCCGGGAAGTGCAGTTGTCCTCCACACTTCCCATTTTTAGTTGTCACTTCAGTACATTTCTGTTTTCCCAGGCATTTCAGATATATATTTACTCTGGGATCTAGGACTGCCCTGGTTGAGCCCGTTATCCTATGCCATTGTGTTGAGTTTTGTAACATTGCTTCAATTACTGTATATAAACGGTTGCATGTTCAAGATGTTGTGCGCCACATTGGGCTTCTTTGGCCAGAAAGATGCTATACAAATATAAAAATAATAATATTGCCTTATAATATGTGGATTTTGGCTTTTTTAATGGGCCAGCACAGCAATGTTTACTTCTTTCTGTTCACAACCAAAACTACTGATTTCAAAGGTCCTGCTCCTTTTCAGTTGCATAATCGAGAAAATTAGAATTATGAGTCTCTGAGGAGGAGTCTCTGAGGGGTAATCCGGCGCCACAGAAAGAGAGGGGAGACTACGACCTCCGCTTTCCGGACCACCAGTCGCCAGAGCGGGAGCATCCAGCGCTCGCCCACCGCCTTCCCTTCCCCACCGCCCGGCAGCGCGGCCGGGCTGGACTCTCCCGCCGTCTCCTCCCCTTCCCCGCTCAGCGCCCTCTCCCGGATGGGACCGGGAGGCGACTGCACCGCCGGCTTCCCCCTTCCGTCCTCCTTGGCTGCCGAGCCGGAGCCGCGCTGCCAGGAGGCCCCCTCTCCTCCTCCGAACGCGCGCCGCCTGCTGCCTCCTTGCCCGCTTGTCGGCTGCTCTCCGGGCTTTCGGGGCTGGAGCCGCCGCCGCCGCCGCGCCTGGGAAGGGAGTCAGGTAAGAGGCGTCGCCTGAGGAGGGCTGCCTTTACTTTTGGCGCCGGACCTCAGGCGTCAATGGCGGGGGGTGTGGGGTGTGGAACTGCTTTAGGAGAATGCAATAGAATAAGCATTAGTAGGGGAGCAAGGCTTTCACAGAATCCTAATACTTATCTGTGTCTGAAAGCAAAGGGACCATGGGGAGGGGAGCGGGAAGTATTTTAAGGGAGCGCCCACTTATTTATGTATTTATTTTATTTATATATCACTTTTCTCTCAAGGTGGTGCGCATGGTTCTCTTCCTGCCCTTTTCATCCTCACAACAACCTTGTGAGGTAGGTTGGGCTTAAGAGATGGTAAGGGCCGAGTGGGGATTTGAACCCTTCTCTCCCAGGTCCAACACTCTAACCACATGGTAGACCTTTGAGGGAAGTTTTTAATATTTAATGCTGTATTGTTTTTAACACTTGATTGGAAGCCGCCCAGAGTGGCTGGGGAAGGGATGGGTGGGGTATAAATAATAAATTATGGGTGGGGTATAAATATATTATTATTATTATTATTTCAGCAAATTGCATTTTTCCTTTTCTAACCCCCCACCCCACCCCACCTGCTCTCTTTTAAATGCAATTATATACATCTTGGCCCCCCCTTTTCTCAACAACAGGCAGTCAATCTTTTCCCACAATATCTAGTGGCTAAATAATGGCTTAATTAGTGCAAGGGCTCCATTGGCATGAATGGAGGAAGGACAAATGAAAGTGACCCAGAGCAAAGAAAGCTAAATTTCTTGTATGTACTGTATATGATTTGCCATTTCCAAAGTCACTGCTGGACCTCTTAATGTGGAAATGTTGCATTGGGAACTAGGTATCCACGCAGCTATTTCAAATCTTTAAACACAAGCAGTACATAACAAAAATCAAAGAAGATGTGCATACATATGTCTTCTGGTAGAATACATGCTCTGTGTACATTTTCACATGGAAGCACTTTGAAAAAATTATCTATATGAGTTTCAGTGCTGATGACTTGTGGTCAATACAACACTGGAATCTCAGTCCCATAAGTTCTGAATCTTAAGAAATCAAATCTGTTCCACCACATAAAACACATAACCTAACTCTGCCAACTCCATGGTACTATTAATCTTAAGTATTTTGTGGAAAATATGACAGATTCAATTCAAAGAGATCAAATGAGCTGTCCCCAAAGAATCAATTTGATGAAAAGATACTTTGTCTGTAGAGCAGTTGAACATAACTTGCCAACTAGGAGACCGATGTCATTACAAAAATCTTCCTCAGTAAATCTTGCTTCCCCACATCCAGTGGAAATTATGCAAAGCTGACCAAACCATGGGATTACTGTTTCAAATATCACTATATGCTTCTTCATAGTTGCCTTTATTAAACTAGAAAATGTTAGCTGCAGAGATCCCAGTGGCTCCGTATGCAATTTAAGATAATAGAGCATAACTTTTAGCTTTCTCAGTATGGATTGACTACTGACAAGAAATGTTGCAGCAGTGAATGAGAACTTTTCCAGGTATTTTAAGGAAGAAAAAGAGATCCCATCACTTGATTGCTGTAGGGGAGCCAAACATCTTTCTTCAAATAAATGTTGCTATTATTCTTAATGTTACTACAGTAAAAATAAAAAAAATAAGTTCCACAAAGTATCATCCTAAGACGGCGGCATTACATTACTGCTTGCTTATTTACATACATTACAAATATCAAACCACTGTGATCCAAAACCATTCCTCTTTTTTTGATGACTGAGCCAATTTTATGTTATTTGTCAATGTTTCAATCACAATTGTATCCCAACCCTTTTTGTACCAATATTCCAAATGTTTCTCTAAGGAACTGAAATTCCCGTTACAGTAGCATAACTGTAAGTGCTTTGTGGACTACGTCTGCATGTGTTCTCATGAGCACCTATTGGACAGTATCCAAAAGATCCCAAGTAAACAGTAACACAACTCCCTTTTTTCTTATTTTGTTCCTTGACACTGGAGGATAGTATGAAGACATGGGATGCAGCAAAATTACTGCAGCTAAGCAGGTCTGGGCCTAGTTATTGCCTAGACTGGAGCCTCCTTGGAAACCCTAGGTATGCCACCTTGAGTTCCATAATAAATACAGCTAGGATATAAATATAATAAGCAAATAAGACAGAGATCCAAACCCCCAACTGTTGCACTGAAGGTGGGTGGGTCTTGGATGGGTTGGAGATCTTCCTTGGCCCAGTCCAAAACAGCTTCATTGGCCTCCCTCTCGCATGGAGATCTCCATTCCGCCTGGCAAAAGTGCAGGTGGTTGGAAACACAGCCAGTGGGATTCCCAGTGGCAGTAGCCCACAGAAAGACTCAAAACAGTAACAGGGATGGGTGAGCCAGTCCGGGATCCACTGGCTCCAGAGCTGGCCCACTGCCATCACTTGATGGCTTTGGACCTGATTCACTGCCAGTTCCAGGCTGCTGTATCAGAGAACAGGTCTTTGCCTGCCCCTTCATCTTCCACCCAAGCTGGAATTAGGATTGCTCTATGTCCTTAGAGACTGACACTGTGTACACACCATACAACTGAAGCACATTTGAAGCATGTTACTTCCGTCAAAGGGTATTGGGAACTGCAGTTTACCCCTACATCTCCCAACAAACTACAGTTCCCAGGATTCTTTGGGAGGAGTTGAGTATGCTTTAAATCCACAGCAGTGATCAGAGGAGAAACAAGTGCTGATAGAAGAAACGCCACGGTGCATCTGTAACAGCGAAACGGATGCCTTCGTCTGGCCCAACTGCAATAGAAGATGTCTCTCCTATTTGATCTCTTCAGCCACAGCTGGCGCTGAAATTCTCCAGTGGTTTGACTTTAGCCCCAATAGCGCACTCTTCCATTGGCGCACGCTTCCATTGTTGAGACAGGCAGATGCCAACAATGACAATGACAGAGTTTTCTTGCATCCATTTGTCTTTTAATGGAACACAGTAATGAAGTAATAATTTTTTTTCCTCAGTAGAATGTGCCCAAGGTTTTTAAGTACTGTTGAGCTTTAGCTGATTTAATGCTATTTTAATTTGGATACTTTATGTGTATTTTTAAATGGGTGTTGCCTGGTTTAATTGGGTGTCGTCTATTTGGACTGTACCCTCTGTGGAGCAAATGATACTGCGTCCACGTGTAAGAGCCCAGATGGCATCTTCTTTGAAAAAGAAAGGGGTGCTTTGAAGGAGGGAAGGAGCAGAGGGGAAGGGAGTGCTTAACCCAAACTAAATCTGAGTAAATAAATAAGCGCTACGGGTGGCTCTGTGGGTTAAACCACAGAGCCTAGGACTTGCTGATCATAAGGTCGGCAGTTCAAATCTGGCTCCCTCAGCCAATAAAGTGAGATGAGCGCCGCAACCCCAGAGTCGGTCACGACTGGACCTAATGGTCAGGGGTCCCTTTACCTTTACTGTATCCTAACCCACTGGGCGACATAATATTGTGAGTGTTTGTAAATATGTGGCCTTTTCTTTGTTTTACATTTGCATTTATATGTTGAAAAACTTAACATCTTGCCTTTCTCCAATGCTAACGCCCTAGGAATGTTTACTCAGAACTAAACCCCATTGAATTCAATGGATTACTCATTTATTTATTATTAAATTGTTAACCCACCTTTCCTCTATGAGCTCAAGATGGCAGACACAGTTTCCCCCCCCCTTTCCCATTTTATCCCCGCTGCAAGTAAGTGTTGCGCAGAATTGCAGCCTTCAACTGCCCATATCACAGTGCAAAAAGAAGTGAAAATATATGCACGAAATTCATAATCTCAAATCACAGCAAGTAAGCGAGTTAGTGTGGCACAGAAACACCTGTTGTGGTGTGAAGTGTTAGGCTTCACCATAGGAGATCCAGGTGCAAAATCTTTGCTCTATGTATGCTTCCTGTTGCAATATGCGAATCAACCTGTTCTGTGTAACCTGCCCCACACATGATTGTTTTGAGGAGTGGACATCCTTGGAAGAAGGGCAGAATACAAATGAATCAAATCACTGGAAGATGTTTTACAGCACCTTCTAAAGTCTTTTATAAATGTTGTTAGTCTTTTTATATAAGATTGTTAATGATGGCGTTGTCTATGTTTTTAGCTTTTTCTATTTTATCTATATAGGGGGACGTGGGTGGCGCTGTGGTCTAAACCACTGAGCCTAGGACTTGCCGATCAGAAGGACGGCAGTTCGAATCCCCGTGATGGGGTGAGCTCCCGTTACTTGGTCCCAGCTCCTGCCAACCTAGCAGTTTGAAAGCACATCAAGTGCAAGTAGATAAATAGGTACCGCTCCGGCGGGAAGGTAAACGGCGTTTCCGTGCGCTGTTCTGGTTTGCCAGAAGCGGCTTAGTCATGCTGGCCACATGACCCGGAAGCTGTCTGTGGACAAACACCGGCTCCCTTGGCCTATAGAGCAAGATGAGCATGCAACCCCCGAGTCGTCCGCAACTGGACCTAGCGGTCAGGGGTACCTTTACCTTTACCTTTTTATTTTATCTGTATAAGCTGCCTTGAGTCCTGGATTGGGGAAAGGGTGGGATATAAGTAAATATAATAATAATAATAATAATAATAATAATAATAATAATAATTGTTGCGTGTACATTCAGAAAGAAGCAGCATTAAAAGAAAGGTGCATGACATATTTCTGGCAGTGATTGCCTGACAATAAAACTTAATCTCATTTCCTCTTGTCACAGTGAAGTGCCCTGATTATCCATCTTGCTCCATTCTTTTTTCTTTCTGAAAAATGAAGAAAATGATCTCATGCTTCCTTTTGCTGGTTGGACTTTTCCCTGCCTTGGCCAGAGAGAAACGCTTTCCAGGGACACTTTTAAGTCAAAGAAATGATGTTTCTTTACTTGGTGAGTTGCAAGTTGGCAATATCAAACAATGCCTGCATACAGTTTAGGACTTCCTAATGCTTGTAGATTGTAAGCAATGGGGACTGCGCTGCTCTGCTCTTTTGGAGGGGATGATTATTGTGGAAGCCACAACACCAGAGATAGGATAGGGAAGCAGAGAAGTAGAACAGTTTGGGAAGATGCATATACTATTATGATGAGTGGTCTTTTTAAACAGGCAACACTACTTCTGGATGGACCAAAGTACCTGGTGAAGTGGCAGAGAGAGGCTTGCATAACCTTTTCCTTGCCTGCTGTTTCCTTTATCAGATTACAAAACAGCCATGATTTTAGGGGGAGGGGGGAGGGCAGAGAGATAGTTGCTTTGGAGTGATTTGGAGCAAGAAACAGTGAGCAAGAAAATAGTCAAGCACTCCCTTCTCTTCACTGCCTCTCTAGTGCCTGTTCCTTTCTGGAAGTAGCTTTTACTGCTTAAAAAGGCATGGTGGGTTGATGATTACATTCATAAATGTCTAGTTTGACACTTAAAATGGCACGTACATGTTGGGGAAATTGTTGGTATTAATAGCATCAATTATATGAATTATACCCTATTGCTTGAAGTGCCTGGAATAAACTAGTACAGTAAATCTATTTTCCTAGAAGCTCAACTAGATGACCTAATGCACATTTTATATTTCCATTGCTTATGAATGTGTCATAAACACTGGATTCCAAATAAGAGGTTTGGGATCAAAATCACAAAAATTAAAGTTGTATGTTCACAGGTGTTGTTTTAATCCTTGCTAGTTAGTATTGTTATCTTTGTTAGAATTGCGTCAGAAAGTTCCATGAGGGGTATATATCCTATCCTGTCCTTTCCTTTCCTTTTTGGACTACATTAGTTGTAAATCAGAGCCAGAATTGTGGGCATGGTTAAACAAAGCCAGAACTTTTCATTTCCGTGTGATGTTTGCAAAGACTTCAAAATTTGCCTTGGCTAGAGTACTGCATTTGACCCAATTTATTCTTATTTCTGATTAGTTAATTATGGAACATATGCAAAATCCACAGCTTGCCCTCTGACTATTAGTATTCCAAAGCTGCATCACTACTTCTAAAACTGGTGCCAAAACAATGTCCTGGGAAGGAGGAACCTACACCTGGCATTCAAGAGCCCTGTGACAACTGACAGGGCCCATGGAGAAGAATGTGTTGGCTTTTTGGCTCCATTCCTTCATGTACTTGAGTCTGAAAAGTTACACTGAAAATAGCTCACCTAATTTTTTTACTTGAAATGATAAGCATCTTTTGAGGGTTAATCCCCCACCCCGACTTTTTTCAACTACATTTGAATCAACACAGAGAATTCCAGCTTACGGCATAATTGGAAGAGAAACAATGAACTGGATCCAACTCCTCAGATTGAGGTCCAGACTTCCTAGTTTGGTCTCCAGTGGTGACCAAACTTAAGTTCAGCCCTTCCAACTCTATTTTAATTTCTTTCTTTCTGACTTCATTCCTGCAAATATCCCTCACGTGTTATCCATGTACAATTATTATACCATAATTATTGGTGTTTTATTCTACGCTAGAAAAAAGAGAGAGAAATAACTGCATACAGGAGTGAGGTAATAATGTGGAAAACTAATAAATATGCCAGCATTTCTGCATCTCATTAGAATTGGAATGCCATTTTTGCTCATTTTGGAGGATGTTCAGCAACCTCTGGTTCTGAAACCTTTCTGTGACTCTCTGAAGAAACCTTGACTGTAGCCCCCAAATGAATAAAACATAGTTACTTCATAGACCGCAAATAACATTGTTGTTCTGTGCCCACAAATGTTTCTGGTTGCTGACAAAAGACCAAATGAACCAGAGGGAAATATGGCCATTTCCCTCAATAAATTGCACAAACATGTTTTCAGTATTTATCCTTGAACCGTTTGCTTAAGCACGCAACAATAGACAACAGTACAAAAAAACCAAAAAAATCTAATTTTGACTTTGTATTTCCCCAAGATGGAATATTGCTTCAGTGACTACAGAATATGCAGACTCAGAATAGGAGCCCATAATGTTAGGTTCTTACCACTAGCTGAATTTGGTTGTTGCCTACATCTTTTATGCTAATTCACAATTCTTCTTTTAGTATTATTAGTACAGTCAAACCTCGGATCCGAACGCCTCCGTTTTGGAACATTTCGGCTCCCAGACGCTGAAAACCCGGAAGTAAATGCTCCGGTTTTTGAATGTTTTTCGGAAGCCAAACATCCGATGCAGCTTCCACTTGGGTGCAGGAAGCTCCTGCAACCAATCGGAAGCCGCGCCTCGGTTGTTGAACATTTCGGAAGCCGATTGGGCTTCCAGAATGGATTACATTCGACTACCGAGGTTTGACTGTAGCATGTTTATACTCCACCTTTCCTCCAAAGAGGTGAGACTGGTATATATGTTACTCGCCCCTCCCATTTCAGCCTTACAACAACCCTGTGAGGTAGGCAAGGCTGAAAGATGGAGACCGTAGCAAGGTCATCATGGCCGAGTGGGGATTTGCACCTCGGTCTCCCAGTTCCTAGTCCAGCACTCTAACCAGAACACTAAAAATATTGGTAGATTGAGTATCTGTGGGTTGTAAATTAAATTTCATTTGCTTCCTAGTTCTTAATTCAAATTATAAGCACTCTACCTGACCCATCATACTCACTTTGGGGAATTGTTTGTTTTATATATCTGCTTTCCCCTCTCCTTTTTCAGAAAATTTTTGCAATAACAAACGGCTGGACCTTGTGTTTATCATCGACAGTTCTCGCAGTGTTCGCCCTTATGACTTTGAGAAAGTGAAAGAATTCATCTTAACCATCTTGCAGTTTTTGGACATTGGCCCGGATGCCACTAGAGTGGGACTCATTCAATATGCCAGCACGGTCAAACAGGAATTTTCCCTGAAGACCTTTAGGAGGAAACAGGATGTGGAGAGAGCAGTGAAAAGAATGTTGTACCTGGCCACAGGTACCATGACGGGATTAGCCATTCAGTATGCAGTGAACATTGCATTTTCAGAATCTGAAGGGGCTCGGCCACTCCGACAGAACGTGCCTAGAGTGATCATGATAGTGACAGATGGGAGGCCTCAAGATCCTGTCGCAGATGTTGCCGCAAAAGCCAGGAATTCGGGAATTCTGATTTTTGCTATTGGCGTGGGAAAAGTAGATATGAATACCCTCAAGTCCATTGGGAGTGAACCTTATGAAGACCATGTGTTTTTGGTTGCAAATTTTAGCCAGATTGAAACGCTGACTTCTGTGTTCCAGACTAAACTTTGTGGTAAGTCTCTTAAACGTAGATTTTGAAAGTTTTGTTGAAAAGTCTTTTAAAGGTGCCTCCCTACCTCCCTCTTGTTTTTAAAAGAAACAGGTGCATGCCAGAACCATGGGTTCCTTATCATGAAAGACAAATTGCAGTGTGTTTGATGAATAGGCAGGTTTTTTGAGAAGCACCACAAATAATTATTTAAGGCTGCATTCAGATGCAGCAACAAAAAACAGTTTTCCATTATGTGCATGAGCCGCAGTGAACCTTGAACTCACACACTTTCCCTTTCCCTTTCCCTTTCCCTTTCCCTTTCTTTCTTTGCATGCAAAGGGAGGAAATGTAAAACTTCTGATTGCAGTCAGTAATGAACTGCATCTTCCTGTTTTCTCTGAATATGGTAAGCTGACATAGGTCGTTCACCTGTACATGCCAGAATCAAACAATAGTTTAATATCCTGGTTTGTTATTTAACTATGATTTGTACAAAGAGTTTCTCATGTTCAAACAGAATGGGAAACTGTGGATGGTTACAAACCATTTTGAGCAGGAAAGACTATTTTGGTGCTCGTTTCATTCCTTTAATATGCATGTTCTCTTTGCCCATTGAAAGAAAAACCTCTTATCTAGGTTTTTACACCTCTTACCTAGTCTTTTCGTATATTACCGGTAAGTCTTTAGCAGAAGTAGTTTTGTTTAATTACCTTTCTATTTTTCAGTCCAACACATGTGCAGTGTGACTGAACATGGCTGTGATCATTTCTGCATCAACACTCCTGGATCTTATGTATGTAAATGCAAACAAGGGTATATTCTGAACTCAGACCAGAGGACCTGCAATAGTGAGTTTTCTATTGTATCTCTCTTATATCTTACCAACTCATAAATACAGTCTTTGGTGTAAAATTGCAAAGCTGTTGTGGTCTCAACAGCCTGAAAACATTTGACATTACTTCCTTGGAAAATCAATATATCCACTCCTGATAACTTTGTTTTATAAGGTAAAATGGTGGAATGGTTTTTTGGTGTGTGTGTATCAACATATTCTAAGAAAGCTACATGTTAAGTTTTCTCTACTACAACATAGTGCAGTTTCTGATGTAAATGTAATGCTGTACTTTCCTTTTCTGCATATCATTGGCTGCTTCTGGTGGGAGCTGGACAATTCTCAGCATAGCAGCACCCAGGATATTATGCACTATGCATGATGGGGAAACATCTTTGAGGGGGGAAATGCTAACATTTTCAGCAACAGATCCATATTGTTTTTTTGTGGTTCTGCCCACAGGAACACCAATATTGCTATATAGTTGGTAGTACCTGTACCTCTTGCCTATGTCTTTCCCCTTTCAATTCTCCCGTCATTTTAATAGTAGGAAAACTTTTTAAAAACACTTTGCATTTCCATTTTGTCTCACATTTTCTTTTTCCTCTGTGCCAAAGATTTCTTCACTTTCCTTGCCAAAACAGTGTGTGATATCTAGTCTCAGATCTTATCATGGTTATTGCTTGCTATAGTGTAGAATACATTTAAAATATAAAATGTTTCATCTAAGATCTGGAGTCTTAGACTAGGACTTCTCTCCTGTTTATGTCACCCTGCAACATGTTGAAAAAATAATTAGCTGCAATAGTCTTGTCCAGAAGATCAACGTGGCATTGTGGCACCAAATGCTTTGTGCACTTCTTCACAGTGTTTATAGTGAAGATTTCCCTCAGAGGCAAATCATTATGTTTTTCCTCCACTTGTGTCTCAAAATAAACATTATATAGTAGCACATGGCTTTTTTTGGATTCTAAGTGGCCTTCCTTCCTATGATAACTTAGTTCAAGTTATGTACAGCAAAGTGATAAAAATTATAAATAGCATGGGCATAATTAAATAGAAGGTGCCCCTACACCACCACTTTATGACATACAGCTTATTGCCTTCTCTTATAAAGTACTGATTTAGGACAAACAAAATAAAATAATTCCTTCCAGTAGCACCTTAAAGACCAATTAAGTTTGTTATTGGTATGAGCTTTTGTGTGCATGCACACTTCTTCAAATAGCTTCACACTTCTTCATATAACTTCTTCAGGTGTATCTGAAGAAGTGTGCATGCACACGAAAGCTCATGCCAATAACAAACTTAGTTGGTCTCTAAGGTGCTACTGGAAGGAATTATTTTATTTTGTTTCGACTATGGCAGACCAACACAGCTACCTACCTTTAACTGATTTAGGACAGTAGTGCAGAAAATTGGCTGCAAGGAACATTATGATGAGTGGTGCCCAATGGGTGACCATGAAAATTGCCAGAAATTGGTGCAGTAGGAATGCGCATTAATTCACCAGTAGAATTGCCGTTCCTGACACAGCACATAAGTGTCTTCACTGCAATTAAGTGCAGAGAGAAAGAGAGCCATGGAGGGAGCAAGAGTGATGATGGTCCATTTATATACCATTCTAAAGGATTTTCTCGCTTTTAAAAAAATGGCATAGTTATATTGTGGCCTAAGCTAAGTATAGAATCCCCAAGATATTTTTTCCCTGGTAACTATGGCCAAGGAAGCATGTGTGGCAGCTGTGGATGTATGCACTGCTGATGGCCCTGTCACACCTATTGTAGAATATTAAGAAAGGTGGATGCTAGAACAGTTTTGTTGGCAAGGGTTAAATTCAAGCTGATGCAGCCCTAGTGTGATTTATTTATTGCCTTATTTTAATGATTTGTTTTACATATTAATATGCCACCTTTCAGAATGACAGTTTGCATCAAATAAAAGCAATTTTTAAAAACCCACTTCTACAGTGTGATCCAAAAATATTGAGTGGATTCATCTAACCAGCCCCATCAGCAGAAGCTTTCTGGCCAGGGTTTTCCTCCTCTTTCTCCCACTGCACCACATATAATTGGCTCTGAACCACCCCAGAACAGTGTGCAGGAGGAAGAAAGGAGTATCATTCTGTTTGGCAAGCTGGAATGATTACATAGATTGAATGTTGGGAAGAGTGTGATGTTGATTTCCACTCATTGTATTTTTTATTTTTATTTTTTTGCATGTGTTGTAGAATGTCCAGAAGCATATAAGGCCAAAAGCACATTCCTCACATGGTCTCTAATCTCTGCAGATATAAATAAGCCTTGTTTACATTTTCAGACAATACATGGTCAACATTAACCAGATGTATTTGACTAAATGCTAGCATCGGCTTTCAGTTAACTTCCACACTAAATTTAACATCCTCAAAATCACTTACCCTTTCTAATCTCTCAAAGTCACTGGCTATAATTCACATCTCATTAAAGTAAATGGCAAGGCTCTCACTAGTAGTTCAGGTTTGTGAATTTCACTCGCTGGCTGCAGTTCCACAACCAGTTTATACATATATGTGACCCATTAATTTAATCAGCATTGACTTAGGCGTACAGGAAATGTGCCCCTGTGTTAAATGGCTTCCCTACACCCAATATCCAGATGTTGAGTGTGGTTGCCTGTAGCAGGAAAAGCCCAAAGTGTACATGTATCAAAGAAGGGTACTTTAAAGTATTGATATTACAAGTCTGGAATTCCCCGCACAGAGCAGCCTGCAACAACTTATCCCTTCCTATTTTTAAAGAGAGTTTGAAAGGGGGGGGGAGGAGTTTGGAAGGCTTCTTAAAATCGATTAAAACCATTCTGCTCACTAAACAGAATTGGTTCATCAAACAGATGAGAGTTCATTTTATTTTTAGTGTCAAGATCAGGAGCAGTCAGTGGGGTCACTGCCATGGAAACCAGCCTTTTGGCATTGGGGTTTTTTGCTGCTTACAAGGACAGCGGCTGAAAAAGGATGGCAGTGAAGTTGGACTGGCTCAGGCACACCAGAGAAAGCATCAGATTGGCTCTGCTGGTGTGTTTGTGTCCTGGTAAGCAGCAGTGATGCAGCCCCAACAGCCCCATTGGTTTTTTTCTGCAACAGACTAACATGGCTATCCTTAGCTTTACTGTTATTTTGTTTGTGTTGTTGGTTTCTAAATAGTTGCTCCATTTAAATAATGTTTTGTTTATTCTCACATTTGGGCAATTAAGATTTCCTTTTTGAAAGGAAACAAAATGTGTCAGGCATAGAGGGAACTTTGAAGAAACTAGATATAGCGTATCCAGTTTGTTCGTGCAGAAAACAAACCTATAGTAAGTCTTGGCTGGGGAAAAAGTAAGCATGCCATTCTCTGGGAAAGCATGCGTGTATTTGTCACAGTGAGCACAGATTGTATAAGTAAACAGTTGCTTCTTTTACCAAATATTTAATCTATATTTTCAGAATTATGTCTAGGTTTTTAAAGTATCAGTATCACATATCAGTTTTGACACTTTGTTTTAGAATGTTTTATTTTTTTATAAAGTTGTTTATATATCATGGGCTTGTGTTAAACATGACTTGCTTATTTTAATCTCTTTCTCACATTTATCTTTAAATACGTCCAAATCTCCCTGGTCATAAATTCTTGAGGTAGGAAAAACAATCTGAATAAGCAAGGGTGACTTTAAATCACTTAAGTAGTACCGATTGTGGATATTTAGTTTCTAGGCTGTAGGGGCAATTAGTGACCTGATACTGGTTTTTTAAAAGCAATACTGCAAAGTATTCTCTTTTTTAATTGTTTGAATCCTATTTCTTGAGGGAGATCGTTCTAGCTTAAAAGATCTTTCAGAATTTTAAACTAAAAGCATATTTATACTGCTACCCAATCTGCCAGTTGGCTATATATTGGCTTTGGGATGGGACCCCTCTGTATTGCAGAAGATACTGAGACATGTTTTAAGGCACCCACTGAACTCACACAGAGCATAGTTCATGTAGGAGATTACCAGCCAAACCTAACAAATGCATATTCTTGTTAGTTAGCATGAGAAGGGGCTAAATCCACAGAGCTGTATTGCTGATAGGCAGATACTCAGACTGTTATGTACTGAAGTTCTCACCCTGGGCCAGCAGGGGGATACTGTAGATAGTTATGCAAATGAAGGATTGAAAGTGACGTTCAGTGATTGGATAGTTTTAGAAAGTTGCTACAGTAACGTTGTACTGGAGCTCTAGATAAGCAGGCTGACTGAGCCCTTCAGTTCAGTTCTGTTCTGGCCTCTGAATAAACAAGAGCTGTTTGAAGAATCGCTGTGTCGTCTGATATGTTCACCCACAACTTAACACAGACCATACAATTGGTAGAGAGGGCTCTGTGTGATGTCGTTTCCCCTCCTCTCCTATAGAGGAAGGAGCATATAGTACTTCCTGTTCCTCTCTATGTTCCTTTGACTAGTGTTGGATTCAGATATGCCTCTGCTTGCTGCAGCTTTTAGGCACATGGCTGAAGCTGGTTACATTGTAAATATAAGTATTTTGCCTGCATAGTTTTTCCTGCTGCCACTTCTGTGAACCAGTGCAATATTATAAGTAAGTAAATTATAAATATTTTTACTTACTTTACAAGCTGTTGCCTGATTCTTTGTTAAGTGGGGTAAGAAGTGGGAAGCCAACTTACTTGCTAGCTGGATTTGCTCGAAAGGAGGCTTTGCAGCCTAATTCCTATGCTTCTGATTTTGCTGCCAAGGTTGGGATTTTGAAACTCTGTTCAACCCACACATGTGGGAGCCTAGAGAAATGAATTGCAATTAGTATATCTTCTCTTACCTATTAAAACCCATCCCACAGGTCACACTTTGTTGACCCCAGTTTCACTCTGCACAGACTGAGAGAGGTAGCTGTGGTAGTCTTCTTCAACATGAGCAACAGCAGAGTCTTGCAACACAGCATTTATTATGGCATAGACTGGTGGTAGCCAGTGTGGAGCCCTCCATATGGTGTGGACTAATTATCAGGAAATCTGCATAGGTTTGCAATTCAGTGCTATTCAATCTCATTTCAAGTAAATCTTCCAGAAGTTCTCCCATTTCTGTCCATGTGGTAATGGAAGGTTCTGATACAATTTTAGCCAAAGTGCTTGGTTTTAAGCCAGTTGATGATCTGATTGTAACATTTGCTGTTCCTGCAGATTAGTTCTGCATCCAACAGATAATTTTGGGTAAGGTAACAAAGCATATCTATATGTTCACAAACATCTCCAATATTACTGGCCTCTCTGCATGCAGATACGATATATGAAAGATTACAGGACATGAGACAAAAAGAGAAAAGGTAGAACTGATTATGGCATAGGGTGCATAATTCAGTTCTTTTTAAGATTGTGGTGTAATTTTTATATTTTGCAGCCCAGGACCTATGCGAAGTCGAAAAGCATGATTGCGAACAGATATGCGTGAATACACCCGGATCCTATGTTTGCCAGTGTTATGATGGTTATGAACTTGAGGAAGATGGAAAGAAATGCTTCAGTATGTATCTGCTTCCTATTGTTCTTATAGTTAAAAAAAGAAAGCAAGGAAAAAGAGGCTGCTTTTAGTGTGATAACTGTCTTGGATATCTTTCAGCCCTCCAAGGCCCGGAGAAGTGTACCCATCTGCCCCCTCACCTGCTTGGGCCTGCCACAGGGTCCCATTGGTAACTCTCATTCCCATGAAGATGGTTACTTATGACTGCAGGCAGATCAACCTCTCTAGTTTCTAGTCTCCTATATTCAGTTTGGAGTATCAGGGATGACAGGGTGGCTGAGACCCATAAGCTGTCAGCTCACACATTCCATTGCTTATGGGGAATGGAAGGTTCTGCTGGCTGCAAAGCCGTAAGATAAAATCTTACAGAACTAATGTGGGAATAGGATGAAGGGAAGGAAGAATTCATGTGGTGCCACTGTAGAAATTTCTCTAAGCAGGAGAACTCCAGCAATGGCAGGAAAATTATCAGACAACAACAACAAACTAATAAGTTTAAGGGCACAAGCTCTTTGTGGTAGCTATGTGAGTTGTTCCTAATGTTATGATTGATCTGCTGTTTCCCACATTGTGGACTTCCCTTTTCTGGAGCTGGAAGGGAACACCTCCACATTTCATTAAAGAGTGTTCCTTGATGCTAAACAACTGTCTTTCTCAGGCTCCAGTTTTTAAAAGCTTGCTAAAAAAATATGTGAAAGCATACTGATTCCATCATACGTTCAAGTTTTCTTAGGCCCATAAACACAGTCACACCCCAATACTTTGTAAGCAAAACAGCTTCCCACAGCTGTACATTCTCTCTAGCAAACTTCACTCTGAAACCCATAAAACTTATTGCTTTTCAAATAACAGCTGTTTTATGTTACTACTTTGCATGAGGAATGGGTTGTTCTTTGTTCTAATGAATACTTTACTTTCTGATTGCTGAATACTTAAACTTATTATATATAAATCGGATGCATTTCCATTTACATGCGCTATGTTCTCTTTTTGTTTATTTAAGTATTTTCATTTGTTTGAATACCTCCTGTCCTATGCCCTACTGAGATCCCTAAAAATCAAAGCCATCTTCTTTTGTATAGTATTTGTTAATTTCTCCAGGGGCACATAGACACACTAGCTCTTCTGTAACTGTGCAACTCCTTTCCCCTAGAGAGTTCTCATAGCCCAAATATCTAGCTTAAGTGCCATGATACTTTTCTTTTTCTTTAAGCTAGGGCTGAGCTATAGGTAGCTCTCAGATCAGCCAGAAGCTGAAACAGACTAAAGAGACTGATGGGAAATCTTTTACAGCTTTTTCTATCCAGGAGGCCCCAATGGCCAACTTGGGGAGAGGGGAGGGACTAATCCAGAGCCTGAGAACATTTCACTAGGAGGAACTTGTTCCAAGGAACTTGTTCCTACACAGAGAATGGAACCCAGTTCTAGCCCTGGCAGCTTCTGGCACTTCAGGGACACAAGGGTTTAAAAAAAGCATTTCCATGCAATTTCAACCATGGTATAAGCTTCTCTACTGAGACTTAAATATATTCTAGGCTCATTGGATAATTTAGCAGGAGCTTATTAGTGGCTTATGGAATGATGAGTCCTCTTCTCACTGCTCAAAACATGTCTATTCTCATATTCATATTATGTATTTTCCCTTCCTCTTGACCTAATTCTACAGAGGTGTGGCTTCTCTACATTTAGCTTGGAGGAACTCCATAATACAGTATGTGCAGCTTATAGGCAGCTCAGGCTGAAGTCCTATGTACCTTCCAAATGAGTAAATCTAAATGAACACAGTGGGACTTACTTCCAATTCTGTGCTGAAAAAATCATATTTTTTTTAATGAATGCCCTTACCTAGCCATATTTACTTAGATTTAATTATCATTGATTTCAGTGGACCTTTATCCATCTAACAGTGCTGAAGGTTGTGGTCCTGTTGTACACTCCATTTTAGTTTTTTCTACACCTTGAACTTTTAAGATGCAGTTTGCAGTGGCTCACGGGAATACTGTTCCCTTACATTTCCAGTGGTCAGACATGAGTGTTTTTGCTTAAGTAGCTAAAACTTTACCACCTGAGCACAAGGGAGAGGTGTCAGCAGGTTCAGGGGCAGCCCAAGTTTTGCAGAAGACAAAAGTGCTTTCTTTCTCAAGAGGTTATATGTGCCAAATGAAATACTACTACTTTTCTAAAGAGTAGATGATATGTGCCAGATACTATTAGTTTCAAAAACCTAGAGTAGTCATGTTGTCTGAACATCTCAACTTTACCCCAGGAATAAAGAGTAAATTACAGTCAAATCAGAGCCCAGCCATTCTGAATTCTGTGTGATGCTTAATAATTGAATCTATGGGACAGAAAAAAACTAAACAGTTTAAACATCAAGAACCGATGTTTTGACAGAACTGAAGTAATACTGCAACACAGCACACATGTGTATGTGAAAACACACAAAAGATGTTGCATATGTGGTGTTTTGTGTGTGTACATTATCCCTCACCAGATAAAATTGTGTTCCCGTCACTGTTAATATTAGAGATGACTGACCCTCATCAGGATACTACAATTTCTTTCTTGCAACTCTTTGTTGGAATCCATTGCAATGTATATATGATTGGGACCAGACCATAGAAGGCAATATGTTCAGTACCCTCCACACCCTTCTGGCTTTCAAACAATGTGAAATATTTAACAAAAGTAGTAATCAGAAGCAGATAAACATCTTTTCAGGGGAAAGGAACAACAACAAAAAACAGATGGGAGAATTGTAGTCAGTTTTTTTCCACGCCAATGGCCAATATCCCTAGTAACAACAACAATCTATGCATATATTCTCTTTCCTTCAATACAGCAGACTAGCTGAAGTGACTTTAAGATATACGTCTGTCAACTACCTTGCTGGGAATTAGCTATAAAGCAAATTCACATGTAAAGTATAAGAAGAACCAAACTACCATTTATTTATTTATTTATTTATTTTAAAAGGTCTAATGGAAAGTTTTGCCTACTTTACACTGATAGAAGTTGGTCTAATAAAATATCATTTTACATGCTCTTCTTTGCTAGATATTCCTATAAATGCTATTCAGATAAATGTTATAAATAGTTGGTCTATATGCTGTCCTATAAGTTCAGTATGTTTACAATTCTTATTGCCCCATTTCAAAGTGGATATTGTAGAGCTGTAAAAGATTTATTATGTTTTTGTATATGCTGGAAGCTGCCCAGAGTGGCTGGGGCAACCTAATCAGATGGGCAGGGTACAAATAAGAAGAAGAAGAAGAAGAAGAAGAAGAAGAAGAAGAAGAAGAAGAAGTGTGTAGTAATTGGGACTTTTTAGTTTAGAAAAAGGGCAAGCAAGAGGGGACATGATAGAGATTTATAACATCACGCATGATGTCGAGAAAGTGGATAGAAAGAAACTGTTCTCAGGAAGCTGAGTGCTGGTTGTAGCCAATGCTAGTCCTGCCCAGAGCAGACCCACTGAAATTAATGGACACAACTAATATCCATGAATTTCAATGGGTCTACTCTGAGTAAGGGATCCAACCCTATTACTCATCTATTTGACAAAGGTGCTAGTCGCTGACTACTTTTGTAGTTTCAAAATAACTTTGTAATATATGTTTTCCCATTGATTGGGACTTCATTAGTATAAATAAGTAAATTATATCCTGAAATGTACTGTGGTTAGAGTAGATTGCTGTTACTATAATTTTGTCTCACGAGGCTGCTGAAAAATTGCGCTTGAGATTTTTAAGGGAAAGCTGATTATTGCTTTAATTTTCAAGAAATGTTCCATATGACTGTCTTCGGCCTGGAACAAGGAAGGTGTTTGCCAGGAAAGTGGTTACACATCCTACATGACGGAAAGTCTAAATTGTTTGGACTCTGCCCAATTTCTTTAAGTCAGCAAAGCAGAAACTCCCATAATGTGAAAGAATATTATCAGCTGCTTTTTGTTCTGTTTTCCCAAGGTTGCCTAAATTATGGCAGAGTTATAGTTGTGGGATTTGGGGAGAATGCATTAATCCAAACAAATGGACATAAAATTTTTTTTTTTAAAGTAATATGATTTTGGAACGTAAAAAAGAAATATAACAGGATCTAGCAGCTAGTTCATAATGGCTTAGTTGGCACTGTTGGGAATGCCGTACTTGGTAAAATTTATATGAAACATGACATTATTTCAAGGGCAAAAGATGGAAACTTTGTTCTTTTTATTAGTCCAAATGATCTAAGAAACCACTTTGTGATTTGATTATGTTTATCCTTTGTTTAGAATAATTCTTTAAAAACTGACACAAGCTCCACAGAGATAAATACAGTTCAGCTTCATCTATCCAAAATCTGCAGAGCATTCCAAACAATTTAGGATGTTCTGAAAGAGGGTTTGATTAACAGGTTTACATTTAGGCAAACGAGAAGGGCACAAATATATTCTAATAAGCAGAAATTTTGGGTAATGGGAGTTTGCACAATGACAGATATACAATGTTTAATATTTTCAGGGTATAGCTTACACCATTTCACAACCACTTTCGCAAATTAGTTTTGGCATCTTGCCTAGTGCTTTGTAGATAAATATTACGTCCTGTTTATATTTAGTGAATATAAATTACCAAAATAACTACAACAATGCTTCTTGCTGTCAAAGAGCAATACAAGCCCAGTATGGTGTAATGGCTAGAGGGCTGGCTGGGAAGGCCCAAGTTCAAATAGCTGTGAAGCTCAATGGGAGGCCCTGAGGCTAAGTTGCCGAATTTATAAGGTTGTTGTAAGGGGGGATACGGGATGGAGAATAGCATGCATGCATCTTTCAGCTTCTTGGAGGAAGAATGGGATAATAATGTAAGTAAACAAGTCATGGTGAACTATGAGGCCAGGGTTTACATCATAAGCTTAGTAACACAGAGGGACAAAACTAGTTTGCAGAACATTAAGTGGCTTCATTGGACAGTTGCCAGATCCACAAATTGCTCATTCCTTTAAATGCTTTTTTAAGGGAGAGAGAAGGAAGCTGCTGTGTTCAACCATGCCCGCTTCTGGCCTCTACCATTTGCCATGGTGATGCTCAAATAAGGTCCTCTTGATGGGGAGAACAGGTGAGGGGAATCAGGGTTGAAACAAGGGGTGAAGCGTAGAGGCTACACCCTTTCTCAGAGGGTTTAAAGGGGTGACATCATACTTCTTTACCATTTATCCACATAATTAGCTGCCCCCGGTGGGAATTGGAAAATTCACAATGAATTGATATCACAATACAGGAGAGAAGAAGAGTCAGTATGGTACAGTGTATAGTATAGACTAGAACATGGGAAACCTGGGTTCAAATCCCTGCTCAGCTATGAAACTCAGTGGGGGACCCTGGGCCAGTCACAGTCTCTCATGCCTTTCGCTCCTTGGAGGAAAGGGAGTACAGTGGTACCTCGGGTTACAGACACTTCTGGTTACAGTTGCTTCAGGTCACAAACTCCGCTGACCCAGAAATAGTACCTCGGGTTAAGAACTTTGCTTCAGGATGAGAACAGATATCGTGCAGCGGCGGCGGCGCAGCGGCAGCGGGAGGCCCCATTAGCTAAAGTGGTGCTTCAGGTTAAGAACAGTTTCAGGTTAAGAACAGACCTCCAGAACGAATTAAGTTCTTAACCTGAGTTACCGCTGTATATCAATGAAACAAACAAATTGACCCAAGGATGCCATTTTTGGTAGACGCTTTGTGTTGGGTGCAACACGGAGCGTCTACCAAAAATGACATCCCTGGGTCAATTTGTTTCATTGATAACCTGCCAATGTGGAATTCTTTCTTCAATGTTGTATGGTGAGAGCAGGGCTTTTTTTCAGCCTGAACTCACTGGAACTCAGTTCTAACACCTCTCAGGTGGGCTTCATTGTTCATAAAAGAACGAGCGAGGTGTTCATGGTGAGTTCCAGCACCTTTTTCTTCTTCTGGAAAAATAGCACTGGAAGAGAGAGACTAGTTCTAACCAAATCACTGCTTCCCAAAGGATCCAGTCCCTGAATATTGTTCCGTACTCGCCACATTTTAAGTAACACCCTAGGTTTCTTCCAAACTGTAAATTTTTCTAGGCGATGACAAAGGAAACTTTCATGTTTCACCTCGAGCAGTCAGAGTCAAGTTTATTTTGGCTGCACTGTGATAGTCAAGAAAGAGAACAGATTGTTGTTGAGCATCGGTGCTCAAATGTCTATTAGAACAGCTAGCACAGAGTTTGGTATGTGTCAGACTGAGTACAGCACCATTTCTACACCCACGTGCTTTGTCTCACCTGAGGGTCCATGAAGGCAACTTTAATTTCAAGGATTGTGAACGTTACTTCCATTCCTCCAGACTCTGCAGTCCAGGTGTACGGCGTGCTTAAACCAAATAGGGAATCTCAGATCAGGGGGGCCAAATGCAACCTTCCAGGTCTCCCCCATCTGGCCCACAGAACTCTCTGCAGGCCATCTACCCTCTCCCTAAACCATACCCCTCACTGGCTCTGCTAATCCGCCTGAATGTCTTTGCCTGGCTGCAATGTGTCCTTGGACTCTGATAATGCCTCTGGCTTGTCTGCTTCTGTTCATCAGACAGTGGCTTTTTCCACCTGCCTTGCCCCAACCTTAGGAGCCTTCCTCAGACCATGTATTTGAGAACTGCAGAAGCAGCTGGGAAGAGAGAAGAGGAGCTTGGGGATATTTTTTAAAAAAACAACAACAACACAATTTTATAAGTTGTGTGTCCTTGTTTCTCAATTTGATCCTTTTACATGGTTTTGTGGTATTTAATGCATTATGACTTGCTGTTATTTTTACTGATTATAGTTTAGTAAAAAAAATTGTATTGTAATTGATAAGTGTGAACCGTATAATAATAATAATAATAATAATAATAATAATAATAATAATAATTTTATTATTTATACCCCGCCCATCTGGCTGAGTTCCCCAGCCACCCTGGGCGGCTTCCAATCGAATGTTAAAAACAACACAGCATTAAATATTAAAAACTTCACTAAACAGGGCTGCTTTCAGATGTCTTTTAAAGATAGGATAGCTGCTTATTTCCTTCATATCTGAAGGGAGGGTGTTCCACATGGTGGGCGCCACTACCGAGAAGGTCCTCTGTCTGGTTCCCTGTAACTTCACTTCTCGTAATGAGGGAACTGTCAGAAGGCCCTCAGTGCTGGACCTCAGTGTCCGGGCTGAACGATGGGGGTGGAGACACTCCTTCAGGTATGCAGGACCGAGGCCATTTAGGGCTTTAAAGGTCAGCACCAACACTTTGAATTGTGCTCGGAAACGTACTGGGAGCCAATGCAGATCTCTCAGGACCGGTATTATGTGGTCCCAGCGGCCACTCCCAGTCACTCCCAGTCCCGGCAGCCACTCCCAGTCACTAGCTGCCGTATTCTGGATTAATTGCAGTTTCCGGGTCACCTTCAAAGGTAGCCCCACGTAGAATGTATTGCAGTAGTCCAAGAGGGAGATAACTACCGGTAATTTAATTTTACTGTTTAGTATTATGTTGAATATTGCTTTATTTGATATAAGTTGTTTATTTTAAAGTTATTGTGACTTTTTCTGGTATTGGATCAGATTGTTATGAGGTGTGTGATCTTTGCTGTCTGTTTTGTTGTTTCTTCAGCTTGTAAACCACCTTGTGTGTAGTAATATAGAAAGGCGGTATACAAATTAAAAGTGAAATGAAAAAATGAAAAGGGATGGAGGGTAGGGAGGGTGTGTGTGTGTGTGTGTGTGTAGAAAGTAGCCTACTGTAGAAAGGTGAAATTCACATTTGTTGTTCCCACACACCCCCTTTGCCTCTGACCCTGCCCTCCACAGACATGTTCCCCCCTGAAGGTTACCCAGATTGGAATGTGGCCCTCATGCTAAACATGATCCTTAAAAAGGTAAAGGACCCCTGACAGTTAAGTCCAGTCACAGACAACTCTGAGGTTGTGGTACTCATCTCGCTTTACTGCTGAGGGGGCTGACGTTTGTCCGCAGACAGTTTTTCCGGGTCATGTGGCCAGCATGACTAAGCCACTTCTGGCAAATCAGAGCAGTGCACAGAAACGCCATTTACCTTCCCGCCGGAGCGGTACCTATTTATCTACTTGCACTTTGACGTGCTTTCGAACTGCTAGGTTGGCAAGAGCTGGGACTGAACAATGGGAGCTCACCCCGTCATGGGGATTCGAACCGCCGACCTTCCGATCGGCAAGCCCTAGGCTCAGTGGTTTAGACTACAGCGCCAACTGTGTCCCTCCAACATGTTCCTTACCCGTGGTTTAAGTTATCACTAGCCCCTTACCAACCCACAGCTGACTTGCACAGGAAAAGTGCCCACTGTGTAGTTCACACAGTTGGCTTCCAACATCTTCAGGGGATGATGGAATTCTTCCCTTTCCCCAGGACACCTCACTTCCCTTTCCCATGAACACAAGGTATGGAAGATCATGCCTCAGAATGACATTCATGTCAGCTGCTCCAACAGGATTATAGCAACAATGTGATGGGAAGGTCAGTTTAAACATGTGCTGTGCTCTTCGTGTCACTGCAGTCCAAATTGAATCTAGATGGAAAACCACATACACATTGTCCACTTCTCTCACCAGCACCTGACTAAGGGCCTTAGTTGATAAGTTGTTGTTATGTTGGCATCCATCTGTCTTGAGAGACAATGGAGTGAGCCTCCAGGGATGAAGTCAAGCTGCTGTGTTAGCAACACCAAAGCGACTTCCTCAAGGCGCAAGCCTGGGCAGTGTGTATGGAGGTCCTGGGCTGCCCAGATGACAACTCTTTGGCCTTGCTGATGTGCTCCAAAGCAAAGCAGAGTTATATCTTTGTTAGCAGCTTAGCTTAGTTGCCAGCAGGAAGTGTACAAGGCACCATCCAGTCATCTTAGGAACTCCACTCCAGATTTGTGTAGGGTTTTCTTCTCCAGAAGAGATCCCGCAAGGCTCCGGAGGTTTAGGATCAGAGTTTTCCATCTCCTAGATGGGCTACCTGCCCACCACCAACGTTGCAAACGTTAATTTGTCAAGTTCTGTCCCTGAGTGAGCTTGTGGTTCTTGTTTGTTTTTCAGTTGTAAATTACTGTGCTTTGAATAACCAAGGCTGTCAACATGAATGCATTAATACTGAAGACTCCTACTACTGTCAATGCCGCAAAGGGTTCATTCTCAATCCGGATAAAAAAACCTGCAGGCGTAAGTTTTCCACATCTATGCTCAGTTCTTTCAGATAGTAGCACACAGGTGCATACAGTCTGTTGTAAGGGGAAGTGCCACAGTTCCACCATCTGTTTTGCATGCAGGAGGTCCTGGCTACAGTCCATGGCATCTCCAATGAAAAGGATCTCAGGTTGCAGATATTCTAGAAGGGCCATTCCTAGTAGGTGAACTGGCCTAGATGAAGTACTGCCGTAATGTGCAATTAACAACACACTTTAGTACATGTGCCTATATGATACAGGTGGCAGAAAGCATGGTTTCATGTTGGGGGAAATAGGAGGAAGAGAGTGTTGCCCAACTGAGCCTACTCCTTTGCCACCGCTCCTGGCAGTCAAAAGAAAGCAGGGTGGAAGGAAGGGAGAAGAGTCTTGTGCTGGGTCCAAGGAAAGAAGCCAGGCTGACCAGTTGGACGGCCGGTGGAGTAGCAGCAGCATCAGGAAGAGGAGGAAGGGGGAAGGAGGCAACAGGGCCACTGCCATCCTTGCCATGGGAGGTTGCGACTCTCCAGGCTGGCAGACCCCTAGCCACCCATCCAGCTGGCCATGTCAAATAAAAACAAGGAGAAAGTGAGCTAGGTCAGGCCTGAAGAGAAGACAGCGGCTGGAGGAGACCCTGGGCAGGAGCAGGCCCTGAAGGTCGTGGGAAAGGGTGTAGCTCAGCGGTTCTGAAACCTGTGGGTCCCCAGATGTTGTTGGACTACAACTCCCATCATCCCTGACCACTGTTCATACTGGCTAGGAATGATGGGAGTTGTAGTCCAAAAACATCTGGGTACCAGCTGGTGGGGTGCAGGCCGGCCTCTGGGGGGCTGGAGTTTAAGAGGTAGCAGGGGCAAGGAGATTATGGGGGTCATAGGTGGGCATTGGAGCTAGCTGGGCTTCAGGGAGGGGTTGTCTGTATCATGGAAAACTTTAATAAAAATATTAATGTGCAAAAAAAACAAAAAAAGCCCCTCCTGGCAGTGATACTGATGTAGACTAGAAGGTCACTATTTTCATCTGCAGAATGTTGGGGTTATGGGTCCAACAAGACCAATTAGATGTATTCTGTTCCCATTAGTGGCTGGCAGGGTTGCATGGCTGGGGCTGTATCGTTTTCTGGACCTCCTAACCCCTCAGGCTGCTGCCAGTTATTGAGAGGGCAGGACAAAGCAAAGCAGCACTGACCTCAACATGGTGTAGATGCAGCTTTGGGAGTGTCCGACTGGCCTGCGGTTTGCTTCTGTCCCCAGATTTATAAAGATTTTCTTCAATTTTCTGTGAAAAACTAATGTTCTTCTTATAGTCACATCTCTGGCTGAAGCCTTTATTTTTGATTACAGTCTGCTCACTTTGTGTACTACTTCTGTTACTTTAATAATTCCCCCCTCCCTCCCAATCTTCAGGACCAGACTACTGTGCAATGCAAAATCATGGCTGCCAGCAGGAGTGTGTCAATACAGATGAATCCTATTACTGCCGATGCCAGCAAGGGTTTACTCTCAATCCAGATAAGAGAACGTGCAAAAGTATGTTGTCCTAAAGTGTATAGTAAGTTCATCTGTTTTTACTTCTCAACATCACCGTCACAGCTTTCTTTTAGTTCCTTTTTGCCGTTTTGAGGTGTAACTTTTGAACATGACTTTGAAAACCACCTCCTCCTTATGTCTTCATTATAATTCCTAAAATCAACCAACCAATCCGCCACGCACATAGAAATATCTCTGTGCCAACTTAAAGCAGCACATGTGCATTAAGAAGCGGTTCCATGACGTTCTGCCAAAACACCATCCCTAAGCCTCTTTAAAAACCAGTATGAAACTTAGAAGTTGCACTGACTTTTGGTGGCTGGTTTGCATGGAGGATTTTGCATGTTACCTTTTTAACTTTATGTTTATATATGACAATAGTGCAAAGTTTATTTGACTATATTCCCAGAAACAACCAGAGCCATGCATTTTGGAGAACAACACTTACACAAAGAAACTGATGAAACCACCCTAAGAGGCAGAATTGCATCTAAGGTTGAATGGTAGGCTCTGTCAGGGGCTTGTCCTACACTCAAGTAGGACCCTGGTAGAGACACATGCCCGACTGGCATGTTCTCTCCCTCCTGGTTGATTGTTCGGGAGCTTCAAAAGCTTTCTTCAGCCCGAACATCACAGCGACTGATGCCAACAGACATCGGCACACTTAGGGATCCGTAGAGTGTTTGCAGCTTGCATAACAGAACTCAGCAACTCAGCACGTTGGCTAATCTACTTTATTTACATATAAACACACACGGAGAACTGCAACATGGCTCCCTCTCTTTGTAGCATCAGACAACAAAGAGAATGAACAAAGGACAATAGTCCCACTTCACGGAACACAGTAACACAAACATCCTTCTCCGTCACTTCCCACTCTGTGGAGTCACATATACCGTCATGTGATAGACAACAATCCCATGAATGCCATCATGGAGCAGGAATTCTAACAGGCTCTTGGTAGGGGGCAGCCAGATGGAACCCCAAGAGCCAGCAGCATACATCATGGAGAGAAGGCAGCACTCACCTGACCTCCAGTCAGCAACATTGCTACTGCTGCTTACTGAGAGGTTGAGGAGGAAGGGAGAGGTTGGTGTGGTGGAGCCTATCTGGCACTCCCATTTGTGTGTTTGTACCATGCCTTCCTAGAGGGACACAGGTGGCGCTGTAGTTTAAACCACAGAGTCTAGGACTTGCCGATCAGAAGGTCGGCGGTTCGAATCCCCGCGATGGGGTGAGCTCCCGTTGCTCAGTCCCTGCTCCTGCCAACCTAGCAGTTCGAAAGCACATCAAAGTGCAAGTAGATAAATAGGTACCGCTCCGGCGGGAAGGTAAATAGCGTTTCCATGCACTGCTCTGGTTCACCAGAAGTGACTTAGTTATGCTATGCTGGCCACATGACCCGGAAGCTGTACGCCGGCTCCCTTGGCCAATAAAGCGAGATGAGCGCCGCAACCCCAGAGTCGGCCACGACTGGATCTAATGGTCAGGGGTCCCTTCCTTACTGCCACCTTGCCTGTAAGCAGCAGCAGCACGACAGGTGGGAGGTCAGATGAGCACTGTAGCCCCATCACACCATCCACTACTGCCAACAGTTAAAGTTGCAGACCCTGTTTTAGTTTTCCCAAAATGAAATGCAATTCAAATTATTCCTGCAAAGTAGAACAAACGAGCATGGCAGTCCCCATGTTTGTTTGTTTTTGGCAAACCATGGTTTGTCACCTTCCCCCCACAATGCACCACATCAAAAACGAAATTTTGTGGGGCATTGCATTTTAGGAAAAATAAGATGGCAGGTGCAGTAGGCAATGTCATCACATCATTGGGTTTCAGCAGGTGTTCTGCTGGGTATGCTAAGCAGTGATGCTGGACCTGCTAAAATCAGCCAAGAACTCTACATAAACAAACCATATCAAGTGCAATACACACAGATATTTTCTGCAATAGCCAAATATTTTGAACGGTCTTGTCCTCCTGATACTGTCTCTTGCATATGCAAACAGTCCTAGTGAATTCTTAATTTTGCTTTTGGTGTCTAGCACCAAACTGGAAGGTGAGTGTTTTTAATGGTTTTACATGATGGTTCTTAGGTATTATTTTTAAACGATTATGTTCCAGCATTGTTACATTACATGTTTTCCTTCCCCTCCCACAGGAATAAATGTCTGTGCTTTGGGAAAGCATGGCTGTGAACATGAATGTGTTAACACAGAAGACGGGTATACTTGCAGATGTCGAGCCGGATACACTCTGAACCGTGACCGCAAAACATGCAGAAGTGAGTATGTCAGACATTCTGGTGGAGTTAATCTGTATACTGGACAGAGTTCTGAAGCAAACTTATGCTACAGATCTCCTCAGGCTTTTATAAATATGGGCTTTTGCAAAGCTAGCAAGATTCAACATAAGCTGAGATAATGCCAGCATGTGATTTAAATATATTTCTTTAACAAACAAACTTGCTGCAAAGTTCTAGAAAGAGGAATAGCTTACTGCTGGATGTATTTTAGGTCCTTATCTTAGAAAGTGTAGATAATAACTAAAACAATGAGAGCACACAGTGTGTGTGTTTTGTTACTGGTTCTGGGCCTCTCTGTTTCCTTGCTTTAGGCATCTCTTACGCAAAAAAATGAGTTATTGATTTATTTTTGCAACTCCACATATTAAGTAGTTGTCCACATGGCACTTAAACTATGGAATTCACTCCCAGTAGAAGTAGCTTGGATAGCTTTAAAAGGGAAGTAGACAAATTCATGGAGATTAAGATTATCAGTTGCTGTTCGCCATGAAGGCTGTATTCTGTCTCTGCTGTAAGGGGCAATATGATTTGGACTGCCAAGCTGCTAAGAATCACAAGTGGGAGTGCTCTGTTGCAACCAGGTTCTGCTTTTGAGCTTCCACTGGGCATCTGATTGGCCAGTGTAAGAACAGGATGTTGAACTAGATGGGCCTTGGCCTGATCCAGCAGTGTGATGTCGTACGTCAGTGTCGCATGTGTGATGTCACACGCATGCGACGAGCCACTCCCCCACCCCATGTCACGCGAAACATGGCGCCTCTGAAGTCAGGATATCTATCATCTGTCCAAAAGTCTCTTTAAAAAAAAAGGTAAATGCAGCTGCAGGAGGGGTAGAATTAGGATCAGGACTATAGCACTAAGGATAAGATTTTTAATCCTTTCTCCCTGTAACATTTTCCTGATGCAAAATCTGCCCCCAGACTGCTATTTGCTCTGCAGGAGAAAACCTATAGGTTCCTCCATGGTACCACGAGTTTCCACCCTGAACCAACAGAAGCTTCAGGGAGGCAATTCATATTGAGAAAATGGTACACAGAAGCAGGGTTTGTTTTTTTAAAAAAAACACACCCAAAAAACCTCTTCTCAACACTAGGTACATGTCAAACCACAATCTCCTTCTTGTGGCTTTATTTACCACTAAAAACGCAGGAAATCTGATCACAGATCCCCTGGTGTCCTTTCCGGTTTGGCCCTGAAAAGTCGGGTCATGCAAGTGAATAGCCTCTACTATAGTCATAGAAATCAAAGAGGGTGTTCCCTTGCATGTAGCGTGAGCTCATATAATGCACTTTTCCATCCCATTCCTGTACTTGGGCACAGTCTGGCGGGATTGTGCAGACTGTTTGCCTATTTGAAATGGTTCTAAGAGTGAGCTATAAAAATAGCAAAGAATGTCTGCTAGCAGAAAGTTAATAGAGGAGTTTGTTTGAAAAGGGGATTTCTTCCCTTCTCTCTCTCTCCCTCTCTCTCTTGGATCTATTTTCCCCCCAGGAAAAAAAAGTGTTTTGCTCTGTACTGCCAGAGCCAGCATAGAGAGAAATGTACATTCATAAAAGCACGTATCAGCTGCACCTCCCAGTTGTTCCTTCGCATGAGAAACAAACAGTCCAGGCTTTAGACCTTAACAAATCCTCTGTTGCATGTATATCTGGCATTCTCTCTCCTCTGTTAGGAAGTTCCCCTGCAACAGCTGAGCAGTCACGCTAATTTGCAAAATGGTGATGTTAGGTTTCCTCATTTCATATGATTAAATTATAATTCTGCTACACAGTTAATCCTAAAGATTTCACTGTGAATGTCACATTGTGGTGACTTTACCAAGTATGACTTCTACTCAAAAAATGTAAACAGTAGTCCAGTCCACCATCCACCTCAGTGTAAGGGAGGTTTGGATTGCTTTGTTAATATAATTGAGTACACTTGATCAGATGTTCCCTCAGTTTTCAGGTATACAGTTGCTGAACGTTTAGGCTCCTGAACGATCAAAAACGTGAAGTGAGTGTTCTAGTTTTCAAATGTTTCTTTGGAAGCCGAACGTCCGCTGTGGCTTCCAATTGGCTGCAGGAGCTGCAGCCAATCAGAAGCCCGCACTTTGGTTTCCAAACATTTTGAAGTCAAATAGACTTCTGGAATGGATTCCGTTCGACTTCCAAGGTACAACTGTGGGGGGGGGGGGTTAAAAAAATGGAGTCATGTGACATTGAAATGCAGAAAGTACAGTCTGTGTCCATTCTGTGCAAAGTTTTAACAAAGTCACAGTTTACAATGGTGGGCTTTGCTGATGGTTGTTACTTGCATATTTTTCACTTCTGCACTTTAAAAATGCTTTAACATTCTAATGCATTCTTTGCCATTGCTGATACGTAACAATCCAGGAAAAGACCACTGTGCAGAGTCCAACCATGGCTGTGAGCATCTGTGCCTGAACACCAAAGACTCTTACATTTGCCAGTGTTCCGAAGGTTTTATCATTAATGAGGATCTAAAGACCTGTTCACGTAAGTCTGTTGATTTGGTTATTGCTTATAATGAGAGAAAAACAAGGTGGGTTAAAGTGCTGAATTTTCTTATTTTGTTCTGAAAGGCAATTTTGAGGAAAACTCGAGATTATAGCATGCACTCAGGTTTTTTGGGAATGCATAATTAAAGCAGACAGATTGGAATCTTGAGCCAATAAACAAAAACAAAGCTTTATAGTCCCATATTCCAAGCTAGCCCTTTAAAATTGATAGTGACATTCCCTGTTATTTTCATGTGTTCCATATCGCACCACCCTTTACTTCTGTTAGTTAGGCAATTCTCAGTAGGCTGCTAGTGGGGCCAGGCATAATACACCTTTTTGTTTTTGTTTTAACCCACTGTTTTATCTGAGTCCGATGTATTGGAAGACTTGTATCTTTAAAAAACAACAAAAGCATGCATGCAAAGGTAAACAACACCTGCGTGTATGCCCACGATGGATTCCAGGTTTGTGGAACTCAGGGTGGGTGGGTTAGTACTAACTGAGGGGAAGGGGAAACAGCACACAGTGTGAATACACCCCATCAAGCAAACCCTACCTGTGTGGATAGGGGAAAATGAGACAGAATTCAGTTGAAAATCCTCATGTGTAGATGAACTTGCACAAGGAAAAAACAAATATGCACAACTTATATGTGCATTAACACTTTGGTGTGTACACAGCCTAAATTTTAAAAGGAGGGAGGGCCCTTTGGACCATCCCTTAACGATTCCCCATGTCACGAGTAATGAGTGATAATAACTTCCCTTTCCCCACTCAGTTAATTTTGAGAATCTTTGGGTGGTATTCAACTATGTTTTACTTAGAGTAGACCCATTGAAAGTAATGGACCTAACTAAGGGCTTGCCCACGCTTCCGCTTGAGCTGTGCCTAGAAAGCACAGGGCTGAGTGGTTTTCCCCTTGACCCACTCCTTTCCCAGGGAAACCTGCTCTTTAGCTCTAAATCAGAACAAACAGCAAGACTGGAAAACCTGACTGCTATTTGCTCTGATTGAGCACCAAAGAGCAGTTTTCCCCAGATGGGAAAGCAGCAAGACAACAGGAAATGTGGCTAAATCCTTAGTTATGTTCATTAGCTTTGATGGGTCTACTCTCTCTGAGTAAAACAGTTTAATATCAGCCAGTCTTTTTCCTACATAAAAGTAAAATCAAGGAATGTGACCATCGGCATGACAACAGTGTTAAGCAGCCATTCATCATTATGGTACTACTGGTACTTGATGAAGGTTAGCAGAAATATGTAGTTTTAAGATAACTACCTGGTATGTTTGTAATCATATGGCAACACCCTGTGGTTGAGCAGTTAAAACAGAAACTTGGATGCTGTGGCTTGAAAGGAAAAACTGAAAATTAAGGGGAATAACACTTTAGTACTAGCTATTCTAACCCAGCCCTAGGTGTCTGTTTGAATCCAGAGTAGCCAAAAAAGCAACAGGCTTTCTGAAATAGTTTTATCAACCTACCAATGGAAAGAGTTCTTTCCTGGGTAACAGGAGAAATGTTTATCCTTTATGGAGTTTTATTTTCCTCCGGGCAGCACTTGGGATTTCCATCAAAAGCTCTAAAATTTTATATTTGCTACTCAACTCCTGTGTGTAAAGTTCTCATTTTATGGCTTTTCCTTCTGGAGAGTCTTACTTCCCAATTTGCCTTGCTTATTATTTAGAAACAGGCAATACATCTTTTGTGCTGCTAGGAAATCTCATGGGTTATATTACTCAATTGACCTGAAGTTTAACAGTTGCTTAAATCAACAGCAGAGGAAAGAGCCCAAGACACTACACTCATTCTAGTTCTAATACAAAGCACTTGAGAAATAAGTGGCTATAGCCTCTTGTACAAGCAAAGAATTATTCAGTATTGGCGGCTAATTAGCCTTTTTGTGACCCACCGTTGTCTCCCAAGAGAGACGGATGCCAACAAATTTCTGTTATGTTTTTATTTATGTATCTTTTTTCAATAGGTTGTAAGCCACCTTCAGCGTGGCTTTAAATTTGGAAAAGTGCCATACAAATAAAATGATTGATTGGTCTAATTACCAAGCGGTGCTTTCAATCACAGGGAGCCAATGTAGTGCCCACCAGATATTGTTGGACTGCAACTTCCTGAACAATGGCCATGCTGGCTCAAGGGAGCTGTGGTCGAGTATCCTCTAGAGCAGTGTTCCCCAACCTTGGGCCTCCAGCTGTTTTTGGACTACAATTCCCATCATCCTTGACCACTGGTCTTGCTAGCGAGGGATGATGGGAGTTGTAGTCCAAAAACAGCTGGAGGCCCAAGGTTGGGGAACACTGCTCTAGAGGACTCCACATTGTCAATTCTCCCTGCTTTAAATGCACAGGAACTCCAGATACACATTGGAGTACACAAGCTAGAGTCATAGGGTCCATTGGTCTGCTCTTGGTGGTGTGGCACTAAGTGAAAGTGCATACGTCCTTGGGCAAGGGGTGTTTACTTTCATTCTGTGCACAGGAGACTAAATCTGTCAACTCTTTAGAAACTTCCTCGGTTATTATCCTGTTTGCCCTGCCTTCATTTCCCTCCACTTCCTCTGTTGTTTCCTTTGCCTGTTTTCAAGTTCCCTGGGTGTCAGGACTCTTCTTTACAAATACATAATAATAATTGCAACTTTTTTATTCCCAGGAGTGGACTATTGCTTGCTGAACGACCACAACTGTGAACATTTGTGTGTAAATAGTGAAAGATCTTATGCCTGTCAGTGCTTTGAAGGATATGTGCTGCGTGGGGATGGGAAAACTTGCAAACGTAAGTTTGTTTTCCCCAACCTAGTTCACTTATTTTCTCATATATATATATATATAGAGAGAGAGAGAGAGAGAGAGATGTATGGAAGTGAGAGCTGGACCATAAAGAAGGCTGATCGCCAAAGAATTGATGCTTTTGAATTATGGTGCTGGAGGAGACTCTTGAGAGTCCCATGGACTGCAAGAAGATCAAACCTCTCCATTCTTAAGGAAATCAGCCCTGAGTGCTCATTGGAAGGACAGATCGTGAAGCTGAGATGCCAATACTTTGGCCACCTCATGAGAAGAGAAGACTCCCTGGAAAAGACCCTGATGTTGGGAAAGATGGAGGGCACAAGAAGAAGGGGACGACAGAGGACGAGATGGTTGGATAGTGTTCTTGAAGCTACCAGCATGAGTTTGACCAAACTGCGGGAGGTAGTGGAAGACAGGAGTGCCTGGCGTGCTCTGGTCCATGGGGTCACGAAGAGTCGGACACGACTAAACAGCAACAACTATATATATAGGTTAACAGATAAATAAAAATTGCCAATTGTTATTACTGTGAATAACATAGTTACAGAATTACCCATGGGGGGGATGTTTTCAGACTTCACTAGTAGATTTAAGCAGTATTGTGTAGTATGATGATTGTTGAGCTTGAACCAAAGTTCAAATGAGTTATTATGAGAGGGAGCTTGGGGAAGCAGAGCCAAAGGTTTTATAGTCTTCATGTTGACTCATAGGGCGATCATGTGGCGTTACAAAAGAAACGAATTGTCTGTTTCCAGGTAGAGATGTCTGTAGATCTGTCGACCATGGATGTGAGCACCTTTGTGTCAGTGATGGCATTTCCTATGCCTGCAAGTGCCACGAGGAATTCATACTGAGCGAAGATGGGAAGACCTGCAGAAGTAAGCAAGCACTCCTTAATGGGCTATTCATTCTGAAGGCTCTGGTTTCAGAGGCTGGGAGTGCTGTTTCAGCGCTTCCCTCCCTGCAGCTCAGGTGTGTGCTATGCTATAGCTCATCTTTGTCTACTGAACTAACTGGGTGTGGCAGGTGGAGGACCAGTGAGGGCTGTAGAGATATTTCCTGCTGCTATCTCATGTTGAATCCATGGACATCCAAGGGCATATAGCCCTGATCTCTAGGTCTCCTTAGGCATGATGAGAGTGGTCTCATGCTTCTGCTGTCTTGCTGGAGCTTGCACATCTTTCCACCGGGGGAAATGCATGGGTTTCCTTTTTGTATTTTATAAGAAGCTGCAGAAAGTGGAAATGTGAGTACATTTGCCCATATCATTTCCCCAAATTTCTTGTGACGTGCAATGAAGTCCTCAGCAAATTTGAGATTGTGTCTCAAAGAGCATCTCTGACTAGCACATGGCTCGTTGCATGCTACTTCTGAAGCAGGCTTGCAGCCCCCTAATAGAGCTGGGGAGGTCGTGGAGAGCTCACTTGGAAGCTTGTAGGCAGGATTCTGCTAGATGGTGGTCTACCAGTTCACTGTTTCTAATCTAAAGTCTCCATTGAGAAATATGTCCTCAAATCAGTTGGCTGTGGCTGTGTTTGTGCTAATAAATACAGCATCACTTATATCTGCAATACCAGGAAGCATGCATACTAAAGGAGGATGTGAAAACCTGAACCAATTACACAGTGAAAAGTGGGCTCATAATTGTCATGTGAATTCATTTTGGCAATTGTGCGAAAGCAGGATGTGATCTGAGTTTCATTTCATCTTTGCAATATTGCTCATTCTACCTTTGCATTTATTTCATCTGGAAAACTTATTAATTATGAAAATTATCATTAGGTAAAGACCTCTGTAAATCGGTTGATCATGGCTGTGAGCACCTGTGTGTCAACAGTGGATACTCCTATGTCTGCAAGTGCCACGATGGATTTGTATTAAGAGATGATGGGAAGACATGCAGAAGTAAGCAGCTCAGTCTTGATCAAATGATGGTTATTGTAAATCTGTTCCATCTGTTTTAATCAGCAAACTCTTAACTATACTCAGATCAAGATGTCTGCAAATCTGTTGACCACGGATGCGAACATGTCTGTGTTAGTAATGGGGATTCATATACCTGCAAGTGCCATGAGGGATTTCTATTAAAGCAAGATGGGAAAATGTGTGGAAGTAAGTAATTTGATTATTCCTCCTATCAAATGAATTGTTGTTGTTTTTTGAAGCTGTTGTTTCACTTGCAGAAACACGGGCCCAGTTCACATGCAACCGTGCTGCTACTCCAGCACACTCAAAAAGAGATTAGAGGCATTTGCTTCTGGGCTATACTAACCATAGTTTGACATTTTTATTTATTATTTTTCCTTTATTTCTGTCTCCCCTTCTTCCCAAATGAGCCCAGAGTGCAAACAATCAAGCAGTTAAAACAATACATTTAAATAAAATAAACATTTAAAAGCATTAAGAACACCTAAAAAAATTTAAAAACATGCCTTCACAACCAATAATTTCAAGATTGCCAGGATTTCAGTTTCAAATGGCTAGGTGAACAGAAACGTTTTTAATTTCCCCTTGAATGTTAATAATGAGGGAGGGCATTCCACAAAAGGGATACCACCACAGAGAAGACCCTGTGATGTCTGACAAGGTCAATCTGTCTTTAGTTTAAGCTATGGTGTATTAAAACAAGCCAATATTAAAGTATGGTTTCTGATTCTGGCTTGTTCCAGTAAAGCATAGTTTAAATGATGCAATCGTGGTTCAGACATTAACAATGCACTTTAAACAATGCAGTTTAAACCAGGAAGAATGTTTTCAGTCTGCCTCTTTAGTACATGCTGGTTGGGAGGTCAAATAGAGTTAGGAAGATGAGTGAAGCATCAGGTTAGGAAGATGAGGCCAGCCAGCCAGGCTCAGCTCCCTGTTTCTTTGAGGCCCTAGGCTGTGAAGATTAAAATATGTGAAGCACCTGACCTGACTATTCTACAGTCTTTGTACTTACCAATAAAATTTTGATAAACAACCAAGTATTCTAATTTGTTTTCAGCCAAAGACTTTTGCAAGACCATCGACCATGGCTGTGAACATGTTTGCATGAATAATAACAATTCATACTCCTGCAAATGCCATGAGGGATTCATACTGGAAGAGAATGGGAAGACATGCAGAAGTAAGTCACCAGATCTTTAGTCTTTGTTTCGTTCTTCAGATGTCCTTTGATTCTTAATGGAAAGAATCCAGCACTGTAAAAGTGCTATAAAATCTGAGGTCATGAAAGCTGGAAAATGTGTTTAAGAAAATACAGAGTATTCTAGGAACCAACAGTAGGAGCCAACAAGAGGAAACAATAAGTGGCCTTCCTTTGGAATCAATAAACATCTACAATTCTTTTGCAGCACTGGGAATAGGACTGTTCCAACTCAGATATTTTGCAGTATGAAAAGTGACAGTCCTCTTAATGCTGCACTCAGGTGACCCGACCCCCCCCCCCCCCCGGCCTCCTGCGTATTCAGGGTTGTGCCTTGTTAGGCTGGTAGGGTTGCAAAGTGGATAGGCTATTGGGTTAGGACTAAAGACACCCTGGTTCAAATCCCAACTCAGCTTGAACCTCACTAGATGATTATGGACCATTCTGCCTAACCCACTTGTGGGACAAGATACTTTTTCTTCTGCTTTTGGAACAGAAATCTTCTCATACTACAGGAGCTGAGGGATCCAGTCTGGTTTACCTTGCCTGGCGAATCCAGCTAATCTCTTAGTCAAGGCCTTTCCAAGTCCTGTCTGACTTTTAAAACTGACAGGTTATATCTTGACTGGCTGACACTTCGCCCAGCCCTGTTCGGCTGAAGGATCTCCAGAGATATGACTCAAGTCTATCAGTCACAATTACAAATTGAAGGTTCCCTAACATCAAAGATGGCAGGATAGTCTGTGCTCATATGGAACACAATGTGTGTCGTGTAAACAGGAGCATATATGTGCACGTTTCAGGCATCAGATTTGGATAGTTGCTTTTACCATCCACTTCTTTATTCTGGACAGAATGTATGTATGTCAGTTTCTGAAAGAGATGGCAACCGACTTTATTGGTTACAAGAAATAAATCCTAGTTGTGTGCCCACATGAACACTGTGCTGCCTGTATTTTAATCTGTCTGTGTTCAATTGCAAATAACCTTTCTTCTTACAACATTCTCAGTTATGTCTGAAATATGACAGAAAGCTGGGCTGATTTCTCCTTTTTAATTTATTTGCTGTCAGTATGGGATTTTCAGAATGGAATAAAAGATCTTTATTCACCCTTAGGTGATACACTGAGTTTATTTCACTGTGCTACTGTTTTTATGTTGCTGTTTTATGTTCGTTCATTGTGTTTCCAACCCCCCCCCCCGGTTTTTCTTTTATTTATTCATTCTTCCTTTCCCATTTTATTTCCAAAGGATGCACTGAAGGCCCAGTTGATCTCGTGTTTGTGATAGATGGATCAAAAAGTCTGGGAGAGAACAATTTTGAAATTGTCAAAGAGTTTGTTTTGGGAATCTTGGACACTCTCACTATATCTCCCAAAGCTTCACAAGTTGGTTTGATACAATATTCTACTCAGGTTCGCACCGAATTCACACTGAAACAATTCAGCACCGCCAAAGACATGAAGAAAGCAGTGTCTCAAATTAAATATATGGGGAAAGGTTCCATGACTGGACTTGCCCTGAAGCAGATGGTTGAGAGAAGCTTCACAGAAGCAGAGGGCGCCAGACGCTTGTCAGCAAAAGTTCCCCGAGTGTCTATTGTGTTTACAGATGGACGGGCCCAAGATGAAGTTTCTGAATGGGCTGCTAAAGCAAAGCAAAAGGGTATGATGGGAGTATACTTACAATTATAAACAGGAATTCTGCGAAAGTGCTAGTTACCCGTGTGTATTTGCACCGTAACTATACAGGCAATGACCACTTTGCCCGGGAGTTGCATTCTTGACACCTGTGCAGAGCATTTGTGAGCCCTAAATGCACCTAAAATGGTTAACATGGTTGTTGCCTGTATATACAGTTTATTGTGTGCTTGCACCAAAGAGGTGATCCTGCAGAGTGTCTGAGGTAGGGGCTGGGGAGAAGTTCGATTCAGTTCACATTTTAAAGGCCAATCTACCAAATTCAGATTTTCCAAAACAATATGAGAACTGAAACACAGGTATCATTCAAAATTTGCACTTATCTGAATTTTGTGATGCAGGGTTTCAACCAAACAGAAGTTTACAAAATTGCATGTGTGCATTAAAATGTTATTGGTAAAAATAACTTTAAAAATGCGCACCTGTAAAAAATATTATTAGGAGAAATGTGCACCAGTATGCGGGAGAACTTTCATAACAATTTATAATTAGGAAAAATGAAAGAGAGAGAACTGAAATGGATGAATCCTTCCACCCCAAGTCTTAGGGTCATCTCTGACCACTGGTCCTGCTAACTAGGGATGATGGGAGTTGTAGTCCAACAACATCTAGGGACCCAAGGTTGAGAAAAGCTTCTTTAAGCAATGAAAATGTGGAAGCATCCATGGATATATTTTTTTGTACACCAGAGTTCTTGAGACAAGAGCAGGCATCCCCAACCTGCGGCCCTCCAAATGTTTTGGCCTACAACTCCCACAATCCCTAGCTAACAGGACCAGTGGTCAGGGATGAAGGGAAATATAGTCCAAAACATCTGGAGGGCCTAAGGTTGAGGATGTCTGGACTAAAGTTTCCAGATTGAAAGCCAGCATATATGCATATGCCTTTCAATTTTTCAGTGGTACATAGCACTAAATCACAATTCCTCATTGCAGGCAAACTTGGAGTAATCTGGTTCATTCAAACAATGGTTTGTCCATAGCTTAAACCAGGCATAGGCAAACTCACCCCTCCAGATGTTTTGGGACAACTCCCATCATCCCTAACCACTGGTCCTGTTAGCTAGGGATCATGGGAGTTGTAGTCCCAAAAGATCTGGAGGGCTGAGTTTGCCTATGCCTGGCTTAAATTAACCAAAGCTCCTAGTTGTCAGTTGTAAAGGGGAACTTGAGTTGATTTAAAGGCAGTTGAAAAAACCTGATCTCCTCTTGGCTGTGTGAGAGAAGGGAAGGGACATGAGGCCAAAGCTCATCATTCCTTGCTTCTGTAGTACTAAGCTATAGTTTAGCATTACAACATGACAGGAGATAAGCCACAGGTTCTGCTCCCCACCCCTTCCTCAGCCCTGCTATACATCCCATTCCTGGCATGCCTGGAGTTCTGATAACTTACAGCAAGTTGGAGAAGAGAGATGAGCTGAGGCAGCTGGGAAGAAGCCACATCTGGACTTGTCCCCTTCATTAGCAGATTTAAAGGTATATGCCTGTTGTTCTGGCTTTCAGCCCGGGAACCTAACCTGAGATTGATGGGCTGCACAAGTTGTGGGACTAGAAACATTTGATACATTGCTAGGAATTGGCCTGTGGTGAGTTATCTTCTGAGGCAGAGGAGACATTTATGATCCAGGCCTAGATTTACTTCCAAAGACATACAGTGAAGTCATTCATCAAAAATGGCACATGCTGCTGCTTTCCCCATTGACAAACATGCCAAGATTCTGCCAGAAATGAGCCCTATGAGTCAGTGCAACCCCACAGCAGCCAATAAGAGTTGTGCTCAGCATGAAGTTTGGTCTGGAATGTTTCATTGTTGATATCCCACCTTTTAAAGAACAGAGTCCAGCATGGATAGTTCATTCATGAAAATAAAGCAAGAATTTGGAATGATATTTTTTCTCCTGGCTGATGAAAGGCTATTTAAGGGGATATTGGTGCAGGAATTCAAAATGGAGAGGACTTACATTGGGTTTTTCCCCCCTGGAACAGAAGCAATGACAAACTGTAGTAGACATGCAAGTTGTTGCTGGATGTGCTCACTGTTCCCAGGGGCTTCCACAGAAATATAAGAACTGACAAGTGCAGCAATCTTTTCTGATATCTGAAGACTTCTTCAGTAACAAGGATATCCTTTAAAGTGAGGTAGCTAATGGATGGTCCTCCAGATGTTGGATTCCAGCTCCCACTAGCCCCAGCCAGCATGGCCAGTAGAATTGTAGAGCTGCAAGGGACCCCAATGGTAATCTAGTCCAACCCCCTGCCTTGCAGGAAATTCAGGGATGATGGGAGTTAAAGTCCAGCAAACTCTTGGAGGGCCACAGGTTAGCCATCCCTGATTTAAAGAATTACCATAGATCTACTTCTGTTCAAGAATATGCTATGCAATCCACAATTAAATTAATTAAATACTGTGTGTGTGTGTGTGTGTGTGTGTGTGTGTGTGTACATTATTGATAAGTCAGATGTGCCTGAGAGAATTTTTCAAACGCAGAGCAATCTGGACACGTAATAATTGTTGCTTTTTTAAAAAAAATGTATGCTATCAATGATGTTTCTGAGTTATTCAAGCCCCAGATTGATGCCATAGGAACGGACAAAATTTTAGCCTTCTACAAATGGAAGAGCTTCTCTCTGGTTGGTGACCTGCAACAGTGGAATACCCTCACTGGTGGGTTGCGGCAATGTCCCTCATTATTAATATTCACAGGGAATTTAAAAACATGCCTGTTTACCCAGACGTTTGGTGTCTGAAAGATATTGTTCGTGGCAACCTTGAAATTATTAGCTGTGAGGTTATATAAACTGTTTTAAGATGTTTAAAATATTTTATTTTTAGTTCAGTTATACTGAAATCCTTTGGTTGAGATTCTGGAATCTGAATGAAGTGATAATGGGTAATAAATAAATAGAGATTTTAAACAAGACTAGCCAGATATAGCCAACTGAGCCATCACCTGGAATAAGGAACATGGCAGCCACTACAATTGGGCATCAGTCAAAGACAAATCATGTTTCAACTGAATCTGCTTCAGTTTGATGGGACTAACTTGCCCCATTGATTTCAATGGCTCTTAAGCTAGCACATGTATCATTGCTGGTGAGTTTTTAAAAAAATAAAAGTTTCTGAATGCAAGTCCTGTCCCCATGGACACCCTCCCTAAATATCAGCACTGATCTCCATTCCTGCAGAATTATCTTGCCTTGGTGTAAGGGGTCATGTGATAACACTGAAGCATTTTCCTTTCCATTGACCATGCTGTGCCTTAACATAGTATCTTTTGACCATAAACAATTTATTTTTTTAGGAATCACAATGTATGCCATCGGAATAGGGAAAGCAATTGAGGAGGAATTACGAGAAATCGCTTCTGACCCTCCAGACAAGCATCTTTTCTATGCAGAGGATTTCAGTGCCATGGAAGAGATTAGTGAAAAGCTGCAAAACAGAATCTGTGAAGGTAATAATTGTGCCAGATTCAGTTTTCTTGTATGAACAATTAATGCAGACAGAAGTTTGTGGCCTGGCAGAAGGGATCTAACCATTTGTCTTGAACATCTGCAGAAATCACAGGGATACATGTAAAACACAATGACCAATGAGCCACTGGGAAGAGTAATGTTTCAGCTGTTTATCACTCGGGGAATATTTGACTTTATTCTAACGCCAGGGACATATACAATCATTTCTACTACTTCTGCCAGCTTAACAAGTCATGTATGAAATGTACAACTCAAGAAACCCAGGAGAACTGGCGACGCCCTCCCCTTCCTATATACTGCAGAAAGATCATCAGTACTGCTAAAAAACAACTACACCATGCACGATCCATTCCTTTGGGGATATTTGGTAATTTATAGTTTTCTGTTAAGATGGCCTGTTGGTCAGTATTAGTCACATCTGAGGGAATATGATGGAATACAGGGGAAGGACACAGGCAGCACTGAGTGGCAACAAGGAGGAAGTCACAGTAAAAACATATTCTTTGGCAGTGATTTTTAGAATAAAAATGAGTAGACAAATTCAGAAATGAACGACTCCAGGCTTGAAGTATTTTATTTCAGTTCTTTGAGCCATGGATCTGGCTTTCTATTGCTTATTTTAATTTCTTCCTGGCGGCCGCTGTTCTCTCAGGTCAGCTGCTAACATGAATGTAAACCCTGCACTGGCTAGGAGATGCATTCAATTTATCTTCCATATTCTCTCCCACGTTCATTACTTGCATTCATACATGACACAAATGCTCAAAAGAATCTCACTTGCGCTTTTAATACAATGTATGAAAATGTTCTAATAAGAGCTGAAGATAACTAGTACTGGATCTATTTTGAAAACCCAAGTGCTTATCATGCTGCCTGGCATACACAATTCTACTTCTCAGTAGGATTGTAACTGATTAAATCATTTTTTTAAACTAAGGCTGTCCCCAGTTAATTAGGCAGCAGATTGAGGGTTTTAAAAATATTTTAATGCAATACTTTAAAAAAACTATAGACTGCAAGCACAGTCTTTAAAAGTGGTATTGCCCCCTCTCTTCTCTCACCAAGTAAGAATCCTTCTTCTAAGACGACACATTCATGCATAATCTAAAAAAAAAATACAGTGGTACCTTGGTTCTCAAACTTAATCTGTTCCGGGAGTCTGTTCGACTCCTGAAACTGTTCAAAAACCAAGACGCAGCTTCCGATTGGCTGCAGGAGCTTCCTGCACTCACTTGGAAGCTGTGTCGGACGTTCGGTTTCCAAAAAGTGTTCTCAAACCAGAACACTTAGTTCTGCGTTTTTGGTGTTCGGGAGCCAATTTGTTCGACAACTAAGCCGTTTGAGAACCAAGGTACCACTATATGCCCCTCACTTCAGAAAGTTTGGGTTGGATCCAATGAAAGGAGTCCTTCTGCCAGGTAAAGGAGTACTTCTATTAGAGAAAGCCTCCTTACTTAGGAAGCTCCTTCTGTCAGAGGCAGAGAACTTTTAGGTCCAAACCTCTATGGGAGGCGGGTGGCGCTGTGGTCTAAACCACTGAGCCTAGGACTTGCCAATCAGAAGGTCGGCGGTTCGAATCCCCGAGATGGGGTGAGCTCCCGTTGCTCGGTCCCTTCTCCTGCCCACCTAGCAGTTCAAAAGCATGTCAAAGTGCAAGTAGATAAATAGGTACCGCTCCGGCGGGAAGGTAAGCGGCGTTTCCGTGCGCTGCTCTGATTTTGCCAGAAGCGGCTTAATCATGCTGGCCACATGACCCGGAAAAACTGTCTGCGGACAAACGCCGGCTCCCTCAGCCTGTAAAGCGAGATGAGCGCCGCAAGCCCAGAGTCGTCCGCGACTGGACCTAACAGTCAGGGTCCCTTTACCTTTAATAGAGTATAAGAAAGATGCTTCCCTATGCACCTCCAGATAATTGACAAATAACCCACTTTGCATCATACCACCTTGAGGTATCCTATATATTTTGTGTGCGTGTTTTATCCCTACACTCACAATTGTTTCACCTTTTATCTGTGGCAACCTCTGCAACAGGAGGAACATTTTTCATACTCTCTTAAGTAATATATGTTTCTGCAAGACCATGACCTCCCAAGCACATATATATTCAATGATGACTTAGCAAAGAACAAGCAGTAACAACTGAAATGATCCTGCTGAATGATTTTCTGTTGTCCAGAAACAATTCTAGCCATCTAAATCTCCCTGAAATCTCATTCGTCCTCCTGGTTTATTCTAGATCATTAGTATGTTACAGATTTCTGCAATAAATGCTGTTTCATTTCATGTTGACAATATTTCTTCCAGGTCTGAAAGGCCACCAGGATTTGCCAGCAAATGTCCTGTATTCAGAAGATTCACATTCTCAAGGTTTGAGATTCTAAGTCTGTGTATCTTCCATTTCCAGCTCACCTAGTTCTCCACTAAGCATTTGTCATTCTCAATCATTTCTTGAAAAAGTAATATTAGGCCACTTTCATTGTAATGCTGTTGCTGAGCTCATGTTTAAATATTTGTATCAATATAAAATGAGTGCAAATCCATGTGCAACACATGTTCCTGGTACAGTTTTCATAACCTTATGTAGAAGTTCAGGCACACAGGAAAGTATTTTTAAAATTAGAACATTTCAACTAAATCCATTCTTTAATTTTGAAAACATACCATGCATGTTATATATTATCTCTGTAGATCTGGGTTAATCTAAAAGCTTCACATAAAAAGCAAACTGAGGAATTATCTTTTTTAGCACAGTGTACTCAGTCTTCTTTCACTAAAATAAATACACAAATACACAAAACTTGTAAAAAGCTGGATGCCAATAAGGAACAAGAAAATATGTAAGATACGTGGCTTACTATATTAAATTCAGTTCTGTTCTTTATGGCTCCTTACAGAACCGGAAGCAGCTACCCTAGCAATCAAAGATGTTCTCACCTGTACCAATTTTGCAGTGCATCACAAGTATCTCTTTGAAGAAAAACAGCTGCGATCAAAAGTAGCTTCAGGTAAATCTACTTCGGTTCTGCACTTTAGCATGGATATTTATCCTCCGACACAGGAGGACCCCTCCTCAGTTGCAATCCCCACCTACAACTGAAGTAGTCCATTCCAGACACACACGTACCACTTCTGTTTACCCTATTTATTGGCTATTTACTGTAATTCATCACAGCCAAGTCTGACTCTGAATGGAGAGGAGGGCTCTGCTGGGTCAGCTTGGATTTGTGCTGAATTGGGAAAGTATTAAGTATTCAATTTTATCAATGCTGTCAGTGCAAAAATGATGTCTACTTCAAATAATCCCAATCCTGATATATATTTTTTTCCAGCAGGCTATGCACTTCTTGTCCTGCAAGATTGCCAACCCTCAGAAGGGTTACACGGATTATACAAAAATTTGTTTTGATCCTGGGTTTTGCATGTTGCACTGCTATGAAAGTGACTATAATCTCAATTGTAGAGCACATGATTTGGCATAGAAACCTCCCTCTGGAGAGCCAGTGTGGTGGAGTGGTTGAGAGCGGTAGTCTTGTAATCTGGGGAACCGGGTTCACGTCTCTGCTCCTCCACAAGCAGCTGCTGGGTTACCTTGGGCCAGACACACTTCTTTGAAGTTTCTCAGCCCCACTCACCTCACAGAGTGTTTGTTGTGGAGGAGGAAGGGAAAGGAGAATGTTAGCCGCTTTGAGACTCCTTAAAGGGAGTGAAAGGCGGGATATCAAATCCAAACTCTTCTTCTTCTTGTGGGCACTTCGTCCTTGGAGGTTTTTAAGCATAGGTTACAGATGCTTTAGCTGAGACACAGATGTTTTAGTTGCACTTTAGTTGAGATTCCTGCATTGCGAGGGGTTGGACTAGATGACTCTACAATTCCGATTCATGTTTAAATCTTGTCATCTCCATTAAAGAGCATTAGATAGCAGATACTTGCAACCATGGAGAACTGCCAATAGTCAGTGTACTTGAATAACACTGAATGCAGAGTAGAAATTATGTAAATAGGTGAATAAATCCATCCTACTATGGGGCAGCTTCTCAAGCTTCCTTGCTGAACAAATTGGTGCTTGTATCCCTGTCAGTGATCACCTCTTGGAAGAGATTAAGGGTTCCTTGGATTCAAGTCCTCAAACTCATTGGAGGTGGAAGTATTTCCTCTGCTCCAACTGGAGCGACTCTTATGTCAGATCTAAGATTTATCTGTCATGGATTGCTCTTTTAGTACCAACACATTACTTTCAGTCATAGAGCAAACATGAATAAATCTAATAAAAAATGGACAAGCAAAAAGTTTTTCTCAACCAGCTTCATAAGTTTCCTATGTACTTCATAGTTTCTTGTTGGTGACCTTCATTATGTTAAATAGGACAGATGCAAGTGAGTGATCTGTATTTATTTGGATCTGTATTTATTTAGTTAATGTGTTACAGTACGGTTTTCTAAACCTCTCCCATCTGTTTTTCAGGAAATCCTTCAGAAGACAAAGACCCATGTAAATGTGAAAACTTTATGACGTTCCAGAATTTTGCAAATGCTGAAGTTAAAAAACTAACACGACAACATATCCTTTTTTATATACCTATTTCATAAATTCTCAGCTTCTGAGAAACTAATACAGCAAATCCTCAATTGACACGCAGATTTATAGTTAAATCACATTTAGTCTTTAATAGGATGCAAATCCTGTTGGTTGCAATCCCATCTACTCTAAATAGCCAGCATCCACAGTATTTTGTGGAATGGGGTGGGAGAGAAAGGGCATCCATACCTTTTCCTATTCCACTAGAACCTCTGCTTTTCATTAATGATATAAGGACTTTTCCTCTGAACCCCCTTAGCCTGTTGAACTGTGTCAGGGAGGCTGAGATCAGAGGCACAAGCAGTAGCAGCGGGGCAATTTTAGCTTACCTGGTGGCTTTCTGAAAGAATGTTAGTGGTGATAAATGTGGAACACAGACTCCCTCTAGCGGCCACATCAAAATTCAGAACTGTGGCCAATATATAATGTTTCAATTCAGAAAAATAAAGAATATACCAAGCTTTGCAACATCAAATAGGTAGTTAGGACTATGCCTCATAGGCTACTTCAATCCACAAAGGTGCATCACCTGCGTAGGGCTTACATGTGCACTTTACAAATGGGTAATGTGGCTATTTCATGTAGTGATAAATTCTTGGATGATCTTTGAGTACAAATGCAGCCCATTCCAGCCAAGAACATGCAGGTAAGAAGTGTGGGAAACAGGCTAACTCATCTCCTCTCACCGATATACCTAGAAGTGTATTTGCAACAGCATAGCAGTACACTCTATTACAGCAGGAGCAGGCTTATTGCTCTTACCCTTGCCAAAGGCCTACCTAAGCCAATATACTGTTATACACTGTGCTGATCTTCATGCCTCTGGGAAGACCAGAATCAGGACAAGTTACTTCTACTGAACAGCCTTATGTGGGATCCTCATTATGTACAAGTTGGTTGAAAATTTCTAACCATTAATACAGTGCTGCTGTAGTCTATACTTTATAATATTATAAATAAGAGTGAAGAGGTGTTTCCTTAATTTAAGATTACTAGAAGAAATGTCAAAAAGAATGGAAGCCCTGGAAAATCGATTAAGATACTGATGGCGTTCTCAAAAGTATGTGCTGAGTTGGATATTTATACATATGAAGAGAGCAAATCTAAGCTATGTAAAAGAGCCAGTCTCCTGCTGGAAGAAAGAATTTATGCTTCCAGTACTTCAAGACTGCATTTTTGTATTGACTGCAGAAAAAAATGGCAAGATTTAATTTTTTATACAATTGTAATATTTTTATCAATTGAGATAAGCTATGAAATATTAAAATGGTGCTTTTAAAAGAACAGTTTAAATTGTTTAGAGACATTGAGACAGTGGAACCATGTACATGTTACCAAGCAGCTTCCCAAGCTTGTCCTAAAATACCAATAAGGGGAAAGATGTTTTAACCCTCCAGGGAAAAATAGTCTGAGGCACTGGTAGGAGCACCTTGGCTAGCAAATTTAAGCACACATATGCACCTCCTCCTGATAAAAACCCCACTCATGTTAACCAGTAAACACAAGTTTGGGATACTTGTGGTATTGCAACATGCAGTACTACCCCAAAGCTGAATCTCAGCTTTGATATCCTAAAGAACATGGCGCTAGATGCAACTACACTCTAAAAATATCAGCCAATAGGGCAAAAGAGGGGATGACCGCTTAGTACATTGAGAAAATGGCTTTTATGCCAGAATGCACATTTGGGTTATTGTTACAACTGTACAATTCAGCATTAATAGTCTAAGAAATACAGGCAGCTCCAACTCTGAATTACGTGAAAAGTGAAGCCCAAGTCCCAACAGTCTTGTTTCCTTCCCAGTATCTAGATTTTTTAGTGGCTTTATCTCAAGCTACTATCCCAGACGCCTTTCTGCTGCCAAGAAAGAACGTTACTGATTCCAAGACCTTTTGGCTTCTGGAGCTTAAAAAGTCGCAAGACATTTTTATTCCAGCATTGTAAGAAACAGAGCTGCCCCTGAAATCAAAGTTCTGATCATTTGAGAATTTATATAAATACTTTTGGTTGAGCCGCGATGATAAAATAAAGCTTCTTCTAGAGCCCTTGGAAGCCACCTCTGAATATTTCTGAAAACATTTGATTTTCACTTATGATTATCAGACCAAAGGCTGATAATAATTATTATCTCCATTATTTTTGAATTTTAGAGCAACACCCAGATCACTTACCTATTTGAATACAGAACCCAGAAGCCCCATTTTAAATTTTATTTAATTTTTGAAACTTCACCTTAGGGTGAAGGGAAGGTAGCAAATAGTAACAATCTTATATCATTTTCAATTGATAGCACCCTTGTTTGCAAATTCATACCTTATTTGCCACAGGTTTGCGTGGCAAAGCCAGTAATGTTACCAGATGAAATGGGCAGGGTATTATGGTAGACAACCCAAATTCACAAAACTCCCATTAATATAAATTCTGTTAAGCAATTGCCTCCCTTTCTGAGTGACTATTGACATTTTTGTTGCCTGAACTAGTTTTGAGCCAAGTATGAGAAAACATTCTGCTTTCACAGCTGCAAGGCACTACGTTCTAGAGGGTGGAGAATAAGGTAGTACAACTTCTACTAAAGATGCAGTCAAAAGCACATCAGCGCTCCAAAGTTTGTGGACCTGGCTTCCCCAATCTTGTGGTCTTCATGTTTTGCAACTATGAATATATGCAACTCAAGAAAGCTCCTGCCAATGGTAGATTTGTAACCAGTTTTATTACACAAAATGTAAAGTTCAGCAATATCTACTTCTCACTGGTTTGCTCTGGCATGCTTCTAATGATGTCAGAATCACCTGTTGGGAGGGAGAAAAGACATATTTTAACAAACACTATAAGCAAATAGTGCTGCACAATTAATTCTTCGTATCAAGATGCCAACAACCCATTTTTCCTTTTAGATGAACATTTTCCATCATAAATTCAAAACTTTTAATTATATGGGGAAGTACACTCTAAAGATGTTACTTGCAGTTAAAAACCAGAACTAGGGAGGCAAATCTAGTTCTGGGGACACACTACATAGTTATAATATAGCGAATGTCTAGCCTGCCCTGATCACTGAAATATCAGGACAGCGAGAATATTCGCAGTGCTTTAAAAGTTCAAAATGCAATACCTTAAGGAGTAGATTGAGAGTAATGGCTTTTAGACAGTAAGATATTACTTAAACTGACTAGATATTTTGAAGATGAGACGTTGGAGTGGGTTGGATTCTATGTATCTGCAGAATTAACTGATTCAGACTACAATATAATGCAAGCTTGGTGAAGTTCACTATGATTTAGCTCTAAAGGGACTGTGCTCTCTAATAAATATATGAAGAGCAGGGGGTTTAGAATCAGGACAATTTCCAAAGAGTGTAATGAATGGACTTCGATAGAAGTAAATCACCTTAAGACTCTTCAGCATATCCAAGGGTATTGTGGTACCAAATAAACACATACCTGGGTCAATGATGGCAAGTGTACACACTCTGTAGTACTTTCCACAAGCTGTACCCAATTCAATATTGTTACCGCTGTAGTGGTGCACACCAGTTTTGGCCAACATAGCATAGTATTCAGTTTCTGATTTCCTGAGAATTAAACACACATGGAAGCAAAACCAGTTTAAATTTATGGGTTTTAATCTACAATACAGGCTGGAAATTTCACATGAGCACTAAACATTATTCCTCATGAAAGACTTCATGATTTATCCCTGCAACCTTCTACTATCTAGATAGGGAGTCTAGCAGCTATAAAGATATCTTTGTTTTATAAGGGATTATGGAACATTACTATGCCATAGCAAAAATAGTCATGTTTAAGTGCTAAATCAATATTTCCAGTACATTTTGGGTCATGGCGTCAAGGTTTATTTATCTCCCATTTACCAAGAGCAAAAATATGATGGTGAAAATGTGGCCAAGTCTACATACCTACCTTCATCATTACTTGGAGCAACTTATTTTATAAAATTATTTTAGTGAGAGATTACACCTAACATTAACAGCACAATACTATGCATGCTTGTTGAAAAGTAATTCTAACTTAGTTCAATGGGGCTTGCCCCCAGGCAAGTGTGCACAGGAGTCCCACTTAAAACAATTTTTGGTTGTTATTATTATTTTTAAACCCTGGCCATCTAAACAACATGCTCAATTTGTTTACAAAATCTCAAGTTTTCAGTACTATAGATCATTGTTACCCAACTAGGGGACATCACTGTTTCCCAACCAGGGATCAGGATATTCCAAGGAGGCCACAGGTGAAAATCACATAAATGGGGGGCCACAGCACAAGACTAGGGGGCTAAAATAGAAGTCAGTAAAAGGTTGAGAAACTGCTGTAGATACACACTTACCTTAGAGCTGGACAGTTGTTGGCTAGTATGACCAACTTGGCTTTGCCCTGTCGGATCATTTTCAGAGTCTGCTTGTATCCCAGTACATATTTACCACTTTTCATAACCAGCTGAAGTCTAGAGTTTATGGACTCGAGGGACTTTTTCTGAAAGAAAATGTTGAGGTATGGCAACTTCAAAATGATTCCAGCATTTATGAATAATGAATTTCTATATTCCACATGTCTGGGCTTACTGCACTCATCTAAGAATATGTATCACACAAAACACATCAAATAATGCATAATGATGAACTTAAATGTTAACACTTATTAGATTTTTTTGTTTTTTTAATTTTTCCTCTTAAAAAAAATCAAGACAGGAGTTATTTGTACATAGCTACGTGTTTTAACTCTTAAACCAGGGTCTTAGGAAGAAAATGGAAAAACATCCCCAATGAAAAATAGTATTTAATAGTTACAGCTTGTTTCTTATAACATACAACTTACATAGCCATGCTGACAGGATATATTGCTTAAACTGTAAGAGTTACTGACAATTTTGAACACATTCCTGCCCTCACACTATTGTCTCTGCTTTCTAAAACTAAAACCCCTGAATTATATCTCTTTTATACCCAAGTCTTTAAAAATTACTTTAAAAACCTGGTAATCTCAGCGAGCCTGGGTTCTTACAAAGTACAGGAAATCTGCAGCCTTATGCTGACAGAAAATGCATGCCTCACCCAAAATTTATACACCTGTCATTCTTGAAAACAACCCAACTTCACTGCCATTTGATTAAGCAGAAAAGCTGAGGCCACATGCAACATCACTCTCCTGCAACCTTATATTCAACTCATCATACGGAGAGATAAATTCATATAAAGCCACCATTGTGCAAATAGGCCACAGGCAGCTCCTTATGTATAGAAGAAAAACACAGCAGTACTCCTTGCACACACGTCTACTAGCAAAAGTCTAGGAAACTAACAGTGAAGTACTGGATTGGCAAAGGCCTATGAGCTGCAAGGAACCAAGAACATACAATTTATGAAATTCATACCGCTCCACCAAATAAACGACATTAGGCTGTGCTTTCATGCAAGACAATATTTTTAAAAAACGCGATGTATAAATTAGAATCCGACAACGATTAAATAAAAATTAATGACTCTACAACCAGGTTTGGCCCCAAGTTTCACAGGCTCCTCGCCCCGAAGATCACCCTCGTCTCCTCCCGTTTCTGCTTTTCCCCACACGAGGCCCCTTCCGCCCTCCTGCTGCCCCCCATGCCCGGCTCTTCCTCTCACCGTCTTCTTGGCGGCCACCATCCTGTCGGCTCACGTCGGCTCTGCCGTTACCTGCGCCAAAGAAAACAGGGAGGGGGGCGATAGAGAATTAACGTCCCACCGTATCCAGTCCCACCTGCTGCGCCCCCCGCGAACTCGGCTTTTCCCCCTCACCCAACCCTGGGGAGACCCGCTTACCAGAGAAGCACCTCCAAGATGGCCGGGCAGCGAGGAAAGGAAGGAGCTCCCGCAATGCAACGCGCAAAACCACGCGGCGCCCGGCCACCGCGAACGGCTACGCTCGCGAGAGGAGGAAATTTCCGCCCACTCCCCGTGGCCAATTTCCCAAACGGGAAGTGCGTTGCGTGGAGCATGCGCACAAGCCTCAAGATGGTACCATAGAGATAGAAAAAGTCTATACAGGCTTTCTCAACCTTGGTGCCTCAAACGGTGTTGGGACTACGCTCCCCATCATACTTGAACGTCTGTTGTAGTCCAGCAGCGTCTGGAGAACCAAGGTTTGTCTGGAGAAAGCTGACCGAGAATAACTTTAACGGCCATTCTGAAAGGAGTTTGAGGCGGGTTCCTCCAGGCTCTGGAAGACGAACGGCGACGTCTTTACGTTTTCTTATCTCTATGCCGCACTTGGCCTGAGCAGCCCCCTCTCTTTGCTTCTCTCCGCAGAGAGCAAGCTCTGTAAATGAGAGCGAATCGAGCCATCCTCGGGGCATGGCCTGTTAATTTAGGCCGCAGTTGTACTTGAAAGGATATGCTCAAATAAAAAGGCATATAATTCAGGTGTTGGGGGGGGAGTCTTAATATGATCTATGGTCAAAGAATGTATTGTGAAGAAAGACATGGCTGCTTAAATTTTTAAAAAAATGTAAAACATTTTACTCTGGAGTAAACAAACGACTTAATTCAAAGCAAAGCAGGGCTCACTAGCACTTAATCTTGAAATTCTATTTTCAGTGTAGATGGGGCAACAAGTACACCAGGCCACTGAACTCTGCCGCTTTGTACTTAACCTAGAATGATTTCAGCTTTGGTGAGAACACGTACAGTGGAACCTTGGTTCTCGAACGGCTTAGTTGACGAACAAATCGGAACCTGAATGCTGCAAACCCGGAAATAAGTGTTCCAGTTTGTGAATTTTTTTCGGAAGCTGAATGCTTCCATTCTGAGTGCTTCCGCTGAGGACCCGTGCAACACGCTGGTGATATTTGGAGCTTATATTTGGCAATTTTGTTTTTGCGACTTACTTGGCGATTTTGTTTCTGCAACTTATTTGGCGATTTTGTTTCTGCGAGTATTTTGGTTAATTTGTTTTTGTGACTCTGTGGAACCCAGTTCAGCTACTGTATTTTCAGGAGCCCCCTTGCAATTTGATTGTGTGACTGTGCGAAAATGGATAAAAGTTGCAAAGGCAAGAGAACCATTAACAGAGCAACAATAGAGGTGAAGAAGCAAATTATTTCCAAGCATGAAAGTGGTGTCCGTGTAAGTGATCTGGCAACGCAGTTTGGTATGGCCAAATCTACAATTTGTACCATCTTAAAAAACAAGGAAGCCATTAAAGGAGCCAATGTTGCAAAAGGTGTTAAAACACTCACAAGGCAACGAACACAGACAATTGAAGAAGTGGAAAAACTGCTTTTAATATGGATAAAAGAAAAACAGTTGGCCGGTGACAGCATTTCTGAGAGCATGATTTGTGAAAAAGCTTTATATTTGCATGCTGAACTCATCAGAAACACCCCTGGAGCAAGTACTGAGGGTGAGGTTTTCAAGGCAAGTAGAGGTTGGTTTGATAATTTTAAGAGGAGAAGTGGCATACACAGTGTGGTGAGACATGGTGAAGCTGCCAGTGCCAACAAATTGGATGCTGACCGATTTGTTTTGGATTTTAAAGATTATGTTGAGTCACAGGGTTTCATTCCCCAACAAGTTTTCAACTGTGATGAGACAGGCCTCTTTCGGAAGAAAATGCCAAAGAGGACCTACATAACAAAGGAGGAGAAATCATTGCAAGTGAAAAGTGATGATGTGGAGGAGTTAGTGGAGGACCACAAGACTGAGCTCGCCACAGAAGAAGAACAAAACATTCTGACGGAGCAGCAACAGGCGGCAACTGAGGAAATACCTTCAGGGGAGGAGAGCAGAGAAATTGTATCTACTGCACTGATCAAACAAATGTGTGCAAAATGGGCTGAAGTGCAAGGTTTTGTTGAAAAATATCACCCTGATAAAGCTGCTGTAAGTCATGCCACCAACACTTTCAATGATAATGCTATGTCTCACTTTAGACAAATTTTAAAACATCAGCAAAAGCAAATCTCAACTGAAAAAAAATTAGTGAGGAAAAGAATCAGCAAGTCTGAACCAGGTGTCAGTGGTGTAAAAAAAACAAGGGAAGGAATGGCAGGAGAGGTGTCACCAATTGCGATTCTGGGAGAGGACCCTGACCCCCCATCCAAACAATGACTATCATCCATGAAGGTAAGGGAAAAAATTACATTTTCATTTTTATCTACAATACTGTTTTATTTATTTTACAGTACAGCACATTGTTTATTACTTTCATTTCATGAATCAATGGTCTCGTTAGATAATAAAATTCATGTTAAATTTCTGTTTTAGGGGTTGTTTTTAAAAGTCTGGTACAGATTAATCCTTTTTGCATTATTTTCTATGGGAAAGAGTGCCTTGGTTTTCGAATGTTTTGGAAGTCGAATTAAGTTTGAGAACCAAGGTAACACTGTATATTCAGATCAATGGCCCTGTCATGGGCTCCCACATGACTCCACAGTATGCCAACATTTTCATGACTGGTTAGAACAACACTTAGCTGCTGTCTCCAAAAAGTCTCACTTCTACCCAAGATACAGTGGTGCCTCGCAAGACGAAATTAATCCGTTCCGCGAGTATCTTCGTCTAGCGGTTTTTTCGTCTTGCGAAGCAACCCTATTAGCGGCTTAGCGGATTAGCGCTATTAGCGGTTTAGCGGCTATTAAAGGCTTAGCGGCTTAGAAAAAGGGGGGGAAGCGGAAAAAAATCTCAAGACTCGCAAGACATTTTCGTCTTGCGAAGCAAGCCCATAGGGAAATTCGTCCTGCGAAGCGCATTGAAAAACGGAAACCCTTTCGTCTAGCGGGTTTTCCGTCTTGCGAGGCATTCGTCTTGCGGGGCACCACTGTACATGGGTTCCATCTTTATCACCTGAACAGGAGGTACTTAATGCAGTTTCTATAAGGCTTCAGTCAATTCCACTGTGCCAACAACCTAAGACTAAGCCAGTCTTTGCAAGCAATTCAGTTTCTGGACACGGCAAAATAGCGCAACTTTCTGCATTTCCTTTCCTTCTGACCTCACTGTTTACAATTCCCTACTCCCTTCACTATGTGTATATATAGCTGCCACTCAGAAAAACACTTCATACGTTTGATGGCGTGGACTGTAACCCATAAAATCTTAATGCATTTGTTAGGCTTTAAGGTGCCACAAGACTCACTCTTGTTTTCTTTATAATCTATTGCTATCAAAGATGGCAAACCTGGGGATAATTTGTGCTTAAATTTATGCCACACAGAATGCATATTTCTCTCACATGGATTTGATTTGGCTTCTTTTAGACTTATAGTCCAGCTGTGTTTTATCAGTGTGGACATCCTAATCTTTGTCATACTCTAAAAGCTGCCAGAGCTGTTTTGACATGCCCTATAAACAGGCAGATATTAAACTTATTGCTTTTGTACATTTGCACCCTCAGACAAATGAGAAAGCTTTATTAGAATTCCATTCTGGCACCCACACTAATTACTTTTCTTTCTATGGGTATTAAAAGTGGCAGACTGAGCTTTATGATAATGATCATATTTAAAGCAAGTGTAAACATGGTCATTCAATTTTCCCTGGTTCACACACTGTCCTATTCATTTATTGTCAGGAAAACAACTATGCCTCATTGTTCCAAAGCGAGCAAATCTGGAATTTGGGATACTAACAAGGTTGGCATTTGCTGAATCAGCATTGACATTTCTTGTCACACAGCCATCCAATCAAAAAACAGTTCCAGAACAAAAATGGATAAAGGAATGAAGTCCGCTGGAGGGCAGAGAAAAGCCTGATGCTTATTGTCAATTTGAGCATATCCAAAAACATTCAATTCCTGGTTTAAACATGAGTAATACTGTTATAAGAGTCACTCTACTGTTAGAAGAGTCACTCGAATAACACAAATGGAGTCCAGAGAGAAAAGAAATTGGTAATACTTTACTAGGGGAAACTGAACTATACAGAAATATACAGAGAAGTTTCTTAATTCAATTCTAGTACATAGGGAGGCATACAATTACACACAGGAGGAAACACCTTTGGACCTAACCAGCCAATCAGAGCTTGAGTTACCACAGCAAGGATTGTGCCAATCTCACTGGTTGCTAGGCAACACCACCACCCGCTCTAGGTTGGCTAACTAAACAATTAACCCTTCGGTTGCTAACTGAATGATCCCAGCTGTTGCACTTCTAAGAAATGCAGTCTTGTAAAAAGCCATGAAATTCTGGGCATTGTAGTTTGTTAAGGTTGCTGGTGATGTTAGCTGTGTGAGAGGTAAACTACAGTGCCCAGAATTTTTTGAGAGAAAGAATGTGTTTCAAATGTGCTTTAAAGTTATAGTGCGTGCACAGCTTAGATTATTGTGAACATATCCTCTTATTCCATCATACAATTCAAGGCCAGTTGTAGGAGATCCCTTTATAATAGGGGTGGGGAACCTATGGTCCTTCAACTCCCATCAGTCTAAGCCAGCATGGCCAGTGTTTAGGAATGATAAGAGCTTGTTCACAGAGCAGACCAGGGGAGGTGCACAGAGGTCAGCAAGTTCTCCATTCCTGCCTTGTAGGCGGTGTTTTGCCCCAGGCCTGAGATTCCCCACCCAGCTTTTAGATTGTACACCTGCCCTGGTCTGCTCTATGAACAAGCTGCAATCAGTACAGGAATCAGATGTGTTTCACATGTGCCTGACATTTAAAAAAAAAACCATTCTAGAAGTCTCTTTATTGCAAATATTGCAATAATTAGAACAATTAGATACACAGCCTCTCATTTGCAGAAGTTAATGGGTATCTATGGCACAGATTATTGAAGTCTGTTTGGCAACAGAAATGTGATCATGATTAGGTCTGTGGTTTCAATAAGATTACTCTGACATAATGCGTTTTGATAACCTTTGATGGTGGTTGGATTTTAAGACATTTGAGGGCTTGCACTGTTTTCACTAATGTAAGTAAGGTTTTAAATTTCTACAGTAAACGTGAAAGAGTTGTGCAGTTTGTGTTCACTTATGTTTGCATTGCATGTAAAGGTTTCTGGCAGAACATAAATGGCTGTTGTGTCTTACAGCTTTACACAAACTAGTGCCTAGCCCTGAACTGGTACTAAGTAATTGAAAGGGGAGAAACCAACACCCCAAAGGTGGAGGACTTTGAGGTCCATGCTGGATCGCCTGGAATGAGTGCTGAGGATCCCCTTGACAGGCTGTCTGGTGAGAAACTGTCTGAAGAACCCTTTGAGCTGTCAGAAGAAGAGACTGAGCCAGCCCTCAGTCCTGAATAACTCTGGCACCAATTGGCCTGGGCACAGACTGAAGAGCAATGACATAGCATGGGTCTACAGACCCAGATGTACATGGTAAGCAATTTTTGGAACTCCTTTACTACCAGCAGCTGGGGTTAGGGTGTTATGTATGAGTCTCACACATTAGCCTTCTAGTTGTAGGAAACAACACAGATATCCCTTCTTGTTTGTGGGATCCTTAGTCCTTCTTCCAATTCCCTCACCTTGCTGAATTCACTGTGATGTTGAACATGGGTTTTGATCACATTTTGGACCTAGCCTGATTCTCTGTGCTAGACTTTGGCTCAAGACCATAGCCCCCCAAGGGCATGCCCTGCAGCGTGACAGTTGTTTCATTTAACCAGTGTCCTTAGTACCGTAATTCATATCTATCCACTGGTATGTTGCAAATGCCACCACTATTGCATCATTTGGTGTTAAACAGTGACCAGCATCACGTGCTCTTTGACCTGATATAACAATTCCTTGAGATAGTCACAGAAGGAAACGTTTGCAGTGCAATCCTGTACAATTCAACTCAGAAATATGCCTCACTGCATTCAGTGGGGCTTACAGGTAAAGGTCTATAGGAGAGCAACCTCATTTAACTAAACTTTAATTCATAAAGTAACACCCCTCCCCAAAAAGCCCCCCAGGTTTCAAAACTTATTTGTTCATTGTTAGTTCTTTTTCACATTGTTTTGTGCGGCAACTTCTTATTTAATTCTACAGAAATGCAATCAAGGTTATGGTTTGAAGGCATGTAGGGCCATCATCTTGCTGAAACTAAACTGGTGGGGGTCCAGCCAGCACCTACATGAGAGATTTCATGAAGCTTATGACTCTATTGTGGGCAGCTTAAGACTCTGATTCAAAGAACATCATCCTCAGAAAATACATTTATCTATTGTAAATGTATTTTATCAAACTAATAAGACAATTGATAACATTCCCCCCTCAAAACACTTTGCTTTTACACTGAAAACACCCCCACTTGATTTGTTGAGCCACAGTTTATGTTGTTTGTCATATGAAAACATCCACCATAGTTTCATAATTACAGTCGCTATGAAGAGGCTGCCAAGAAATGCTTTCTTGGTTGCAGGGGCTCATGAGAGCAGCATACCTTGTGGACTGGCATGGAAAATATGCCAATCTCAAGGAAGCCACCAGGAATGCACAGGAAGCAGCAGCAACCTCACAGCAACCAAGTATGAGTACTGGTTATATAATGCATAAAAAGGCCATAATTACTTGTTTTTAAAGTCTGTTATTTTATTGGTATTCTCCTATGAATGTTTTACATAACTTTATGTAAACTGCTTAGAGCTGTTTTGGTTAGGTGGCATACAATCTTGTTAAATAAATACATGAATTTAAGCAAGGCCTATTAGGATTTGTATACTGAAGCCATTTAAAACAATGGAAACATGCAATGTATTTTGCTGTGTGGCTGTTCGTATTTGTTCCTTTGTCAATTTTTAGTGTATTTCGTGTTTCTCATATTAGTCACATTGGATTGTACAAGGAAAAGTAGGGTACAGTGGTGCCTCGCAAGACGAAATTAATCCGTTCCGCAAGAGTCTTCGTCTAGCGGTTTTTTCGTCTTGCGAAGCAAGCCCATTGACGGATTAGCGCTATTAGCGCTATCAGCTGTTTAGCGGCTATTAAAGGCTTAAAGGCTTAGGGGATTAGCTGCTAAAAGGCTATTAAAGGCTATTAAAGGCTTAGCAGATTAGATAAAGGAGGAAAGCGAAAAAAATCTCAGGACTCGCAAGGTATTTTCGTCTTGCGAAGCAAGCCCATAGGGGAATTCGTCCTGCGAAGCAACTTCAAAACGGAAAACCCTTTCGTCTAGCGGTTTTTCCGTCTTGCGAGGCATTCGTCTTGCGGGGCACCACTGTATTAATATTTGAAATACTGTACATACATGCAGTGACTATAACCACCAGGTCGAATCCTGGCTAAGAAACAGGTCTTTCCCCACTGTCTGGTGTTTAGGGGGGGACAGAATTTGGATAACATATAGCTATTTCTCTGCCAGTACTGTTGTGGAGGCCCTATCTTCATTCACACAGAAAGCGTCCAAAAGGGACAGGGCACCAGCGAATTTGAATCTGCTGGATCTGAAGCCTCACCAATCTCCTGAGGAGCCTGATCTGGTGTAGCAAAATTAGACAAAACCACTGACCCGTTCCCATTTTGGGATGTCCCAATTTGTCTGCCACCCCGTTCTCCTTGACCCCACTTAGGATTCTCACTGGGTGACTTTGGGGTAGTCAATTATCTCTTCCTCACAGGGTTAAAATGTAAGGGTTGTGGTACGGATGAAATTGGGTGGGGGGGGTTGAGACTGAAGGGACCACCTACCATTAAGAGTTGCCAACCTCTTTGGGCCAGATGGCACATTTGGAATTTTTAGAAAGATCCCTTGGCAACAATCACAAAATGGTAGCATAACACCAAATGCCCCATAAAAAAGAGGCAGGACCACAAAGTGGTACAACATACACTACCTCTGCATTGACTGCTCCATAAGTGGGAAAAGATACCGGTACATACAGAAAGCAGTTCTTTGTACCTCTTCTCTGTTCAGAAGGGATAGGAGAATGGGTATTGAATTCTGGCATCCAATGAAATATGGAAATGTTTAAAGTGGGGAGGTTCAATCATGGGCATAGCCAGGATTTATGTCGCGGGGCAGGGTTTATGTTGGGGGGGGGAGCATAACCAAGCTATCTGTGATTGGTCAGTTACTTACCTTTTTTAAAAATTATTTATTTGATTTAGGGGAGCAGGTGCCCCTTACCCCCCCTTCAGCTATGCCCATGGGTTCATTGCAAAAGAGGATGAGTCATGCAAACAGGAACTAAGTACAAACCATCTCTGGTGCACTGGGCATTTTCAATAGACTATTTGTGGACCTTATAGGAGGTACTGGCAGGTACACTCCTGCCTGGGGACACCACAGATTTCCTTGGCAAAAGGGTGGGATAAACATGTCACTCATAACGACTATTTTCCAGCACTGCAGAATATAATCCACAACAAAACCCACCATGGGAGCCTTATAGCTGCTTCACACACATTTTGAGAGGCAGGGGTGCAATTGTTAATTTGAAACTCAGGATTTACAGGCCATGGGGGAATGTCTTTGTATAGCTCAGCTGTGGGGAGCCTTTGGCGCTACTGCTGTCCTTGAACTACAACTCCTACCAGCCCCAGCAAACCAGGCTTGCCTGGGAGTCTTAGTTCAGCAACACCCAGGGCCTTGCGGAGCCAGGCAGAGGCCCGGGCCAGGTAGATAATGTGTCCCCCCTTTTTTTTACCCTGGGGATAACTGAAGTCTTATAAGTATATAAATAATTTTCACAAAAGTTATGCTGACAAATAATTTTATTTCAAGGCTTGAACCATATCTGCATATAAAGACAAAATGGAAAATATAGATAAATATGCTGACCGAGGCCCCCTTTGGAATCGGAGGCCCGGCCCAAGTGGCCCATATGCCCCCCCCCCCCCGTCTGGGCCTGGCAACACCCGGAGGGTCAAAGGCTGCCCACCACGTCTTCTTCAGGGGATCATTTTCATTGGATCGCTTATTTCAAATTTGTGGGGAGCCAGCCCTGTTGGAAGGGGCTCCGGACATCAGCCCCCAGCACCAATTTATCTCCCTGCTCTTGTTTAATATCTATCTTGGTCGCAGGGGAGGCAGGCCCAAAGCAAACAGAGGGGGCAGCCGCCCACTAGGCCCTATTGCCGCGTTAAATTGCGATTTAAAAAAGCGACACCAGCGGCGTGCCCCGTCCCCGTTGTGTCACCATCACCTCACTGCACCTCCCGGGCTCTGCCCCGCCGAGCCTCCACGAGGCGCCCGTCCGGCTCCCGCCGCGCCTGCGCCGTGCGAAGAAGAATGCCCAAAGTTTGGAGCGCCCCGTGTTCGGCTACCCCTGGCCGCGCGCCGTTCTCATGGCAACCGAGCTCGAGCGATAAACACTCCGGCGGGAGCCTATGAGAGAGAAGTTCCTCGGCACGCGCAGCTCAGCAGGGGGGCGGCGGCCGCCGCTTTCCCCCCTTTTTAGCGCCTGGGAGAGGAGACACCTGCGCGCATTCCCTTCGGCGGCAGCGGAGCGGCAGGTTCGCTTCCCGCGGAGGAGCCGCCCCGGGAGACCCGCTTCTTTACCTCGGCCCGGTGTGGGGAGTGGGGTCCCGCCGCGCAAATGGGGTGCTCCAGCAGCGCTCAGACCCAGGTCAAGGACTGCAGCCGGCCGGCTCCCAAGTCTCCGGACGCCAACGGGCTGCAGAAATGCGGTGAGCGCCCCTTAGGCTCCCTGCTGCTGCTGCTGCTGCTACCAATTCTCCTTTTAAAAAAAGTTTCTATCCTGCCCTTACAAAGTTGCTGCTGCTGCTCTGGCAAGCGGAGCAGGCAGGGGATGCGGGCTCAGCACACTTGGGGGGGGGGGGAGTGTTTAAAACACCTGTAGTAATTAATGGTAAAAGCAGCACCTAATTTAATTCCCGCTTGATATTCGCTCCCTTTGTAATATTGGGAGTTATGTGGCAGTGAAACTTCTATTATATGTTCCGCTCAGTCGAGGGTTTGCGCGTCGTGCATCAAAGGAAGCCTCTCGAGCCGTAATACGTTGGTAAGGAAGGGGCAGAAATGTGGTTTTCCCCTCACGGAGCTACATTTCCCAGCACCCGTAGCAAACCGCAGTTCCCGGGATCCTGTGTGTTTGAAATATACGGTGTGTTAAGGTTTTTTTGTGTTTTTTTAAGGTGTCGCAATATTCTTTTCGTAGCAAGAGGCGCTCAGTTTATAATAGAGTTGAATCTGGTGCGGGGAGGGAAGAAGGATTCAAAACCGTTTGGAGCGGTAATATTGTTAGGGTCGCCACACCTGTTCTTTTCCTGTTGTTTTGGGGTGGGAATTCTGCTTTTCTCGAGCCTATATAACAAGGTGCATTGCTCAAGTTCTGTTTCCTTCTGTACATCCATTAAAGAGGCAGGTACAGTCTTCCTTTGATTATCCTTTCTGCATTCCTTGCTATCTTCAGATGGGAAGATACTTTTAACCTCTAGTCCATAATCTGTAAGGTAGTATTCCCTACTAGTCCTACCTAGAGAAGACTCATGGAAAATAATGAACATGGCTAATTAATTTCAGGTCCATTAATTTCAGTGGGTTTATTCTGAGGAAACAATTAGTTGAATAGAACCCTAAATTTGCTCCTTCTTTCCTTGCCTACCCCCATGCCTCCATTTTACTTTCTCTGTGGTTAATGGAGGTAAGTAAAAGAATCAAAAGTTGCGGTGGGGGGGAGCCACTTCCCACCTTAGTTTATCTTGGCTTGTTCTAGTGCTAAAATTGCCATTCTGGCAATATTCATCCTGATCCACAGGAGCTAGTGCATTTAATTTTACTTCTAAATAAGCAATTATAGGGCTGTGGGCCTATTTTGTAACTACCGATAAACTGCATATGGCTGTGTCATTGTTATGTAAGTTTGGCAGATATTTTGTTTTAATAACCTAGTCTACCGGCCTGTGTTAAACTGGACTGCTAAGAGTTAAGAGGTATTAACTCTCCAGTATAAATTATAACCAGGCTTCAAAAAAAAGCTGTGCTGAAACTCCGCATAACTTGCCTGAGAATAAGTTGTGTATAGATTTGCATATAAACAAATAGTGTTTACACCTAAGGCACACTGAGGTATATTGTTTGGGTTATTATTCTGTGTATACTTCCCTGTGAGCAAACCTCAGTTAACATGTTAGGACCTACTTTTAAGTAAACATACCTACGGTACTTGGTTACACTTGCAAAAAGGTTCTCAGGCTTTCATAGTTTGTAGATAGTGCGCTACAGTCATTTTTCTTCTCTCAATAAAGCTTTTTAAAAGTATATATTTCTTAATCAGACTTTTAACTTATCTTAATGTACAGTAAAACAATACAGTACAGCCTTGGCATTGTGAAAACTGACCTAGGAATAAATAGTGTTTCATATTTCTGTTTGAGTCCACATTTTGTGTGTAGTATAAACGTTTATGATAAAAGTATTTGCTTCGTTTCTAAATTGGATGCTCTGATCTATCCTGGATGAAGTGGCTTGTCTGATTCCATTGCGTTATAAAATGATGCCACAGGAGACTGAAATGTGACACAAACTCTACTAAACAATGCAATTCCTTACAACTAGTCTAAAAATTTACTGTGGTTAACTTCTGAGCTTGACAGCCATTATATGCTGGCCTTGAAGGCAGTGTAGAAACTGTGACTGGTCCAGAATGGGGTGACTTTGTTTGTGGTTTGGGGGCTGCAAGTCAGGGACATATTATGCTGATTTTGTGAGAAATCCACTACAGTATTCTCCAGTTTGTGGACTACATTCAATGTGTGAATAAACGACAAATGGACCAAGGCAAAGCTATAGTATAAAATTAAAAATCTAACACTTCAAAAAGAGCAAAAATAATCCTGGGGGAAATATCAACCCCATGGTTAAAGTTGAAATTATTTCCCTTGGGCATTTTGGACAAATGTGTAAATTAGTTACACATATGGCAAAATGTTAATGAGGCCTTCCTCTTCTTTTTAAAGGATTTACACATCTACGTAGTGGAAGGTAAGGAGGCCACTGAATATATAAAGGCATGTAACTAATTCTGCTGTACTCTTGGTGAGATCATTTTACCAGGAAACAAACATGTCATTCTGCAGTTATAAGCTTTTTCCTGAGTTCCCTTAAGGCTTCTTCACTCAAAACAGTTTTTGTAGGATGGTTTAATAAGTTAACTTGTCAAAATTAATTTGGGTGGGACACTGTGCTCGTCATTACCATTCAGACTTGTTGGGGTGGGTAAGGGACATAAACATCTACACATACCTCTGCTTTCAGGCTACAACATGAACACTCTGCATTTTTGCTTCTAAGCATCAGAACTAAATGACTTGACATGTTCATTCAATAATTTGTGAAATAGCTGCTATCATGAGATGCAAGATACCTGTGGAGGAAGGGTTATGCATTGCCTTATGTCTATATTGTTGAAGGCCTGGTCCACTTGTATTGGCTGCAGTAAAAGAACAGTAGTTATTGTGCAATAAACGACAATTATTCACATATGGAAGGAGACCAGTAAAAGTACTTGGTTTAGAGTGGGGTTACTCCTACTAACTTTAGTACTGGGGCAGGTTTTATGCACCCCTCTGTTTTGTCCGAATTTAGAACTGGATGGGACAATTGAGCCACTCTGTTTTGAATTTCTTATAGTGCATTCTACATGTTTCCTTAGACGTTATAGCTAACATGCATACTGATAATCACACTATCAAAAAAGAAAAAGTAGCCCTAGAGTTGCTTCTGGTGGTGTAGTTGCCACTCCTAGAAATTAATCTTTCAGATATGCTTTGATATGGGTGGCATCAAGTTTACAGAAGAACAGTTGATTGTATGGATAAATGGGATATATATATATATATATATATATATATATATATATAACCTATAGATTTGCTCTCAGTAATAATTTGTGTTCTTCTTTTCTATTTGCTTCATCGACATTCCCAAATTAGAGGACAACTTGCCCATCGCAGTCGAAAATGAAACTGTTTCTGATCAGACCAAACTTGGGGTAATGGAAAAAGTAGAGCTGGGCTCAGATGGAGCAAAACTAAGCAAGGGTGTTGCTGAAGAGGAAGCAGATGTTTTGATCCCTGGAATGACCAACTGTGCCCTTTCTACCTGTCAAAGAGTCGACCCCGAAGGCACAGAGCCTCAACCCGTGGCGCCGGAAGAGAAGTTCAGCAAAAGTTTGCCTGTCGCCCTTTTAGAAGCCGGTGAGCCTCGACCTGTGATACCAGCCGAAGAGGTTGGTGAGCCTCAAGCTGCCACAGAAACTGCCAACACTTTGCCTCCGGAAACTGTACAGGACAGTCAGCCTGATCCTGTTGAATCAGCAGAGACAGGCACAGCTGAGCCTGCAACTGAGGAAATTGTTAGGAGTCTTGTAACGGAAATTGTGAAGGAGCTGCAAGAGGATGAAGAACAACAGACTGAGGGTAATAAATTGTGCTATTTCAGACTGAGAAGGCCAAGTTATGACCTGTATGCAGATTCCACCGATTGTAATGAATTTTTTTGCATGCAGGTACATGAGGGCAAAAATCTTGCCCTGTGGGTTTGAGTTGTGTGTAGCTTTGACAAATAGACTAAAAGGGGCCCCTCTGAATAACTGAGGTCAGTGCCACCAATTGTTGCCTTGTTTTGTTTCCTTGTGCTCCCATTTCATGTACTTAGTTTCCTCCTCCGCCCCCAGCAATTATTTATGCTAGGTGAGATGCTAACAAGAGAGTGGGTGGGAAAGCCCTTCTTTGGTGCATATTGCCAGAAGACAAATGGCACAAAGGCGACTGTACTTTGATTTGGTAATGGATCTGAACATTCTGACATCAAAGTAACTTGTTTCTCTTTTATTTTATTTATTTATTAGATTTGTATACCGCCCTTCATCCAGAGAACACAGGGCGGTTTACAATTTTTTGCTAAATTCCAAATCAGTCCAGTCAAAATTATTGCGATGTGTATAATAGTTAACCAAAAATACAACGCTATTATTGGTTCCAGTCTGCTTGTGAGGTAATAGTATTTATTTAGAATTGCTTTGCTGCATTACATCAAGTGTTTATCTTGTCCATTATCAGTCTCCCATCACACCAGGAAAATTCCCCTTTGAGATGCTGTTTGGCTGTGGCCTTTGGTAGCTGTAGGTATTCTGCATCTGAACATATCAAGAGTTATACCTAGTGCTGAGTGGCTATTAGCTATGATAGCCATTTCCCATGACGAATCTTTTCTGTACCACTTTTATGGTACGTGCAGCAGGATTTCTGCAAAATGCAGGCTGTAGGAAACAAGGTAGTATTCATTTACTGAATGGTTTGAAAAACATCAAAATCATTTAATGCATGGGTGAATGGAAATTCTGTTTACATGGATGTACATGTCTTGACACGTGGAATGCTGACAGATGAAAACCATATAATCTTTTGAATGAAGTTTAGTAATACAACTTAAGTTACTTATTTCACCAACAACTTTTCTAAAAGTACACAGAGGACAATGGTAGGTACACTTTGATGTGGCAAATACATTTATATCAGCTGGCAAGTGCTGCATGTCTCCTGTGCTTTCAACTATTTCTTCTTTGATGTTATAAGGAACACCCATAGCATCAGTGGGGGCTGTTTCATTAGCACAAATGGAGCATTGCCCCACCAGCTTCAGGCAGGTGCCACCTGCCTGCCGCCTTACCATCAGCCCCAGGGATAGCTTGTCAGTCTAAAGTTTGCCCTTTATAGAACTCTGCGAGAAGGAAGAGGATGGGGACAAAGCTGGAATTAATTGGTTTTGCCTGTCATTGGCTCCACCTACTTTTGGTCTCTCTTGTCTTCCATTCTACCAGTTCCAAAGGGTGCCAGTCACCAGTGCAGAACCTGCTAGGGCACTCAATACTCTTTCAGTGTTTCCTGGCTTGATCTCTATGGTTACTGTTCCAGGTGAGACAGGAGAAAAGAAGGAAACTGAGATGCACCGTGATGCAGTAAGTGAGGGCTCTGAAACAAAAGAAGAAGAAATGGGAGAAGCTACGGCAGCAACAGAGATAGGTATGTTGATGGAGGAGCAAAGGGCTAATATATTAGAAGTTTAAAATGCTGTATTCGTATTCATAACCTTACATTGGCACGTCCTGGATGCTGCCTGCATTATTTAAATAGAGGTATGTAAACAGTGTCCTGCAGGTAATTGCTTGTTTTTAAATCTGCCTAGGTTGTGTAGGATTAACTCCGAGATGGGGAATCTGTAGTCCTCCAAATGTTGAACTTTGACTTACTTCTGCCGCTAGCCAATCCGAGCAGTGGCCAAAGATTATGGGAACTGTAGCCTCACAATACAGTGGTACCTCGGGTTAAGAACTTAATTTGTTGCGGAGGTCTGTTCTTAACCTGAAACTGTTCTTAACCTGAGGTACCACTTTAACTAATGAGGCCTCCCGCTGCCGCCACACAATTTCTGTTCTCATCCTGAAGCAAAGTTCTTAACCCAAGGTACTGTTTCTGGATTAGCAGAGTCTGTAACCTGAGGTACCACTATATCTGGAGAAAACCAGGTTCCTCATCCCTGGTCTGTGTGTCTAGGTCTGCTCTAACCTCATCTAGAGGTTGTCAGCTTTTGTTGGGGACATGGGATGATGCCTTCTCCAAATGAGTTCCTGCCACGTCTTGGAAGGAAATTCCCATTAACGCAGCCAGCATGACCAGTGGTCATCAATGATGGGAGCTGCAGTCCAGAGCATCTGGAGGGCAGCAGGTTGGGGAGGGTAGAGCCTCTCTGTCTTCCACTTACCTCCTACAACCCCCTTGGAAAGCCCTCACTTCAGCTGGGTTCACTTCTGTCATAATTGCACAGCTGTAGAGAAAAGTCCTTTGAGGAGGGGTCAGACTGTAGGGAAGCAAGCAGCAGGGCACTTGTGTGAACCCTCTTGCTGTCAAAATTGGACTACCACTACCTGCTTTCATCTACTTTGGCCCCAAGCCATTTGAAGCAGATAAGCTAGTTAAAAATAGACTTGGAAAAGATGCACATGTAGGAAATGAGAAGCTTAATTATACACATTTAATTCCATAGTTACTATTTGCCAAACACATTTTGATGATGATCAGATTGCTACCATGGCTCTGGGATTTCCCATTCTCGGATTTCTGTTATAATAGGTGAGGAATGGGTAGGGTTCAGAAGCTCACTCACTGGACAAAACAAAGTACAGGTTTTGACTAGAGACAAAAGAACAAATGAAAAGGCAGGCAAAAGGGTTCATCGCTCAGGCCAGATCTAACATTACAGCACTTTAATTTCCCTCAATCTTAATTGATGGTGGAGATTTCCTTTCTGTGAAACTGAAGGCCCCCTACTACTTTGGAAACCAGGGTCTGCAATTAAAAGCTCATCATAGCACCCAGGAGAAATGCTTGATATAATTAGTGGAATTTCTTATAGTGGGAAGAGGAATTGCCTGTGCATAAATATGCCCATGAAAAGATAGCTGTGTTTTGTCTTCCTAGTTCTCTCACACACGTATATATATTTAGTAACTTGCTGTTTTGAGTCGTGCAGAATTACAAATAAGAAATAGTTGGAATCCTCCCCTTTCCCACATTGCTCACTCTTTGCAAACTCAAATTACCAGTGTCAAGATTTCTTTTCTTTAATTGAATCTGCTTTCTCAAATCAATTTGAAGCAAAAGATGACTCAACAAGTGTGAACTTTAAATGGTTTATCATATGGCGACACTTTGCATCAGGTAGCCCTAGTACTGGTCAACAGAGGCTCAGGCGGCTTTGTCTTGTTTTACGGACCTTTCTGTACATGCTCCTTTCAATCCTCCAGTGTGCTAAGCACTCCCATTTGGCTTTTCTTTAGCTGCTGTGTGATGCTGGAAGTCAATACAGTATGTATTTACGGACCAGGGTGGGGAAGCTCAGGCCTGGGAAATGTTCCCAGGCCACACCTCCCTCCAGCCATGTTTTGTACCACCCTCAAGTATTTTTTGCCTTGCTGGAACGTGTCCTTCAACTGTAATAAAAACTACTTGCTAGCCTGGATTGAGGATAGAAAGGCGTATACAAGCATGTGCAGAAAGTAGCCTACTGTACAAAGGTAAAATTTATATTGTTTGCTCTGACTACTACTGCTTCTGTCCTGGCCTGGCATCTGGCCTAGCATGTGCCCCCTGCCCCTAGTTGCCCAGAAGGGAATGCAGCCATCAGGCTGAAAAAGGTTCTCCGGCCTTTATAAATTTAATATCCAATTATTTCCAGTAAAGAAAGGATCACCATTTTCATCAGATCTGATTCTTCCCAATAATCCACTTTAAGCTTTACTGCCTTACTTGCATTGTTCTGACATGCTAAATATAAGCAGCAGAAGCTTCTTCATATGATTCATACAGATGACTTCCTTTCAAAGAACTGTTCCTAGAATATATTTGTCTGAAAGTCATTGCCACTTTTAAAATTTTAGGTTTTGTTTTTGTTTTATATTGCAGAAGCTACAAATAATGAAGAGTGACTCGTGGCTTCTGCCTGGACTTCATCTTCGGCTGCTCAAATAATATTAGCACTGGTATAATCTGGTTTTTTATAGAAGCTTGTATGGACTTGTCACTTCTGAGCACTAGGGGAGAAACCATTTTAATGATTTTATTTTGGGGAGTCAAGTTGCCAAGACACTGAGGAATTGCAGTGTGTTAACCTTTCATGTTTGCCATAGAGTGCCTTCTGGAAACTTCCATTTAAGTGAAATCATGTGTTGCAAATCAAGAACTTCATCTACTGTATTTCAGTTTTAAAAAAAATAATAGAACTGGGTGCATGGAGATTCTCCAAGCGCTAGATATGAAAGTGTCTGAGCATGGTTAGGTTCTAGTAATAATGTTGCAGCCATGAGGTTTTTTTTTAACTCTACCAGTACAACTCTTAAGTGAATTTTGTTACATAAAACAAGTATGGATATTGGAGCGTAATATTGCTGCTTTGGTTCAATCTGGAAAGATGCATCAATTCATGCCTTGTTTTTTTAAACTAATGAAGGTAGTCACTGCAATCCAGCACTCAGGGGATGAGAGCTAGCCTGTAATTATGGCACTTTGAAAGCACTTTGAAAGCACAGGATAACTGTTGTCACCTGTTGACAAAACAAGCAATTCTGTACACTCTAGTAAGAAATTACTGATAAGCACAACAGCAACATACACTGTTACTGTATTGTGGTGGTAGCACTTCTGTTAAAATGAAAATGTTAAATTTTAAATCTGTAAAATTCTAATCAATTCCTGAAAACACACACTAAAGTAAAAGTATAAACCAAATGAATTGCTGCCTCTAGTGTGTAATTATGTGTACTTCTAGAACACTTTATAGATTTCCCCCCAAAGTGTATATGAATTCTATTTGCCTTTATAAACCTGTTATTTGATAGTAATTATGAAAAGTGAACCCTTCAGTCTTTTTCAAAGAGAAACGTTGAAGTGCAAATCTTACAGCTGAGAGAAAATAATTTCACATAAAAAGCAAGAACTTTGCAGACGTTTAGTGTGAATCTATTGGTTGCATATTTTTGAGAAGTTGGGTAAACTTGAGCAGAGCTGATCTTCACCCACCTTATGTCTGAACCAGGAAACCTTTGTTTTATGCCGGGGTATACTTGATAATGGTTGGGATTTGTGCCTCATGTAGTCTATAAAATGGTAATTTTAACACTGAAATAAAGCATTTATGGAATGTCTGCATGAAAACTAATTCTCTATTCTAATATCGATAGGCTTATGTATTGTGTGTTTCACATCTTTACCTTCGGAAACAAAAACCACTTGCAATACATTTCCTTTTGTAAGGACCATGTAACTTACATGCTATCAGTGTCCATGACTTGATGGATAACTTATTTTTGAGAGGTATTAGCATGGTAAGTCCTGCTGTTCCTATACTAGGATGCTCCTGAAACTCTGCTGGAGTTTGCAATCAGTATCACTTTTATTGGTTTGGGAAGTAGTCTGCTCTGTGTACTTGTTATGCACCACAGAATAGCAATTGACAAGCTTTACTCCTTTAATCTAGGTGGGTATTTATCATATCTCCTGGAAGGAAGGAATAGGTGCATATAAGAGTTTGAAGGTATCCATTAATTGGGCTGCCTGTTTGCCTCAGGTGAGGTAGAAAGCAAGGATTCCTACAGAGGAGGCATTTATACCCCACACCTCAGAGGCAAAGCAAGCTCACCCAGTCCTGGGAGGCCTGTTAAGGGGCTTTTTAGATAGATCTTGGTAACATACCATTAGCTTTTGAAAATGCTGAACAGTGTAGTGCTGTGACAGATAATTTTATCCTTCTACTCAGGCAATAAAAAGGTAAAGGGACCCCTGACCATTAGGTCCAGTCGTGGCCGACTCTGGGGTTGCGGCGCTCATCTCGCTTTATTGGCCGAGGGAGCCGGTGTACAGCTTCCGGGTTATGTGGTCAGCATGACTAAGCCGCTTCTGGAGAACCAGAGCAGTGCACAGAAACGGCGTTTACCTTCCCGCCGGAGTGGTACCTATTTATCTACTTGCACTTTGACGTGCTTTTGAACTGCTAGGTTGGCAGGAGCAGGGACCGAGCAACGGGAGCTCACCCCATTGCGGGGATTCGAACAGCCGACCTTCTGATCGGAGAGTCCAAGGCTCTGTGGTTTAACCCACAGCACCACCCGCATCCCTATTACTCAGGCAATACTTCTATGTAAAAGCTTTAGTGTGGGGTATTCAGGCCACTCACACTTCTAGGCACATACATACTAAAATATTTTGCCTACAACTTTCATAATGGCAGCACCAAGACACTCTTCTGTTGCCACCGGTACATACATTATTTTCCTCTCTCCAAATGGGTTCAGTCTGGTGAAGTAGTCTTAAAAGCTGGATTGCATGTTTGTGATGGAAGGGACTATCTGCCCATTTAGTCTTCAGAGTTAAATAATTACAGGAAGAAAATAGTTTATTGCCATTTTTAATGCATTTGCCTCAGCACATGTACAAAGAGCACATGTCCCACACTAAGTGCAGGTAATATGGAGTGCTCAAAAAAGCTCCTTAAATTCTTCTCACACCTGTATTCCATGCTTGGTTTGTGTAACTGGTTCCTACAGAGGTACCGTAATTCTTAAGGCTATAAATATATAATTTGGCTTGGAAGTGTCACTGTGAATGACCGAATTGCGATGCAATTCGGTCCTACTTGGCCTTCAGCAGCTTAGGGCCCCATCAAGACCTACTTGGCCTTCACTGCTGCCTATTTCTGTGTGGTATTTTTAGGAATAGAAGGTCCAATTTAAACACCCAAACACTTTTATTTATGAATGAAGAAACAAGTCTAAATCTGATACTTTATGCAACTGGTTTATTATGTAACACCCCCACAACCACAAAGTTAATTAAAATTAGCTATTTTTGAAGGTAATGTTATTTAAAAATACAAAACACCTCAAAAGATCCTCTCAGTATAAAATTGGCATCAACATTAGGTTGTTTAGTAAGTCAGATGGGGTCAGGACAGAAGTCCAAGACTATGTTTTTCAAAGTGGCTAAATCTAAAGTTAACCTCCACCTCCAATACAGTATTCCGAAAGAATCCATCATAGTCTTTCCGTCAAACATTTTTATGGGTAGGGTTGCTTAATGTAGTGCATAGCAAGAATGCTATCTTGGCTTCTAATCACTACGGAATTAATCTACATTAATTTTTTCTATAAACTATTTCACAGTCTCCCTCAAAATACTACTTCAAGGGCCAAGATGTACCCAAGTATTCAGATCTTTAATGAGCTTCATGTGTACCAAATCCTGCAAGGGCTCAGAGCATTTATGGCACAGTAGAAAGGGGATGCGGGAGGAGGATCTTTGCCAGAAGAATTCATGTAGGATCCCAGTCCTGAATTTGACTACATTATATGAAGCCAGTGTCAGAACTGAACTCCCTACACAAATCATTCCTGATCCTGTGGAAAGGAAATACCAAGAACAACTAAATTTATAGTCGTGGTGGGGCATCTTGCAGAGGTCCAGTGATGGCAATAGCTTCAATCTCCACACGAGCACCCTGTAGGGAAGATAATAATAAATTTTATTTATACCCCGCCCGAGCCAGGCTCAGGACGGCTAACACCAGTAAAATTACAATAAAAACATAATAGAAAAAAACCCACCAATTTAAAATACAGGTTAAAATGCAGCCTCATTTTAAAAGTAGCCCATAGATCAAAACCATTAGGGGAGGGAAATAAGGATCAGACTGAGTCCAAACCAAAGGCCAGGCAGAACAGCTCTGTCTTGCAAGCCCTGCAGAAAGATGTCAAGTCCCGCAGGGCCCTAGTCTCCTGTTACAGAGTGTTCCACCAAGTCGGGGCCAGTAATGAAAAGGCCCTGGCCCTAGTTGAGACCAATCTAACCACCTTGCTACTTGGGACCTCCAAAGTGTTGTCATTTGTGGACTTTAAGGTCCTCCGCAGGGCATACCAGGAGAGACGGTCCCGTAGGTATGTGGGTCCTGGGCCGATGTCAAACAACTGCATTATAAAATCAGTGCAGGCGTCTTCTGCACCCCACAGCTTTGTGTCCATTCCAATTTAATCCTCCTTAGACTCCAATGGTGGCTTCTGTGTAATAGAAAGCACTTCCACTTGCTGGAGGGGGCATGTATAAGATTTGCAGCCCTTCATGCCACGTAAAAGCTGTAAAAATGTGAGAGGTGCTGTTGTCTATGAGAATTCTATGCAAAGCTTAAATGTATACAAGCACTGCAGCCATTCACAACGACACCTGATAGTGCTATTATAAATGGTCACAAAGCATATCTTGAATACGTTAAGCTTCACATGGAGTTGTCACACACAGTCTCTTAAGTTTCATGCTTGTTTGGCTCTAAACAATCCATTTAGGATTACACTTTATGTCTTCTAAACATGTGCTCTAGTCTATGAAAGCTAATGTCGCAATAAGTCTATTGGTCTTTAAGGTGCTAAAAGACTCTTAAACTGAAATCCTATATGCCCTTACTTGGGAGTAAACCCACTCAACTCAATGGGGCTTGCTTCTCAGTCATATCCTGCTCCTTTCTGTAAATTCTCAAAATTACTGGTAAGTTAAGTTTTTAAAGTCCTTGTGTCTAAATAATTTTAGCAGTTCTATCTGCAAGAAATCGTATAGAAGCTGTTTTGTAGAAATAGAACAGCACTTACTTTTGGCAGAGCAGCAACTTGGTAAGCGGCTCGGGCTGGAAAGTTGCACTTGAAGACTGAGTAGAATAAAAAAGACATTGCCATGATTATATTGACAACATGAAATACGGAGTTTTGCTTACATTTGCAGCAGCTTGCTGAGTTAGGTAAATAGATTCACCAATGATACAGCAGGCTATCTGTATTCTTGTACTATGCAACCATAGGAAGTAGAATCAGTATTAAGTTTTTAAGCCTTAAGACAAGAAAAAGCTTACAGATATGTGGGAAATGCCAAGTGATGCCTTACAAGAAAGAGGAATTTTCAGTAATCAAGGAGCAGAGCACTGAAATCCCATAAAGCTCTTCATTTGACTTAACTAAAGCAAAATAAAACTATTTTGCATAATTTATACAGGTTGTATAATCCAGCTGTCCTTGAGAGAGGCTCTGTTTGTATGTCATGGTATGTCAAGGCCGGGGTCAAATTCAGCCCTCCAGGCCCATAAACATTTTCAATAGGCCGTAATTCCTCTTTGCTGTCCTCTAGTGATAGTGCCTGGCTGGAATCCAACTAAGCCCTACTCAAAGTAGACACATAGAAACTAATGGAACTAAGTTATGTCCATGGGCCTAGCACTGGGTATAAACAATTACAAAAAAAGCAGCTCACAGACTGTTTAAACAAAAGGGCTCACAAGAGCATGAGCATTAAAAACAGAACAATTCTCTTTCCACCACCCCCCATCTGGATTTTCTCATTCCATTCTGTGTCGCTCTTGTCAGCTGAAGCCATCTTGGTGGAGACCACATTGCTTCATGTTTTGTACAGGGCAAAACATTGTTGCTTGTACAGCTGGCGGTACACAAGCGTTAGAGCTGTAGCGATATTTACATTGCTTGTAGATTTCATTCACATCATCAAAGTCCTTCATGTCAGCCATCAGCACAGTAGTCTTCACCACTATACATGAGAAAATTGTATTTTAAACTCCATTCCCAATTATCAAGCTTTAAAAAACTATAACAACAATTTTTCAGCATGTGTTATGGTTTGAGCTGGTTGCTCCAGCTCAACCGCATGGCTCGTATCAGCCATTCTTGAGTTCCTATATCAATAATTTAGGAACATTCACCACTTTGTACCTAAGCCAAGTTTTACTGCCTGTGCAACTTTTTCTGAAAAGCTCATGAATCTGACCTTTGGAGAGTTTGGACGTGGGGAAGAAGGAAACTTTGGAAGGGCAGATTTTAAAGGTCTATGTTTCCAGCCTATATTTCTATGCTTTACTTTGTTGCTGCATATTTTGTGATTTTAAAATTCTGCTGGGATTTTTTCACCAAAGAGTACTTGCCCCAAACTTGGATCTTGGAACCCGGGAATTCTCCTTTTATACTTTGTTAAATAGTAACCAGGAGGTAGTTCAGATTGCTGGTACCTGTTAATTCAGAATTTCACATGAAGAATAAAGGTGACATAGTAAGAACTTTCAAAATCCTAAAACCCACCAAAATGGGGGCTCAGTAAGATGTTTGTATCAACCAGAATTTTTTTTTGTAAAGGGACATGGGATGTCATGTAAATATGAGAAGAGGGAATGTTCTTGATTCCAACCCTGCAGATATTCACAGCAGCCCCACCTCTGTCATTGTCTCTCACAAGGTAGAGACACTTCCTTTTCCTGTCCAATTCAAGGTAAGATAATTCAGGAGTAACTCATTTAGCATAGCTTCTACTCACCATTGTCATAGTCACAGCCAGCAGCTTTCAGAATTTCTCCAATATTGTGAAGGGCCTAAACACACAAAATGGGTTTGAGTCATTTATTTAGATTTGCACACCTCACCCCTAGGAGTCACAGCCGGTTACAACATATGCACCATTTTAAAACGTCATGAAACACAGGGTGGGAACCAGCAATTTATAATGACAAAATTCAGCAAAACGTTAAATCACCAAGGCCCTCATCTAGAAAGAGTTGTGCTTACAAGTCAAGTCACAACCAGCCTACGTTCCATGAATTTCAATGAAACGTAAGGAAAACTAGCTTTCTCTGCAGTGGCAACTATGTGCACAAGAACCTTGGGATTTTAGTCAGTTATTTATTTATACAAATAAATAAATATATACTACCTGTTGCAATCAGCCTCCAGGCAGCACGCGAGTTAAATAGATAGAATAATAAAATAGCAAAACCACCAATATAAATAAAATGCAACTGTTTAAAAAAATTAATGCAAATCACATGGAAATGTTTTTGGCAGCTGGTTGTCACACAGGGCCGATGTCAGACCATCTGTCTACACTGACTGGCAGTGGTTCTCTGGGATTTCAGACAGGGGTCTCTCCCAGCCCTGCAGAGAGATGCTGGGGGTTGTTCCTAGGATGTTTTACAGATGCTCTACCACTGAGCTATGGCCTTCCCCATTCCCAAAATAGGGGCCCAGAACGTGTGCTCCTACTCAGCACTGTAACCCAAAAGGGTCCTGAAAAGCGTGGGCACTCTTTCATCCAGTATCCCTCGGTGCAGGGCACCAAAATCTTCAATGGTCCCTGGCAGCTATGTGGTTAAGTGGGACCCAGCCCCCCAGGACTGGACACGTTGAAACAGTACATCTGATCTTCTGTTTTGAGCCTTGCAGACATGCCCTTAAGATTTAATTTATGCTACATGAATAATGACATCAAACTCATTGTCAGAATAATAACGGTGTTTCACCTGTTTGGCTTGTTCCTTTGTTCCTCCAGGTACAAATTGTCCATTTGAGGGATCCAGGCCTAGTTGCCCTGCGATATACATGGTCCTGTCTACCAACACTGCTTGGCTAAGGTTCAGCAGTAGAGAAGAGAGAAAACAAGAAAAAGAAAGAGATTTGCTTTTTTGCTATCTTAAAGTATTTTATTTTGGTTTCCCAAAGATTTCCCATTCATAACTTAGACATGAGCTTGCTTGCTTGCTTGCTTGCTTGCTTGCTTGCTTGCTTTATTTATTTATTTATTTCGTTTGCATGCAGCTCCACAGCATAAATTTCTCTGGGTGGATTATAATGAACAAGTAAAAAACAACAACCCCAAAAATACAAAATAAAAGAGAGCCATTAAACCCAAAGCAATACAAATTCAACAAAAAAACAAAACCTGACCTCAAAGTTAAAACATTTTGATTTAATTAAAACCCGTGAAGGACCAGTCTGCATGAGTTATTGAAAATGTCTGAATGAACAGAAACGTCTCCAACAAGTCTAGCTTGACTTAATCCTCAACATAAGCATCAGTACATCTAGGTCTTCTGGGCGGTAGAAAGATCTTGCTCTTCGTCCTGTCCTGAAGTTAGCTACAGTATTCTAAATTCTCATGTAATACAATATAACTTTGTCCAGCTGCTAAGAAATCCTGATCCAAAGGGAGAAAAAGGCAAGGGGAGGGGGATTTTGAGTGGGAGAATGGTTTGAGGAAAGATGGATCTTCCCCCAATGCTCTGCTCAAGATTACAGCGCCCTGTGAATGCTTCCCATTTAATCTAAAAAATCAGGCTACAGTTACAGACAACGGCACATAACATGTAGTTTTGATCCACATGAAGTACTAGAAACTTGCAGGTTACAACTAAGCAGCCATAAAGCTCTCTTTCCAAATCAACTCATGATGCAATCTTAGGCACACCTTACTCAGACGTAAGTCCCATTGAATTCAGTGAGACTTACAGTATTGGATGGAAGCCAAAGAAACTAATGGTAAGTAACAAAGATATTTAATTAATAATCATAATGATTCAGCAGGCACTTACACTGCAGACAGTCAGCCGCCAGATTAAAACACAAAGGCTGTTCACTCAGGGCTTTGGACATTAGCATTGTTGCAGTTTACTCAAGGTTGCATTGCATATTGTCTTTATTGGTATTTTACGAGACCAATTGTGTTTTATGAAATGCTGTTGTTATTGGTACAGATATTGTATGCTGGACAAGATATAAAAAGATTCATCAAGGTAGGTTTTGCTATAGTATGCTGGGTCACACAGCTTTATGGCAGTTACATGCCTGTTCAGTTGGTGCCAATAACGACTGCTACCTGGCAAACAACCAAGCAGAAAGCAGCAATCTGCCACAGATTATAAATGTGATTTCAAGTTTTCTTTTCCCCTTCTAAGGCTTAAAAGTTTCTTATTTGGTGGAACCAGTGCAGTTGCAAATATTCTAATCTAATGCTCTGCTGGTTACTCCAATTCCTACACCAATTCTAAGAACACTCAGGCTGAGAGAACCATATCACCACACTTTTTCAGTCAGAGTGACAGAAATCCATGAACCACCACCACATAATCTGCAAGTTTCAGTATACGATGGAGACACCCAAGAAATTTTAAAAAGCGCTTAACTGCATTGTTTCAGCACAAATTTAATGCTCAAGGACACCACCCTCCACGTTCCCTTAACATGCAACTCAGTGAACATTGGCCTCTCCTAAATACATGGTGCGCTAGCCAACTAATTTGGAACAGTAGATTGCAACACTCAATTATAAATGGGAACACCTTCAAACAAGCTAAAATGATACAAGCTTAGCCTGGGACCAACCTTTCTGCTGTTCGGGGCAGAACATTAAAAATTAGACTAATGGTTACAAGTTGGTAAACAAAGCCAAGTGCATGACACAAAAGGATAAAAATCCCTTCCATTGATGAGTACATGATGAGCTTTTTTCCCTAAGAACTTTAGAAGTCACCCCCTCCTTGTGCCTTATTCTTCTACTTTCTACCCATTACCGCTGCTCAACATTGTTCAGCATATGTAGATGAAACCAACCATTAAATGTAGAGTGCTCCTATTCAGGGTTCTACAGTGTTTTTCAAGGAGCATTCAATTTCTCTCTACACCCCTCCCAACAAACAGCTTTCCCCCAGTAGGTCAGCATTCCATGCTCACTGACCATATCCAGGCCACAACCAGACCATGACATGCACCCCCCACCCACCAGCAACCTCCTTCTTTGGCGATCACTCGTAGCCGAGTAAGATTGTCTTCCATGAACACGGTTTTAACGGTGAGTCCGTAAGTGACCGTGGAGGCCAGGTCTGGATCCACACATCCTTCCACAGTGGGGACATGGGTTTCCAGGCGGGAGTTGATCATGATGAGGGTTTGCCAAAAGTGCCGCCTTCTTAGCACGTTTCTCCCTTGCGTCCTGAGTTTGAGCGTCTTCAAAGCCCATGACCCTTTGGTAAAGGCTGTTCTCCAATTAGAGCGCTCGTGTTTCCCAGTTGTCAGAGTTTATACTATATTTTTAAAGGTTTTCCTTGAGACAGTCTTTAAACCTCTTTTGTTAACCACCAGCATTACACTTTCCATTTTTAAGATTGGATGCAAACTCATTGCCACTGTGTGTTACAGGGGAAAGAGGCCTTCATCTGGGTCTGGATTCAGATATGGACCCAAACCTATTATTAATGGCAGACTACAACCTAGGAACATCTTAAAAAGCAGAGACATCACCTTGCCAACAAAGGTCCATATAGTTAAAGCTATGGTTTTCCCAGTAGTGATGTATGGAAGTGAGAGCTGGACCATCAAGAAGGCTGATCGCCAAAGAATTGATGCTTTTGAATTATGGTGTTGGAGGATGTTCTTGAGAGTCCCATGGACTGCAAGAATATCAAACCTATCCATTCTTAAGGAAATCAGCCCCGAGTACTCACTGGAAGGACAGATCCTGAAGCTGAGGCTCCAGTACTTTGGCCACCTCATGAGAAGAGAAGACTCCCTGGAAAAGACCCTGATGTTGGGAAAGATGGAGGGCAAAAGGAGAAGGGGATGACAGGACGAGATGGTTGGACAGTGTTCTCGAAGCAACCAGCATGAGTTTGACCAAACTGCGGGAGGCAGTGGAAGACAGGAGTGCCTGGCGTGCTCTGGTCCATGGGGTCACGAAGAGTCAGACACGACTAAACGACTAAACAACACCACAACTTAGGAACAGGACCACCTCAGAGTATGTACATTATGAACATGACACATTCTACAACTGGTGTCTTGCTTGATGCAAGAGAATAGCTTTACTTGCAGATGCTGAAGTGTGTGAAGAACAGAAACTACAAACTAAGAAACCAAAGCTGACCGCAGCTCTTATTATTGGGGAAGAAAATATCTTTTGCAATATTGAAGTCTCATTAAAGATTATTAACATGCCTTCTTCAGGTATATCAGTTTACTCCAGACTTAGCCTTGAAGAGAGACTCCTTGGCCTTTTTCATTTTACACTAATTAAACTTTTAGTCTAGCTAGCTTCTTCGTTAATGATTAAAAAGTGCAGTAATGGCAAACCAGCTCTTACTCAATGGACAGATTACTACGACAGCTTAGCGTAGGACAGCGTTTTCCATTTGAGGAGTTCAATAAACTTTACATATATTCAGGTTTTGATGACAACCTGCCTCTGGTTGCCTTATGAATAAATTTGAAATGTATTAAAGTTCTTCACATCCTTATTAAAAATTGAAAGGATTAGTAGCTCCCTCATCCCTCAACAGGGAGGTGGTTAAAAAAAAGAAAAGAATGCCAAACTGAGGTGTCACCCTGAGCGAAATTTTCCAGAGGCCAGAAAAAGCTATCATCATGCATTTTTACAGGTTGGTAAAAGGAAGTAATATTTTTAGTTAAAGACGGCGCTCTACCCAGGACTACAACTGAAGTATTGAACTCAGTGAATAATAATAATGATTTATTATTTATACCCCACCCATCTGGGGTATTCACATATGTGAATATAATACTTTCAACCAATTCCTTTTTTGGCTGAACTGAGGTTTTTTTAAAGTATTACTCCTTTACACAAGCAATTGATCTGGCTGTAAACATGCAAATATTATGTTGTTAACAACAACAACAACAACAACAACAACAACAACAACAACAACAATAATAAGTACATCTCCCCTCACATTTTGGGGCACAGCAAGTTAACAATGCACTTAAGAACACTGGAAATTGCCAAATACCAAGACAGACTATTTGTCTGACTACTCCAAGTGACAGTGGCTCTCTGGGTTTCAGGCTACAGGTCATTCCCATCACCTGATATCTGCAGCAGAGATTGACCCTGGGTCCTTCTGCATACAATGCAAGTGTTCCACCACCAAAGGCCCCTCTGATTCACCATCCAAGCAGGACCCTTCTAGCAACAGATACCCTGCCCTCGGCCATTAAGGCAGAGCATAGCCATCATGGCCAGTAGCCATTGGCAAGCCTTATCCATTAATCCATCTCATCCAAGTTGGTGGGCATCACTGCGTCTCTGCAGGAAGGAGTTCCATAGTTTTACCACGAGCTGGGTGAAGAAGTGCTTTCTTCCAAACATACAGCAGCCCTTTCCAGATTTGGGGCGATTTGAAGCTCTTTGCCTTACTTCCTGAATTTTTCACACACTTGCAGAGCCTAGCAAACCCCCCCCCCCAGCAAGTAACCACTGTATTCAGAGACATATGATGCCTCTCTCTGCTCCTGGAATATTTAGCCATAGTGACTAGTGGCCATTCTTGATTCCTCCAGCGATTTCCTTGGAAACCTCCCCCGCCCCCCGCTTCCTTTTCTAAAGCCGCTGGCATCTGCCCATCTTGTGGCAGCGAGTCCCGCAGGTGAACTGCAGTCCACGTACAGAGGAGGGACGCTGCCCTTACCTGTAAGGGCCCATGGCAGCCGGAGCCTTCGCGGTGCTGATGATCTTCTTCACTAAGGCGGCCATGGCAGCAACAAGCAGCAGCTCCTCGCTCAACGGACCGCTGGATGAACGAAGCCGGCGGCTCTTTGCGCTTGAACTTTAACCGACTCCCACTCCGCCCCGCCCCCTCCCCCCAAAAAGCCAACGGCGGCCCCGCCTCCCACTCAGCAACTTAAGGCCCCGCCCCCAGCTCTAAAACCACGCGGTTTTTTTTAAATACGGTATTTTAAGTTCCTCGCCGCCCACCGTACAGCCTCCTGCCGCGAAGGATTATGGGACATGTAGTCTTGAGGGTTAAGGGGGCAGATAGGAGAATAAAGAAAGTGCCGCGAGGCGGAAGTGGACGCAACGTGGTCGCCTGGGCGAAGTGCAGCGCGCCGGATCCTCGGGAGAAGAGCCTGGCTGACTCCTTTTTCCTTAAAGGCCTGCTTCATCAGCCCAGCCCAGACCAGTTTCAGGTAGCGGGTTGTGGGGAAAGGGCGTGGGACGGGGAAGGAGGCTCGCTCCCCCGGCTGAAATGGTGCTCATGGTGCAGAAGTGACTTGTAAGAAGGCAGTTTCTAACATTTCCTGCTCTCTACTTCAACTGGACGTCCCACCCTAATGCATTTGTGGCTGCATGGGGAGGGTGTCTCCTTGCCTGTTCATTGGCTTGTCCCCCTGGGGACAGGGGGAGAGGGCATGCTTTGGGAATGGGGAGAAACCAGGGGCTTAATTTTCGGCGCATGTTCTTAAAAATGCATTTAGAGCCCCGCTAGATCAGACTTAGGGCTGTCTAGTCTAGCCACTTTGAGGCCCTGGGAAGCCTGCAGTTGCTTTGCAGCGGGAGGAAAAACGCATGAAAACAATTCCCTTGCCCGTGCATTTTTGTTCTAGGCTGCTCAAGATTATATAGCAGGCTGTATTTATAAAATAAAATAAGGGCAAATGTTTGCTGTGGCATTGCACAAATTAAAATGGTAGTCGAAATGATGCTCATTCCCCAGCCTCTTTTGCCCTGATTGGCAGTGGTTAACCAGAACGCTTCTAATTATCCACATTGCTGCTGGTTTCCCTCGATTTACTGCTCCTAAAGTAATTCTGCACTGGAGTAAACAGTATTATACGCTGCTGATGTAAGTGCAGCCGTGATAAGGGAAAGATGCTGACTCAGTATTGGGCACTGCCTGTGAAAGTGATGGGATGACTCTGCAAAAATGCAGGCAAATGGGAGGGGAAAGCTTAATGCAACATTGTCCACTACTTGCTGGTACAATGCCTTTGATATTGTTCATTTCATAGCATTTTTACTCATATTTTTTTCATAAATTGCAGAAGTAAACGTGATTATATATGTGTTGGTGTACTAAAACAGGTGGAAATCAGTTTCTGGTGGGATGTTGCTGTTCTGATAGGAATCTTGAGGTCTTAGATATATGTTGAATGTTCATAAGTGTACCAACCAAGCACGTACATAGATCAGCACAGGAAGACCTACCTGAAACCATTTTGATTCCCAAACTGAGCAAATGTTTTCTCTGCAAGGTCAAAGGAAAGTGGAAAAGCCTCCCCATTGTCCTTTCCTTGACAAATCCTGTCTTAAGGGCACATTTAAGATACGAATAGAGTGTTAGCCTGTGACCTTGCCCTGGAATAAAGTATTTATCATTACAAAAGACTGGCCAGGCTCCCCAGGCAATCCAATCAAGTAAGCAGGGTATCCAATCAAGTAACCTGCCAAACAGGAGATAAACAACAATAGGAGAAAAACAACATTCAAATTCTGTGTTAGACCGCCTTTTCTGTTGAGGTATGTATGATGTATGGGGGTTGGCCTTGAACTGCAGGACAGGGAATTTAAAATGTCTATATAAGGCCTTGGCGCCATTGTTCTGGGTTTCTCCTCTTTTCCTGTGTGTGAGGGGAGCACCCTGTTGCAACAGACCAATAAAGATCAGGCTTACTAGCTGCTTTGCTTCTCAATATTCTCTGGTTGGCCTCTGTTATTTTCTCCTACCAATAGGGAACCTACGTAAGGACTTGGATACCCCATTAGGGAAAAGGGCAGATTTTGTTTACAACACTGTTAATCATAGTTCTGCAACCATCTTTTTTTTCTCTCTTTTTTTTATGTTTTCTTTGTAATGAATCTTTTGAAGAGCTGCAGGTCTTGGTCAGCTCTGAAGCGCTACATATATCCATTATGCTATTAACCCCACAACTTTAAAGGTAAAGGGACCCCTGACCATTAGGTCCAGTCGCGGATGACTCTGGGATTGCGGCGCTCATCTCGCTTTACTGGCCGAGGGAGCTTCTGGGTCATGTGGCCAGCATGACTCAGCTGCTTCTGGCGAACCAGAGCAGTGCACGGAAATGCCGTTTTCTTCCCGTCATAGCAGTACCTATTTATCTACTTGCACTTTGGTGTGCTTTCGAACTGCTAGGTGGGCAGGAGCAGGGACCAAGCAACGGGAGCTACAACTTAGGCACATGTAATTTGTGCACATTCAGCTTTATGCAAGTGGCCAAAAAACAAAAACAAAAAAACTTGAAAGGTAGGCCTCCAGGAAAAATAACTTTGTCACTTCCACTTGCCCTTGAACCCGAAGGGCATTGACTGTACGTGATTTTGGCTTTAGGCATTATTCCCACATGATTTGCAGGCTTACTGTATTCCAATGCTAGGTTGTAATGGTGGAATTGCATCTTTAGTTGCTTCCGTTTTGCTACCACAGGAATGTCAAATGCAAAAGAGAAGAAAAGAGCCAAGAAGATGAAAAACCAGCCTACCAATGTGACCTTTGCCTTTGATGGTGGGCCAAGCCACAGTGAAATACACTTTCAAAATGGTGGTGATGGAGCCTCTGAATTCAAGAAACAAGGTAGCTGTTGTGGCTTAGTACAAGTCTATGGAATCTATGGTTCTCCAGATGTTGTTGAACTTCCAGCTCCCATCTGCCTCAGCCAGTATGGCCAATGGGCAAAGAGGATGGGAATTAATTCAATCCCAAAACGTCTGGAGGTTCCCCATCCCCATTTTACTGGTACAGACATCTGATTTGGTACGAATTATCCATGAAACTTTGACTCTAAAAAAAATACAGTGGTACCTCGCAAGACGAATGCCTCGCAAGACAAAAAACTCGCTAGACGAAAGGGTTTTTTGTTTTTTGAGCTGCTTCGCAAGACGATTTTCCCTATGGGCTTGCTTCGCAAGACGGAAACGTCTTGCAAGTTTGTTTCCTTTTTCTTAACACCGTTAATACAGTTGCGACTTGACTTCGAGGAGCAACTCATAGAACGTGGTGTGGTAGCCTTTTTTGAGGTTTTTAAAGACTTTGGTGATTTTTGAAGCTTTTCCAAAACTTTCCCGACACCGTGCTTTGCAAGACGAAAAAAATCGCAAGACGACAAAACTCGCAGAACGAATTAATTTCGTCTTGCGAGGCACCACTGTAAAGGTAATCTGGAGATAAGAATGAAATCTTAGAGAAGGGGTCTTTTAAAAACAAGGCTAAATTTGACACAGCCCTTGTCCTGGTCCAAAGGAGGGCTATGTGTGGTCATATAAGTTTGAAAAAGGGAGGAAGGGAGATTTGTCTGGAGAAATTTGTGGTGGGAAGGGGACTGGCTGATTGGTTGAGAAATAGCTCCCTTGTGTGCTGCTTTTGGGCTAGTTGGTCCACTTGTCAAACATAAGGAGGCAGAACTGATTGGTCCCCAAGTTTGTATGTGTGTAGTAGCTTAGGTGGCCAGCAGATACCTCCAGTTGGAAAAGAAGAGGTTGTGTTTCATTCCTTGCTTGAAAAGCGGCATTGTTGGAGTGTCCAACAGTGATCGAGGAATAAAAGACAGAATCCCAAACTGCAGTCCACAGACCACCAATGGTCTGCAGCATGCCTATAGAAATGTAATTAAAAATCTTACAGGATTGTGTATTACAGTTACTACAAAAAAACCCTGTGAGTGGAATACATGCACCACCCTGAAGCTTCAATAAGCTTCAGCTGATGTATTTCATTGTCACTTGGTGTGGTGTTTAGGTGTTTATGTAGAGGCTGCAGCTTAACTCCAGAACTGCTCACTGCTGTAAAATGTTAACTATCTCTAAGTGTAGTTTCATCTAAATTTCTTTACAATATGTTCACGTGGTTCAGTGTAAAAATTCTTGTTTAAAATGCTGTTTAGATAAAGGAAGGATTTAACTTTTATACAGATCAAATTAAGTGATAGGAGAGTTGTTGCCAAATTCTAGAATCAATTTTCTTTCAGGGCTATCGCTATAGGCTGTAGTATGCTCTTAGTTTGTGACTTCAGTCAATTTACACGGTAATTCTTCTTTGACTTGCCAACAGATCTGCGTTCTGAAACCTCACAACAGGACTTTTCGCAACAAAAAGTTTCCTGTGAAATGCCCAAATATGTCACAGGTAAGCATACATGAACAATGAATATCACCCAACATGTCTGTGTTAAGATGTCAAACAAACCTATTTCTTAGTACAATAAGAACAAGCCAAGAGAGTCAGAGACTCATCTGCACAGCCAAGGAGGAGGAGTTCAGAGATTTTCATTTATAATTACAGTGGTGCCTCGCAAGACGAAAATAATCCGTTCCGCGAGTCTCTTTGTCTAGCGGTTTTTTCGTCTTGCGAAGCAACCCTATTAGCGGATTAGCGGTTTAGCAGTTTAGCGGCTATTAAAGGCTTAGCAGCTTAGAAAAAGGGGGGGGGAGCGAAAGAAATCGCAAGACGTTTCGTCTTGCGAAGCAAGCCCATAGGGAAATTCGTCTTGCGAAGCGCATCGAAAAACGGAAAACCCTTTCGTCTAGCGGGTTTTTCGTCTTGCGAGGCATTCGTCTTGCGGGGCACCACTGTACAATTAACCCCAGACTTTTAATAATCACAGTTCTTCTTCCAGTAATGTTTCAGCATTCTCCATGTTGAACCTTAAGTTACACACCCATAGGTTTAAGAGATTTAATAAAATTTATGAACCTCATTGCTGCCAAGTGGGAAACTGCCCTCATTTAGTTCTTTCAGGTGCTAAACAAATTCTCTTTTTATTTCAGTGTCTCCTTTTGTTCAGGCTCGTGCTGCAGAAATAAAAGCTATGCTGAAAGCTGTTACCCAGAAGTCTTCCAACACCTTAGTGTTTCAGTCTCTACCGAGACACATGAGGAGGCGAGCTATGAGCCACAATATCAAACGCCTGCCCAGGCGACTTCGTGAGCTTGCCAGAATAGAGGTGTGTCTTTAGCTTGTTTTCCCAGTTAGCTTGCTGGTGCTTCCGTGTAATAGTTCATCCTTGTGCATAACCTTTCTTTTTGTGGGGGGTAGGGTGGGGGAATGTAATTGCTGTTGCACGTAGGATGGTGTTAATTCAGCAACGCATGGCAGGCCTCTGTGGGACTTCCCCCACGCCAGACGGTTTCTCCATATTCTTTGGCAGGAGGGCTTGGAGGGTAGTGATAGGTCACTGTGCTGTCTCCAATATATATTTTTTTTCAAAAAAAAATTATTGATTTTCCACATTTATTACAAAAATAACATAATAAAACACACAACAAGGAAAAACACATCACACTACAATAAACTAAACACAAAAAATTGTTTCTTCAAATACCTAATTCTCATTACATTGATAACTGACTTCCTCAAATCCCCTCTAACTGAATTTCATTATGTCGCCTATATAACAGTTCTCCAAATTCATTTTTCTAATAATATTGAATCCTTTCATTTACTAACCTCTTCTCCTTTATTAGTATTTTAATCCTTAATATTTACTCTAACATATTCTTATTCTACCCCTAAGCCTATTTATTATTTCCGAGAATTTTCTATTTATCTTGTGGTGTCTCCAATATAAACCCCACGAGTCCCTGTGCCCTCCACCCTAGATAATAATAATAATTTAATTATCTGACTGGGTTGCCCAGTCACTCTGGGCAGCTCCCAACAAAATAGTAAAAACACAATAAAACATATATATATAAAAAAAACTTCCCTGTACAGCGCTGCCTTCAGATGTCTTCTAAAAGTCATATGGGTGAATTGAATTGAATTGGGTTGCCTTCCCTTTGGGAAACAGATTCAAGGGGAGAAAAACATTGTTCCCTTGTTCTACCTATGCAGACAGAGAAATTTGAACATCAGAAGAAGGAACTGCCCAAGAGCAAGTGCCGTAAGGCCAGGCGGCGCCATACGAACTTGGTGGTGGAGTTCAACCGCAGGCAAAAGAAGAACGTGTGGCTGGAAACGCACATCTGGCATGCAAAGCGGTTTCACATGGTGAAGAAGTGGGGGTACTGCCTAGGAGACAGGCCCACAACCAAGAGCTATAGGGCCTGCTACCGGGCCATGACTAGCCACTGCCTCCTTCAGGTACTGTGGCTTTTTATGCCTTCATACTTGGCAGGAGAAACACTTCAGCTTTTTAAAAAACCAGAGCATGTCCTCTTGGGAAAGTCAATCCCATAGACTGTCTTTCTCCTTCCTGTTCTAAAGCACCTGTTGAGTGGAGAAAGAAAATGAAGTTTTCTTATCAGTATCTAGCTGTTTCTGTGTACCACCCTGTCCTCGTGTCTTCAGTATACTGGCTGTTGAGTCCTTGTTAACATATTATAATTTGCATATCTAGAGATAGCTTTTGGTCTTCATGCACCTCGTAAGATAGTTGGAGAATGTTGCTTATCAACACATGAGATAGATTTTGAGTAGTGCTTCTATCCACATTGTCTAAATGCTTGCCACGCTTCTGCAAACTCAGTCTCCTGATAATGTGAATTAGTCTAGAAGAATGGCTCAGGTTTTTATAAACAAAATCCATCGTTTTCTTCTGACCTCTCAAGCATGCCAAGTTTCTCTTTCCCAGCTTAAAATTCAATAGTTTTTCTTTTACATCAGGATTTATCTTATTATTGTTGCTTGGAGTTGACTGGAAAAGAGGAAGAGCTGCTTACAGCACTTGCTCGAATGTGTAGCATAGATGCAGGTAATATTTCCTTATTTTAAAATGCATACATTGTGAATGCTAACTGTTGGGTTGGGCATGGGCGCCTGCTGTCTAGGACTGGTTGTACTAAGTGTGCTCATTTAGTATTTTTGCAAAATACAACCGCATATTATGCAAGGGGAAAGAGCATAATGAAGGGCTAGGTGTATATTTAATAGTTCTTTGCACTCCATTATTTGTTCCTACTCCTCCCACCTAATTTGCTGATGCCAAGAAAGTCAATTACCGTATTTTTCGCTCTATAAGGCGCACCAGACCATAAGACACACCTAGTTTTTGGAGGAGGAAAACAAGAAAAAAAATATTCTGAATCTCAGAAGCCAGAACAGCAAGAGGGATCGCTGCGCAGTGAAAACAGCAATCCCTCTTGCTGTTCTGGCTTCTGGGATAGCTGCGCAGCCTGCTTTCACTCCATAAGACGCACACACATTTCCCCTTACTTTTTAGGAGGGAAAAAGTGAGTCTTATAGAGCAAAAAATACGGTATCTATTTTGCTGTTGAATATAGTTTAGGTCCACTATGGCATAGATGCCTGTGATTAGTGTAGCACATTATAAGTTTGTAAAATAAATCATACTGTGACTTTTGCAGCAGCGGTCACTTGTGATGGCCATGTTGTGTTTAGAGCAGCCTTCCAGATAAGTCTTCCAAAGCTGTTCTCCCATACTGAAGTAATCCTCCAAACCATGGCTCCCATACATGTTTGGAGGAATGGTTCAAACCATAGTTTGCTGGTTTGTGTGTTGCAGTAAACTCTGCTTAGAACAAAAGGCAAAATAAGGAATTAAATGAAGAAGGGGGTGAAGTATAAGCAAGCACATGTATACATGGCTTGTTCAAGATGCTCCAAACTGTTGTTTGGACTGTTGTCCCAGTGTAACCATAGCCTGTTAATCATTTTATGTTGCGTTGGTCTGTGAGGGGGAAACAAAACAAGTCTATAGTTGATCAGCTAGAAGAAATTCTTCTCATAGCTAATCAGGACTAGTCATAAAGTTTGTTTAGAAAAAACCCTAAGCTGTCACTTCCTTTCCATTCCCAATACAACTTCAGCAGGATAAAATGATCTTAAGAAGTTTCATTGTGGACCTGGTGTGTTGTGTGACCAGCTCTGAATTCTTTAAAGCAAGAACTACTGTAGGAACTATTCTCCCCCACCATCCCCATGTTCCATCTCTTAACTCTGCCAGTTTAGACTTTGGAATGCTACTTCTATTATTTTTTTTTAAAAAAAGAATAATACTTTATTTAGAATTCAATAATAACAAAGGAAAAAACCGCAGTAGTTGCTACATCCATTCATTACAGTTGACCAATTTTAAAATCGGAATGCTATTTCTAGATGTGGTCTCCCAGTTACAAAGGTTATATTACCTTTCTAAGTGGGCACTATTTTCTTGAGCATTTTTAGCCTGTCTCTTCTCAGGGCCAACATTTGCAGCTATTCCTTGTCTATCTGGGAAGCGCCAGGGTGCTCTCACCATGTACCAGGCAGACCAATACCCTGCAGGTGCACTTGGACCGGTTACTTTCCTTTGGAAACCCAGAGATGGGATTGATAGTACTTCCGAAAACAGACAACTGTGGATATGGACCCACCCTGTCTTTAAGCAGGTACAAGCTGTTTCTTTTCTTTTTAAAAAACATTTATAATTAGTGTAGTAAAAAAATTAAAAGGTAAGGGTAAAGGGACCCCTGACCATTAGGTCCAGTTGTGACCGATTCTGGGGTTGTGGCGCTCATCTCGCTTTATTGGCTGAGGGAGCCGGCGTACAGCTTCCGGGTCATGTGGCCAGCATGACTAAGCCGCTTTTGGCGAACCAGAGCAGCACACGGAAACGCTGTTTACCTTCCTGCCGGAACGGTACCTATTTATCTGCTTGTACTTTGACATGCTTTCAAACTGCTAGGTTGGCAAGAGCAGGGACCGAGCAACAGGAGCTCACCTTGTTGCGGGGATTCGAACCACCGACCTTCTGATCGGCAAGTCCTAGGCTCTGTGGTTTAACCCACAGCGCCACCCGCGTCCCAACATTAAAAAAATACCTGTATTAAAAAGCTAACCTGTTGTGAAGGGGAAGTAGGCCTGAAGTGGAAGCCTTTCATATGGTTGATTCCCACCAAAAAAGAGGTTGGAAAGGTCATGTGGGTGAAGGGAGTGTCTGAACCTTCCCTTTAACACAGGTAAAAGATCAGGGGAAGCTGTCTTTATACCAGGCCAGCCTGTTTGTTCAACTAGCCCAAGGGCAGACGCTCTCTCCATGAACTCGAGCAAAGGCCTTCCACCCAGCCTACCTGAAGCTTTTAGCCACAGATGCCAGGGCTTGAGCCTGAGGCCTTTTGCACAAGCTGTACAAGCTGAGCTACGAACCCAAACATTTGGCCTGAGCATCTGCTTCTTCTTACGCAATACTGGCGAAACTAGATTTGTAGAAAGTGCTTTCTAAAAAGAGTCTTACATAAATCGTTTGTAGGGTCATTGAGATCTTTTAAAATACAGTGGTACCTCGGGTTACATACGCTTCAGGTTACAGACTCCGCTAACCCAGAAATAGTGCTTCAGGTTAAGAACTTTGCTTCAGGATGAGAACAGAAATTGTGCTCCGGCAGCAGGAGGCCCCATTAGCTAAACTGGTGCTTCATGTTAAGAACAGTTTCAGGTTAAGTACGGACCTCCGGAACGAATTAAGTACTTAACCCAAGGTACCACTGTATAAAAAGCCCCTTTATTCTTTTGACAGCAGGATATGCTACTGAGTGGACTTAAGCTCCATCTCGAGGGCTGGCAACCTAAGAATGTGGTGCTAAAAAGTCCATCTGCTGGCCCTCTCTTTCAGCTGCTTATTTCTAAGGACGCCGCTGTTAATCTTTCGCCTGAAATCTGCATAAAAGATGGTGGCCTTCACATTTGACGAGCCCTTTTCCCTGCTTCCCATTAGGAGATCTTGGCTGAGTTGAAAGCAGCCTTCCGGTGTTCTGAGCCCATGGAAGTCTGTAACCCTGAACCAGCTGCAATATCACCTCACGAAGAAAGCCAGTCAGTTATTGCTGAGGAAGTTGGCCAGAAAAGGAAGAGGAAAGACAATGGAGGCAAAATGGCTGTCCCAGTGAAAAAAATTATTGGCGATGGGACCAGAGATCTCCACCAGTCCTATTGCTGGACATCACAAACTACTGGAGTTGTGATAAGGTACTTGTTTGGGTACTCTTAACACATTTCTCATTTATAGTCTAGTCAAGTTGCCTCATTATACAAAGGGATGAAGAAGAACTTTGGTAAACAAATTGGCCTAATCACCTGAACTAGGGCCCCATTTTCAAAACAGTGTCATACCACTTTAAACAGCCTCTTTAAACAGAAAGAATCATGGGAACTGTAGTTTCTTAAAGGTACTGTGAATTGTTATAAAACCCCCATTCCCGTCAAAGAGCTACAATTTAGTGTAGCTTAACAGCCAACCCCTCTTCCAAAGAACTCTAGGAATTGTAGCTCTGTGAGGGAAATGGGAGTCTCCTAACAATTCTCAGCACCCTTGACAAACTACAGTTCCCAGGATTCTTTGTGGGAAAGCCATGAGATTCTACAGTTTTAATTAGGCACTGAAATAATAATGGTTGAGATTATTAAAAAACAACAACAGATGAATGCAAAATGTGATAGAACGGATGTATGAATCAACACATGTGAAGTGGGCACAAACGGGAAGTGGATTAATTTATCACTCCTGACTTCATGTTTTGACATGTACCTTTTGTCTCTTCCAGCGACCTAACAATGGAGATTCTCAGATATCGGTTAATTGGTCCCCTCTCAAACTGCGTCCTTACAGAGGCACTCAAAGCTGCTTGTGTCCATACTGTAAGCTAATCAGCAATTTTCATGCTTGCTTTTGTCATGTGCTCAAGATCACATTGCTGTTATTGCATTGCTGTGTAGTCAACTGCTAGAATCTAGTACAGTGTTGTTGGTTCTACATGTTTGTACTACATTAACATATGATTCCCAACTCCTCTAGAAAAGTTTGGGACATCTTGTGTTAGTCATACCACTGACGTAGTGTCCTGAACCTCCATATTATAAAATAATACAGGATAATGCCTAGAGCTGTATAATGGATAGAGCTGTATAGTAAGCCCTCCTTTTGAAACTGTAGTAGATCACAGGCTTTGCTTGCAAAAGATCCCAGGTTCCATTCCTGGCATCTCCTGAGGAAAACTTTTGGGTAGCCCCTGCCACTTAGAATAGACTGGTGGTAACCAACATGGTGGACTTCATCTCCCATCAGCCCAACCAGCATAGCCAGTGGTCAGGGATGATGGGAGTTGTAGTTAACAGCATCTTGAGGGCACCATGTTGGATACTCTGGTGTAGACAGTACTGAGCTAGGTGAACCAGGGGCCTGGCTGAGTGTCAGGCTGCTTCCTGTGTTCCAACTGCAAAAGAAATTCTGTGGCAATCTTGTGTGCATGGTGGTAGAAGAAGCAGAAGTTTGTGGCTCTCTTTGGTATGAGCAGGAAGACCAATTGACTTGGTTACGCCAGGATGCTGGATCATTGCTCCTGCCTATTCTCATATTATGCACTGGTGCAAATTCCCTTGCTCAGTATTCAAAACCACTCTAAAACACCTGAGTGTTTTGGATGTATTTGAGTTGTACATTACCATACTTTGGTAGCAATCATCACCAAGCCTTTGACCACTTCTTGGAGGTCTTGGCAGTTGTATCATAACCAGCTTTCATGTAGAAGTTGGTTCTCTAGGAGACAGTTACGCATATGTCCATTGGCAGCCCTTGAGGTAAAAGGGGAGGAACTGAGCTTTGTGGCAGCGAATTACATATTTCCCCCTCTTACCTTACATGTTGTGGCTGGTTATCTAGGAAGTGGAGCCTACAGATTCCGAAATCAACAGCTGGTGGATAGATAATTGCAGAGATCCTGATCTGGTGTCTCTTCATCGCCGTCAAGAAGCCATCTTTGAATTGTTGCAAGGTAGCATTCTAGTAGTGCCTTCTGTTTACATGCTTTATATACTTGCTGGTGTACATTTGAAATATCAAAATGTAATACTTGTCGGTAAAACGTTTATGTTTAAAGGTGCATCCATTTTATGTGTTTAAAGGGTTAAGTTCATCAGACGTTCCATCAGGTACTGTACTGGGTTTGACTGTGGGGGATCCTCGAGTGAATTTGCCTAAAAAGAGAGTGAAAGCCAAGCCAAATCCTGAAAGATATCAAGGTAAAGTATCTCATCTAATATGTGACTGTAAAGAGTACATCAATCAACTTTTATGTCAAGTTAAGTTAATGTGTCTTTATTAAGTATTAGCAGAGAGTGCCCAGGGCTGCCTGGGAATTTTTAGAAACCCAAACCTATTGTGATTTAAAAATGGATAGTGTAGTGAGTCTGGACTCATCATGGTAACAATTGGGCGGAGTCATGCCAAAGTCACATTTTAGTCCACCATCTTGATTCAAAATGGCTGACACCCAAACATTGATAAAGACCACTTCCCCCACCTTGGGAACCTTTGTAGTGAGTTTGTCAGTAGAATCTCAAGAGGTAGCCAAACCTATAGAGAACATACAGGCAAACAGGCAAACCATTTTCTAAAACATATAGTATATTCCAGGAAGCGTTGCTCTTATCTCATGGCTTTTTAGGGTTCCTTTAAACATACCAAATAGATGCACACATCCTATATTAATGCTATGTAGAGAATAACGGCAGGTATGAGGAAGGGACTTGGCACCAAACTGGTCTTGTGCTCAATGGAAGCCTCTGTTAAATGGTACAGATGATCCAGGTTCGAATCCTGGCGAGGCCAACAGGTGCTTTACCTCAAGATGCAACACTTCATTTCTACGTGCTCGTATTGCCTACAAACATACACTTCAGAAAAAGTGTGAAAGAGTTCTCCACATATAACAACGGAATGTTTGGCTTACCACGCTAATTTAGCCTTAGAAATATTTTTCTGTAGTGAGAGTAAGAATCAGAAGTTCCACAATTCAGTCCCGCTGTACTTATTTGCCAATTAATTCCACGGCACTGGATTCATTATTTCACTTTTCACCATTTTTTTGCACACAAACAATTATTTTTCAGTAATGGGGCAGGTTTGGGGCAAAAAGAATCCCTCTGAACACACATTTCTTTTACCTGTCTACATTTGGCATCTGCTTCACTTAGGCTTATCTACATCTCTCCCTTTTAATATGGATTTAACCGCTACAGACAACTCGCCCATCAAACCAAACAGTATATTCTGACTTGAAGCCACTCTCCATTTTGTTATGCAGGGTGTATCTCTTAGTCCTGAGATCCTTCAATCGAAGATGCCAGGGATCAATGCTTGGATTTTTTCTATTTGCAAAGGATGTGCCATGATGTTGAGTTGTGGCTTCTGCTCCTGGACCAGACCATAAGAAAATCTTAAAACTTTGGTTCTTTTCTTCTATATTATAAGGTCCTTCTTCACTTGCCAGGGCAACATTGTTTGGTGTTTCCTAATAAAGTGCTTTTCAGACATAAATATGCACTCAGGTAGCCATGGTTTGATACTTCCGATTGCTTTGGTGTAGATTCACAAATGTGTCTAGATCTTCTGCATATATATATATATAGCTAGCCCTGTGAGAAACTTTGGGTTGTGCAAGGCAGCGAGGGACACGCCAGCCCTTCCAAGCCTCTCACTATATATGTTTGTAAATTTAATAACCCTTTCTGTTTTGAGGCATTCTGCAGGCAGTGCATGCCCATAAGCAGTGCATGCAAGCTAAGGCTGATGGCTGAAGAAGAAAGGGTAGCAAGAGAAGATCTTAAATGGATGTATGTGGGGAACCAGCAATGGGAGCCTGGATGGCTGAAGACTCGTGTTTGCAAACAGGCAGAGGGGAAGATGCCACCTAAGAAAGAAATCTTAAGGAAAGCTGGTGCTTCTTTTGGATAGTGCTCCACAGCTCTTCCCCTCCATTAGCTTAGGGTTGTGTCCAACAATGTCCTGCTGAACATGAGAGCCCACAAAAAGTAATGTTGGCCAACAACTTGGATGGCCTAAAAAGAGGATTAGAGGATTCATGGAGGAAAAGGCTATCAGTGGCTATTGACCACTCAGATTATGTTCTCTTTATGTTGCTGGGGAGAACGCTGTTCTGCTCAGGTCCTGTTTTCAGGTTTCCATAGGCATGTGGTTGTCCACTGGCAACAGGATGCTGGCCATGATCCAGCAGGGCTCTTATATTGTTACTCAGAGAAGGACCATTGAAATTAGAGGGATGAGTTAGCCATGTCCCTTAATTTCAATTGGTCTCCTCTTGAGTACAACTGGCATTGGATACAACCCATAGTCATGGAGAAAACATTGATTTGGTTTTCTGTATCTTCCTTACTCACTATAATTATTTAGTAGTTCATTCTCTTACTTGGCATGCATGCTTTTCACATTCTTAGGGAGGCATTCTATTCATTAAGGTTCTGCAATCTCCCTTAAAATACGTGGTGGAGTAGGATTTCTTCAGGTATAGTTATTTGAAGATTAATTGCACCGTGTGTTTTGGTTAAAGTGTTCCAAATATCACACATGAAGTTGGCTACTTTAGGCAGGGTATACTGATTTGCAAAGCATGTCATTACAGTCTAAAGTTTTCTTTTGCTGAAATAGCTAATACAGTGGAACCTCGGTTGCCAAATGGAAGTTGAACACTTTGGCTTCTGAACGCCAACAACCTGGAAGTGAATGTTTCCATTTACAAATGCATCTTGGAAGTCGAATGGCTTCCAAGGCACATTTCTCTATTTTTTCAATGGATTTTGCCAACCAGCAATTGCGCCTCGATTGTCGAACATTTCAGAAGTCCAACGGTCTTCTGGAATGGATTGCGTTTGACAACCGAGGTTCCACTGTACTAAAAATAAGAAGGGTGACAATGGGCTACAGGCATATCAACCTTTCAACAGAACCATTCTCTTAAACACATGCATCTTTTGGCACCACAATTTCCCCACCCTTCACCCAAAACCTAATGCCAACTATGAGTGCACACTGATCCTGTCACACAGTTCTTGAAGATCTGTAGATAGGAGTGAAGGGATGTTTAAATATTCTCTGAGAAAGTGGTGCTTGACTCTGCAGTGAGAAAATAGTGCATCAGGCTTGGATCTCAATATGCTCAGGCAGCAAAAGGAGAGCAGTTCCAGAACGTAAAGTTCAAGGGGAACTCCGAAATCATCACCTTCACATCAGCCTTTAAAGCAGGGATGGGGAGCCTGTGGCCCTCCAGATGTTGTTGCTGCTCCCATCAGTCCAAGCTAACGTGGCCAGGGGTTAGGGATGATGGTAGGCTAGAATCCATCAATATCTGGAGGACCACAAGTTCCCCACCCATGCTTTGCAGTGATTCTCAACCTGTGGGTCCCCAGATGTTGTTGGACTACAACTCCCATCATCCCTGAGCTCTGGCCTTGCTAGCTAGGGGTGGTGGGAGTTGTAGTTCAACAACATCTGGGGACCCACAGGCTGAGAAAGGCTGTTTTAAAGTGAGACCGTGTCTTCTAAAATGTTGATCCCTCACTTTAGACCTCAGTAAAATTAGGACTATTGCCTACAGCTCCACAAACTCCTAGAAGGCTTTGACTTCTGTTAGAGTAGAACTCAAAGTTCATTTCTCTCTGCGCTGTTAAATGTGTGTTTGCTCTTTGTACAAAATACCCCTTTAAATGAAGTAGCCAGGGTTGCTATGCTCCTAAGATAAAACATTCAGCTAGTTTCTCGTGGAATATGAACTGAAATTATTAAGGTTAGAAGCTTTAATGATCTTTTCACAACTTGCTGTTCTGCATTCCCCTTTGTATGCTCTTAACCTTTCAGTGACAACAGGTCCCTCTTTTTTCCTTTACTTTAGAGGATGAAAAAGTCAAGCAGCTGATCTTGGAAGGGGTGCCAGCAGAGTGTTCACAGAGCTTTCTTTGGGACCAGAACGTCCGCAAGAACGTCACAGAAAATAAAATGCCAGAACAGGTAACCTTTACATCAGAAATAACAATGAAGCAGTTGGATATAAATGTCAGCCGCTCAGTGCATTTCTGTTAAGCCCAATTACTTTGAGACTTGAAATGTCTGTCTCAAAATCCTGCCCATTTCTTTCCAGCTGGTGAAGTGTACCAGAGTAGGCTTGGTTTACTAATTTGAAAATGTTACCTCACCATCTACTTTGCATCTCTAGTTTGCACTTACATAGGGCAATATCCAGCTAAACCATTCTGCTAGTGCAAGGACTTACAGCTGACAAAATGGACCTTCCCCTCTCCCTCTGTGTCTGCTCTGGAGTGTTGGAGGGGGGAGCCCCCACCACAGACTTAGGGGGCACATGGGGAGAGGAGAGGGAGGGGAAGTTTTGTTGCACAGCCAGTCTTTGTTCTTGCAGAAGTGTTTAGTTGGATACCGCCTACAGACAATCTACTGAGTACATTTTATATCCTGCCTTTCTTCCATCAGGATCTCAAAGAAGTATATGTGAGGTTCCTAGGCGATCTCCCATCAAGATGCAGACCAGATCTAGACAGGCTTGGTTTCAGCAAGGTGTCTGGATCCTGTGTCCCGAGATCTGTAAACATGGAAATGGCATCATAGCAGACACAGTTTTGTTTGATATAGATGGGCGACATGTCAGTCTCTATCTCTCCTTTCAACAGTGATTTATAAAGAATTACTAAACTACAGAGCCATTGACAGAAAGAAATTCAGATCAGGCTGTAAGCTGCCATATTCCTCTACTAACACACAGGAAATGTACTGCATTAAAGAATAATTGTTGTGTTCCAGGAATAGCTTTCAGTGAAGCTTTTACTTATGGCTTATTAAGTTGTTTTAAGGTAAAGATAAGTTTAAGTGCTTACAATGCAGAATAAGAATATTTTCTTCTTCTTCTGGTACCTCTTTTTTCTTTTTTAAGCAAACCTTTGTGTGCTTTGTCCCCTCTCATCCCAGGACTTGAATCATCTGAGAAGTAAACTCTTGGTGCCTGGATCACATCTTGACTTAGGCCCCCGAGAATCCAAGATTCCTATACTCCTGGTTCAGCAGCCTGGAAAAATGGCTGGAGAAGATCGACTAGGATGGGGAAGTGGCTGGGATATTTGCTTGCCCAAAGGTTGGGGCATGGCTTTTTGGCTACCTTTTGTAAGTTATGTTTCAGATTGAAAAACCGTGGGTAATGAACTATAATTGCTGACTAACATACCTTTGCTCTTCAGGATGATTAAAACATTTTTAAAAATGCACACACCCTGACAGCTCATGATGAAATTAACTCCATGTTTTCTACAAAGTATCCCATGGTGGTTTTATGGTTTTATATTGTTCCTTCCATTCTATTGGAGAAACAGAGCCCCAAAGGCAATGCAAGCTGAGCATCCACACGAGATTCACTTTTCCTAAACACCAGCCTTAGGTGTTCAAAAGGAGGATTCATTGCAGGCAAATCTGTTGCCATGTTTTCAGGCAATCCAGAAAAGCAGCGGTAACTTTAGTTTACGGACCTTTCCTCTTGTTCTTGCATTCTCTTAACTGTCAATGGTATAAATGGTTGCAGAAGGAGTTTTTATATCACACTGCCGTCCCTATGCCTAGATCCTAAGGCTACAAAATGCAAATCAAAAGTTGCAACTGCTGTGGATTATTTAAAAAAGATCCTCTTCATAATGAAATCAAAAGTAGATTATTTGGACTGAGCTGGGCAGTTTCTAAGAACCTTGTCAGTATTAGCTTTTCTTACAATTTGAAGCTTCCAAGCCTGCGGAATGGCATCTGCACTGAGATACAATAGGCGCCTGATATCTGTATCTTCTGAAAAACAATGAAGAAGTTTTTGTTCCAGCAAACCTTCCCACCTCGATGAAAAGGTCCTTCCTTAGGTGTTCATTTTGTTTTGTTTCTAAGTCTACCTTCAGTTGTTGTTTGTACTTTTTAACTGCTTTTATGGCCTGTCTCTAAATCTCCTTGAGGCTTACCTAAAAGGCAATTCATAACTGATAAATAAATGAAAGTCAATCTTACACATTTGTTTTGTAGCTGTATCGAGGTGCACGTGTTGGGGGATTGCAGGAGGCTCTGAAACATTCTCTGTATAAGAGGACACCACATATCCCGCACGATTACCCAGACTCTCCTGCTGCCATGCAGTTTGCCAAAACATTGGAGAGAAATCTTCTTGAAAAGTTTAAGAGGTAGGTATCTGAGATGCACCTGGGAGCTTCCCCCCTTACCTCAGCCAGTACATGTGGTATATATTCAGATTAAATCTTCAGAAAAATTACCTTTCCAAAGGCAATGGGAACATGACATTTTAGGTCACAACTCAGTATGGCAAAAGATGTGAAAGCATTTTCCTCCAGCCAATAATTTAGGGAAAGGATTTCTTTTAATCTAGCCAAGGTTAAAAAAAAAGAAAAGAAAAAGAATTTATCCTTTTTACCAATGTAATTTTTGGCAATTAGGCAGTATATAAATACCGTATTTTTCGCTCTATAACACGCACCTGACCATAACACGCACATAGTTTTTAGAGGAGGAAAACAAGGAAAAAAAATATTCTAAACGAAACAGTGGATGTGTGATTTTTGTGGTTCATGCTGTGGCCACAGACATGTAATCTGACAGTGAGTTTGGGGTAGCCCAATGCAAAAATCCTGAGGATCCATGTGGATCCATGCTTTGTAACCATGTTTTTGCACCACTGCGGCCCCAGGCAACAGTGGGTGCATGATTTTTTTGGTGCAAGCTGTAGCCATGGACATGCTATGTGATCTGATGGTGAATTTGGGGTGACCCAGTGCAAAAATCCTGAGGATCCATGTGGATCTGTGCTTTGTAACCACGTTTTAAGTGGGGAGGGAAGGAAAAGCACTCAAGGGACAAGGAACACGCGTGGGGTGGGTGGAGAAGGATGCTGTTAATAATGCAGAAGAGGGGTATAAGAGGAGAAGGCTCCTCTCCTCTCCTGCTTTGCTCCTTTAAAGGCTCTGCTTCTCTCCCTCCCCCCCGGCTCGCTGAAAAACTTTGCTGCTATTAAGCCAGCTGAGTGGGGAGGAGAGAGGGACAGAGAGCCTGCTTGCGAAAAACTTTGCTGCTATTTAACGAGCTGTTCTCTCCCTCCTTCCCGGCTCGCTGAAAAAAACAGCTCCGGACTCGTGTAAGCGGCTCCTCTCCTCTCCCGCTTTGCTCCTTTAAAGCAAGCAGGCTCTCTGTCCCTCTCTCCTCCCCACTCAGCGGCTCTTCTCCCGCTTTGCTGTTTCAAAGCGAGCCACGAAGGAGGGAAGGAAGGGGAACCATGGATCCTCTGCTCACGACTGCAGCAGATCCCCCCACCATCCGTAGGCATTCGCTCCATAACACGCACAGACATTTCCCCTTACTTTCTAGGAGGAAAAAAGTGAGTGTTATGGTGCAAAAAATACGGTATATTAATAACAATAATTTTGCATTTCCCTCTATGTTTGGCTGCTTCTAAATGAGAAGTTTTTTTCTTTATCGTAGGCGTCCTCCTGCAAAAAGAGCCAATTATGTTAAGCATGGGACCTTGGCACCATTCCTCTGTCCCTGGGATAAGCTGAACAGAGATTGGGAGGCCAGAAACAGAGCTTTTGCAAAACATGTACCCACATCAGACCAGGAGTCTTGTGCAACTGAGGAACAGGCTTCTTGTGGCCCCAGTTCTGGAGCACATGCGGCTGAATCACCTGTGGCTGTCAGTTCAGAACATCAAATGGAGATGAGCTCCCCAGACATGCAGGTGGAAGAAGAGAGAAAAATGATGGGTCTATGCAAGAGAGATGAAGCTGAATCAGGTTGGACCTTCTGTGTTCTAAGGTATGCACACCAAATCAATTCCCGCATTGACCATAGTGGGAAATCAACTTGCAACTCATGTGAATCCATACATAGGGATTTTGAGTGTGCAAGCTGTTGCCATGGAACAAGACTTAGATCCTTGAGTACTTCATCTTCTGAGGCTTACCCTGGTCAGATGTGACAAGCTTTAGAAGCTGTTCTGCTTATGAGCTGTCTTACAAACTTGTGAATTGCTTATTACCTGCGTACACAAATGTCCTCTGCACTTTGGAGCTTTTAAAGGCTTGTTTCAAGTGAGTGTGGTCAGTTAGCACCTGATTATTTCAACAGGCTGAAGCCAGAACTGTAGCAATTAGCTCTTAAATAGGAGTCTCTTGCCCTGCAGATGCCCATGCTTATATTTTCTGAGTGGCGTAGGAGTGCAAGAGTCCTATATTCAAAATCCAACTCTGCTCCAAAACGTACTGGGTGACCTTGGGTCACTATCTCTTGGCCTACTTTGCAGGGTGAAAGTTAAGCTAAAAGGTGGACTGGAGCACATTGTATGCCACTCCTGTGCTCCTTGAAGGAAGGGCATGATAAACATGTAATAAATGCAGTATTTAAACTCTGAACAAAGTTGTGCAGTCTCAGTAAGCTCTTCATCATCCACAGAGAGAGAGAGAGACAAATCGCATCTTTACAGATACTGTACTTTTTCATAGCAAAACATCCTATATACTTACAGTGAGTTCATTCTGAAGGTATGGATCCTTATGTGGTATGGATCCATATGCCAAAGGGAAGGCAGAAGTATAATAATAATAATAATAATAATTAATAATAAACTATATAAACAGCCCATTGAGACTTGAGCAACCTCAGTGACCACATACAGTTGACTAACTACAGGAAAACAAGGAAGGGGAAGGGGAACATTGTTCCCTGGCAAAGGGTGGGAAATTCTGTGCGGGAGCATTCCATACTGCAACATTATGTTGCAGGGCCCACTTGTTCTGTACTGAACTGCATGAAAACATAACTACTTGTTGTATCTTTTTCAATAGGAGCAGAAATTTATTAAGGCAGGTATCGGTCTGGTGCCAGCCAACACCTGGGAGAAATCGGAGGCTACAGCGCCTTGTTGCCAGGCCAGATCAGAAGGATCTGACTGAAGATGCCCTCCTGCCTATCCTTCAACGTTATCCCAGGTCACTGGTGTGGGTCAGCTTGTCCCTTCTCAAAAAAGGTAGCCCAGAGTTACACGCAATGATTTGCATTCCAACAAAAGGAGATTTATTGCAGCTCAGCAAAGACCAAGACTACTGTGGTCCTCGGGAACCTAAGCACAGCGACAGATTTAAGAGCAAGATGTCGAAACGAAAGGGAAGGAAGAAGAGGCAAGACGTCGGGAAGGCCACAGAAAGCAGTGCCTTGAATACAACGAAGGCCACACCAACGGAACATGAAGATCTGGTTCTGGGCTTATGGCCGAACCCTTTGCCAGATCTTGCAGCACACTGTTCCAGAGTGCTCTTGGGATTTGTCACTCAAGGGGACTTCTCCTTGGCCTCTGGCTGTGGTGAAGCGTTAGGGTTTGTTAGTCTGACAGGGTTGCTGCAAATGTTGTTGGGTCAGCCAGCGGACAAGAAAGGGCTTGTGGTGTTAAGAAACCCAGCGTCCCTACAATACAGATTTGCTAGGCTTACGGTTGAAGTCTAACTTGGGCTGGAACTCATTGGCATTCAAAAGTACCAAAGACGCTTTTCTCTTGAACATGTACAGGCATCTTAATCTTGAGTCGGAGCTTCCAAAAATATACCTTACCTTTGTGCATACGTGACATGAAATAGACTTTAAAACTATTCTGTATTGTGTTCAGTATCAAATATCTCTTCCATTGCTTAGAGGCACACACACTGAACATCTATACTTAACAACAAATGCTAATTGCTTTTTTATGTTTAAACCAGGTGGGGGGAACCTTTGGCTCTCTGAATGTTGCTGCTCTACAACTCCCATAATTGGTCATGCTTGATGGGGTTGATGGGAGTTGTAGTTCAGCAATACGGGGGGGAGGGGGCAATTCCCCACATTGTTGTATACTATCCCCCCCCTTTACATACAGATTTGCCTCAACTAAGGAATTCTGCCCCCGTCCCCCCTTGTAACTTAGTGGTTTTGGCTGCACATTTCAAGCTTACAGTGGTTTTGGGGGCCCATACATTTAGCAAGTAAGATTTTAGGGTATTTAAGATGGTACTTTTTCTGGAACCACGGTATTCCCTCATGTTCAATTAATACTGGAAGAATTCCCCCGAAATCTGCCCCCCCCCCCCCCGGATGTTGAATTGAAATAATGTTAATAAAGCCATGGAAATGACATGAAGGGTTGGCTCCCTCACCTTAGCCTCAGCTTTTCTGAACAAATTATACTGTGCAAGTGTTCCACTTTGGACAAAAGTCCTTCACTATTCCTGAGAGAAGATGGCTTGACTTGTCCTGTAAGCCACACTGCCTTTTATGATCAAGTAGAAGAATTATGTTAGAAGAATCAGGTTACCTTCATCTTAAATATGAATTTATTGTGAGAGGTGAAATTCTGTAATCACTAAGTATACTGAAACAAATAGAAGGCAATGAACTTGCTCACAATATAAAAATATTTGTTGTAGTGTTTTGACCTCCTATAGAGAAGGTTGGGAGCCCCCTGTTGAAAATCATGGAGAACTGCTTCCAGTTAGTGTGGACAGATCTGACAGTGTATAGCAGCTTCCTATAGTTTTGGTATTGACCATTCTGGTTGGGGCAGATGGGAGTGGTGTCCCCCACCTACATCTGAAGGCTCCCGTCTTAGCCACCCCTGCCTTAAATAGTAACCTAATGGTGTGTCTTGTATTGGATACATACTTAATATTCCCCAAACCAGTAGATAATTGTTGCACCTGTTGCCATATTTTTAGTTTGCTTTACCATCTGATGAATGCAAACTTTAAAATATTACTTTCATTTTTTGAAAAAACAACAACTCATCTATGTCAAAGGGATGTCATTTCAACAAAGAATTCCTGCTTGAGACAACTAAGCAAAAGTCAAATCAGAAAGATTTATTTATTATTATTATTATTAAAGAAAGCACAGTTTCATCTGTTGTGTAACCTGTCTGCTAACCTTTCTTTGCTATAAAATTGTGGTGGGGTCATAATTCATTGATAAAAACGCAACAGCAGGGTTCTCGAACTTAGTCCATTCTGGGACTCCATTCGACTCCCAAAACCGTTCAAAAACCAAGGCACGGCTTCTGATTGGCTGCAGGAACTTCCTGCACTCAAGCGGAAACTGCATCGGATGTTCGGCTTCCAAAAAACATTCGCAAACCAGAACACTTCCAGGTTTGCAGCATTCAGGAGCCAATTTGATTGACAACTAAGCTGTTCGAGAACCAAGGTATCACTATATGAATACAGTGGTACCTTGGGTTACAGACACTTCAGGTTACAGACTCCACTAACCCAGAAATAGTACCTCTGGTTAAGAACTTTGCTTCAGGATGAGAATAGAAATTGGGCCGTGGCGCGGCGGCGGGAGGCCCCATTAGCTAAAGTGGTAGCTCAGGTTAAGAACACTTTCAGGTTAAGAACGGACCTCCAGAATGAATTAAGTTCTTAACCCGAGGTACCACTGTATTGAAAGTCAGCTGTTCTTCCAAGTGTGGAACTATCCTAAATACTATTGTATATTTTCCAGCCTGGGTTGATTTCAGTCTTCATGCATCCCCTTATTTGCTGATGGCGCTGCTGGAGCAACAGTGTCAAAGAGGACCAGTGTTGAGTAACAGCATCTTCCATATTGGAGTATAAGATAATGTGACTAGTTTAAACTATATGAGCTGCATGCTTTTAACTGACAATAATAATAATAATAATAATATCATCATAATCATTTTCCTCCTCCAAGGAGCTCAGGTTAGCTTATGATACATGATTCTCTCCCCCCTCCCCCCCCCCGGCAAGCCTTTGAGATAGGTTGTGCTTGAGAAATGGTGATTGGCTCAAGGTCAACCAATGAGTTTCATGACTGAGTTGGGCTTTGCCTGGGCAGAATAAGGAAGAATGGCTTCTGGCAACTCAGCACCGAGACACATTTTGCACACCACATTTAGCCAAACCACGGTGAGAATTTGTTTATTTAATTATTTAATTCACATATTGCCATTCTTCTGACGAACACAGGACGGTTCATAACACAAAAAATACAAACGAGAACACAAAATACCTAATACAGTGGTACCTCGGGTTAAGTACTTAATTCGTTCCGGAGCTCCATTCTTAACCTGAAACTGTTCTTAACCTGAAGCACCACTTTAGCTAATGGGGCCTCCCGCGCTGCCGGAGCACAATTTCTGTTCTCATCCTGAAGCAAAGTTCTTAACCTGAAGCACTATTTCTGGGTTAGCGGAGTCTGTAACCTGAAGCGTATGTAACCCAAGGTACCACTGTAATACTAGCTTAACTGCAAGCCGTGGTTGAGATGGTGCTCAAATCTAAACCAAGTCTTGGCTTATCTTAGCATTGTACAGTAACAAAAAGGATTGGGGAGAAACAACGCGATTGCGAGCATTTGTGAACTTGCACTAAACTAAGGTTTGGCTTAAAGGTAAAGGGACCCCTGACAATTAGGTCCAGTCGTGACCAACTCTGGGGTTGCGGTGCTCATCTCGCTTTATCGGCCGAGGGAGCCGGCGTACAACTTCTGGGTCATGTGGCCAGCATGACTGAGCCACTTCTGGCGAACCAGAGCAGCGCACGGAAATGCTGTTTGCCTTCCCGCCAGAGCGGTACCTACTTGCACTTTGACATGCTTTCAAACTGCTAGGTTGGCAGGAGCAGGGACCGAACAATGGGAGCTCACCCCGTCGTGGGGATTTGAACCGCCGACCTTCTGATCGGCAAGTCCTAGGCTCTTTGGTTTAACCCACAGTGCCACCCGCATCCCAAGGTTTGGCTTAGGTTGACACAATAAACACCATTCAAAAATCCAGTATATAAAATACACAACCTTTCAGCATAATAATAAAAGGAAGGGCTTGATCTAACTGACTTTCCTCCAAAAGAAGTCCCGGGCAGCTTGTATTTCAGGCTTGCTTAACATCAAAAAGCTTTTAACTGTAGAAACTGAAGGTTTTGCTTTGGCATGTTTTCAACGGCTTTAAAATACTTAAGTTCTCTTAAGTGGCTGCTGTGGACAGAGGAGAAACATGGGTTAATGCTATTTGTCTTGGAGTTAAATAATTCAGATACTGATGTGATCTGGATGGATTAGTTGCTGGTGGGGTTTCTCAAAGGCTGCATTTGCCATGCTTTGTATACTCCTTAGTTCCAGCTAGATGTCCTCCTAATTAGCTGCTTTGCAGAAAAGACTCTTTGTTGTGTGTTGGGTCACTGGCGCTTCCATGTAGCTCATTAAGGGACATTTGTCATTCCTGTGCTAAGCCTGACACGGTGCACCTGCTTGCTAGACAGGAAGCAGGTTGCGGCAGCTTAAGGAGCTTACAACTGGTTATTTTGTGGTGGTGTCTGGTTCTTGGGTTTTTCTTATTTGCAAAAGCCGCAGCAATAGTCTTGTTTCAAGTAACAGTGCTGTCAACATTGAAAATGGCCACAAGATGTCCCCATAGGAAAAACAATGGCTGGTTTTGAATCGTAACGCATCGTATAACCATGTGCAAATAATAAAAACCTTTAAATAGGCTGAGCGTGTTTTTCTCAGGTCAGCAATGATGGATTTCAGTCAACCTTTTGAATTGTTTCCCATTCAAAGACAGTTCCAAGGCTCTTTATCATGTTTGTTTTGAACTACCTCTTTTTCATTCTTCCTTTTTAAAGCCAACAATTTTTATTGGCTTACTAGCATGGGCTTTGGTCTACAGAACACAATGAGATAAGTCATTAACAATTGCCAGTGATGAGGCTAATTACACCTTGCTTCTTGATTCCCTAAAGAAGAACGGAAGGATTTCCTGTTGCCCTGTCTATCCCTTAAGCCAGGGATGGGAACCTGTGCCCCCCTGAATGCTGTTGGACTCCATCTCCCATCAGCCCCAGTGGTCAAGGGCGATAGGGAATGACGTCTGGAGGCCCACAGGTTCCCCAGCCCTGCCTTAGCACGTAGCCTCCTATATTTGGCTCATGATGGGCAGCACTGCACAACTTAGTGGCTGCCAGATATTGTTGACCTCCAGCTCCCATCAGCCACAGCCAGCATGGCCACTGGTCGGGGATGATGGGAGTTGCAGAGCTGGGACCATGCTTCCTTGACTTCTGTCTGTCCTGTCTCTCCATATGTAGCATTTGTTCCTTTAGCTGCACTTTTGACAAATTGCAATAAGTAAAGCCTGAACATAAGAAGAGCCTGCTGAATCAGGCCAATGACCCATTTGGTCCATCTTATCACAGTGGCCAACCAGATGCCTCAACCTCAAGAGCACTCTCCTCATCTGTGGTTTCCAGCAACTGATTGCTTCTAGCACGTCATTGATTTGGCAATTGACGGTCTGTTTTCTTCTGTTCTTTGGTTGACAGTCCAGATTTGCTAGCCATTATCACACTGTGAGACATCACCTTGCCAACAAAGGTCCGTATAGTTAAAGCTATGGTTTCCCCAGTAGTGATGTATGGAAGTGAGAGCTGGACCATAAAGAAGGCTGATCGCCGAAGAATTGA